CCCCCCCCCCAACCCATTCCTCGCCTACTCCGTACGAGACATACAGTGAGGAAACCTCAGGCACTGGATGTTCTAGGTTGTCTCTGTGTCAACACGCGCCGGCAGGGATGCCTGCTGAAAGGGATTCGTAGCCGGGCACACAAGGGTATCCTGCACGGTACGAGCAGTTGAGCCAATGGTGGGAAGCTCGGGGCGTTTTGGCCGCATGCATGAAAAGCGACAGGGAAAAACGTGGCAGCCACCAACACCGCATCGACCCGTCAATGCGAATTAGAAAGCGTGGATCAGTAGATACTGACAGCATTTTGACAGGCCTGGCCAGTGCCATGATTCAGCGAGTCCACAAGCATCCCGATTTATTCGCTCCACCCTGGCCTTATCGCAGCAACATTATTAGACTTGGAGCACGCAAGTACGAATGATCTCAGCGGGAAATAATGAATATTTGTACGGAGTACAAGAAGTGTGGCTTAAGCTGAAAAGATCTCCGGGACCTGGGTAGAGCCTGGAGCGCAGCCAAGAATAGGGGGGCTACAAGCTCACCGTCTACAGGGCTCATCCCGGCTCGGGCGCTGGCAGATGCAGCGACGTGCATATGCATTGAATATCTTCTCTTGCAATCAGGTGAAAGACGAGTGGCATTCTGACACAGATTGGTCCACACGGTGGTCAATAATGCTTTGACATTGCAGGAATGCGTCCCAGCTCAGACCAAGCCCTGGTTCCTAGAATGGCCAGCAGAGCCCGAGCGTCGGGAATCATATCTGAATGTGCCATCCAGGCACAGATACGATTAGCTTGGGTTCTACTGGCCTCTACTGAGCTGGTGGAACCACCAGCGCCAGCACCGTTCATGCAAGTTCAACCATGGCCTCGAAGGCCTGCGGGCCAAGCATCCAACTGCAGGGCACGCAGCAATCAGAAACCAGCAGCCTCCAACTAGTTGGATTGGACGGCCGAACGACCACTGCAGCTTCAAGGTGGTGGTGGAGGCCGCGAGAAAGGGGTAAACAACCGGGGCGATGAAACGTGGCTCACTAGGCTGTGCAGATGGCCTTAAACTGGGTTTTGCTCGACGCCCGATGGGGAATCAATTATGAGGCAGCTGACCAGCAGGCCAATTTGCGAAAGTCTTGCTGATTATGGCCCAGATGTTTGGGAACCTTGCAAAACAGCTGGAGTTCAGTTGTCTGGGCTCTACAACCTCGCCATCGTCGACATTCGTACTGAAGAAGAGGAGTCTCGGCCCCCTTTCGAGGCTAGTGTTTCCGTGAGAAAAAGGACTCTTGTCATGTTCAGGTACAAAAAGCCATCATCTGTGGGAATGCCCGGCGCAAGAGACAAGACTCAATGCTGGCGGACGGAATGGTAGCAAGCATCTTCGGTGGTCCCGGGTCTTCCTTCTGCCTCTACCCGTCATGCTGTGGTTTTAGATCAAACTCTCAGGCCGGCGATGCCATGTGCTCGGGCAAGGCGATAAGCCCCCAGGCACCCTTCGAGAAGAATCCCGGGCGATGCCTCTTTGAGGTAGCTCGGCTCTAAGCGTGAATGGAGGGCGAGACAGGGACGACAAGTTTCAGAATTGGCTTCTTTAACAAGTTACAAGTACCGAGGGTTTCCGTTGACCATGTACAGTACAGTACATACTCGTATCCGCACGGAGTGCGTGGTCCGGAGACGTAGGGCCCCGGCATACGGTGCTTTTGTTGTATGAGCGCTGACGAACGAAGACCATGGTTGCTGGTGTAGACACATAGGTACATACGGCTGAATATGTAGAATCTGAGGGAATGGACCACCTCCAAAGGGAGCTTTCCAGTCTCCCACGACAGGACGAGTGTGACTATGTACAGCACTGTATTTATGTCTTCAGTGCCGGTGCAGTGGAACAGTCCGAGCAGGCCCGGCAACGACCATGTCAAAGTGACGAAGTCGCCTTCGCTCATCGAGTCGACCCATCGCATCCCATCCATCATCCCTGCTACTTCCGCTCCCATCCCACTCCCGCTAAGTTCTAACACAGCAAGTGGGCTTCGCCTTGCCAGGTCCCTCAGTCTAGAGGCCCCTGCACCACGCCAAAGAGTCTCCTCGGCTGCCGACTTTGCAGGTCTCTACCCTTAACTTAATCTGACCCTTGACCGCATCCCTTTCCTTTGGAAACTCTCACCTCGTCTCTTACCCCAGGCCTGGTGATTGACTGGCGGTGACCTTTCGGTAGGACTTTTGTTCCTGTCTATCCTCCCTCTGTACAGGTGTCGAACATTCCTCTCGCCATAACGCGGACGAGTGCGACGTATTCATTGCTTCGACGACCTATTCCGTTGGACTCTGTGATCGACCGGTTCGAATTGCCAGATATAAGTCGACGCTTCGGCTCTGTCTTCACCCACTGTCGCCTCCCACCCTCGACAGCGCTTTGCCACCACTCGGTTCCGATCGCTTGTCATATTATAATAACAAGAGCAGAGATCTCTGGACTCCGACTTTGACATCAGGAGTCAGGAGTAGTCCTTACGCCGGGTTCTCCATCCTACGATTCATCGATCTCCCACGTGTCACCCACGTGTCATGCGTCTCCCATAAGATTTGCATTGGTACGAGTAGGAGTTAAGGCTTCTAATTGGGAGTTCCAACATCCCCCTTCACTGCTTTACCTGGACTCTTGCTTGTTCCACAATCCATCCTATCGCCAAAAAAATTTTGACAAATTCCTTCGTCCCCCTTCTTCACCTTGCAGGCAGGCCCAGAGAAATCGCTGCATCTCCCGCGGCAAGCCCCCATGTCCCATCAGTCACCGATCGTGAAGCAGCAGTGGAGCCCCTGAAGCCATTCACGATCGCCTCTTCACGCTCATGGGCAACTCTCAGGCTAAACCAGTCATCCTGACTGATGAAGGTATGCTTCAACCTCAAGGATTTATCTCGGGAAGCTGATCATCTTCATAGTAAATCTGAACCACTTCCGTTTGCTGAGGGTTGTTGGGAAGGGCGCTTTCGGAAAAGTTCGAATCGTCGAGCGCAAAGATTCCGGCTTGACCTTTGCGCTCAAATATATTCGCAAGGATGAAGGTGCATTTCACCCCATCCCCTATCTTCAGAGCCGGTCGAGGCTGACAAGTGCTAGTCGTGCGATCCGAGAGTGTTCGGAATATCATCCGGGAAAGACGGATGCTCGAACATCTGAACCATCCATTTTTGTGCAATCTCCGATATGGCTTCCAGGACGTCGAATATTTGTATCTCGTGGTCGACCTGATGAACGGGGGTGATCTTCGCTTCCACATCCAGCGGAAAGCTTTCACCGAGGACGCCATCCGCTTCTGGATGGCCGAATTAGCTTGCGCCCTTCGATATATCCACAGTCAAGGAATTGTCCATCGAGATCTGAAACCCGACAATGTGCTACTAGATTCCGAGGGTCATGTGCATTTGGCAGATTTCAACGTTGCTTCTGACTTCAAGCCCGGCAAGCCATTGACCAGCAAGTCAGGCACGCTCGCATATCTAGCCCCAGAAGTGTTCAGAGGTTCAGGGTACTACAGCGAGGTGGATTGGTGGTCATTGGGGGTAACAATGTATGAATGCGTATATGGAAAACGACCATTTGAAGGCAAAACCTATGAAGACCTGGCCGAGTCCATCTCCGCAGGAAACCCACATTATTTTGTCACCAAACCACCAGTGTCGATGCCGTGTCTGTCAGCGATGACCTCTTTGATTGAAAAGGACCGGCGGAAACGCATCGGAGCTACCGGATTTGACACATTCACCTCGCATCCTTTTTTCCAACCCATAAACTTCGACGCACTTGAGCGAAAACAGATACCCCCGATATTTGTGCCTTCCAGCGAGAAGACAAATTTCGATGCGACATACGACCTGGAGGAGCTCTTGCTTGAGGAAGCTCCTCTAGAGGCGCGGGCACGGAAGCAGAAGCCAAGAGCCGAGTTGCGCAACGACGCCACGAGTCGAGAAATTCGAGAGGACGAGCTACATCGGATGATAGAGACCATGTTTGAGCCGTTTGATTATACACTGGCGAGTTACGAAGTGTATGCACCAGCTCCACAACCGAATGATGACTGTTCACTAACGCTACCTAGGCCTGCAGCAGCAGCCGTGGCTGGGACTGTGCCCGAGGAGCATGTCCACCTCGATACTACACAAACCGAGTCCAACAGTGTACCGACCTCTCCAGATGGATCGCCGCCGTTGTCGCCAAGTGCCGCCGTCACACCTCAAAGCGAAGAAATCTTCAATCCCCTGGAGGACACGAAGCAAGCACCGCCGCACACGCAACAGCAGATTGGCCGGCCAGCGTCTTCGTCGAAGTCCTTCAGTCGGCCCTTACCGCCACAGAGACCGATGGCAGGAACACGACAGCTGAGCAAAGGCGGAGGAGTGCAAATGGTACTGGACGAGACAGGTAGCTGGTCCCAGTTGGCTGACCAGACACCGCCCGGTTATCCAGACGGGGGTGGTGGTGACGCGAGCGGCAAATACGATAAAGGAAGTGGCAGCATGCTTGGATTCTTGAGCAGAAAGAAAGGCAGAGATCGAAGTCCAAAGCCCAAGGAGGCTGGAGTTCTAGGTAAGATCGGAGCGAGACACATCATCAACTAACCCATGGAGCGTTCCATGTGCGAATGATGCTTTCTTGTGAGCTGCCGTTGATTCGAAAGATTGCTGGCATATGGAAACCAAGGCTGGTAGGAGCCGGCGTCTGAACGACTGGCGATCCCTCGACAGACCGGAGTTGTTTTCATCGATACCCAATATGTTATGTACAGTTGCATTGCTTGCGGGCGATCTGATTAGATGGTCGATTGATTACGGAGCAGAATATGATTGAGTCCTGGTGGCAGGACCAGAGCAGACACCACCAGAAACGCCCAGTGAGTAGGCAGCTAAGTGTTGTTATTGTACAAGTACTCGTAGTAGGAAGCTGTGTTTAGACGATACCTACCTGAGCAAAGGGAGACATGTAATATTATTACGGCAACAGCAAGATATGGGCGCATGGTGCTTGTACTGTACTTATCAAGAGTTCCATAGTGATAATCAGCAACAACAACAATAACAAACAACAAAAACGGAGTATGGAATGAGCTCGCTCGTCCTCTGTGCAGCTAATTTCTGGTACAAGGTGGGGGGAGTGAATCTGGTTGTTGGGAGAGATTCTGTTTGGATTGCGGTTGCTCGGGCGGCGGCAAGGCTCGCGGTGGCTCCCCAGGGCCGTCTAGGGCCGTCTAGGGCCGTTTTCAGGCCGCCTCTGGCCTGCTATTGCTGCCCCCGGGCTTCACTAGGGCCAGAAACGAAAGCTTGGACAGGCCAGCTCCGGGCTAAGCCAAAAGTGCCGGGAGGAGCCAATAACATCCAAACGTCAACACGCCTGCTTTCTCTGCCATTCCTGCCTCCAACCTCAGCTCACGTCTTTTGCGATCCTCTTTCTTTTTGCCATACGCCGGCGAACTCTCTTCTTCCGTGTGAGCTTGTGTTGTGTCTTCAGCACATCTTCATCCTTAAGCCTGTCCTGTCTGCCAGCATGTGCAGCTGTTAGAAGACCATCCGTTTGGTCTAAGATTGTCAGAGCCGCAGCACGCGTCGCGTTGTTCGGTCTGCGTACCCCTCCCTGCCATCCTCAACCCAGCACTTCCACAACCAGCCCTCGAGCTCGAAATATCCTTATGAATGGCAGCTGCTGTATTCATACCACCCTCGCCCCATGATCCCCTTGCTGAAATGGCCAACGTTTCCCGTCGAGTCCCTCTGGCAAGCCTTTCGAACGCCACGAATTCTCCCCATCGGCCTCTCACCCACAGCGGCTCCAAGCGGCCGAGGAGTCTGGCCAATGTAGCTCAGCAAGAGAACGAGCCGCCACAGAAGCGTCTGGCCGTGGAGAAGAATGCAAGGGACGCCGGCAAGAACCCGGCCACGCCTCAGAGGCAGTCGGGCCCCAGCATGCCCGAAGGTCGCGTTTTTGACCGAGGGAATGGTGAATCTGGATCTACAGCTTTCCAGAGAAGGCTCGTTGCTGCCCGGGAGAAATCTGCTGGGCTTCGGATTACGAAGAACGTTGAGTCAACGACCAAGGAAGACAGCATCCGCGCCTGGCAGAAACATTATCGGAAACTCTTCCCAAGCTATAGCTTCTACTTTGATGGTGTCTCGGAGGAAGCGCGTGCACGTTTCCTCCGACAGATCACGGGCCTTGGAGCGGTAAGTCTTTTCATGTTGTTGTGTGGTGCTCTACTAACGATTCGGGCTATAGAAAGAAGAAAAGTTTTTCTCCAAAGCGGTCACGCACATCGTCACGACGCGGCACATTCCTGCAGACAACGCATCTCACCATGACAACGCCCAGCCATCTCCGGTGGAAGACCAACCCCAGACCATTAATCCGTCCCTTCTGGAAAAGAATCCTCGTGGGCACGTGTCGGCCACTACAACAAGACGCGATGGGATCAACCACATGGACATCTTGGTCCGAGGAAAAGAGATGGGAATGAAAATATGGGCGGCGGAAAAGTTACAACGTGTACTCGGTTCGATACTGGGGGACGCAGGAAGTCATAGCCATCTTTCTCGGAGCACGACACATGGCAGTCGAAACCAGCACGAAGACCTGGGTCAGGTTTTGAAGCACGAGAAGCTGGCTGCTTATTCCGAGCGTGAACAACCCACGCTGTCTCTGGTGCCGTTCAAGGGGCCTTTCATCTATGTTCACGACATGGACGAAAAATATCGACCGACGATGGTGAGGGAGTACGCCAGGGTCACTCGCCGATCAGATGGGGATTGGCCACAATTCCGCTCGGCTAGTGTTGGCAAATGTCCTTTCGTAGAGGATCCAACCATGAAGAGAGAATTGGAGCAGGAGCAGCGGACAAGAGCCAGAATGGTGGCCATGCAACAACCCCAACAACCGACGCAGCATGTTCCTCGCACAAGGTCACATGTTGCCGTGGAGAAGGCGAGCGTTGAGCCTCCTACACGTCGTACAAGCCCCCGTAAAGCCCTGCAGACAGTCCATAACCCAGCTGACGTACCTATGGATATGGACTCCGACCGCAAGAAGACTGGTGCATCTGCTCACGAGCGACAGCCTTCGTTCCCACCAATGCCCGATCGGCCTTTTGAGTTCGTTCGGCCTGCTCAGCTACAGATGTCTCGGGAGCCTGCGGCATCAGGCATACAACGGTCCAATCTGACATCGGCAATTCAATCCCAGATGATCTCTTCCACAGCTGCCACCGGAGTCAAGGCCGGGACCAGCAAAGAAGTGCACCAGCAGTTGAAACGACAGGTGTTGGAGCGAACTCATACAGGTAGCCTGTCGGTGGGCTCAATACCGTCGTCGCATCGGATGAATGACCTTGCTGGTGCTCTCAAAAACGTCCGAGCCCCGGCACCTCAACGGGCGGCCAAGAGTCGTGCTCAGGAAAAGCTAGGCGGTATTCAAGAAGAAGACGACGATCATGCAGATGACCTTTCTGCCGAACAGGCTGCTCAGCCTAGCCGGCGGAAGAAGATAGTCAAGAAAGATCCAAAACCAGGATACTGTGAGAACTGCCGAGATAAATATGATGATTTTGAAGAGGTAAGAAGCGGACCATGTCCTCCGCTGGATGTTAGGCTAATCAAATGCAGCACATTATATCACGCAAGCATCGAAAGTTTGCCATGACACAATCAAACTGGAATGAACTTGACGCCCTTCTTGCCAAATTGCAAGCATGACTTTCTCCAGCGACCAAAGCGACCATTTCGAGGAGTTTCTAACGGGTCGGGCGGTGCCCCAGTCCGATGGGAGCGTGCCGACAGCACCAACGACAGCATTTCCGCTCACTTTGAACATGAACATTGAATAGCCTTCTGCATTTTAGCGGCAAGCATGACTTATTCTGAAAGCATCGACAGAGCACAAAAAGAACTGTTAATCCACGAAAAGTAGAAGCAGCAGAATCAGGCGGGTTGGGGATGGCCTTGGACCCGTCGTCGTACTGCATAAAAAAGACTAGCATGATATTTAATCCAAGCAGCCATTGGTCTGTCAAGCGAAGCGCTGGTACACAGCGGATGAGACAAAGGGACAGACGACATATCGAATGAAAGGACTTAGCGATTGTACGCGTGTTGATGATGCATAGGGATATTTGGTTGCGCGGGATTTACTCGTTTTTCGCGTCGCAATGAATGGAGTCTGGGCTCGCGATATTGATATTGATATTTTGATTAACGAGGACAAGAGAGACACTTTTTTCTTCCTCCGTTCAGTCCTCCATAAGGGAGTAAGTCGATAGCGCCTCTGGCCAAGTTTAGTCTTGCTGTTCTGTACAGTGTTGTGCCCTGTGGCCAATATGTGTCGTTGCAGTTTACGTATATGACGGGTGTCCAGGATAGTCTGAGAGACACAAGAGATGTTATTATCTAAGCAGAAATGGAATGTCCGGATTGAGCAAGTTAGTTGCCCGATGCGGAGGAGCATCATCGTTTTTCAAGCGCCAACATGACATGCACAAGCGCCCTGACTAGCGTCGCTTTAATGCATGACCCATTGCTAGTGTTTGTTTTTGGAGATTCACTTACCACCATCGACCTACTTATTACTACTGCACATCTCACCATCACCCTCGAGATGCCTCCTGGGTAATGCGCGATGGGTTTCCCTCAATGACATGCACGGAGAGACAGCTGAGAACGATCGTTTGTTCGACTCCGACCGGGCGCAGTCATGGTTGTTCGATTGTTGCGGGCGATTCATTATGTGATTGTGGTTTTTATTTTTCTTGGGTTTGGAAATCATCTTTACGGTCCCGACAACGACAACCGCTTCCGGCACCCGGTGTCCCTTCGACATTGTGTACCTGTCGCCACTGATACTGAGATGCTCAATTTTGCTCGATGACTTTTCTTGTTTCTGCCAAGTTTCGTCGTGGTACGGAAAGGGAAGAGGAGACACAATGAACAAAGCCCGTGACCGGCGTACTTTCAAAATTCCTCTCGTCGCTATCCTTTTTGTCTCTCTCCTACTCTTCTGCCATGTATAAGGACCTGCGCGTCCGTTCGAGGCAAGAAGGGAGGAAGAAAGAACCAAAGAGGGACAATGAACAGGTCAAAGTTTTCCTTCGAGTCCCCTGCTTGGTTTCCCCTGTTCGTCTGTGTCCGAGTCCGGGTCCGTGAAGTGCAATTCAGTTCAGTTCAGTTCACTTTTCTGGTTTCGGCAATTCTCACCTGTGTCGTTTGTTTTCACTTGGATAGTTCAGCCCCCTCATCTACCTGACCTACCTACCTCAACAAGCTTTCCAAGGACCTACCTACAAAGGGTACTCGTTTGGGTGGGAAGTTCACTTCTCACACCATACCCGTCAAGAGTGTTGTTTCCTGTCATCGACAGAGTGTCGGTCTTCGATATCTACAAAACCAGGTGATATCCTCTTACCGTCTTTCCGTCTATCTATTTGTCCCTCCGCAACAACGATCATCGAATACTGTAAATCGCTCTGTGACCGACCGACCGAGCGAGCGAGCAACCGACCGACCGGCAAACTTTGATAAATTAAATAGCATCGTGATCTTCTAAGGAAAGAAAGAGAAGGAAAAATGGCTCCGAGAAGAAAAGTCCCGGTCGAGGATCGCCCTATCTATGAACGCGCACCCTGGACGAGAGATCCGGACAAAGTGACACGGCGAATACAAAGATGGAGAGCGAAGAAGTGGTTCGACGCCACTGCTGAAATGTTTGCTTTGTCGAAACCCAGGGCTGGAAACGACGATCGCGAAGACGTGTTTTGGGAAGTATGTCGCTCCGAGAGCCTCAGGAGCATCTGAGCCACCCGAGCACTTTCATGAATGGGAATCAAGTTTGTATCTCGAGAAAGTTAGTGCATGTGGCTGACCGTGACATCTGTCTTAGTGCACCGAAATGTTGGGTCGTGGATCATTCGGGATGGTAGGAAAATGGACCAAGTTCGATTCTAGGGGAAACGCTGTTGAGGTATGTGGTCCTTTTGCGAATCCACAAACATGCACGTCACGATGCCCCGTGGGTTGGATTTCCGTTCTGATTTAGGAATTCTGTATCGTCATGCCTTTCTTGTTTGCTAACGCGCGCGCGGGCCTTTGAGTCCGTTTGCAGCATATCGCCATCAAGCAAGCAGAGGTCATTTCAAATTACGACGTCGACAGGAGAGGTAACTTTGACGTTCCTTGGGAAGCACGGATCATGATGGAACTCTACGACCAAGGGTGCGAAAATGTGACGAGACTGAAAGGGTTGAAGCTGTTCCCTAAAGGCGCTCAGTCGCGGAACTGGAGGTACTATGTCGAGTACTACAAGTACGGCACCTTGCATGGTTTGATCGACAATTACCTTGCGTATAACAGGGGGAACCCTAGGTCTCAGTACGTATCGCCGCTCAGCACAACCACCCGTCGTGTGCGAAACCGGGGGAGGAAAAAAGCAATGCTTGTTTACAGATGTTGACTTGAGCACCTGACTTGTTTGCACAGGAAGCGGGTTCCAGAGGAGTTCATTTGGCAAGCGTTCCATGAACTGGCCAGAGCTACTTATCATATGCGCACCGTCAAGTTTGGTGAGAATTTTGCTCCGCCAGGAAACGATCAGTGGATCCTTCATTTGGATTTGAAGCATGAAAACAGTACGTCCTTTCCCCAGGGTCGCGCTTATGGCCTCTCACCCACTCCCCCCCCCCAACCCCAGAGAGGAAGAATGCCGATCCTACCAAATCGATGAGTTTGATCCTGGCTAACCGACGTGGTCGACGTCTGAATTCCAAAAAACAGTTCTTCTTGGTACCGCACCCGCAGACGAAAGGTACATGCCTTACCCAAGTTTGAAGGTCGCGGACTGGGGGATGGCGGTGTGTACGAGCCGGCAAGATCCAAGCAATAGTGTCGGCTGGAGTCGACATGGCACAATCTGTTGGTTTCCGCCTGTGAGTTCCATCCACTTCAGTCATTTCACTCACTCTCCCCAGGTTCTGTCTGGCTTTGCCACCTGATCTTCCCTTGTCCTGCCCTTGCCCTTGCCCTTGCCGTGCACCGTCAAACTTTTTCGGGAGTCATCATGCAAAAGCTACTCGTCCCTGATGAATTTCTTGCGAGCGTGGATTTTAGGAACAACGAGACGACGGACGCTACGGCCGTAACTGGCGACGTCCCACGTTTGGATCACGGTACGAACCTTACGAGATGTCCCATGTGATATGGCAGGTCGGCGCAAACATGTACGGACTGATGTACCTTGACCGGCACAACCGCGACATTGACGAACAGATCGACCGGCACCGACGCATGGAGGAGGAGCTCAGGAAATGGGACTATTCCATCTTCCGGGGCCTGAAGAGTGGCGTGTACAGTCCGAAATTGACGGCCCTCGTCGAGGATTGCCTTCGCGTCGATCCCCAGAGAAGACCCAGGGTGAGGGAACTGGCCCAGCGTACGAGGGAAGGCCTGGCGCCGTATCTGGCGAGGTGGCGGCAGACGGGACAGTGTCCCGGTTTGTTGGTCAATACGGTTTAGATATCTCTTGTAGGATGTAGGAAAAGGTGCTCCATTCGCATCAATGATTCGAGACGGCAGAGAGATGTGTGTGTCTGTGTGTGCCTTGGGGCGAAAGTGGTGAGGTCTCAGGTCTGCAAGGGGGTGTGAGTAACTTGGGTGTTAATTACCAAGCTACAAAGGCGGCAAGGCTGCAAGGCTGACGCCAAGGCAAGCCACATGGATCTTTGGATCTTCACGCTCGGTCAACGTAGAGCGCATATGCGATCGTTTTCTGGGGTGTCTACGTTCGAACTTCCCATTCCTTTGTCCTACAACCTCACTGCCGACATAACCCGGTGTCTACTTCTCTGAGGCATTTTGTTCCCGTCCCAGAAGAAGAACATCTTTCCGACACTATCCTTCTACGGCTTCACTGCTTGTCGAAGGGTGATATGGCCGGCACTCAAGTTGCCATCATCCCTTGAGCTGGATCTCGCCAACCATTCTTGCGAACTTTTTGTTTCAGCACACCAAAATTCTTTTCCTTCGACGCCTGGACGCCTACTGATTCGTTCTCGATCCCGCTTCACCCTTCTATCTCCCCCGCCCTCTCTCTCTCTCTCTCTCTTCTACGATCCCCGGCTCCTCTGTCGTTTCTGTCCAGGTCGCCATCATGGAGGAGGCAAAAACACTCATCAGGACCGCGGTCCGCACGTTCTTCCACCAGCCCCGGCAGATCCTGATCGTCGACGCCCTCATGCTCCATTCCGTGCTCGGCATGGACGACCTCTCGGTTCTCCTGTCGGCGCAACCCAAGGACATCCGCAGCCTGATGACGCCGCTCCGCAACGCCCGACTCGTGCAGACGCACTCCCGGGTCGAGGTGCGCGTGGGGTCCCAGCGCGGCAGCCCGCGGGAGTACTACTACTGCCCGTTCCACCCGGCGATCGACGCGATCAAGTACCGGATCGCCAAGCTGCGCAAGAAGGTGGAGGCGCTGTACCAGCAGGACGAGACGAAGCGCAAGGACTGGCGCTGCCCGCGCTGCAAGGCCGAGTACGACGAGCTCGCGATCCTCGACAAGGTCGGCGCCGACGGGTTCTACTGCGACCGGTGCGGGAGCACGCTCGTGCAGAACGAGCGGGCGGCGGCCGAGGACCGCGGCCACCACGAGAAGATCCGGCGCGTCAACGACCAGCTCAAACGCTTCGACGACATGATCCTCAAGATCGACCGGAAAGACGTGCCCGAGAACGACTTCCAGAGCGCGTGGGAACGCAAGAAGGACGTGCCCCGCGAGCGCGGCGGCAAGGAACAGGGACAGTACGTCGAGATCAAGCGCGGGGACGCGAGGAACCTCAAAAAGGGCCCCGAGATGGTCAAGGTCGAGAACCTCGCCATCAACCTGACCAGCGGCGCGGAGCACGACAGGGAGGAGGCGGAACGGAAAGAGGAGCGCAAGAGGCTGTTGGCGAAACAGAACCAGTTGCCTGCGTGGCACACGAGTAGCGCGATAGGTCCTGCTCCTTCTTCGAACGGTGCGGCCGTCAAGGTCGAATCGGGCACGGGTACACCGGAGTCGGGCACCGCGGACATGGTGCTGCCCAAGAAGGAGGAGGACGACGAGGACGACAAGAAGAATCTGAATATCATCACAGATGGGGCGGCAGCGACGACGACGGCGGCGGCAAATTCCACTCTACAGGACGAAGTCGCGGCGTACATGGCCGAAATGGAACGCGAACGGCTCGAGGCGGAGAAACGGGCCAAGGAGGAAGACGAGGAAGACGACGGTGACGAGGACGACGATGACGATTTGGAGTTTGAGGATGTCGACGTCGTAGGCGGCGTCGGCGGGAGCGGGAGCGGGAGTGGGAGTGGGCTCGGCGGAGGAAGTATCGTCGGCACCCCGGCCGGCACCGGCGTGGACAACCCGAGGCCGGTCAACGGCGTCAAGAGGGAGTTCGACGACGAGAGCGGACCGAGCAGTGACGCCAACACACCCGTCAGTTTCGGCGGCGGTGGTGGTGCTGCCGCCGGTGACGGAGGACGAGGAGATCACAACAAGCGGGTCAAGTTCGAGAATGGAATGGCTTCTGCTGCTGCTGCTGCCGCCGCCGCCGCCGTCAAGGTCGAGGGTGGCGGTGTCGGTGTCGACGGCAATGGCGACGGCAACGCCGATTCGGACGAAGACGAAGACTTCGAAGATGCCATGTAGGCAATTGATTGGTACTTTGGCACCTGCTGAGCCTCAGGAGGTAGTACATGGATTTAAAAGATAAATGGTCGTTGTCGTTGATTGATTGATTGATACCTATGCACCTTGTCGTCCTAAAAAAACAAAACACCCACATATCAAGAAAGAAAAAAAAAAGAAATGCATAGCTTATGGCCGGAATGCCCTTGCGCATACGATGACGACCATTTCCTGAGCAGTTGCATATACAAATATACGCATATATACTGTGCGGTATTACTATACACTACAAGGAGGGGGAAAAAGGATAATTGACTAGAAGCAGTACAAGGACGAGGACAAGGACAAATACACACCCCCAAGGATGTCTCGCTGAATCAATAAAAGGCACCTCCTTCGCCGGAAAAGCAAAACAAGCATCGTACGCGGACTCCTTCGCCGCCTTCTTAGACCTCGAGCGTAATAAGCTTTGCAAGTAAAAGGCTTCCGTGAGAGACATGTAGTTTCCACTCAATTCGCACGTAGAAGATGGCGGTGGTGACGGTGAGGGCGACCGGTGAGAAGAGTAAAAGAAAAATGATTCGAAATCGAGAAACTTGAACAGTAGCGCCGCGCCGCAGGTGAGCTGAAGATAGGGGGATAAAAGGAGCCAGGACGAACAAGTGATTGCGTATAGGACAGTGAGTAGGCCGCTGGAATACTGTGCAGATGGCCTGTGGGAGTCCAGGATACTCCAGATAGAGGCAATCCCAGGGAAACCCAGGTGATCCAGGACAGCTTCGTTCAAGTCTTGGTGAAAGGCAACATGGAAAACAAGAGATCCTCGGGTTTGGCCGTCTGCGTTCTTGATGCCCTTGGTTCGGAATCCGCGACTGTCGAAAGCTCCGTCTGGATCGATGTTCAAGTGGTGCCTTGTAGAAGTCGAAAAATGCGTGACCCTGCTGAGGGGGGATTCCAGGCTAGAGACTTGCACCATCATCTCTCGTGGGAACACCTCCTAGACAAGAGCAGGTAATCAGACCGGGTGCTGGTGATTCTTTGAAATGGTCTTCTGCCCTCTTCAGTTCCGTCGTTCATGTCCTCGCTGGATGAGCTCTTGCACTGAAGCATTCAATAAAAGGTCACTTCTCGTTTCGCTGGGTATTCAGGCATTCAGCCAAGTGGATCCAAAAGCCATGCTTGTGTCCTGTCCGCGCTGATCTGTAGCGTCAACTCGCCCAGTGCGTACGGCGCACAGCCATGGCCAGCCGTCGTCGGTTTCATCATCTGCGAATCTGCATACGTTCACGTATTGATCTCCATCTCCATTTCCACCTCCTTCTTTGCTGTCGAAATTACACTGCATCTTCCGCATCATGCTGCCCACCCTCAATCCAGCCCTGCTCTGTTCACCTGAACCTTCGTTCTCGCCGTCAAGATGTGTCATACCATATCACTGAACTCAGCTAATAGTCCCCTACCACCTCCTTTTCTCAGGGTTCCTCTCCAAGATATGACCTCCGTCATCTCAAAGCCCGTCGTGTGTGTCGTCTTGCCTACTCGGGAGGTTCATCGTCGTGCTTCCTTCCATCGATCGCATCATCGGCCAAAGAGCAGACCTAGAATCCAGCCGCCAATCCAGTAAATGAGCAACACGGCAACAATAATGATGCCTGCCAGCTTTAGCACGGCGAGTTTATCACCCTGTTTCGCCATGCGTGTCAGCCGCCCCGCGGATCCTCGTATGCTGGTGCTCATGTTGCTAAAGACTTCGTTCGTATTATCTAGAGTTCCTTGAGATCGTGCATTGTCGTAGATGTCCAGCGTGATGTGTTTCAGCGCCGACGTCTTCTGGGAGAGTGAGGAGAGGAGGGCGTTGTTTTGTCTTTATTTTGTGGGAGCCATGTTAGCGACACAGATAATGCCTGCAGGATATGGCCGAGCGATGTTGAGAGCATCAAGAAAGTCACAAGGACAGATGCACATTCTTACGTAGTCCTTGTGCCTTGTTGGGTCGCCCGAACAGCTGTTCCGCTCGAGACGATGCAAAAAAGGGGGTTACTTACTCTTCGCGAGCGTATGCGTCGGACATCGTGACAAACGATTATGCGGTCGAAACGTTGAAGACACTCTGGGGTCGAACTGTTGATACAGGATCGAGGGGTGTAGGTATGGGTGTTCAGAATGAGATTGAGAGAATGCGAGGCCGGCGTCGTAGGTGGCAAGACTTGGATTGCGACAAAGGCTATTTGTGGCGGTGAAGCGATGCTATCGGACAGGATACCAATACCAATATGTATTGACGCACTTGTGTGAATTGTAAACAGCAAATGCAGGAAGGTGTCGAGTCGGTAGATGTGAGTATCCGGCGGATGCGATGATTGAAGCACGGAAAGGCGCAGGCGGAAAGAGTTGGTCCAGGTGTCTGTCTCACAGTGGCTGGCGAGGCTGAGTTCATGACGTCCAACAAGGCTGAATGTTTGTGGCCCAGTTTCATTGCCACTTGGTCGGGATTCCATCACAACTACGAGCCTCCTTCTATGTAAAACGAGGGAAGAAAAAATTAGGTTGTACCATCATCACAATGGTAGTAAGCAGTGTATTCAACTACCACATGACGGCAATTACCACGATATATCCCTCCCTAGATGGACCTCGAACTCAGGATTGAGAATTCCGCTCACGTCCACTCGCTATGCTGCTAAAGAAAACTCGACAAAGAGTAGGGACCGCTGCACTGTCCCTGGAGTACATTCCTGCATGAAATTTCGCTCAAAGAGCAAAACCCATCTCCAGGCAAGAGACACACCCAAATGTTTGCAAAAGAGTAATATTTCCTCGTAGAATCTTACAGAATGCAAAATATTACCACATATCGTCGTCATCGTCGTCCAGCTGGGCTCCATATTGCCCCTGCTGCTGATGTTGTTGTTGTTGCTGCTGCTGTTGAGAAAATTGGTATTGATTGTATCCACCTCCTTGATATGCTGATGCATCATTCTCCACCGACGTTTTGCTGCCTCTCGAAATCGGTCTCGAACCAGAGCCATTGCCATAATCATATGCTGAGGTATCACTCATTTCCTGTTGCGCACCATATGTTTGTGGCTGCTGTTGGTGCTCCAGGGCCTGTTGGTGTGCTTGCTGCTACCCAAACGTCAGTCGAAATTCGTAAACATCAACAACCAGACTTACCTGTTGATACCGCTGATATTGGGTAAACTCGTCCGGCTGCTGGTCTTTTTGCTGTTGTTTCCTCTGCTGCTTCGCACTTGTGGGTAGGTTCATTTGGGGATGCATCTGTTGCACCTTTGCCAAATAGCTATACATGAAATTACTCAACAACACCTGGGAGTGTAGAGCTCGTCGTGGGTTGGCAAGTTTGATGTGGGCCATACGGTATATTGCCCTTTCTTCCAGTATCGAAAATCGCGTCCAGTTGTAGTCGATGTCGGGTCTTAACTCTCGATACGGTGGTTCTGGCGACAACCCACGCTCACGAGCCTTCTTGGAGTTGCTCTCCTTGTCTCCTTTGGCCTTCTTTCCGCCGAATATTGTAGAAAATATACTTTCTTTCTCCTTCTTCGTGTCACTACCGGATGATTTCCGTTGACTTTCCCTTTTCCGTTCTTCATCGAGCTTCAGACTATCACGATCGAGGACGAGACTCTCGCGACCTTTTCCACCACCATCGATGGAAGCCTGCAAAACATCGAGTCTGGTGTTGTCGTGCTGTTGCGGTGGCTTAGCAATCTTGGCCTTTGGTTTCTCACTTTTCTCTTTGTCGCCGTCCTCTTTGCCCAATAACCAGCTCCACGAAGATTTCTTCTCTTCCTTCTTCTTACTCTCTGCACGTCTGTCCACAGTTAGTGTGGGAATAAATGACAAATTGCTGGTATTGGTATCGTTTCCTGGGAGAGGCGAAGGCTGCTCAAGGCTTTGCGTTGGTCGGGTCTGTGGAGGCATGGCATTCGGTGCTGGCGGAGATCTCCCAGGGAGACTCGGTAGTGAACCCTTGCTTGGCATAGAAGGCCTTTGAGGAGAAACGTTCCGAGCCTTGTCTTCGCGGGATGATACTCTTTCAGGGTGCCTGACCGGTGTCTGCATGGAGGATGAACGTGGAGGTTGAGTATGCGTCCATGTTTCTTCAGGAGGTGGTGTTTCAACGATCTGGGGCACGGTTTTTCGTTCAACCGAGGTGCTCGATTTGGGAGGCGATTGTGGTGCCGACGAAGGGCGTTGTATTTCTGGCATGCTCGATGTGCTGGGGGGCCTCGAAGGTTCATCGTCTCCAAAAATCGAGTCGAAGGTCGAAGGGACGGACGAGCCAATACTAGTGTTTGGTGACGCATCACGTCCTGCTGGTCGCGAAAAGTTCATTGCAGCACTCCGTGACGGTGCTTGTGAGGCCGAGGGATCTTTAAGTGTTAGCGCGAGATTGGCAACGTCTCCAGAGGTAAAGTTAGGAATTGGTGGCATCGCCGGAACATTGGTTTCGGGCGACTCAGGCCTGCTGCCTGACGGACCACCACTGGCAGCTCTCCTTGCAGCTCTTTGCGCGTAGGTGCTGCGATCGGCTCCTCTCCCTTTCAAACTACCGCCACGTCTGTATGTCGTCCTCGTCGACCTCTTAAGGCTGGAACCGGGTACCGATGGCAGTATAATGTCTCCTGTATCGTCCTCCACAGGTTTGTCAAGTTCCACGTTTGACAAACCTACAGTGTTGGCCACCAACGTCTCCAGCTCCTGTAGGTTGGGATCTTGCGGAGTGGACCGTCGCGATTGGGACTTCTTCCTTTCCAGCCTATCTGCGCCGTCCTGATAGCCTATCGAGCTGTTGATCTGCCGAGACAGCATGGACTTCTTTCGCCTCAAACTAGGGTTGCCCCCTTCGACACTTAACGAGCTTGATCTGGACGACGCTGGTGAGCTAAAGGCAGATAATTCACCCGACCTGCGCCTTATCTGCTCGGCCTTGCCCTCGAGGAATGTTTTGAACTCTTTCGGTGCCAACTCGGGATGTAGACGGGCCGGAACCCAGAACAGTCGCGAGGAATCATCTTCGCTAGAGGTGGAGGATGGCGCATTGGGCATCCCAGCGGCGCTCAGCTGTGGCAGATCCGGGTCATCCGCAGCGCCAACATTCATTGACATCCTCCGCAAAGCTTGTAGATTGCTCAACTCTTGCGCCAATCCAGCGGGACTTGATTCATACTCGATATCGTTCAGAGGAAAAGAAGATGTAGCCGTGTCGGACGGTGACCGCTCTCGAGTGCCCATGGGAGGCGACGGGGACGATCGGTCTCGGTCCCATGATGGGTCTTGTACTGAAGGGCCTCTAGAGAGGCCATTCGTGCGCGGCGCATCATGTCCATTCGTGCTTCCTCTTCCTGGCAGTTGCTTCCGCGGTATAGAAGTCCTCCTTATGGCTCGGTTGTTCTCCGTCTGTATGCCATTGACAACGCTATGCGTATTGAAGTTGTTGTGCTGATGCTGGTTTGCGCTGTGATTCCGGGCCTCTTGGTCGAGATCGTCGTCATCGTAGAGGTAGCCAATGGTTTCGGTGATATGATGGCTTTCGTCGTTGATAGATAGTTGTGGGAGATGCCCCCTGCGGGCTGCGAAGCTCGCGCCCGTGTCTCTACTCCGCGATGAAGTCTAGAGCCAGCACGGTGTCAGCAACAGTCTCTATCCGACGCTGGGAATCTAGGGGCCGGACGCAGCACCCCAAAACTTTCCACCGCGTCTGCAGGCTTCTCGAATAAGGCCGCGTCGAGCAATTAGAGGGTATTCACGAACCTTCATGGGGCGGACGACCCGGCTTCCCGCTCCTATTGTTGAATCCGTGTTGACTTTATTGTGATGATGGGCAGGCCACAACCCTCCCTCCTGGCCCGCCTCCTGCGCGTAATGGCCGATCGGTTGCTGCTCCTGAAGACAGTCCTGCAATCATCGGATTCGGGGTAAACGGTAGGAAAAGACCGGGCAGTGGACGCAAAAGGGGTTGTTGGTCAATCCGTGGATTGAGGGAGGTGGCCGGATATCTACAGCGGTGACGATGGGCTGTTCATTTGGCAGTCATACAAGGTGAGGGATCGAGTGGTGACGGTGTGCCATGGCTTGTCTAAGGCTTCGAACAAGCAATGTCAAGGGAGTGATACCAGCATGGTGAGTGGTCGAATCCTCGACGCCTAAAACAGGCTCATGGATGGGCACAGTGGCAGGCCAGAAGCCGCGCGCCTGCTGGCCAATCGACGGCGGACGGGAAGAGACAGCCTACTAGCCACAAAGGAAGCTAACCCAACCCATCTCGAGGCCGACCAAGACCCTGACAACTTCAAAGGACGAGTACCCCTGTCACGCTGTTTGTCAGGGCGGTCGATCCAGACAAAAATGCACCCGGCTTCTTTGGTGGCGTTCATCCGGTGCACTACGACACCCTGTTGTACAGTACAGACACGGGAGGGGCACGGTGCAGTTGATCCGGGGCCACAGCCTGTGTCCGAGCACTTATATAGACACACCTTGTGTTACGCCTCGTATGCTTCTTGTATTACGACTGTCTGCTGGTCTATGGAGAAATGCTCATGCCGCAATAACCATTCATTGTCTTCATCTCGTCTGGCAATGTCTTCCTCATCACTTCCCGCACTCCGTATATATCGTGACCAATGCATCCGTCTCACTAACCCCAGGGATTGTCAAAGGGATCCGATGCGCCTCCAAATCCACCACCGCTGGGTTTCGCTGGTCCGCTAAAAGGGGTCTGGGTCGTCGGTGCGGAGGTCCATCCTCCGAAGTCTTCGTCTGCCGTCACCGTCGGTTGCTGAGAAGGCTTGTTGCTCGATGACATGGGAGCCGCCCATCCGCCACGAATGTCGTTGGCTGTTATGTGAGCTGGTGGTTTCCCCAGTTCCACTTTGGGCTGCGCGGGCGGTGCGGGCGCCTGGTCTGGTGCTCCCCAAGGACTGCTGTCATTGCCAGAACCCCATGGGTCAAACAGTGCAGCATTGTTTTGTGGCGCCGCTGGTGATTTGAATGTCTGTGGAGCTTGTTGTGGCGCGGGCATAGGTGCAGAGGAGGTGGAAGAGGACAGATTGAACGGCGAGCCTGTGTTTGCAGTGCTGGTTGGAGCCGAGGCGACGCTTGTGCTAGCTGGCTTAGGAGGCGATGCAGGCATAGAGCTTGCAAACCCACCAAAGTCGTCGGCTGCAAAGAGATCGACTGGCAGAGACGATGTAGATGGTGCTGGCCCCGCCGCAGGCTGGGGTGCCGATGCTGTTTGCGTGAACGCAAAGTCCAAGCCGTTAGACGCAGAAGTTGATGTGACGGTCGGTTTGACAGCAGGTGCTTTCGACGGTACAGAATCGAAGAAACTACCGCCACTCAAGGGAGGAGGCGGCGAAGCGCCAACTGAGGGTGTGGGTTTTGGCCCCGTGCTCGTCAGGCCGCTAAATGCAGAAAAGGCTGAAGATGACTGTGGTTGCGGGGGCGGTGATGTGGTTGTGCTGGAGAAGCTCAGTCCACCGAAAGCATCAGCCAAACCACCGAAAGCGCCTTGGTTCCCCAGAGGCGGTGACGCCGCACCTCCCATTGATGGTTGGCGGTCATGCTGGGTTTGAGCGGGTTGTGGTTTTGGGGCGCTGGCATACAAGGACAAGATAGAACTCTTGAGGTCCCCTCTGCTGTTTGCTGATGATGTTGGATTTGCAGCTGCACTAGATGGTCGTCCAATCCCTGACGGCGCGTTCCCAAAAAAGTCCAACCCTAACAGAGAGTCTTGTGGTTTTCCTGCGGGTTTCGCAGCCTGTGCAGGTGCTGGTGCAGGTGGCGCAGTTTTTGTCGGTCTCGAGTCTGCAAAGTCTGCAGTGCTAGGTCTGGCTGGAGGCGGAGGGGCGAAATCATCGAACAGGTCGACGTTCGGCGCTGCACGCGGTTGTGGTGGTCGCGGCTGGGTAGCAGTTGCTCGCTGCGAAGCCGACCTCTCAATTTTAGCCTTCTCTTGAACAATATTCAGCGGCATGTCGTCTTCACCGTCATCTAAGGTGGAAGGATCCGGAATAGGGCCATCCATAACCCATCGCTTAGACTCGTATTTTGTGCGGATGAAGTTCTCGATCTTCGCTTCAGACGGCACGTGTCCGGGTGCAAGTTTGGATTCCCAGTATTTATTCGCTCTTGAATTACCCCATTTCAGGATACTCTGCAGTTGTTCATCGGTCCAGGCATCCAGATCCACCGACTTCACTCGACTGATATGGGTGCCCATGCCTCGATGGATGCCAGAACATCGAATACAGATAAAGACCCCCAGGTTCCAACTTGCCCATCGTGGGTGTTTGTTCCTCTTGCAATCCGCGCAGATCTTGTTACCTTCGAGCTTGACAAGAGCCTTGAGGGTTTGGGCATTCTGGGCTGCGCGGTCGGCAGGCGCCCTTCGAGACATCAGGAACGGGTCGAGGTGCACTGAGTAATGAGCAGAAGTTTGGTTCTGGATTGAGAGGCTCTGAATGAGTGTGGAAGGATCTGTGGCAGAAATTGGACACCGTTGCGCAGTACAGTGCAAAGTCAGGGTGCTGACGGGTGGACGGCTATGAGACAGACGTCAACTGCGATTGCGAGTGTTGGAGACCGAGGATACTGAAATCTGTAGAGCTCCGAAGAGGTAGTGAAATGGATTGTAGATAGTGCTTTGCTTCAAGAGTCTAGTGAAATGGACGTGGATGGTGCTTTCCTTCGAGAAGCTAATGGAACGGATCTATCCCTCATGTAAGTCGATGTAGTCGATGGACACCAACAAGTTCCAAATCGTAGGGAGGACACCGTGGAGCCTCGCGCTTGATGTGGAGGCCACACCGTCTCGCCGCCCTAAGCGTCTGAACGCGGCTTCATTACCGGTTCAAGTACGAGTCTCAGTTTTCAACCGGCCAGGTCTTCATTGGCTTCAGCCTCTCATTCAGAACTTTCTTTACATCAGTCGTCCACGAGCTGACTTCGAACTCTCGTCACCATATGCTGTCCCCGGCCATCTCCAGTTGTGGGAGAACTGGCCTGGTTGGATGGATTGGCAAAACTGTTGTCGCTTAGTGCGATGTTGATAGACTTGCTCTGATGCCGCCAGGTGGACAGACAAGCGAACGAAGCGTTTAGGTGCAGTTCTGACAGTCTAAGACCTGCACATTTCTTGAGGTATATCTACAACTCTTTTCTCTCTCAAGCACCGCGGGTCCATGGGTGGTTCGGACGCTACTTCTGGTCTTCGCTTTCTTCAAGTACCTACGATTTCACCCTGGGACCTGTACACTATTTTTCGTGAAACGAAATGGGCCTTCATTCCCATTCATCCCTAGTCCTGACCGAGATGCAACAAGTGGACATTGTCTTCGTCTTCACCAGCCATTGAGGTGCGCCCTTTTTTGTGGCAAATCGCTGTGTCGCTATTCCTCCTCACAAGAGACGGTGCCAGGGACTGACCGGATGTCGTTAACCCTTCCACTGTGGCTATGAAACCATTTGCAGTCGTTACTGACTTCAATGTCGCGGGAGGCGATAGAGGTTCACGGTGCCAGCATCATATCCAGGTCCCTTGAAGCAGAGAGGAAGATATCGCAAGAGAAGCCACAAAGGCAAGATTGCGTATCTTGAGAACTCCGATAGGTCTACGAGTAACAGATGCATCAGACTCTCAGCCTCGTCCTTTTTTGGGGGCTGATCGATGACGGCGATGATGGATCGCTGATTACATTATCATCCTGAGCAAATCTCCACCTTTGACGAGTACGAGCGGAATACGTCTTTTGCCTCTATCCGTAGTTCTAGGCTGTGTCACGCTGTTAGTGCCCTCAATACCTTTTGCATTGCATCATCCATCGCATACTCCGTATATCGCTCTAACGATTTGGGGGGCGCAATCATCTCACAATCTCAAATACTTTTTGTTTCTTCCAGATTACAGCCTCCACTACCATACCTGCAGTCTTGTCTCCTGTGTCTATATATTTCTCACCCCGTTCTCTTCGTCGTCGAATTTTCCTTGTTATGCGTATTCCCATCTTGAATCGTACGTTCTACACGCTCAGTAAAGCAACTGCTCGCCTCCACTCACCACTACTGCGGGGTCCGAGGACTACAATTACCACCACCACTAGGGCCTTCTCATCACCTTTATCGTCGCCCCGAACAGCCACGCTTCTCAAGAAGTCGATGCCCAGTCTACCATTCCTCGGCTCTCTATTTAGTACTTCATCCTCGAAAGACACAATGTCGTATCCCGACGGACGTTCCGACGACGAGTGGAGAGCGGTTTTGAATAAAGGTACGTAAAGCGAGACGAACCACGGGGGTGGGACAGATGAAGGAAGAAGAACATGATGATGATGATGATGATGATGATGATGATGATGATGATGATGATGGAGATGATGCTGAGTGACGTTTTTCTTTCTAGAACAATTCCGCGTCCTGCGTGAAAAGGGTACCGAAGCCCCCTTCACAGGCGAGTTCGACAAACACATGCCCTCGGCCGGCGTGTACACTTGCGCCGGCTGCAACGCGCCCCTGTACAAGGCCAACCACAAGTTCAAGTCCGGGTGCGGCTGGCCCGCGTACTTTGACAGCATCCCCGGCGCCGTCACCCGGCACACGGACAACAGCTTCGGCATGGAGCGGACCGAGATTGTGTGCAGTAACTGCGGCGGACACCTGGGACATGTCTTCAAGGGCGAAGGCTACCCGACGCCGACGGACGAGAGGCATTGCGTCAACAGTATCAGTTTAAAGTTTCACGAGAAGGAAGACGGAAGTGATGACAAGCCCGCGGGGAATGGAGACGCCAAGTAGGTGATTGAAGAGTTTGTATACCGCTATTTACGACGACAAGGTGCAGTTGGTAGACTGCCATGGATATGGTAAACCGCTTCGGAAAAAAATGGATGAATAAAAACGAGTCATGAAGAGAAGGACGACCGAGCCGCCCATGGGATATCGTTTGTAAGGGTGGTAAATACCTTGTATGGCAAGGCCAAAGGGACGAGACCGAGCCTTGTGTGTAAGTTAGAAGTTGTAATGCGAAACAAATGAGCCAATTCAACAGCAATTCCTCAATCAACGGTGTAGTTTTCCGAACAAAGGTCAAGTGCAAGTGTCCATGCGAACGCAAAACCATCGCAATTGCGACATTCATACCTATACTGATCATAACGTTGTAGGTAAGGTACTTGCGCTTTTGGATTAACCAACCAGGACCTCGCTACGCGCCATATCCTGAAACTGCTTCATAGCACTGGGCCCAAGAGTTTATGCCTGGTAGCCTGTACACGAAGAGTCTTTCATTTGGAGTAGTAATTCTCGATTGGGCTAAAACAACATGCTGGAAGTGTTGATGGATAGTGGATGGGTCGCAAACATCCAGTACGGTCATAGCAGAGAGCAGAAGTGCCAATATGATTATTTTCCAGGCAAGAGCGAGAGAAGCGAGCGAGCATGTCCGTCGTCAGCTTCCAACTGAGACATTGGATATCACGAGTCGTGACATCTCTAGTCTCGGTGGCAGGTCTGGCTCAAAGATATGATAGTCATGCTCGCCTCCTTCACAAAGGGTGTCGTTAAGAGTCGTCGTCGGAGAAGAGTCAATGATGCTCATCCATCGTTTGCAGCGCTGGTCACAGCCTTATTTTGGGCCTTTCGGCCCTTCTTGTCCTTGACTTTCTTCTCCGCCTTTTTGGACTTCTTGGACGGTTGCTGTCCTTCTTCTCCCTGTTGAGATTTCCTTTTCTTGCCACGGCGTTTTTGCTGCGACTCTTTCTGTGGAGTGCTTGACGCCGTCGCATTTTCGGTCTTGGATACAGACGATTGTTCTTCGTCATTAAGGGGATCAGAGGCCTCGTCGCCGTTTTCGGAGGATGATGAATGCTGTTCCGATGATTCTCGTGGTAGGGATGCCAGTTGCGCGGCTAGTTGCAATGCATCCGCGTTCTCGTCAATCTGTGGTTCATCCTCTGGTTTCGAGTTGGCCTTGTCTTGCATGCTCGCTTCCAGGCTCTTTAATTTCTGGTTGGCTCGGAATTTGTCACGGGCTTCACGTTCGGCGCGCTCGAGATCATATTTGTCGTTTCCAGCCTAGGCAATATTAACAACCCAGAGTAGCCCAACGAGCCGCCTGCGACTTACTAGAGCATGTCGGATTACTCTACTCGCAGCTTCTTTGTTAAGTGTCGCTGAGGGACGAGAAGGAGAAGCGCCGGCCTCTGCAGTCTTGATCTTTTCGAAATATTGCTTGACTCGAGCCAACTCGCGAAAAACCGCATGTTCTTTAGCGTCAACACCATGCAACCGGAAGACGGCTGGATGGGTCAGTGACTTTCTGAGCATACACGACTCAAAACTCACAAAAGATGATCGACTCGATCGCGTACACCAACAAGACGTCAAGCTTTGCTCTATCCAACAGAGGAAGTTTCTTGGTTGTCGATGCAAGGGAGATACCAGACTCCAGCAAAGGCGCAAGACTATCTTCAAGGTCCTCGATGTTCTCCTCTAGCTGATCGACCAAGTCGAGCATGGAGCTGCTATCCATATTGGACGCTCAAATCTTCGAGTCCAGTGCAGTGGTAATCGTTGAAGCGCATTTGTCGCCGTCTCACCTCTGAGCAAGAACGCAAGCATTGAGCACAACTGCCAGCGCAAGGAAAATTACTGTTGGAGACAAAGAAATTTCCCCGCATTTCATCTGCGGCTGCAGCTTTCATGCAGTCGCCATTGTCGGCCGCGCTCCATCACCAAAACCAAGGCACGTCTTCTTGAATCGTCTCAAGGCTTTCTATCTCTGGTGTTAGTTGTACCTAGTCCTCCCCGAAGGCTCGCTCGATCTCTCATTGTCGCCCTTCTCCACGATTATTGGAGCCTCGTTGATCCTTTCATGTCGTGAGCTCCACGGTCGTTCAAACTGTCGCAACGACTCTTCGTCCGCCCGCTCGTGAGAGCCTCGGGTAGATGGCTATGGCACTCCGAATCTCGGGCTATATGCCCACCTAGCCTCTCTCGTCCTTGTATTCATCGTGGCTTCAAGACAATGGCACAATCCCACAGCTGGTGGTCTCCCGTGCCCTCAGACGAACACGCTTCAGTCTCTGGGCAGGCCTCTTTCGAGTCGAAGCCTCTCGATGAAGATGTCGTGTCTGAACCTGACGAAGAAAGGCTTCTTACGAGGCGCGTACACATCCTGGGCCTTGGGAGTATCGGCACGTTGGTTGCTCATTCGATGCGATGTTTACCTAACCCTCCGCCGATCACCTTGATGATGCACAAGCGAGAACAGTATGCGGAATTCAAAAAGGCCGGGCGCAACATCGCACTGATAGACCAGAAGAACAATATCAACGACGAACAGACTGGCTATGATGTGGAAGTCTATGAAGGCGAAGAACCCGAAGCTGGCCCGACGTGGCGTTTCATGCCCGACTTCAAAAGCAAGCCAGGAAGAGGTGCAACACCACCAGTGACTAATCCTCTCGAGACTGGAGAATCTCTGCCTGACGGAAAGGTTTTCATTTACTGTTTGATTGTCGCAGTCAAGGGCCATGCTACGGTGGCCGCCCTTCGATCGGTAAAGGACAGAGTAGATTCGCGGACGACAATATGCTTTATGCAGAACGGACTGGGCCAAATCGACGAACTGAATCGCGACGTTTTCACAGATCCCGCAACTCGGCCGACATACGTACTCGGAATTGTCTCTCATGGTGTTTATATGGCCGATCCTTGTAAGGTTGTTCATGCGGGTTATGGTACGATCGCACTAGGTGTGTCTCGCGACAGAGACCGGCATCCGCTTCCTCCTCCAGCTTTGACTAGGAATATCTCCGATCTCACAGACGATGAGCGCAGGAAATTCTATCCCAGCGACAAGGACCTATTTGCGAGCATGTCCTCGCGGTATCTCTTGCGCACATTAACAAGGTCAACAGTATTGGCGTGTGCAGTGTTCCCTTACCTGGATCTCTTGCAACTACAATTAGAGAAGCTAGCTGCCAATGCTGTTCTCAACCCTTTGACAGCACTTTTAGATGTGCCGAACGGCGCCTTATTGGAGAGCAACGAAATCTCCGTGGTGCAGCGACTTTTGCTGGCTGAGGTCTCTCTAGTCATCCGCGGTTTACCAGAACTAGAAGGAATCCCAAATGTTAAAATGAGGTTTTCCGCTCGAAGACTAGAGCAGCTCGCTCTAGCTGTGACCCGGCGTACAGCTCAAAACTCCAGCAGCATGCGGGAAGACCTTCGACACGGCAAAAAGCCAGAGATCGACTACATCAATGGATACATTGTCAGACGGGGAGAAGAGCAAGGCATCAAATGCGCCCTTAATTTCATGTTGATGCAGTTGATCAAAGGCAAAGATGGCTTGCAAAAAAGAGATTACGGCATCCCGCAGGGCATACCGTATGGCACTCGGCATATTGGGGTTCAGGCCAATCCAAATCAACCAGGAATTGTCACCTTATCCGACGAAAGTACACCGAATCCGCTGCGAACGACAACAAACCCACGATAACTGCAGTTGACTGTTTACTCAATCACCCAAGGATGGAAACACACCAGTTATCCCGCATTGTAGGATCCGTGCCATGTGGCCAGGGCATCGCCTTGGCAAGCTCGTCAGATGACAGCCGACAGAGGCTTGCCGGTTAGCAGCTGCGGTCTACTGTCAGAAAGCAATAATATACTTTGTATACGATTACTCCATATTCGGTTTCTCCGTTGACACGACTCACAATATTGGCTATAGTGCTTGGCAGCTAGGAAGGCAACGCCTTAAATCATGTCAGCAACCGTCTCCCAGAAGAGAATGCAGTTCAAGGTACTCCGATTTGCAACGAGGGCGGGCCACAAATCCTGGGTCTACCCATGTAGTGCAAGAATTGGCCAAACAAGAGTGCTTCGTGTGTCTCGGCGAACTTTCCTCACCTTGCTGACTGCTTGATTCCCGTCTCGGCCAAAAAGCGAGTTGTAAATGACTGGCTAAGAAGAGGAACGGTATCCGCCCGAGTTCGGCGGGATGTGTGCAAACACTCCCTCCCATGCCAAAAATACCCGCAAGTGTCTCAATCCAGCGGCCGCCAAAAAAGTTCTCGATCTTCAGTGGCTGAAAGGGCGGGAGCTGACCATAGGTAAAACTAGTGCCCTGTTCATTCGAAGCCGATGTCTATCCAGATCACGGACCTGCTGCTGAGCAGAGCGCTTCACTACGGAGACGTCAAGGCGGTCATTTCGCTCACAACCAATACATCGGCGTAAATTGATCAATCTGATATGCCCAAACGGCTGCCCATGTGGCTGGGGGCGGGTCCATTGTTTGGAGTGAAGTCAAAACTACCTGATCCATCTTGTGGCAATCCATCACTAGGGTTGTGGTGTCTCCCCACAGGGAAAAACAGAGTTGGGCCCTTGTGTTCACCCACACGTTCATCGCATAGTCTAGCCTTGGATTTGTTGTTCGGTTGTTTACTAGCGTCGCTGAGCCCGAGGGTTCCCAAACTTTGCCTCTTGCCCTCCGGCGGATGGCCTGGAGGCTGATGTGCTTGTGTATATATAGTCGCACTTGTCCCTCTCAGAACCTAATCATTTGTTCGGTTTCGACAGCTTCGACAAAGCCACTACCACGATCCACACACTCGTTTCAGATAGACACACATTCGTTACTCCTGGACATCCATATCGCCAACATGCGGTCATTCGTTCCTCTCGCTGCTGCTGTGCTGCTCTCCACGGCGTCCGCTGCACCTGGCTGGGCCGACTGGATCAATCCAGGCAAATGCTTGAACCCCCGTTCTGCTCAATACCTTGTCGATGGCTTCGGTAGCCTCCTCTCCAACTACAACGCTGCTACGGCAGATAAGATTTTGGCAGACGACCTCGTTGACTGGTCTGACAGCATCAACGAGCTCGCTGGCGTACCTCTGGGTGTGCCCACGTTCCCCAGCAAGGCTGCTTTCGAAGCCGGCCAGGGCTCTCAGCCACCGATCCCTTTCAACCTCATGGCGATTGACGCCGTCACTTGTGACACAATTGCTCTTCGATGGAATACCACCCTCCCACCAAACACAGTCAAGGGCATCACAATCCTCAAGGCCGAAAACTCTCAGGGCCAACCAGATACCTGGCAGATCAAGACCATCTTCACGGAATTCAACAGCATCGCCTGGCTAGAAGATATTGGAGGTAACTGCAGCGCTCCCCAGCACTAAAAGAGCAGTGTCTTGCCGGCTCATAGCGCGGCGTTCTGGGATGAGTTCTCACGTATTTCTTCTAATGTCGCATGTAATGAGGCGGAGCATCTTTTATTGTGGAGGGAGGGTCAAATCGCCATGACCTTAATATTTGCATGAGCTCGCAGCACATATCTTAATGCTGTTCTCCACAAAATTCATCGATCAGCCTGTACAGTACTTTTGTAAAGGTGCAAAGACCCAAAAATGAAGTTCATTGATAAATTCGGCCACCAATTTTCTACATCCTCGGTTCGAGTCAAATCTACATGACGGCTGATTTGGAAGGTTTGAGCAACTATATTAGCTCCCGGGTTGTACAGTCAGCGACACATTCTGCGAAGGGGGTTGGGCTCTACGATTCCGAAAGACCTTACTAGCAGACCCCTCTTGTACGAGTGAGGGACCGTAACCTATATCTGAATAATGTCCTGGGCAAAGTTACAGCTGGTAGCGGCCTGGAATACTTGTGGTGGTGACGTGGGCGCGCCCAGTTCCACAGCTCGTGGGGTCAGAGGATGGCCTGGCCCAACACTCGCGTGCTACAATATGCACAGCAGAGACAAGATCGAGGACGAGCATACTGAGTACTGTCCATTCTGAATCAATGGCTAGCACAAAGTCACTTGATGGACAGAGCAAGCCGAGAACCGATCTTTTGTTTTGATCAACAGATCTCACCGACAGAAGCTCAGCTGCAAGCTCTGACCACTATTCGCTCCGTGCCTGTGTGTCTGTAGAAAACATCACGATTTCTCCCTCTTGGGAGAAGCTCATAGACTCCACATTCCATCATTTCGCTCCGTTTGGGCCTGTCGGTGGTTGTTCTGGAACAAAACTCTCGCATTTCAGCTCCCTAACAGGCCAGGAGTCCGAGAACAGCCTCCAAACTCGTGCAGCGTGCTGAATTTTTGACGTCCGGAGCCGTTGGGGAGACGTTCATTCCACAACCACGAGGTTCCCCAAGCCACCGGATAAAACACTATCCGAAATGGTTCCTCGGGGTGAGGGATCTTCATTGTTATTCAGAAGACCCGAGTCGTTCTCTTCTTTATGCGTGTCTCTGACCGATTGGCGAATTACGCACAAGGCTTGGGTCTGAGCTGACCGAGTCGAAATCTGGCCACTTTCGGCATGAGTTGGTTTTCATGATGGCTTCGAAGCCCGACTACATCTAACTACTATAGCTCGTACTCTACTGTGCAGGACTTTTGTCAGGGAAAAATTAGCTGTCATAAGGAGGTAATTGGCTTTGAGGCGCGCCCGGGCGTTTTCCCGTTATTGCATTGACAGCAGCGTGATGTGTATTTGCAGGCAGCCGATCTCGCTTGTTCTGACAAGGCGACGCATTGACAAAAACATCGAGTCAGCTGCTAAAGCAACGAGCATCAGCCGTTGACAGCGCATGCGACCGTGGGAGACGAAGGCCATGTCAAGCTCGTCAAACATCCCAGTAATTCCCTCACTCGGAGGCTGGGATCCTTCTTCAGCAAGCCGGATTAGGTCAAATAGATAAACAACACTATCTACCGTGTGTCTTGATGGTACGGATAATTGATGTGGTTTCAATACTTCCCAGCCTCCTCATCAAAGTTTGATCACGAGCTTCTCGCCTTCCACAACAATCGGCATGGTAGAGTTCAACAATCACTGACGCTGAAGATATGCCCCCCGGAGGTACTCGTACTGCGAGAGTTCCGACGCGCCCCCAGTTTTGTGTCACGCATGCCCGTAAAGAGAAACTCTGTCACAACGGCTTGTATTTTCCCCATCGACATCGTCTCGTCATTCGTCTCCAGTACGTAAGTCTGCATCTTCTTATTATCAAACGTCCAAGCCTCAGTTGGCATGGTTGCCACCATCAACATCAATGATGGCGGGTCGAAGGTTCCCGCCCCCATACAACGTGAGAGTCCAGCAGAGCGATATCACAAGTCCCGTCATGGGTCCTACAAAGGTGTTTTTCTCCGCCGCTGCGGATCTTGCAGAATGGTAACCACCCTCACGGCTGTCCGTACAGGACCAAAGATTGTGGAACAGAACGGAGCAGTTGTGATCATGTTCGCGGTGGAACTTGAACCATCCTCAAGAGATTTCATGCGGGCGAGGAGGCAAATAGTAGGGGGTCTGGCCTGTGCAACATCATCCGCGATGGGTTGGCTTTCGTAGCCAGCACCGGGCCGGAAGATCCACGCAGGTCTGCTGCAGTCCCCCTGTCCGAACGACACATGCAAAACCAAGCGATAAGGGAAATGTAAACGGTAGGGTAGATTTCTCTAGTTTTGATGTTGACCCAAGGGGCGAGGAGAACCTGGGGTGATTGTTACGGCTACTTCCACGCCAGCGTCTCGCACTGCAGCGCCACATACCACGCGTCCTCTGTCTCGGCCCATTGTCTCGAGGCACGTATGGTCTGCTGTATCTCATCTTCGGTGATGCCAGCATCCAACCAATTCTGGTACAGGGGGTCTCCGGGCTGCAATTGGCTCTTGGCTCGCTTCGCAAGTCTCTGTCTAGTCTCTGCTCCTGAGATGGTCGTACTTGCAGTCCCGATGCGAACCTTGCCTCCATCGACATCAAAACCCGCGCGACGAAACAGGGCCGGTACGGGGGGTGCCGACAGGTCGGCGTCAGGATGATCCTTGAGCACCGCCCGGCGGAAGTTTCCCACCCAGAGTCGGTCCAGGTCCGCGGTCCGCGGATAAAAATGCTGCTCGATGGTGTCGCGCACGGCCAGAATTCCTCCGGGCTTCAAGACCCGTCTCATCTCCGCGAGCGCTTTTACCGGCGTCTCTGGCGGTGGCATGTACCCGAGTGTCTGGCAGCAGAACACCACGTCGAAGGTATTGTCTGCGTAGGCGAGGCCTGTGAGGACGTTGCCTTCCTCGAAGACGACGGACCCAGGCCCTTCTGTGGGAATGCCGGCCTGCTCGGCCAGTGTTCTGGCCCTGCCTACGACGTCCGTCGAGATGTCAACCCCGACAATCCTCCCTTCGTTGGCACATTGGGCAAAGCCTGTGGTGATGGTCCCTGGGCCGCAGCCGACGTCGAGGACATGGTCTGTCTGTTTGATGTGAGGGAACAGAAAGGCAGCATCGGAGCCAACCGTGCGAGATTGTTGGGTTGCGAGAGTCTGGCTGGAGTAGCCCTGCGTGTAGGTGCTCGATGGGTTCGTCGTCGTCGTCATGATCCACTCTAGAAAGCCCAGGTTGTAGTTAACGTGAGCCGGTCAGAACTCCCGAGACAGATTTGCTGATATCAAAAGCACAGAGACTGGATTCACAGTTTGCCCAGATTGCAAGTTAGCAGCGGTACCTGGGACTTTATATACCGAGTCCGGGTGAGACAATGACTGATCCTCTGGAGCGAATCGTTGCCTATCTCTGCTAGTCAATGAGCCCGGATTACAAAGGGGGGTGGAAACTGGGCCGATCCCGGCCCCGGCCTCGGCCTCGACCTCCGCCCTCCCGGTCGCCCGTTTATCTGATATTATTTTGTTCATGGACAACGCTGCCGTCGCGCGTGTGTGTTCAGTCAAAACTACCCGAACCATTCGACCTTACTGTTCAGTAAGCGTATGCACCCATGTTGAATGAAAAATTATCTGTAAAACCTGTGTAGAAGAGTGTCAACATTGGAAGACGACAAGGTGGGAGCGCCGGTGCCGGTCCGTTCGCGCTACCCGCCTGTAGATTGCTGCCTGGTGAGCCTAGCACCACCGCAATGCTCATCACAGGCAACAGTCTTTGTGCTCGCGGTATTCTTCAAGCGAACGGCCCGAGTGTTCCGCCAAACGAGGGATGATTTGTCGAGGTCGTGCCTCAGGGAGGGGGGAGTGGAAAGACTGACGCGGCATACAGTACTAGCATCCACCGGTTTTAAGGGAGTTGTTTCCGGAGTCTGCATACAGCAGGCGGAAATATCACAGTTCGGCAGCCCCCACCGAGCAACTCTGCACATCTAGTTGACAACTGACGGGGTCTCTCTCTCATAGTGAAAATCCTTGTTTGTCACATTTTGGTGTTATGATTCCATGCTGAGGAATACCTGTACCCAATGAGACCACGTTTCGGCAACTACCACCGAACGCCATGGTTCGTAGAGAACCATGGCCGGCGCATTAATGCGGCCTCGCCTTGAAGGCTGGACAGCGCTGGCATGCACAGAGAGCAAGCAGAGCAAGCTGAAGGTTTTGGCCATAATTCCACCACTATCCACTCTATACCACAGGCCATCTCGCCAACTTGAGAACCTAGTGCAATGGGCAGTCCCCGCAGTGCCAGCGTTGCCTTAAAACTGAACGTGGTATGTCTCGTTAACACCCAGGATCTGCACGTGTGCACCGGAGCCCTCCACATCACCAAGCTTCGACAGCTTTAGTCGAGGGTCGGTGATTCCATATATTCTGCTGTCTCTATTCAGTCCTCCGACGGTAGTAGTACATGTGCCTAAATTGCGCAATAAGGTTCTTGTTATGATTGCGGAACGATGGAGTAGCGCCGTGAAGTCTGCAGTAATATGGGACTGGAAACCCGGGGGATGGTGGGAGGGGGTTGGGGTGCTGGCTGGTCGGTGCTTCCCTGTAGGATCATACGCGAGACCGAGCACATCTGTGAATGGACGGCAAAAGCAAGTGAGTCCTGGCCCAACAGATGGCGAGTCCTCGCCGAACAGATGATACGAATACTTATTAATGCTTTGCTGTACCATCCACACTGTTGAGTCGAAGCGACAAAACCCCTTTCTCTGCCTACAAGATCACCATGTCGACCGTTGTGACGCCGGGCCAGTGTTGAAAATGATGTTCGGCAGGTTGAGGTGGTAAGAGTGGTTTGTACATACCCTAGGGCCCGCTGGTCCGACGATTAGCGATAACCACTGGTCTATATACCTGCTTCTTGCTGGTAACCACGGATCGATCCGGATCAATATGAGGGCTGACCCTGGCTTCATCGATGGCATCTTAGAGTGGACACAACAAGCTTATCTCCTGACTCATTCAGCCATCCGACATTGGGACTTTCCGGGTGTCAAAAGATTTCGAGTTTGTGATGTTGCGATGCACATCCGTGATGCCCATCGCTTTCGATATGACATCTCTGGCGGCGGCTCCGGATGCCGTTACTGGGTGTAAGCGCTCCCACAAAATCGTTAGAGCTCAGAGACATGCTGAAATTTTTAGGCGGGTGATCGTATCCAACATGACCAAGAAGGGCCGGATCGCATCGACCTCGGCCAACAGTTTGTGGCCTGATCTGCTCTATCGTTACCACACAATTCAAAACCGCAAACCGCCGTCGATGGTGCAAGGCACATTTCACTGAACCTCTTAACCAGAAAAGGTCTTTATTTGATTCCCTGCCCGGCCGAAACAAAAAAGTCCCCCGAAAATCGAGCCTTCAGCAAACGTATTTGATCTTCTGGACGCTGGGTTGGAACATAAGGTAGCCTGATATACCAGGTTCTCCGAAATAATTGGATGAAGGTGGCTCTTCGGGGTCCAAACCATGGTCATGGGTTGTTTGTACCAGTTCTTGCCTACTTATCCACCATAGCAACATTGAAATTTTGTTATCCTTTGCAAGACCGTGATGGCTGTGCTCCGACGCCCAATCTTTCACTGCCTTTCAGCACGGCCCGATCTCGGCTCGCACTTGGTCAAATTCCTTCAACCAGCTGGTCGAGTACGGCGGAGGTGGTGGTGAAGGAGTCACAGTTGTAGAGCTCCCAAGGCTAGTGCCATATAAGTTTGCGTAGTGGTTAGTTTTGGAACCATTTAAGATTAGTAGAGGAATGACGAGAATAGGGATGACATCCATCCAAGGCGAATCGCTGGTTGTTACTCCATGCTTTCATGATCAAGTCGCACCGATGGTCTTCGATGGTAGAAATTTGGACATTGAGCACCACATGCCGGCTTTCTGGTTCAGGCTTAATGAGATGAGAGCACCTTTCCACGAGCCGTGGGTAGAAACCAGCAGAAGCCCAATCTAAAAGACACGGTGGGCTGGTCTTTGACCCAGAGAATGTTTCGGAGGAAGAAATCCAGATGGCACAAGACCAACTCGGACCCAGTAGATCGAATCATCTTTGAGCGTGGATCTAGAAGCCTGTCGTTGAACCATTCTTCGAGCTCCTGAATTGTGTTGAAAGTCGGGAGGGACGGGGACGCCACAAGTTCACGCTGAATTTATCGGCCATCGACGCAGTTTAGCGCCCGGGCTGAGGGTAGAAAAGCATACTATACTTTACATTCTTCATACCTAATGGCAATTATCCACTTAGTATATCGAGCTAGCAGTTTCATGTACGTGTGTCTTGCACACATAATATAACGGCGCGAGATCCCAAGACTGCTCACATCAGGGATAATGAACAGCGACCTATGGGAAAACAAAATCACAATCCCTTCACAGAACATCACTCGTCGACATCTTTGACATCGACCCAGTTATTTGCACCGGGGCTGACGTCCTTGTCGTGGCGGTGGGCTGGCCTAGGTAAATCCAATCCCTCTCCAGCCTTGCTTAATCGACGACTCGACGAATTCGCGGTACATGCCCAATCCCGCGAAAAAGAATCGAGTAGCGAACACCTTGCCGGGCACGTTCCCACCAAAGATCCAAGACGAAGTCTTCTTGAAGAGACTATCGCCAACTGCATCCTCGCACCGCTGGGCCCATTCGAGCTCGGCCTCCAGCGTAGTTTCGACGACGCCAGCGTACCCCGAATCATTGCGCAGAGCTTCGGACCTTTTGATGACCGCCATGATCAGGTCCACCTGACTCTCGATGACGGGGGGGTTGTTAGCGAACGGGGATTGAGGGCCCAAGATCATAAACATGTTGGGGAACCCAGACAGCATAACTCCACAAAAGCTTGTAACATTCTTAGACCAGTGTTCTTTAATCGACTTATTGTGGCGTCCTGAGATATGGAGCCGAGTGTAATTACCGTCGAGAGCGTCAAATCCCGTCGCGAGGATAATGGTGCCGAATTCATACTCGACGCTGCCACTCACAGTGATACCACGCTCCGTGACTGCGGTGATAGGGTTCTCCTTGAGATCGACGACACGCACGTTGTCTCGGTTGAATTGCTCGTAGTAGAAGTTGCCACAAATAGGCCGGCGGGCGTAGTAGTCGTTCGGTGTTAGAACACGCGCCTTGTCCGGGTCCTGGATAATATTGCGGATCTTTCGCCGCACGAACTCGGCTGCAAACTCATTGGCTTCGAGGTTCGTGGTGATGTCGTTGAAACCCCCCAGGAGAAACCAGAAGCCGTTCCCGTCACTCCATAGCTTCTCAAATACGAGCTCCCTCTCCTCAGGCGTGGCAGACGCGAAAGATTGTGTGCTCTCCGGGAAGCCAAAACCGACAGCGGATCGACGGACTTTGTTCCAGAATTCCGAGTAGTTAGAGTTAATGTCTTGTCTCTGCTTGAGTGGAAATTCTCGGTAGCCAGCGGGCACAACATATTGTGGATGGCGGACGAAGCACGTCAGCGATGCCACTTGCGCTGCGATTTTTGTGGTAACCTGAACACCTGTGGAGCCGTTACCGATCAGAGCGACTCGTTTACCGCGAAGATCAAGATCATCCTTCCAGGCGGCGGTATGGACCACGGTGCCTTTGAAGTCGTGTAATCCAGCAATGTCCGGGTAAATAGGTTGCGACAAAAGGCCCATAGCCGAGACAAAATAGCGCACGACGAATGTTTGGCCGGTGTGCATGATCGCTCGCCAGGTGTTGGTTTCTTCGTTGAAGACAGCTGACCTCAACTCCGTATTAAACTGCATATATTTCCTCAGGTCATGCCGGTCCACCACGTGTCTCAGGTACGCAAGGATTTCCGCCTGATTGACGTAGTTGTGAGTGAAAGGATAGTTCTGGTAGTCCTCTTCGTCGAAGGAGAACCGGTAGATGTGACTGTGTGTATCACTCATTGCCCCTGGATACCTGTTCCAATACCAGGTGCCTCCAACGTCTCCAGCATTGTCCACGCAGGCGAATCTCAAGCCTAGCTTGCTCAGTGAATAGCAAGCGTAGATTCCTGCAAACCCGCTGCCAACGACCAAGGCATCGAGTCTGGTCTCGGGGCTTTCGACGGTGCCGTGCTGCATTTCCTTCTCCTCTGTGCTTGGAGGCGTGTGTCAGGTTGTTCGCTCTTTCTTTGAGTGAGGGCACACCTTACCATCATCTTCAAGGTCCATGGCAAGTAGATATAGCAACGGCCCAGTCTCATGCTCAAGCTTATATCTGTGGGCTAGAAAATCGCACCCACTCGTAACTTCAGATTGATCGCCGTGGAAACTTGCCTATCTGGGCGTCTTGACGAGACTCTCCACTGGAAGCGGTTCATCGACACACCTCTCGGCGCAGGCCAGTTTTACTTGTGATCAGTCGACCAAGTTACCAGCATGTGAGTTGCACAAATGAAATGGTCCATGCTTTGGAAATGGCAAGACTTCTGGACGCCAACTGCGAGATAGCCACGTCGGTAGTCCTCCCGTACGAGACAACCGGAATCTCCACCAACGGCCTAACACTTCTGGTTCAGCGAATTGACTTACTACGTCTAGAAACACTTGCCTAAACAAGGGACAGGGACAACCCGATGAACAAACTTAAGCTTCCCACCTTCCTGGTCCACTTGGTGTGATGGGTCCGTGACAAGCACATTTTTCGAAGACTGACTTTTCTCTGAGGCTGGAGGGATTCATTCGTTCGCGGGGTGAGCGATCCAGCAAAGATCGTAATTAAAATTGCCTTTCTTTATCTACTGCCAATCGGCTTGGGCCCGAAAGGGGAAATTATTTCAGAGGGGAAGTGTTACTGATGCAGTGTCTACAGCATTCGAGCTCCATACTCCAGAATCTAGATGGCGCATGATTCTAGTCACGACGCGAAGCCAAATCGTGGGCACGCTTACCGAGTAGCGTTTGCACGACGACGATTACGATATTCATCACATGCCCGGGGTGATGGCTCATCCTACGCTCTCCTTCAGGAATTGCCATATATTGCCATAGCATCAAGATCATCCTCTGTGGTTTCTGGAGCAGACAATCTTGGTGCACAAGGGGGAACTAATGCTCAGACTCGATATGGAAAGTCTGTGTTGCTTCGATGCTAAAGGCTTCCAGCCTAGCCCTCCTCACCGACATATACAAGTTAGACAATCACAGGATGATGAAGCCCAGGATACTTCTGGCAGGTCTGTGAAGCAGACCATGCGGATCAGTATTACTCCAGCCTAAAATTGCGCCCTAAGAATCCGTGTCTTGCTTGTCCCGTGTTTCGTAACATAGTAGCATATGGGAATAACCCAAGTATTTCAATCAGAAGCCAGTTGAATATCTAACAATCTGTAGTGCTTGCGTCCATACGCGATCCAGAACGTTATAGCATAAAGAATTGCAAATACCACCATGACCGAGACGTAGTTCATGGTATCTGCGGCAATGGGCAAGAAATAGGGGAAGCTGTATATAATAAGTGTCAATAGGGTCCATAGGATGACAATCACGTTCGCCACGGGCCCGAATTTTGGCCAGAAAAAAGGCCCACGAATGAGATTTTTGCGACCATGGAGAAGTAGTAGCGCTGCTGGTGTGGCATAAGTAATGTACTGAAGGAGGACACCTCCAGAGACGAAGGCGTTGAAAGCCGTCAGAGATCCAAGGTAGAGGAAACCGCAAAGACCGACCCAACAGACTCCCCAGAGAGTCGCCCACAGGGGAGTTAAAAAGGGGTCGGGCGCCAGTCTGCTCATGTAGGAGTGGAACGGGGTGCCCTGGTCGCGACTTAGAGACCAGGTAATGCGCGCCTGCCATGCGTGCGCGCTGGCCAGCGCATTGACAAGACAGAAGAGCATGGATATACCAAGCACGTAAGCGCAGGTAGGATTGTTGTTGAAGACAGCGTTGAGAAGTGCAATGATGTCGGTAGTCCCTTGGAGATCAAATGCCGCGAAGTAGATGGCAAGGGACATCATTATCCCAACCAGAAGCCCCATCCCCGTGACGCACAGCAAAGCAATGGGGATGTTCTTGCGAGGGTGCTGAATCTCCTCGGCTAGGTGGGTTGCCGCATCGAGACAGGAGAAGCCCCAGTTGACACCGTTCATGCCGATCAGGAAGGCAACGCCATTGGGCCATCCTGATAGATTGAAGTACTCACGAGCTCCAAAGACCACAGCCGCAGACTGCTTGGGACTTGACGGTGCTAATAGGGCGATAAATAGCGCCGACGTGACGACAATGACAAACATCAAGAAGCCCTTGGACAGCTTCGGAAGCACATACTCGTAGACTGTGAGAGAGGCAGCCAGGATGTTGTAACCTTCCATAGCCAAGAAGCCCATCCATCTCTGGTATCCGAAATCCGGCCGGCTCAAGAGAACCATTTGGAAGGTAATATTCGCTGATGCTTGTGCGCTCGACGCGCAGATACAGATGACGGCTGCCCAAGACAAGATGGCCGTCATGTAAGAGAAGAATCGACGATACCTCTCCGGAGACAGCTGTGCAGCCCAGAAGTATTGGCCACCGGCGTGAGGATAGGCAGAGACGAGCTCGCCGAGTGTGACGGCAACACAGAAAGTGACCGCGGCGATCAGGAGCGTGGAATAGAAGAACAAGGGTCCTGCGCCGAAGACGGTGTTGCTAATCACAAGCACCATCGATATACCGGTGTTGGTGATGTTGAAGCCTAGGGATAAGGCAGACAATACTGTGAATGGCTTCTTATGCGTTGAAACACGACCAATATTAGTGTCTGTGGTCGGTACTGAGTGAATAGCAGGCTCCTTGTCGGCACGTTGATCTCCAGACATTGCTTGAATCTTGTGCTCGTGGGAGCTTAGTGTAGACATCTTTGCAAGTCGTGATGGAGTGCTTGGTGAGGTGTGAGAGCTTCCACAGTGGCTTCCAACAGGTGCACCTGCTCATGAACACCAAGTGCAATCCTGGTCACAAGAGGTACAAGCTACAAGAGGATGAGACGAAAACCTATCACGGTTATTATATCTCGACTATCCTCTCGACTGCGCGCTTGAGTGTAAATATCCTCAATGTTGTGACTTGATGAGATAGATAAGAAGGGTTTGATTGATTGGCAAGAGCCCAACTCGTAGTTGGTAGCAAAATGATTGAGAGGCAATTATTTGCCTTATTGAGGACTGATACGAAATTGTATTTGTTTGATATCTCTCCAAGAGCACATCTCGAAGTGATAAGTATCCCTGAACCCTATGCCCTAATTACGTGAACTAGCGGCGAGCGCAGACGGCTACCGGGTCCACATATAGGTCCGACCCCACAGTGCCATCACCCCTTCCGTGCGTATAACAAGCTTTATATTTCTTCCCGAATTCGGATGCAAACCGGAATTACTCTTCGAGGCTAGACCTGAATGGTGCACCTAGCCATCCATATTGTTACTGGATTAGGATGCAATGCGGTCCTCAATCCCTCAAAGATTGGTAGGTGACCGATGAGATTTCATCTCAGTTGACGCTCTAGTCGGTCTGGACATTACCATCGCTACTGCTCGTAACACGTATGGCGTACAGACAAATTACGATTTCTGGAACATTACATGATCCTAACCCTGGCACTCTAGACGAGTACTCCGGAATCATAGTTAGGCCGATGTCCATACTAGTGAGATGGATATACACGCTCCGCAGTCTTACTGAGACGCTGCAGCAGAAACTCTGCCGCCTCGGCCAAACCTATATATTCCATGAATTCATTATGGAATTAAGCCGCATTGTCCTTTCCCAACGAACTAGAACCGTCCCCATCTTCAAACGTCGCGATGGCCTCACCCAAAGATAGCCCACGCATGAATGGATGGGTGGGTTCTCTGCCTCTGCAAGGCAAAGTGGTATGTGTTTTCGAATCAAGGTGTTTTCAACAAAATCTAACGTTTTCATAAGATTGCTATCACTGGAGCTGCGTCGGGTATGGGAGCTTGTGTCGCCCAGGTACTCGCGAGTCGGGGCGCAGTCGTGTCCCTGGCGGACCTGAACGAAGTGGGCCTTCGAAAGACTCTTGACTCGCTTCCCGGCGATAAAAGTCATATCTATACTATCGTTGACGTACGCGATGCGGCCGCCATCGACAGCTGGATTCAACGCACAGTCAAAGAATTGGGTCGGTTGGATGGCGCGGCCAATTTCGCTGGAGTCCTTGCCTGGAAACATCTGAACAAGGTCCAGGATGAAACCGAGGCAAACTGGGACTTTCACATGGACGTAAACGCAAAGGGGGTGTTCTTGTCTATGGGAGCCGAGGTGCGACACATGACTCCTGGTGGGAGTATTGTGAGTCGAAGTCTTCAATTTCCCCTTATCCATATCTCCCTCGTACTGATGTTGAAACACTGGACAGGTGAACGCTTCTAGCGCTGCAGGTCTGATGGGCTTTGCGACCATGGGACCCTACGTTGCCAGCAAGCACGCCGTGATCGGCATGACGAAGAGCGCCGCCAAGGAAAACCCACACATTAGATTCAATTGCGTCGCTCCAGGTACGTTGACCAAGGATGTTATCATTGCCGAGTCAAATTCGTTTCCCTAATATATGAGTTCCAGGGGCAATTGAAACGGCCATGATGCCCGCAGACGAAAACATCAGGGCGGCCGAGATAAGTGGTCAGATATTGAAGCGGATTGCAGACCCAATCGAAGTAGCCAACATCGTGGCATTCCTGCTTAGTGATGAGGCGTCGTTCGTCACTGGTTCTGTCTACGCGGCTGATGGAGGTTGGACGGCATGAGCTCGGGAGAACCTCCCATCTTGAGACGTGTGCAACATCGATGTGCCGGTCAAGATACTTCCTCGACCTGGCTTGGAAAATATTGAGAGCTTTTGTAGGCAAAGTACCATGTATAGTGCGTGCCAGATAGCTCCCACATTTCATACCAGGGAAAAGTTCCATCCTTTCAGAAGCATTAACTCCAGATAAGAAATCTTGATCCCACGGTCACGTACAGACCAAATTTCCTCGAGGAGATTCTGGGCTCGCATCAGTGTTATGGTCTGACACTGGAAGCGGACGGACGATAATGCCTGTCTGACGTTCTCTCTCAGCGCTTGATCATCCATCGTCAGCTCGGCTCCCGCGGTCAACAGAGGGATAGTCAGGTTGTTCCAAAACGGAGTTCCAATCTGACAATTTAACACTGTGGAGAGGATCGTGATGGCGTATTGGCGTATTTGGGTTGTTAAGGCTGTGCTCGGCCCCGCTCCCTCATCGAAGTCGGCCGATCGCATGTGACAGACGCGATGGAAGATGATGAGGCCGTGTTTTTGAAAGGCTTCAGCGAAGATTACGTCTTCGTCCAGGACTCGCATTGGGTTCCAATCGCTCAATGCTCTTTCCAGCGTCTTTTCGTGTTCCGCATCGCGGACGCCTCCTCGAAGGACGTGCATGCAATAACGCAGAAGAAGTCCAAGCAAATGGTAAATCTCCACCATGCATCCTGCGAAACGCGAGGGGAGTGGCTGGGTTTCACGACCGATAATGGACAAAACCTTTGAAGTGCTCAAAGGAGGCAATTCCTGCGGATCGATGCAGAAGGAGCAAGCCATGTCCCACCAGGTATAGTAAGCGAGAATCTGTCCGATCTTCGAACTACGCTCCGACTCGTCTTGTTGAAGAAGAAGACCAGTGATCGCGCGCGCACCAATAAGATGCTCTTTCCCGTAATCATCGATATTCCCCATAAAGGGTGTGGTGACGCCAACGAGCAGGACGGTGAAGAAGACGGTTTCCAAAGGTACGGCTTTCGATGCCAGTTCGGCTCGGCAGAGACTCAAGGCCAGGCCTCGCTTTTCGAGAAATTCCACCCTAGAGTTGGGACCCCAAAGGCCTTTATGACCGGCGCTGAAACTCTCTATAGCAAAACGAAGAGCAGGAGAGATTGCGAGATGTTCAACGATCGGGAAAGACAGAGGGTTAGAATGAGGATCCAGAACGAATAGCTTGCAGGTTGAATCCAGCCACCATTGCAAAAGATTCGCATCGACGGCCAGGGAGCTAGATGGCGCAGGAACAGTGGTCTTTTTTCGAAACTCTGGTGTTTCCAGACGCCAAAGGGGTGGCCTGATGGATATGTTGCAAGGGAGCCTGTGTCGCTGACACCTCCCGCATCTCGGAAATGTCTCGTCGCATTTTACCCTCTTTTTTTTGCATTCTTGGCACCCGTACCGACTCTTTCGATGGATGTGCGCGGAAATGAAAGCTTGATGCGAGGCCGCATCAACGTGGAGGTTCGGATCGACCGAACGGGCGTTCTTGGAAAACCGTACACGAAACACTCGAGGCATGTCTTGAAGGCAAAACCAATTCAGAATCCTCAATCACGAGGCTGTTATTAGGCTCTCGTGGTATATGCGGACGTGGATGATGCAACTGTTCCAGCAAACTACTGTACGGAGTGCGCGAGCAGGACGGGTGAGAACGTCGTCAAGCTGTTGATTGCGGAGGCGGCACCCAAGTATATCTACACCACCGACAAGGTGCTTAGCCGGATAATTAGGTCGGGGCGCCGCTATGCCACTATCAACACACTCGATTGGTTAAGGCCCTGGTCAACCTCCGGTCCTGTACGTCAATTCAAACAAGCACCCTATTGTATGTGCAGTTCGTGTGGCTCTGCATTTCCAGTATCGGTGGCCCAATATCTGGAATCCTTTCGATCTCTTTGGTTTTTGTGTCTGGGTTGAATCTAAGTTGAACTTTACCTCTACCGCGCTCGGCCGCTATCCGCCTCCGTTTCGGATTTCCACGACGAACAAAGGTCGCGAGCGGCATTTTTGAAGATAGTGTTCTCCTTTCCCGCTTGCTCGCATCCGTCGCATACTCGCTAAGTCTGCTTGGGTCCCTTTCGGTCGGGGAACTCCAAAGCAGAGATTCTCCGTCTTGCGTGCTGTATTTGTACTTCTGATATTGACATCCAACACTTGATTTGCTGTCCAGAAAATTAGAAGTTATATACGGTTTAATCGCGAACCACACACTTCATCCATATTATTCGACAAACTGTCTTGGATTGCCCCCCCTCAAGTCACTATCATGTCTCCAGGTGAAAAAGTCTCGACCAAACCACGCGTCGTGGCCCTGGGAGACCCGAAGTATGTCGGTGCAGACTTCCTCGAAGAATTCCGCAAAGATTTCGACTTTGAGGTCCTGGACGCTACCAACCGGCAGCAAACGAAGGAGATGCTCCCGGCGCTTGTTGCTGAGAGGCCTGTAGACGCATTCATCATTCGAATGGGGACTCCGCCGTACGAGCCCTTTGACGAAGATCTGCTCAAAGATCTGCTGCCCGGGTGCAAGATCATCACCTCTGCATCTGCTGGATTTGTAAGTCGCCCCCGTTTTTTTCTTTCTCTCTTCCAGTGGCATCATCATCACCCTCCTCCTCGTCGTCGTCGTCATCGCCATCACCATGATAGAAACGACCCCGACCCCGACCCCGATCCGACACCCCCCTTTTTCCTGCCGTTGTCATGATATCACGTCCAGACACAGGCAAGGGAATACCGAGCTTTCTGATGATCAGAAGAGCAGCACACTGACCTGGAACCATGAGTGATTTTTTGTTATAAAAAGAACGAATTCGACGTGGACTGGATGACATCCCAGAACGTCTGGTTCTGCAACACGATCAACGCCGTCGCCGAAGCCACGGCCGACATGGCCATGTTCCTCGTCCTCGCGGTGCTTCGAGACACGACGCGCGGCGAGAGACAAGCGCGCGACGGCACGTGGAAAGCCAACATCGTGCCGGCACGCGACCCGACGAACCTGACGCTCGGCATCGTCGGCGCCGGAGCGATCGGCAAGCACCTCGCGCGCAAGGCGGCCGCGTTCAACATGAAGACGGTCTACCACAACCGCAGACGACTCCCCAGGGACGAGGAGGAAAGGCACGGGTTGTCGACGTACTACGCGACGCTCAACGAGCTGCTGGCGGCGTCGGACGTCGTGTCCATCAGCTGCCCCTTGAACAAGCAGACCGAGAACCTGATTTCCACGGCCCAGTTCGCCGCCATGAAGGACGGGGGTTTCCTGGTCAACACGGCGCGGGGGCCCGTCGTGGACGAGGACGCGCTGATCGACGCCCTCGAGTCCGGCAAAGTGACACGCGCCGGCCTGGACGTGTTCGCCAACGAGCCTCGCATCAACGACTACTTCCGCACGAGCGACAAGGTCGTCCTGCAGCCCCACATGGGCGGGCTGACGGATCTGGCGTTCCAAAAGTCCGAGAGGGAGTGTTTCGAGAACATCAGGTCGTTGTTCAAGACGGGGAGGCCGGTCGCGCCGGTGAATGAGGTCAAGCAGGAACCGGCGGCCATGCCGTGATTCCATACATCGTCGGGTTTCAGGGGCGGGTGACCAGCGACCAGCGAGTAGCCGTGGAACCGCCGTACGCGTTTGTGCCTGCTGATCGACGAGACGTGAGAAGAAGCACCAAGACGACAGATAGATACAAGTCATGGTTGACCACGTGAGTAAGGGCGATGAAGACTTGTAAATACTCTGTTTTCGTTTGGCGGAACCTGAGATAGAGAGAGTATATATATAGATGCCAGGTTGCCAGTGGGGAGAGGACGCTGCGGACGAGACGGCATGGTTAAAATGGTGTAATGAGAGACACCAGAGGAAGAGCCAAGATGAGGAAGAGCCAAGATGAGGAAGAGCCAAGATGAGGAAGAGCCAAGATGAGGAAGACCAAAAATACATGCCGGGACCAAGTGGAAGTGTATTTGTAGCCTTTATCGCATTGTGACACACTGACCGTCTCTATGCCGTAACATGTTACACACGCTTCAGCATTAAGATTGCTCAACAGTACATCACCGTCTTGTGATGTGGCCTTCGTAGATACCTCGATGGCGTCAAAAGGAAGTATTATCAACGACGAGACAAGTTAACAAAAGGTAGCTGTCAAGATTACTTGCATGTGTCTTGACGCCTCCCCTTTCTCTTTGACGTGACTCAGCCTGTAGCTTGCACAAATTTACAGTATGCAGACCTACAAATTTGCTCCCTGTACCAGCTTGAGCTCTCGAGGACTCGACATCTTCGTCCTCTGCAGCGCTCTGTGCCCTCCGCTCCCCTCCATCAGCTCATTAATCACCTGTTCTCCCCTTTCGGGTCTCGTACGCCACCGCCAACTCTGAACGAGCTGCCTCTCTAGGCCCTTTCCCTCGACGATGTCCGCGATCCACTCACCAATATTGGGGAGGAACTTGAACGCATGCCCACTACCCCCGGTGGCGACCATCACGTTCTCATAGCCGGGAACATAGTCGACGACGAAATGATTGTCCCACGAGTCCGTGTACCAGCAGAGTCTCGTCATGGCGATATCAACCTCACTGGCAGGCAAGTCAGGTAGGAAATCGTCGATGAAGCGTTTTAGCACCCTCATTGCCTGCGCAGGAATTTGGTCCGTAACGGCTTCGGGGCAGGTGTAACGCGTGATGGGAACGCTGCGCTCTAAACCGTCGACCTGCACACGCGGGTTCGTGTACTTCGTGCCCCGGTAGCCGATCTTCATGAATCCGTCGGCCGTGGCGGGGAAGCCGTACAGCCCGCCGTCGGCTCCATCGCGCATCTTGTACTGCCACGACGGAAACCTGTCGGCGGCGTATCTCTGAGTCAGAGCCGGAGGCAGTTTCATCATCACCACAGACCCGGCGGTCGTTTCGCACACCGAGTCTAACGAGGGAAGCAGCGAGGGTGTCCATCCGCCACATGCTAAGATGACGCGGGCTGCATGATGGTGTTTGCCGTCTAGTGTGCGTATGCCCATGACTTTTCCCGCCTTGGATCGGAGGAAGGATTCGAATAGGCCGGAGCGCGCGCCGAAAATCGTGCGTACACCCAACCTCTCCGCCTTGTGAAGAGCAAATGAGCATGCTTTGTCCGCAAGGATGGTACCGCCCGTCGTGTCGAGAACGCCGAGGTGGCTTTGTCCTCGTGATTGTCGGTTGAAAGGATCGATGGCGAATCCAAAACCTCTGTCGTGGGCGATCTGGACATGTCTCGCGTCGGAAGTGATGAGTTGAGAGTCTGGGTGTCCTGCCTCTTGCATGCTCCGTACCGTGGCTAACTCAAAGTCTGGAACCACCGGTTTGTCCGTCAAACTAAGGTTGCCATTGTTGATGAAGACTTTGTCGTCTTTGGTCATCCCCGCCGGTACGGCGTCGCCATCAGAAGCAAGCTCGGCATTCCATTTTTGCCATGCATCAAACGCTTCCAGCGACAGAGCCTGGTACTCGGCCTGAGCTCCGTACGCGGAGCGGAAGATCTTGTTTATGTCGGCCGAGGCGGCGTCGCATCCTTTAAAATACGAGTAGCGGCTCTCATGATATGGCTGTTTGTCGAAGATGGTGATGTTCTTGAAGCCTCGTTGAGCGAGATGTACTGCCGTACTGAGCCCAAATACGCCAGCACCAATGACGATGATTGATGCATTCTTGTCCTTGAGTGGTGGAGGTGCCCCGTGCTTCACTGAATCACTCGGCATCTTGAGTCCGGCTGCCGCGTCCTGGTGTACCAGTAGGAGGACTTGTCAAAAGTAATCACCTACTCAGACGGCAAGTAAGTAAGCTGGCTGAAATAGGTGCTTTTGCTTGAGGATTCTTGAAGCAGTGATGACCTGGGCGTGCGTCCGTGCGAGCGTTTCTCTATAGTTTAGTCGGTATCTCATCTCTTCCTTTAAGATTAGCAAACTGCCGACATGATTCGAGATGGACTGATTATTCTGACCTCGATTTCGAGATATTGCTTGTTGGGCCAGGCATGAGAAGCGACACCAAGCCATGCCGGCTTAGATGATTTGGATATCTCCGCCGGCGGTGATCATCGATAGCGCTTGCACTAAGATGATAACACCCTTTGGCAGACAGCATTGTCGAGCCTCCGGTCAATCTGAGAGGCCACTTTCGCGCCGATGTTTGGAGGATCCTTAAATCGTGGCCACAGACGGCTGATAAGGGCCGGCAGGGTGCACACGGAGAATATGGTCTATTCACTTTCAGAATGCTGCTGGTGGTGACTCTGGCGAGACGAGCCACTGCAGACACCGCCACGTAGTCAAGTCACCGCCACACATCCAGCCCCTGAATCTTCCCCCAGACCCCTGGCGCACCAAACGACCTAGACGTCTATGGGGTCCTACACTCGACTCGGACAAAAGAAAGATGACAACAAAGCACTGTTGGATGGATATTCGGATTGTTACCCTAAGAGAATATTTCGATGTTATACAGTATTCAACAACAGAATCATCATGGGCCTCATCGTCATCATCATCATCATCATAAACAACGCCCAATTCACTCGTATAGTACAACCATATTCGCGCTCACTCCATGTCTGAATCAGTACCATCGATACAACGTAGCTTGACTTCGCTCGCTCGACCAACACAAGAAACGCAAGACTTCGAAAATAACTCATCGCTCATCGCAATTCTCATTTCAAGTTTCCTTTTTGGCTGGCAAAGGGGCTCCTGAGCCACTTCTCCATGACGATGACCGATGCCGATTTGTTGAGTCTGTCGCTTCTCAAACATAAGCAATTGGAGCTCTCCCTCCTTCGTAGTTTGGGCGGTGAAACCGATCTTGGAGATTGATTATGCCGGGGGATGATATGCTGAAAGGCAACAGGTGAGCTAGGGTCAGGACCTTCCAGCTCCGAGTCAATTGTCCGTCTACGCTCGTTGGCTGATATGAAGCTTGATGGGAGGGAGCGCGAGGACCTCTTGGACATTGCTTCGGTGCTTCGCCCACTCATTCGGCTACACTGGTCTGTCGGTTCAGGGCAAGTCGTCGTTAGCTGCTCGTTGGGCAAAGGTGGAAGAGCTTTGTCAAATAACAGTGTTGTCTTGTCTGGTGTACCATGCGTGATCTTCGTGGGACTGCAGCATTTTACATCTCTAGCACCATCATCCGCTGTTGCTGGTCGAGGGATTGATGGGACAGCGTCATCTGAACTATCCTGTGTCCTGGTAGATGCTTTTCGACTTGAAGTGAAGCGGTCTGCCGTACGAAGGTCGGCAAGACTCTTTCGAATACGTGCAATGGCTGTCGGCAGGCGATGTGTGTGCTCAGCATCCTCATCGTCCCAGTCGATGTACGATATTTCTGGGGCACTAGGTGCGACGTGGCGTGGTTGTGTGCTCGGGGCAATGGCGCCAGCGTAACCACCAGTCCAAGGATTGACATAGAAGGCTTCGTAAGGTGGAAAATCGTCAGTTGCTAGTTTAGCACTCCGATTACCACTGGTTCGTGGAGGTGTGTAGAAAGGATCGAGCATCTCGTTGTCTTCTAACCCAATTGTTGATGTCTTGGCCAAACAGAGACCATGTACCACGGAACTCCTGGTGGCCTGATCCGGCGAAGACGATGTGACTTCCCGGGAAGATCGAGAACATGTAGAGATCTGAGAGAAAGTCAAAGATGGGACCGGGGTCGCTGGTCTATTCAGAGGAGTGCTGAATTGAGCTAGAAGACGAGTAGGATGTAGTTCGGGAAGAGGTGAGCTTGCCTCACGACTCGGATGCAGATCTTGATCCCAGACGCCCGAGTCTTGCACAATGGTAACGGATGTACCCTGTTTCGACTCCACAGTACCGCTTACGCTTTGTATGGTAGCGTCTGACACTGTCTCTGATGGCCAAAGTTTGAACATTTCCTCTAGCAGGAGAGGAGATGAGGGTACAGAAGGCAGTGCGAAAGACCTTCTGTTCGATAAACCGAGAACGGCTGAACAGGCAGAAGAATCATGCGACATGGACTGGTCTAGCTGTTCAGAGTTTCGAGATTCGGACCGTTTCGTGTCTCCTCCTTGTGATGCCCGGCGAGCCCTCCGGAGAGCCGGTGACAAAAGATGGCGCATCTTGGATAAGTGCTTTCGAGGCAAAACAGTCGCGGCGTAGTACTGCAGGCAGGCAAAAGGGAAGAAATTGCTTGAGATGTAATGGGGACTTGGGGAGGTGCAACAACTGATTAAGTATCGTTCAAAGGTAGCCAGTGTTACAATTTCAATTTCGGAAGACGAGTGGAAATTGTTTCGCAGGGAAGCAGCTTTAGGAGTATATGAAATAATCCAAAGCGTAGTCCGAAGGGAAATCATCTCAGGTGGCTTTTCATTGCACCCGATTGCTACCACGGAATCGATATCGTACTCCCATGTTCCAGCTTGTCAAGGACTATGCATGTCCAGGGATCGACTGTAGACTGCATTTGAAATTTCTACGGGGCTGAGATGACGCTTCCAATTCGTTTGCTGGGGTTGATCAAGGCAACAAAGGGCAAACTCTTCGTCAAACTGCTGGCGGGTGTAAGAAGACCCGGTCGCATGGGACAAAACATGTTGAAGCTTGCCTCGACCAATTCCCAAGTACCAATAGTAATGGAAAGGGTTCAGGTCTAGTGCAAGGAGAATACCTATGGTGCCGTTTTTGACAGCTGCGATGCATAGGAAAACGAGGCGCAAGACAGATTGCAACCTGTAAGCGTGTCGAAAGTGCATGCTTTGCGGATGTCAAAAGATAGTCGCAATCCCCTAGCCTGGTACTGTACGTGAAGCAATCAGCGTACTTCGGAACTGAAAGAGGAGCATCCGCGGCTCCGGCATTGATGGCAACAGTCCATTGTCCGGTTGACTGCCGAACTAGGCCATGCGCCTCTTCCGTATCCGTCGTATCCCTATAGGAGATGGCAATAGCCATCAAGATCGAGGCTTGAGAAAGGGCTTGTCAAAAAAGAGTTGCCATTCGCCGTTGGGAATCTGACCGAAGCCACTGTACAACTTCGCGGGATGTCAGTTTCGGGACATGGTTAATCTCAGGCGTCAGAAAGGCGTATGCACGTCGACGATCCCGTCACGCACTCCATGAGCAGCACGTCCATTTTTGGAGGGAATCTAAGTTGACAGCTGACAGTTGCAGACAGGAATAAGGAGCGGGCTGCATTACAGAGGATTCTTGAGTTCAACCCTTGCATAACGGATCGATTCCGGTTTGCAAAGCGAGCGCTATTAGAGACGCAGGGGACGAATATCCCTGGTATCCCTGTTCGGCTGAGCTATCGCACTGATAGTCAGGTTGCCACCGTCCGAAACGCGAGAGCAAACCTGCTTGCAGTTGGTACTCAGCCACAGTAACTGAGCCAGAGGGCGAGAGAGCCTGGCGATCCTTGCAACGGCATCCACGGAGCGGCGCGGTGGGATCTGCGCCAGGGGATCCAGACAAGGCCCCGGGGGTTTGTTGGAGCTGCCGATTCGCAAGACTCTGAAAGGCCTTGAGCCAATGCGACGGCCATTTCTCGATGTGCAAACCGTGAGCTGCAGCTTGAAGGGGCCAGCTGCCTGGTCCTGGTGCCTGGTCGATAACAAGATGGTGTGAAGGAAGAAGCGAACCTGCGTGGGAGATTCAAATCTCTGTTTTGTACACGCCTTGTAGCCGACACCTGGAATCTCAATTAGACATACGGACAATACAGTGTGTTCGGTGATCACCATAGCTATTTCCACGAACTCGGTAGCGATGGAACTAGCAGGGGTGTGTCCCAAGAGTCAGGCGTCGATAGCTGATGCCAGCTCATCGCCCGCCAGCGGTGTGAGCGGCCAATGCCAGCCTCCTCGATATTCGCAGCGCAACCGCGAAACAAACACAAACCTGTGCAGGCGATGAGATGCGAAGTCGGCCATGGCAACTGGCTTGACGGACAAGATTCTCGTCTCGACCGTTAACTGTCCTTCAGGTGCCTTCTGCCCGTCATCGTGGCCGCTGTCGTCTGGTCTGTGACGGCGCATCGCGTCCCTCCCGAGGCTGCGCCCGTGATATCGAACTGGTGAAATCGCACCACTACGCACATATAGAGAGTCTACACGTCAAATATCCCTGATAGCCCTGTCCTACTGCTTGCCTTGCAGCTTTGACATTATCGAAGCTCTCCGCAAAGTGGCCTGTGCCAGAGATCGGAGCTGCGACGACAGCTTCCACGATCGTTCTGCCGCACCCACCACTCTGTGAACCTGTCCGCCTTCTCAACACCACAAACCCGCCTGAAGCTGAGTTCATGTGATTTGGCCGGCAGAATCATTTTCATGCATCAACTCAAACACTCCAGATTCTTCAGAGGTGTGCCGACACGGGTGCGTCGCGTCAGCAGTCGCGGGTTCTCTAGCGAAAACCAACCTCCGTGATTTTTGACCACCGCCGCAGGCATTGGACCAGCCACACACTAATTCCAACAAACCTTCATCCTGACCAAGGTCAATGTTACTGTCCAAGGCTCCCAATATTCTAACTGACCTCTGCTCAGCCTTTCTGTACTGCTAGCATTTGCGCGACCCGTCTCACATCTTGGAACCTCAAGATCTTCACACCGACCAACCTGCGCTGCCAGGCGCATTTACCACATTGTCCAACGACCCTCCACCTCCTCCTCCTCCACAACCGACAGTCGAAGTGCCTCGGTCCGGACCTTCTCATCTTGACGACCTTTACGAGTATTACGACCCTGAACGAAAACCCTCACCCCAACGCCAGCAACACATATCTACACCTGTATCCCAAAGACCACCTCTATCCTCACCCTCTAGTGGTATCCGGTCGTTGAGAAGAACCCCGAGGTTGCAAGAGCGCAGAATTGAACAAGCCGAAGGCGTAGGATACTCTCCTACTCCGCGCCCAGACGCCCGCCTTGCCACCCAGTTGAGTGGTTTTGACGTGTCCGAGTCTACAAGCCCTCAAGACTTCCAGCGATTGGTAGAGGACGAGTCATATTGGCCTAGAAGGTCAACGCGTGTCTCTCGACATACCCACAACGCTATCCTATTTGCTTTGGAAGCCATAAGAAAAGGAAGCGGTGTAAATGCAAAGCCATTGACTCCAGATCTGCTTGAGGAACAGGCTCGAATGTCAGATCTGGTAAGGGGCAATGCGCCCGGTGCCACTGCAAGAGTACAGAATGGGGGAGCACCACGAACGGCTGCAGCCGCCGGCACTGGGCCGACCGCAACGGAACCACCTCGATACCGGACTCCCACTGATGTTATGCGAGAGAGGAGGTTGCGGGAAGCTCGCAGAGCCGAAGAGGCAGCAGCCAGGAACATCCAAGAGGAACAGAGAAGGATACAACAGGGAGGACAGGTTGTTGGCGTTGGGGAAGATCAAACACCACGACCAACTGCGAGAACATCAACGGGCAGAACGCAGCCCACGCAGACCTTTCACATACGCGGTCAGTCTGCGCAAATGCCAGCTGGCTCTGATCGGCGGCAAGAGAGCATCGTCCCAGCTCAGGCTGGCCCGTCACGCGCCGGCCTTGTCCCTAGCCAAAGTGGTGGAACAGACCCCCGGCTTTCAGCAAGCACGCAACGAAATCGCACAGAAGCATATGAGCAATTGAACCTTCCCGCAACTTCTAGACCAGCAGTACCTGAACAGACACCACGGATTGCACAACAACCGCAGCAGCCGCCATCAGCAAGACCTCAGCCTCCATTACAGCCGGTACTGCAAGCTGGGCCACAACAAGGACCCCTACCAGGACCACAACCAGGACCCCAGCCCAGCACGCAAACGTCTGGGACGGCTGGTCGCAGTCGTTTCCCCAATGCATTTGAACGGTGGGAGGATCTCTCTGCCCACTGGGAGGGCATTGTATCATCCTTCATTCACCGCATGCAAAACAATGCCGATGAACTAGCTGGCAAACCATTAGAGAAACAGATGGCTCGGCAAATTGATGACTTGTCCGCTGCGGGAGCTAATCTGTTTCACGCAGTGGTAGAATTGCAACGTCTAAGAGCGTCCTCGGAGCGAAAATTCCAACGGTGGTTCTTCGAGACACGTCAAGAACAGGAACAAGCTCAAGAACGGCAGGCGGAACTGGAACGGCAGCTTCGTGCCGAAAGGGAAGCTCGGACCGTGAGCTCCACGTCCATTGAAGTGGTCCGTGCAGATAGGAATCGAGCTGAAGAACTTGTCAAGGAGATGCGAAGAGAGCTGCAAATCAGCAAAGAAGAAGCTAGACGAGCCTGGGAGGAGCTGGGTCGAAGAGAACAGGAAGAGCGCGAAAGAACCATTGCTTTGAGAAGTGGCGAGCCCACACTCATAGGGGGCGTGCAGGTCGTCCCCATGCAAGGACTATCCAATCGACAAATCAGCTCGGCTTACCGGCCGCAGACAAGGGAAGGACCTGCTGGTGGTGCTGGGCCTACGATTCTGTCGGGTCAGCAGCGCTCTGCTGCTCAACGGCCACGATCCCAGAGCCAGACAACAGGAACGTCTTTGGACTCTCCCGGTGAAGAAACCAGACAGTTCACTTTCCAACCTGAGACAGGAGGTTCTCCGACGGTGACGGACCCGTTTACAGAATCCTCCCGTCAGCGTGAAGCAATACAGACAGGCCCTGAACCTGAGACCCAGTTCTACACTACCCCGCCTCGGCCAACAATGCCTCAGACCAGCGCTGCAGCTATCGCCGCTAGTCGTGCTGCCACAAGTGCGGCTCAGGAGCTGCGTTACAGCCAGAGTCCCGCCACAAACTCTCAGATGTCCGGTGCTTTGCCTGCACCAACACGCCGAGGCACGGGCGGTACGGAGCAATCATACATTGCGTCGACCATGTCCGGAGCGTCGGAAGACGAATACACGCGTGATCCACAGGGCCATTCTATACCCTACCGCCAGCCTATCGGTCCATCTGGACTTCGGGCCGAGCTGAGCGATGATGATGGCGGAGAAGGTGATTATTCCGATGAAGACGACGATGACCACACCGCCGATATTGAGCGTGAGAGGATGTATGCGGCACAATACCGTCCTCAACAAGCCCAGCAGCAACAGGTCCAAATTCCACGAACAACTTCTGGTCCCTTACCCGCTATCCCGCAAGGCCGCATGCCAGAGTATGAGGGTGAAGGGTACGAAACCGAGGCCCCGCCGATCGTTACACAAGCTCAAACGGGATGGGAGGAGCTTCAGGCCACCAGACATCGACATCCCACCAGGTTGAGCGACATCATTGAAGAGACGACTCAGCGCACGAGTCCGAGCAGGACAAGCTATGTTTCCGGCAGCGGTCCTCTACCCGGCCAGAGCGAAGGTGGCAGCGGCCCTGGCAACATGGCCTCGCGACGGTAATGGTGAAGAAGTGCACACGCCCATGCTCTGAGCCGAAGTTCTGGTTTCCTCTACGATGCCATGTCTTGGCGAAACTCGCTCGCCAAAGATGCCATTTCGGAGAGTCCTGTTGTTCCTGTCAGGGGCAGATAACAGTGCTCGTTGGGATCCTGACAGACTAGGCAAAGATGACCTATCCCTTTCAGAATGCGAAGACCTCCTGACCATGTCTTGGTTAAGCCCCTGACGTGACTATTGTCTGCTCCTCCAAGTCACGGGAAATTTCAGCATCACATTCTGCCCACTGGATGGCCAAAGGTGTCACCAAAATCCCTTTCTTCCTGTTTGTTCTTCACACCGCGACACCGCAAGCGAGAGACTCGCGCGGAACACTACCCAGTGGATAGTTTGCCCAAACCACCCTCCCCGTTTGTACAAAGCTTCTCTCTGTCGTGTACTTTTCAAAAAGCTCCGGTGGCCGTCCCTTCATCCGTGTTGCGTGGCGTTTTCCATGCACAAAAAGGAAAAAAAAAAACGAAACCGAAATAATCAGGACCTAGGTCAGCCGCCAGATCCGAAAGATGGTCACTTTCGAATTTCCAAAGAAAAAAAAACACCAATGACTGATCACCCGTGATCTTGGGCTGTGATTGGCAACTCTGTCCAGCGAGATTACGGTCACGGTGAAGTTACAGCACAGTCATGGCTCTATTTTCCCAATCTTGTCGGTCCACATGGGGGTGTTGTTGTGTGTATTAGAGTTGAACATAGCAAGCGATGGCGCACAATGGGTTTGCTGAGTTACACCTGCAAGACGTGCCTTTTGACAACACTGGGGGTGTTGTTCTAATCTTTTCCTTCTCCCCCACCAAAATGGGATGCTGGCAGGGGAAACACTGGCACGTGTAGCATTTCTTGCTTCTAGGATACTGTGTGAATCGATCAATATTAATTCCCTTTGTGTATCACTCTACGTCTACGTCTACGGAGGATGGTCCTGTGTCTGAGTGTGATTCTTTGTTTTTCTTCGTTTGTGTCTCTGCAAATCTGCCATTCGTCTGTCTCGCCAATCTGTGTTTCTGTCTCCCATATCCTGTCAGCTTGACAATGAAGCACAAGTAGAAATCAGGTATCAAAAAGACAGTGCCTTCGTGGAAAAGGAAAGACGCATGAGCTGGACTCCGTAACCAGGCCTCCTGCCGAAACGAACAAAACTCTTCCCAATTTGTCGTTCTTCGTGTCTCCCAACTCGACAATTGCCTAGCCATTACCAAGAAGGGTGGTGTGTGTGGGAGTATGTGTATGTGACACATGCACTACTTTCCCGCAAGCCTCTCCTTGTGGTAGTACAATGTGGTGTTGCAGTGGTCCAACAGAACAGTTTCCACTTCCATTTATCACCTGCAAATTAGGCGTCAGGTTTCCATCCCTCGGCGTTGTAGTCAATGGCTGGTGGACTATTGCACCAGCAAGTCAAGCTAAATGGGTTGAAGACGGCTGGCTGATTGCCATTGTTGTAACAGAGCATTGCCTTGCAGGCGGCTTCAGTCATGGTCGCAGCGTTGATATCAGGAACTATCAATGCTCTCGTGGAAAGGTCCATCTTCTCATCAGCGCCGTGGAACATGCAACCACAGTAGCCGTCCGTGGTTTGAATGACCTGCATGTGATAGAAAGGACATGGCTGGCCACATTTGATGCCAAAAATTTGGCGTCGCACCGGTTGGACATATTCGATGTTTGTGATGCTGCGCTCTGTGTGTGCGGCAGACAGAGTGACAAGATCCAAGGCCGTGCTCTGAGTCGTGTCCATTTTGTCGATGTCGATCACCTTGTTACTTCCTGTCAGGGAATAGATGCTCCCATCAGAGATTTTCTGTATCCAGTAAGTGATGAAGTTGGGATCGTACATGTTGACAGCGATGCATTGGCAGTCGGCAACCTGGATTTGTGGCTGACCCTCTCCTTGCTTGACGACCTTTGGGACCAGGGCCAGGCTTGGCTCAGGGTCAACACCAATACCGCCACAAGGTAATGAAGCGCTTGCATTCACAATCAGAGTATCTGCAACCATTCCTTTCAGTTGTATGTAGACGCTCAACACGTTGTCCATAAAGTAGGGAATAATCGAGGAAATGGTTGCCGTGTTTTGTGGCTGAATACTAAGTGACTGATTGAGAAGTTCCGGCGTGATGTCTTGCGCAGGCGGAGGTATGAAGGTCGGAATCGCAGTGTGCGCTGGCGTAGAAGCAGTTGGCGATTCTTGTCGCCGACGGAGGTCATAACGCATTGCTTCTTCTGGATATTGTTCATCGAAAATGTCCTTTTGCACAGCCAGGCGACCTTCGTTCTCAAGTTGCTGCAATATGCTCTCCTCTTTGGCAAACCATGCCTCCATTGTGCCGCAGTAACAGTCTTGATCCAACACTGAGTAGAATGGTTCGGTAGCGCTGGGACATTCGAGACCTTCACAAGGATCCGCAAACTGTTCAAGGCACATGTCAGGTTCTCACTTCTCATGTCCTCGATCATCCTTTGCTTACGAGGTTAGTTGGCATGTCCGGGCATTGGCAGGAAAGCAAATAGCCATCGAAGCTCGCGTCGCCGAACAAACAAGGCTTGAGGCTGCATAGCTGTTGTGCCAGATTCAGTGAGCCAATATCATCTGCGAGTTCAGCGAACCATTTTGCAGGTCTTGATGCCACCCCCGCGACGAATGAGAACGCGACAGTGGCAATTATCGCAAGCTGCATCTTGGAAGTTGGCAAGCAAGATGGCCTCAGTAGCAGAGATGATGGTTTGAATGGTGATGCGAATTAGGTTGTACAAGAAATGAGGGAATGATAAGGGAAGTGCCTAGGAGAGATGAGGTGGTGAGAAGAGGAAATTTCACGGTGAGGCAAAGTGAAGCACAGCCCCCGATGCAAAAGTCGCGTATGCCATTGTGTAGTACTTGCCAAATACAAACCGGGGAAGACGTGGCAATCGCGATACCAACGGCGGTCACTGTGCTGTGAATGTGAAGCGACGTGTCGGCGGAGAAAAGCTGCACAAGGCCTCTGCACAAGGCTTCAGCACCCTCCTTCTCGGTTGACAGAGGTGTATATGCATTGCTGTAGTTACAATCTGCGGAATCTGATCGTGTATATATACACGCCCAAGCGCAGTCTGCCATATCAAAGACCATCTATGGAGTACACTCTCTGAGCAACACCAAAGCCAAGTTCGTACTCGTAGTTGAGCCTGTGCGGATACAAGGCTGAACTAGTCCTGTTATGGACCTCAAGGCTGAGCAAGGCTGAGCAAGGCTGAGCAGGGCTGAATGGCCAGAGCTTGGCTCCACAGGCGCAGGGCTCATTCTCCGACCATCAACCTCGGGATCTTCCTTTGACCGCTTCACCAACTGTTTGTTGGCATCAATGCAGCTGACAACCAATCCAAGATTTCTCTCTCAGCATCTTGTTCTTAGTGATGATGTGTTTCACTCTTCCTGTTCCATACTATAAAACCAGTGGCTGGAGTCCACAAATGGCGCCAGCCTGCACCCCAGCCTCCAACAACATCCCAGCCTCATCTCAATTCTAGCATTTCTTATTCTCCAGCGTCTCTTGTCATGCTCCCCTTGTTTTGTCCACTCTCGTCCCCGTGCGTTCTGACTGCTAAACTCTGATTTTGACATTTGCGTGTTGATGCCTTTTGCATACACAACTACTAATGAACTTACCCCAAAACGCCCAACTTCAAACAGTCAAAAGCACAACTCCTCAATATATACGATCTCATTCTCTCAAGTCCTCTGCTGCATCGAATGAATACTTCTCTGACTATGCGACCGACGCAACCAGTCAAAAATCGGACGACTCCAAGGCAAGCTATGAGACGCCGCCATCTAGAGTCTCGACTCCAATCTTACAACAGAACCATCCGGATTCAGAGATGACGCTCCCCTCCAGACCCAGCGCGATCCAGCCCGCACCCTTAAATATCAGACACGAGACGTCAAATGGGCGTTCCACCGTGCGAATGCTCTCGAGCTTTGACGAGATGAGCCCCCCCACTCCTGGGGTCGACGACACACCCTTTATAAGATTCGCAATTGAACAGTTGACAAGAGATGAGGATGTCATGGGACGAGGAAGGCATAGTACCGCATCGCCTTATCAACAGTCTGTTTCACCTATCCTGCCTCGAGCAGAGTCGGTGTCCGATAGTCCTCGAAGCTCCGCCTCATCTACGCCGCCGTCTCCTCCCAAACAACAATCATCCCCTCAGCCTGGGTTTCAGGTCACACGAAAACCATTAGCACAGGAAGTGTTGATTCCTGTTGATCTTTCCAAAGACCTCAGATCTGAGCTCGGGTTTGTCCCGTTTCCTTTGCGATTTCCAGTCCTAGCGCTTTATTTGTGCTTATGCCTGCTGATGATTGCGGGCCTGGTATTCAGCCTGGTGTTTATTTCGAGCAACCATGCGCTCTTTGACTACGACGGAAACGCCACACCTCGATATTTTGTTTTTCAGTACCTTCCTCAACTCCTCGGGATCATAATGATATTGTGGCTCTTCGTCATCGAGGCTGCAGCGTACAGAAGTTTGCCCTTTTTCTGCATGGCGTCAGCTGCTCGAAGCCCTTGGGTACTGCAGAAGATGCGCATGCTTCCGGCCAACTACGTTTTGCCTGATCTGATCTTTTTCCGCACAGGGGAGAAAATGCTGGGAGTGGCATTTTTTATCTTTTGGGCGACGAATTTTACAGTTCCTCTTCTTAGCTGTGCTTACCAAACACAATGGATCACGAACGATGGTCCAGCTCGGTTTCGTTGGACAGCTGTAAGAGGCGTGGGCTGGACGTTGGTTGCGTTATATGGTTTGCTCTGTGTGGCCATTTTGTACTGCATGGTACGCTTCCACCGACGCAAATCCAGTCTGCTCTGGGACCCTACCTCGCTTGCAGATCTGATTTGCCTCTTTCGTCATTCGAATATACTTTCCGATTTCGAACAGACTGAGGTTTCTCCACGGCCAAGCAATCAATTACCGCCTCGAGCGTGTCGCCTAGGTTTCTGGACCACTTCGACAACTCCAGATGTTTTCCATGCTGTTGGTGAGGAGTATGCTCCAATCAAGCGGCTCTCGCTACCGCAACTAAAGCAGACGGAGAAGACTTCGAACAATCTAGGTCCCCAACATGATGCGGTCGATATCGAGGCTCAGCAGCGACTTTCTTATGGTTCAGCCTTCTCTCGGAGCATTCACTCTCCGTTTGTCCGTTACCGCTGGACAATATGGTTCTTGCGAGACTCTGCCGTTTTAGCATGGATTATTGCCTCACTCATACTTGTGATCGCTTTTCTGGTTGTCAGCTTCGTCAACCGAGCGGTCCAGGACGGCTTCGATCCACTGCTGCCTTCCCGGACGGTCTCTGGAGGGTTTTCTGCTGCCGACTTTTTGTACAGCTTCCTCCCTTCGCTTCTGGGAATGTTCCTCTTTTTGGCCTGGCAACCCATCGCCACATATTTTCGAGCTGTTCAGCCATTTTGTAACCTCTCCCAACCCACAGGGGCGGACGCGCGACATTCACTCTTGCTGGCATATCCTGCCCAGGACGCTATTACGGTCATTTTCACTGCCTTGGGCAACAGAGACTACAAGGTCGCTTACATGTGCTTCATCTCTCTACTCGCTTTGTCGATACCGGTCCTGGCGGGAGGGGTATTCACTGCTCAGTTCTTCCCGGCACAAGCACGGGTCAGAATGGTTGCGAGCATGCCTGGGTACATCGCATTGAGTGTACTTGTTACCGTCTATGCACTCTCTTACCTGGTTGTTTGGCCTACGAGAAAACGATATCTACCTCATAATATCACTACGATCGCTGCAATGATGAGCTGGCTGTACGCTAGTCCCTTACTTGCCGACAGCGCGCTGCAGAATGTGCGGACCAAGAAAGAACTGCGTGAACGACTGACAGGATCGTCAGCTTCCACAGTCTTGACCGGTGACCGTTCTGGCGGCGATTTGCAGGATTTGCAGAACTTGGACAGGCGCTCCATGCGTGATACTCGTTCTCAACATGCACCACGTTTCGCGTTCGGCATTTTCACGGGTAGAGACGGCAAGGAGCACCTTGGCATTGATCGATTACAAAGACCAGGCAGCCGGGAGATGCTGGTCGTATCTACTGCTGATTGAAATTGTTCGAAGCGCCTCATCATCAGGGATCTTTACGAGGCGTTCTTCGGTATTTGGCGCATTCACGAGGCACAGGGCTTCTTCCCTCACGATAACGAATTGATCAGAGATACGATTTTTTAATCTGGGACTTCAACCAGCTCATGGAGCATGTGGATCCTTGATACGAGCAGCGCTGATTACTATGACGAAATGGTATAGACATGACTTACGGGATTAATCATGATGTAGGGCCCGCGCCCATGTACAACCACAAAAGAGATGAATCAAGAGATGCTGTGGTATGGAGTACAGAATTTTACTCACGCTCAAAAACGTAATTGATTCTATTTGCCTTAATCTTCTTTGGTATCCTCCGTACTCTGTACTCCGTAACCATCCGACATTGTTTGCCTTTTCTCTTTGCCTCCGTTAGTGATTACCGCTTGCGACATGCTGTCGCTTGTATAGCACGCAAAGCACAGATCACCTAGTTCGTGTCGTCCCACTCAATTCCAAGTTACGTGCAGTAGCCTCCATCGCCAGGGATGGCATTGCTCGAAGCGAAGGCGGAGTTTACTGCGGGAGGGCGCCCTAGGCGTCGCACTGCCTCCAGCCTTTCCAGACTGGAAACTGGCAACTGTGAGATGCAGGGCCAGGGATCCCTGCAACAGAGCCTTAAAGGGAATGAGGCGGCCCATGTGCAGAGACGGCGACATTTCCAGCGGCACTCGGCGGCTTCTCGCGGCTCCCAGCAACGCTTAGGAACATTGAACAGGATGTTAGAGCTACTGAGAAGCCCCCTCGTCCATCCAAAGAGGGAAGTCGAATTTCATCATTTGAATGTATGTCTCTCTCACGAGGTGTGTAATCATCACACAGAATAAAACGTAAACGCAATCATGTTGATAGCCGTGTGTAATAGAATAACATACCCCGAACTGCACGCTAATGTCAATGCGAGGGAACAATTTGCCGTCTGAAGTTTAGAATCTCACATACGATGAATGTTTGATTTCTACAAGCGGAAGTACACCAGAGTTGGAGCTGAGTATGTGTCTGATCCCTCACTCTGTCTGCTCATCACAGAAAAAGGGAAGAAGTAACGCACTCGGACGCATACAACTCACTCACCCTGCCGAAAGAGGAAACGCGACAATGTCAGAATATCGAGTAGCGAAAGGTGCCTGAAATTCTGCCTTGCGCCAGCCACTTCGTCCTCCCACCAACACGACAGCTGCCATCACCACTTGCTGGACTGTACCCTCCATCAACACGTCGCCCCTGTTGTTTGCCCTCTATCAGCAACTATCGTCTCACCTTTCTTCGGCACCGATGATGTTTCATTGGACGTAAAGATCTAACAGGCGGTGACCGGTCGTCAACCCCTTGACTTTCTTCCCGTGTCGACTCAAGATGGCCACTGCGTGACTCCCTCGTATTCAAAGTGTCGGCTTGTCAAGGCGCTGATGATTGCCTTTGGGACACAAAAACCCGTTCTGCAAGGAAGCTTCTTGCTCTTTTCCACAACACGAGCCTCGATCGACCACAAATCTGCATCATGGAGGCTCAAGCCTCTCGTGATCCCTTGTCAGCGTTTAGGCCTTTTCTCGTCGGCACTTGATGGCTCCTGGTTCTATGTACTCGACAATGGCAACTTAGGGACACGCGTTACAGCCAAGAGAATCAGTTGAGCCGCAGGGCTCCCTCGCGAGCTTTGAGGCCGATGAACGAGCCTGTGGAAAAAGCTACATTCATATACTCCGTACTGATGACTTCACAGCCACAGCCCTGAGGCGGTACAACGGTCGACTGCTGCCATGATGCTGTCACCTGCCGGAGAGTTTTTACCTACCACTAGGAAGTTTAACTTCTGCCAAAGGACCTCTCCCTTGGACCATGGACACGAACCCTGCAATCGACGCCTTCCTGTCAAAAGGTGTCATATACCACCCTCCATCAATTGAAGGCTTAATCCTGTGCCTTGCATACATTCGCTACTATAGCATCGTTCTCAGCAAGATTATAGGGCGTTTAGTCACCGCCTCACTTCCGGCAGCAGGCACTGCCTTCCCATCGACCACTGTTCATGCATCTGATCAAGAGGTGCCGGAGCTTTGTGAAAGGTCGGTGTCTCCAGAACGCAGTCCACCCAGGATGACCGAGACAGGGTCTGCAAAATATAGCACGGAGTTACAGCCTGGCTCTATCTTCTCAGGCGCACTCAAAAGTTCTTGATCCTTGCCAACAGAAGTTGCGAACAAGTGCCGTATAACTTATGCTGACATCTCCCATGCGTGTGGTCCAACACTCATATTCAGCCTTGTGTCTTCTGGTAGGATCACCAACCCCAGTTTCTTTATCCTTCCTAGCTATCAGACGTCCATGTGTCTTTTCGAATCATACAAGCACGACGATTGTCATCCTCAGGGACTTCTCTGCTAGGTTTCGAGCACGGGACTGGCTGCCGCGCAAGCCGCCTCTGAGCGACAGCACATAACTTTACTGCCCGCGGTTGTCCTGAGAACTCCGGAGTAGCATACGCGCCTGTCTTTCCGTTGGGCGCAAGGCCCACTACCGAACCCTGCGGCTATCATCTCTGACCAACACTATCGTGGACAGAATCCCGACTCAGACGCAGGAACGATGTGCTTCGACCATCCTGTCATCTATATCTGCCGTCACTGCGAAGGTCGCATACGTGGCGGTGGTTATGTTCGTGTGCTTTGCCCAGATGGCGAAGATACTCAACGAGAGTGCCAGTTCCCAGAGCTTGGTGCCGAGGAACTGAGGGAAGCGTCGGACTTGTGCTCCCGATGCTTGCGATCATTGAACCACGGCCGCAGCCACACCCGTTATCAAGAGCCCATACCAGAAGAATACGAGGGGCAATATCCACCACCCCCCTACCGACAACAGCGTCAGCATGCTACGGGGCCACGGTCTCCATCACGAGAACGAGCCAGACCACGACAGCAGCTCAACAATAGCAATAATGGCCATGGCAATGGGGGCGGTCACCCTCTGCAAGGCTTTGACAATCTCTCACTCTCAGATGACTTGTCGCTCCCTCCCGATGGACCCATGCCTGCCAGGGACAGGGACGACTACCCCCGACGAGATCACCGGGCTCGGGACGACCGTGAACAAGTGCACACAACCCTCCGCGGAGGTGGTGGCGAGCCGAACACATCGCGTTCAGGGCGACGACACTGGGACGATGCCGACACCAACAGCATCCACTCCGCAAGTGACTATGACCGGGGAGGTGGACGCGGGCGAGGGCGGAAGCAAAGTCCTGGCAGGGATCATACCCGCGTGGACTCCCGCCGCCGCCATGGCGGTCGTAACGACAACATCGGCAGACGCCGCGGCGGAGATGACAGGCTCCAATCCATCTGGGATCGTGACGACGGGTATTCCGACTCTCTGAGACCATCCTCGCGGTCCGGCTACTCAGGCTCGACAGGCTGGAGTCGTCAGAGCCACGGACCTTTCGGCATCACCCGCACCACGGACGAGTACGGGGTACCAGAGGTCACGGTGCCCGTGTTACCCGGAACGAAAGTGAAGAAGGAGGGTAAGCAACTCGTGCAGGTTCGACGCAAGAAGGGAGGTCAATCTTTATTTGATCACTTGACTGTGATGTGACCATTCTTCACGCCTGTCGAAATCAGACAGCACCATCCATCCTTCTTCCAGCTTCCGACAGACTATGTGAACGATGCGAATCCGGTCACGAACTTGCGGAGGGCATGGGAAATGCCCACAGGAGCGTGGAGCAGCCATGACCACTACCAGCCTTCTAGTATACCGTGTATGTCATGACTTTCTTGTGTGTTTGTGTGTGTACGGCATTGCTGTTTACGAGTGTACCCTGGTGACTTGAAGGTTGTGGAATGTAACTCTAGCGTATTTCTTGTATTGTTACCACTTTGTACGGGAGGACTTGTCTAGGATGACGGGCGGAACTGAGCGATTGACACGAGTTTTGACTTTTGAGCCGGGCATGGTGTGGACACTGTGGACACGAACAGGGCTTTATGTATACCCTTTTTTTTTTCTTCCTTTTGTCGTCTTAGAAGCATTTTGAAACATCACAGTTATGCAACAGCTATGCCACCATCGACCCTGCACAATGCCTTCACGAATTGACATCCTGTGCGGAAGGAAGAACGTGGCTTCAAAGTAGAAATGTTGCGAACGAACAGGTAACGTCGCCCAGGTAGTCGAGATCACGACTTTCGTATTGTGCTCGAACGGATGTGCGGGGACTGAGACACCATGGCTTGCAGAGAGAGGACTTTCGAATCCGCCTTGCTGGAACAAGTCAAGGCAAACTGTCCCTTCCATCTAAGCGGCAAGTGGTCTGCGCTCTCATCGGTCTCCCCGGTGCTCCATACGAGAGTCTGCACAGCACACCAACTCAAGTAGCTGGTCGGTGACGTTTCCGAGTCCCGCAGTTCACCGAACATTGCCCAACTGTCGAGCACGGCGTCTTTGATATTGCCAGGCACCGTGTCCCTCTTGCACCTCGCCGTCAGTGCAAGGCCGGTGGAACGTTGAGAGACACTTGTCATGGCCACCGTCGCCTTCCTCGGTCTCATCTTCCCGTCTGGGAGGATGCAAAGTTCGTGGCTGCAACGTCGACCACGAGACTTTCTTCTTTTCCACAGCCACTGACGTCCGCGATAGGAAATCACCAAGGAGGCCCCGGTGGCTGGAGCTGGTGCACAGTACTGTACAGTACAGTAGGACCAGCAATCACCGGGTTCTATTTTCGTTAGACCGGACGTATCCTGTCTAGGGGTACCAGAGTGAGACATCTCCAGGGATTTTGCTTGCTCATGATTTGAGCTCGACTTGAGGTTTGACTCGTTTGGGATCCGCGTCGGGGGGGGGTCGGGGAGTGAGTTTGATAAGAAGTTTCTTGGCCTGTAACAGTAGATGTGCATATGCTGCGAGTGAGCAAGTGTTTCGAGAGACTAAACCAAAATTATCTGACCGAGGAGGGCTTGGGGAAGAACTTGATCCATCCTACTAGGCCAGAACAGTCGCGAGGGGGGGATTTGTCGCGTAAATTCCGCTTGAATGTCGTGATCAAAAGCTCAATGAAAAATCCACAACTGCTAAGTTAGTTGTTCGAGGGAGATTCTGGCACATTGTACTTTTGGCGTCGAGTTCGTCGGAACTGGTCACCCGCAGTGCCGCCGGCCTCAGGCTCGAAGTGGGCCCTCGCTTAAGCTTGGGTTGCTAGTCTCAGTGTTGCATGAGGCACAAACAACATGGCACGGAGTACCTGTGTCTTTGACAGTTCGACCAACACTACCATATGTCAACTTCCGAGGCAGGAGATATTCTGAGTACCAGTAGATCAGAACAGTAGAATTATTGTTATCGGAATCTTATCGACGTTACGTCGATTGGTCGCGGTGATTATGAAGTTCCTCGATTCCCAGCCTTGCCGAAGATCATGCCACGCTCTTTGGCCGGCGCGAAATCACCCAATGGTGTTGTGTGTGTGACCAGGGTACAAGGGGCCAAAATCCGCCCCAAAGCAGCCACCATCATGCATAGCCCAGGCCGCTATCGAGAATTGAGACTCAAGGTCGTCACCTGGTCATGTACCTCCTTGATCAAGCTGGCTCGCATGATAGTGTATAAGTAAGCCCACCGTAGACGAGCGTCCTGTTACAGTTCGTCGCTGGTTTCCAACAGCAACGACAATCCCGTTGGCGCAGTGACTCTTCTGTAACCCCATCAGCACCCCAGACCTCCCACAATGCCGAAATTGCCAAACGTGGACGACTTCCCATCATTTGGTGAAGTCAAACCACTAGACGAGGGTTTCAGATGTATTTGGTATCTCCCCGATGAAAAGCGGAGATGCAGAAACCGAATAGAACGCGATAATCGCCGGGCCGCAGCCTCTGTACACAGAGAGCTCTTGGAAACTCCACCAGGAGGAGACTTGATTGAAAAGTCAACGTTGCTGGCAGAATTGACTTGCTGCAAGAGAGATCATCTCCCAGAACTGCGAAAATCAGACCTGGGAGCAAGCATCCCCAAAAGGTGGCGCAGAGAAATCCGAACAGCATCTGGGGTGCCCAGCGATGTTGAACGCAAGGCATCATGCAGCGCGGATTCGAAAGGCATCCGGCCAAAGGAGACTGCGAGGGTTACCTGCATACAATCTCCAGAACACCCTCCAAGGTACAACCTGAGATCCCGGACTGTCTGTGAAGCTTCAAGCTGCCCGACAACCGTGAAGTCTGAGAGCCAGCATCATGTCTCACATTTCGTGCCTCGCACCTGCGCCTCTGGTATAACGTTGTCCACGAAATTGCTTGAACCGTTAGAGCCACCAACGAAAAAGAAAAAGCAACAAGGGGACTTATCACCATCTTGGAAGAAGAAAGGCTCGATATATTGTTTCAGCCGCAAGTCGGACCCGGGTATGCTGAAGATAGGCCGAACTGTGGGCTCGATCGATCAGCGGCTGGAGAAATGGAAAAGAGACTGCCAGTACAAACCAAGGGTGAAATTTGTTGCCGAGCATGTCCCACATGTACAGCGTGCCGAGGCCCTGGTACATTACGAGCTGCAAAGATACTGGCGGAGAGAGACAAAATGCAGACATAATCCTGATTGTATCAGGAAACACCAAGAGTGGTTTGAGGTCGATATCGAGACTGCCAAAAGAGCCATCAAGAATATCTCCACCTGGCTCCGATTCGGACATCCTTATGACGAGCAGGGATATCTTGTCGACAGGTGGAGGGAGGTAATACGAGAAATGGAGAGAGAGCGTATTGAGGTAACTGCCCAAGCCCTGGTGGATGCTCTGCATGACATTGAAAGGAAAGCCGAGCAGATTGAACCTCCGCTTTCTTCCCCTGAGATTAATCGAACAGGTCGCAGTCCAGGGCGAAATGCTCAGGCTATCGCACTTTCGGGTGCTGAAGGCAAAGCGCTGGAGGCGCTGTGGGACGTATTTATCAAGTCCATTCCCTCACTGTTCGTATCGAAGCGTGGCAAGTCGAGGAGAAGAGTCGTTCAATTTCCCTTCAGGTCGATTTAAGTCTTTTCATAGATCCGACACTGGGAGGTATCATGAAGGCCAAATACTTATACTCGATGGAAGTGATTGATATTGTACGGCGCAAAGTCAAATATTCCACGCTTTTCCTAATTGGAACTAGTCAGATTGCTTCCATCATGCAACTACTTTCAAGTTCAAAATATCATTGCGCATCATCCTCCGTCTTCATTTCTTATGACGCTCATTGGCGATGATTTTGCTCCCGTTTTCGGATCATTCTCATGCTCAAAAGCTCGAATCTCGTCTCCTAGGGTTACCGCAGATGAGATGTGATCGTGGAAACACGCTCCGCTTGGACTGGAGACTGCGTTTTGCACTGGCGCCGGGACAGAGGACGTGGACGCGACATTTACCCCTTCGACATTGTACGCGTACCAATTTTAACTGCCTAGTACCAGTCTGATTCACTCACTGAGGAGCCTCCCGACGCCGAACGACCAATAGGCCTTCCCGGTGCCACAGCTTGAATATTCAAGGGTTATATTTTTGAAAGAGTCAATATCTTCCAACAATTCCTCGTGGCTACCCGTGTCACCTGATCCACCGCGGACAAATGGCGTAAGGGGATTTCACCAGACATGAGGCAGTTTACTTGGGCTAGCCGTGAATCCTAGAGGCGACACCCTGACACTAAGGACCCCTGCATAGGGCGAGGTGTTCCCAGCGAACATGGCTTCTACGCGTGAATGACCTAGCTGACGGAGTAACCTGACGACTTCTCGAGAAAAATCCCTGTGTTGGCAGGGATTTCCCTCGACCTCAACGTCAATCACCCAGCGTGTGATTGGCCTTGAGGTTAGAGTTTTGCTCCTCGAGAAAAATGTTGATTTTTTTTGGTGGCAGCACAAGGAGCACCAATACTGATTATGTGAAACGAAGTAGGGAGCATGCAATTTATTTCAACACTGAAAACAACAAAAAAACTGTCTCTCTAAGCTCTGGCAAGTTGAACAGTCAATACTGACTATTACGCCTCCTGAAATTACGAATGTTTACTGCTTGTCAGTCTTCGGCTCAACTGAGGACTACCCTTTTCTGTAAGCGAATGTTTGGCCAAATGAGAAGCGACTCCTACTGGTTGGTGAATATCACAGCATTCTCAACAGCTATCAAGAGGCTGGAGCAATAACGGCTCGTCTCCTGACCTTCTTTTGATACTGACACACTATTTTAGTCATCAGAACTTTTGCAGAATGCCGAAGGAACTTCATTGCTGTACCTATGTTTTCCATTCATACTCCCATTCACTCAAGCCTTTCACCTTCAAGTATGAGACCTCGATTTCTTCGTTTGCAACGATGATATGCGTCTTCAGTTTCAGGCCACGCGACAGTATCATTCGCCACCTCCCGATAACTGTGAGGACTAGAATGACAAACACCCGCGATAAACCCGCATTGGCGAGTTGGCCAGACCTGATGACGATGGAAAATATTCTGTAGGAATGCTGCAGCCAAGCGACACGAAGCCAGCCACCTCCTTTCTGATGGCTCCGGGGTTACTGCAGCTGGTCGAGGCTCCAGAAAATATGTTAAGGGGGTCACCTGAATGACTGTATTCGTCTCCGGACTCTGACTCAGAAGAGACTTGTTCATGCGCACCAGGTATCAACAGAACGGCCTTGGGCAAAATCCGGCTTAGGTGGTATCTCTCTTGTCCACATTCCAGCCACCGGAGTGCCCTTCCACTGCGCCTCGTATGATGAGGCTGCTGCCAAACGGTCGCCATCAGACCACATTGCGACCGAGCAGATAGTGTTGGTCATCTTGGATATGAGCCAGGAAGCCCAGCCTTGGGAATTTCAACTCTCTCAAAGTCCGTGCGTTTACCGTTTACCCTGCCACCTGTTTTATGCTATTCTCAAACACGGCCGACATCAGACTTCGAAACTACAATGTGCCTGCCTCGGTCGATATGCCTCTCTAACTCGTAAGTAATCTGTACCATTCGTCGGCACATCAATCACCGTTCTTGACCTCTGTAGCTGGTGATTCAGAGACCTTCGTTGAGAGACGAAGGCGTGGCCCGAGCCCTCGGGCCGTCGGGGCCACATGTTGATCTTATGCATTTCGTTATCGACAAGAAGCTCGGTCCTGGACCCTGACTGCCCACGGACCACATACACGGTCCTTCTACCAACGCCAACACGTACACGGCTTTTACTGATACTTCAGCCATTCGCGTCATGGGAACACCTTTTTCGACGTCTTAGTGTCAAGCGAGCGTGTCCTGACGACGTTTCCAAGCGAGTTAGGTCATGAGAGTCGGCACGTCGAAGCCGATCTATTACACTGCCGTAAAGGAATCAACGATGGATTCGAACCCACTTGGGAAACGCGTATTGACCTAGAGATATATAGACGGTGCTGGTCCCTCCAGCCATCTGTCGACCCATCTACCACCGGAATTCACTACTAGGCGACCTCGACAGCAAATCCAACCGTGCAGTTTCTGCCACCGCATTATTGAGGGGCGACCCTCAATGGAAGCCAGCACGATGTTACACCTAAGTATCAGACTTCTCGCCATCTCTACGTGCCTCTTTGGTATCGCGACTTGCGCACGCATCAGCGAGGAAATCTTCAAGTCTCATATCCGGCGCAAAACATTTGATATCGAGAGGGCATCAGACAACCCTCCCCATCTCGATTGGAAAATAAACAACCTCATGACTGGCACTATGAAAGTGCTGACAACTATGGTCAGTCAGGCAGTAGATGACGGCCCATTCAAACGAGCCCTGCGCTTGCAAAGAAGGCTCGAACGCCATTATCATTGGACCGCATCGGCAACTCATATCCATCCTGCTGTGGTCTGAGGCATCGTCAATGCCAGTGACTCGGTCAGGAGCTGGTCTCCTCGACTACCCGTCTCTCTGGCACTCAAAGGCACCTCAACAAACGTCCACCACCCATCTCTTTCCTGCTGGCAGGAAAAAGTCCAATCAGACATCTGCTGGACAGATTTGTGCAGAATTGCCATTCGACAGCAACTCTTGCGTACGCTCTGGAGCATCGCAACCTTTGTCGGCTGGACCAGTATCCGTCTCAATGACGGCGACACCATTGCTCTAGACGGGTAAGGTGGGCGTCCTGGAGAACAGAGGGGCGTTGTGCGTTGTTGACGACGTCTCCAGGCCGCCCATCGCTCATCTCGTGATGCCGATGAATTGACTTCATCGGCTATGCTATATAGGCTCCCTTCACCGACCGAGCCCCTGATGGACACGTCCCGGAGACATACTATTTGGGCTGGACCCAACCCGATCCATGTGTAGTCAAGTACCTGCCCATCATGCTCCATGGAGGAACTCCCACGATCGTTCGCAGACACATACCGTTTGATACGGACATACCGCCGCCCATCACTCTCCCTACGTTGTCGACAGGATCGCCAATATGTACATATTCAGTTCTTTGGAATCTGCTGGATCAACGCTCCTTTCATACCCGGAGAGTCGTAGTCCCCAGGGGGGACGACTGCTTTTACAGTCTCTACCGCAGCCGTTTTGACCTTCTCACATTCCTTATCCTTGCGAAGCTGGACTTCAACTCCAATCAACGCGTTCTCGACGCCATTCGACTCTGTCTGGTCGTTCACTCCAAATTTTTCCATTCTACATCGACACCCATCGGTCTGGAAACAGCATTCACTCATTAGCCGAGACAGGAACTCGCAGCCATTTCAAAGGACACACCGCCTACCGCTGGCCCGGACACATTCTCTCGACGAACGGTCATCGTCATCACTACCTTTCTCACACTCGTTATCACATTGAACAGAGGCGGGCGTGGGCGACAGGACCCGCCATCCATCCATCAAGCTGATATGCATCGCATTTGCTCCGCGGACAGACCGGGGCAGCTTTCGCTCATTGATCCCGCCGTCGTTGTGTTCCCTTCACTACAAACGCAACGAGTCCGTGACTCCATCGACGAGTTCGGCGCACACGCCGAAAGGGCCGGTCCTCAAATCATTCGTTTCGATCTGGTCCTGTCGTCATCGCCAAGTCGCTCTCTTCATCTCTCACCCTACTTACTAGCGGGACTACCTCGACTTCCAAGAAGCCGGACTTCGACAACCTACACTCCTTGATCATCATCACAATTTCATTCCACCTCTACGCTCCTTGGACATTATTATCCCTTGCTCATTTCGCGCCTACACTCCTTGGACCATCATGACTATTTTCCATTTGGGTCTCTACTACACTCCTTGGCCACCATTCCTTGGCCCGCTATCAACCACTCTTTCATCTCGCTACTTTGAAGGCTGGACCTTTCGGAAATATCTAGGCGGATCACGCACGGCCTATCATCACAGCTCCCAAAACGAGCGGAAGCCGAAAGAGACTCTCTCCACCTCTCATCTCTCTCCCTCTCCCTCTCGAAAGAAGCCGGCCCTTCAACTCGGGAACGATGCGACCTGGGAAACCTTCCACACCTCCACGACCGAACAAACCACGTCGCCCACTCGCTTCACCGCATCAAGTACCATATACACACAACATATACACTCGCTTACCACGACTGCACGATTTGCTGGACGGATTCAGTCGGCCTTTGATATTGTTGCTTGTTCTTGTGTTCTAGTCGTCATTGTTGCTCGTGCTCGCACTGCTGTCGTTACCGTGCATGATATTTCATCGCTGCGTCGCTGGCGACGCATGTTCTCCATGTTTCTCAAGTCGCTGCATCTTTACGTTATGACTGTACATAGAAAATCAATCCACAACCGGACTCAAAACATGTTTCCCGTTTCATCATCATCATCATTATTCTAGAATGCAGAAGCCCTACCAAAGCCACATGTCCAAATTCGTTGCGCACTATTTAAGTCTCCTTTGCGAGTATTTCGGCACACTCGGTGATCACTTTATCAACCTCCAACCTTCTCAAATACACGTCGGTGTATTCCACAAGTTTGGGCATCCGCAGATAATCTCCCAGATCAATCTGTTTGGTACCAGTCGGCGCATCAAAGCGAAAGTAAGCCGTAGAATCGTTTGGCCTGCGCCTGTTGTGTTGTCGCATGTTTCGATCAAAGTCACGATGTTTCGCCTCTGTATTGGTCACGAATGCAACGGTCTTGGAAACCGTGTTGAAGAACCTCGAAACTCCTGTGCCAGGACGCTTCTTCCTCTCGTGCTCGGGATGTGTCGTACCGAGACTCACGATGCATTTGACTGACGGATTTGGGGCTTCTCCAGACACCAAATCGCCCCGGTTATCCCAGACTTGGGTGATAGGATTGTTGTTGAGGAGTCCACCGTCCCAGAACTTAAGACCCTGGATGTCGACTTCTTTCAAATAGGTCGGAGCAGCCGAAGTGGCGCGTGCGGCTTCCTTGATGGTGATTGTGTTTAGGTTCAGGTCTTGGGCTCCTGCAGAGACCGGGAGAGGCGGGAATGGAGGTGCATAATTGCGCAGGAGTATCGATTCTCCTTTGTCTGCCAGGGTTGCACACATGAACCTACGACACTGATGTCAGTGACTGCTCGGCATGCTCACACTACTGCGCGGTCACTCACATTTGTCCTCGACTCCCTTTGAGAAGCGAAGCGTTTCCTTTCAATTCTCTGTCTTCATCATCGAGCGGAAACGTAGCGACAACTTTGTCAATGGCGTTTTCTAGTGGCTTATGCGAGAATTGAGACCGTCCAGAGAAAGCCTTGAGCCCAAGCCAAACGTCGCCAACAATCTTGCCCACGTACCCATATTGGTGTAGAGGTATTGGTCCGAGTTTTGGGCTGAAGACTTTCTTAGCTAGATTCTGATACGCGGCAATCACATCACTGCATCTCATGTCCAGACGGAACAACATCAGTGCAATCAAGCCCCCAGTACTTGTTCCTGCGGCAAGGTCGAAATAGTCAACTGGCTTTCGTTCTTCTTCGTTGATTTGCTTGCCCAGTAAGACAGCCCTCTCATTCTCAACCTCCTGTATGCGGTCCATCAGTTTCTTGAGTATCACCACGCTCGAAATACCTCGGACACCTCCTCCATCGAAGGATAGCAGGTTGTAGGACTCGGTTCTTCCGGATTTTGGCGCGGGTGCTTGGGAGCTACCTCCAAAGGATAGCATCTTGGGTGTGTCAAGGTGTGAAGGTGACGTACGACAATGCTTTCGCGTTCAAGGAACCTAGCACCACAGGATCGAAGTGGTTCTCTCGATAGAGTGCGTTTTCGCAACGTCAATGGCCGGTTGCGCGAGCGATGCTGCTTGAGGTTGTATCAGGGCATGGCATAGCGCGGTAGGACTGTGGCAGATTGTATGGGGATACAGATGACAACTAGGAACAAGGCGGAGGGCTTAAGGAATAATACGTCGACAGCAATGCTGGAGGAAAAGTGTGATATTGCTAGTTGTGGTCGGTGGTTGGCAAACTCGCTTTAGTCCTTCCTCAGTGCAAGTGCCGTGAGCAGGAGGAAAGTGCATTCGACTAAGCCTCAGGCGACGCCTTCATCCAGATCTGTATCGAACCTCAACTGCCAATATGGCGCAACGTAGGTTCAATTCGTCTCAGGTCCCAGCCGGGAGTGGGAGAAACCACCAAAACTCGGAAGGATGTCGCCGGTATGGATGATGAGGGTGACTCTCTCCTGTAAAAAAAACTCCGTATATTATCTTTTCCTCATCGGCCCTCGAGAAACGCGCCATCAGCCTTGCCACTAAGCAGCGCATCCACATCGACCCGACCCCCAGCCAAGTACCTCTCGCTAACACCTAGATTGACTCGCTTATCCAGAAGGTCTTGAAGTGCAGCTCGCCATTGTGATATCTGGTCTTTGCCCGTAGCAGCCTTTTCCTTTTCTTTCTTGGCCTTTCCTCCACCACGGCCTCGGCGCCCCTTCTGCCCCTGACTCTCAAACTCCTCACTGTCATACTCAACGCCGAGCTCTTCTGCAGCAGTCCTCAACCATTCATCTTTGCTATTCGTTTTCTCTTTTGCTATCGTCGCGTCGCTGATCTTGTGGGCCAGATCTACCCGGTCAGCCAATCTCTTGACTAGTCGACCATCTAAATCCACAACATCAGGGGCCTTGTCAGACTTGTGCACCTCTGCAATCAGCCTCGTGACGCCCGCAACTTCGTCAGGTGAGCAAAGCAAGATCGACCGACCAGAGTTCTCAGCACGAGCCGTTCGTCCTGAGCGATGGACATACATGTCCGCAGTACGAGGCACGTGGTAGTGAATGATCAGTTGAATGCCCTTGATGTCAAGACCACGTGCTGCAACATCTGTGGCGACAAGAACCGTTCGTTGTGCGGCGAATTTCTCCAGCGACCGCAATCTCGATTTCTGGGGCATGGTCGAATGTAGTCCGACCGCTGGTTGTTTTAGGGTTTGCAAAAAAGTCACCAATCTTCGCACTGCCGAAATACTGTTTGTGAAGACCAGTGTCTTTGCAGTCGCATTTTGCATAAGTAGTGCATAGAGGTAGAGATCTTTCTTCATTGCAGCGCATTCCACAATCGACTCAGACAGAGCCGTCGCCATTTGCGTTTCCGGATTAACATCAATAAACGTAGGTTTTGCCTCTCTGAATGAAAGCTTTCGTAGAAGGTATTCCATCGACTGCTGATTATTGAGTAGTTGGTCACTCATACGCTTGCCGGGCTTAACCTTTGCCGTCAACTTCTGTTGTAAACCCTTGTGGAACGTGGCAGAAAAGACCAGAGTCTGTCTTTGAGATTTTTGTGAACCTTTGACAGCCTGTCTTTCTGTAGCCTCCTCATCGACCACCTCTCGATCCAAGGCGTCAAGGATATTCTCAACCTCCTTGAAATGACCTTCGCTCAGCAGCCTGTCCGCTTCATCAACAACCAAATACTTGATTGCTTTCAGGCGATCCATGAAGACGTCCGGGTCATGGTGCGCCGATGTATCGTTCATCACTTCCCATAGTCGTCCGGGAGTCGCTACGACAATGTCTGCGTATCCCAATTGTCGTTGTTGCTTGATGATCGACAACCCACCGGTCACCGCAGTCACACTCGGATGATTTTCCAAACCCATACACAATTCATTGAGATGCTTGTGGAGCTGCAGGGCAAGTTCTCTTGTCGGTGCGAGAATGAGCGCTAGTATCGAGTCCTTGGGTTTCTTCGGTGCGTTGCTTGTTGCAGCTGCGGTTGAGAGCCAGTTTTCGAAAATCGGTAAGCCGAACGCGAGTGTTTTGCCCGATCCGGTGACAGCTTTCCCAATGACATCGTGGCCTTGTTTGATCGCTGGAATTGCAGTTTCCTGAATAGGTGTCGGCTTCGCAAATCCCATTCGAGCAAGCTGTGACAAGGTGGTCGGGTGTAGTTCCAGGCCTTTCCATGCTGATACATCGGTCTTCAAGTCATCGGTGGTTTCCTCCAAGACGTCAAACCCCAGCCCAGGCTGAACATCGGTCGCCTGTTGTTTTGGTTTCTGGGTCTGTGTCTTGTTGGACGGATCTGTTTGCTTTGGCGTTTTCGTATTCGCGCTGACAGGAACAGACTTGACCTCTTCAGAGAGTGGCTGAGTCTGCGATTCATCGTCAAATCCGCCCCATTCCTCTCCGTCGATGTCTTCGTTCGCATCTTCCAACACCGCCTCCTGAGACTTGGGTCGGAACATGACTGCGTTGGTCGATTCGTCTCTGACAACTTCGACATCGTCGATTTCTTCGAGCCCAAAAAAGCCCTCGGCATCTTCCAGCCGTCCAGGAAGAGATACCTCTTTCCATTTCAAGGAATCACCTCTGACGGTTGAGCTTTTCACCGTGCCCTGTTTGGTCGGTTCAGGAAGTTTCTGCTTTTTCCGAGCAGCCTGCTCACCAGGCGCCACCTTCCGTTTCGACATTGCAGCCACCCTGTATGATCGCCGGTGTCGCTGCACGAATAGTCACTGCTATGAGGCTAAACGGAAAAAAAGTTTCTGAACATCAACGCAAATCTGAAACGGCCTTCGGCGGTCGAATGATTCGCCGTAGAGGTTGCCCAAAAGCGGCGTGAAGCAATGGGACCACCACAGCCAACGCCGGTGCAAGCAAGAGCTTCAACTGTGGTGTCACAGCAACAGATGGCGTGTTTGGTCTTTACGATAAAATCTTACAGAAAGGTGAACAGGAGCGAATACCGTTGTTGAGCGAGCTTCATTCATCACTGAAGGCAGTAAGATACTTCCTCGTACTTGGAACTCCTGGTATCTCGCATTTCAACCAATCAACACCGTCCATTTTTTTCATCCGACAATTTTTACCAACAAGACACCCCGCGCCATGTCATAAAAATCAAGCTCCATAAACGAAACATACAGTACAAGACGGCGAAGTTCAGTCCATAGCAACGGACAGTCGCGAATCTGACATAATAGTCTACCACCAGTCTCTGCGGTGGTCTTGTCACCGTCGTCATGTCCTTCGACGAATGGCAATCGCCCATGGGCGCTCGCTATGCGAGCAAAGACATGCTCAGACTTTTCAGCGCCCGCACCCGCGCATCTACATGGCGTCAACTTTGGATCTGGCTCGCCGAAGCTGAAAGAGAACTAGGTCTCGATATTTCCGAAGAAGCAATCAGTCAAATGAAGGCTGCGAGCACCATGACCGACGAGGACTTTACCGTTGCTGCCATCGAGGAGAAGCGACGACGACACGACGTTATGGCTCATGTCCATGCATTTGGTCAGCGAGCACCAGCGGCGGCCGGAAAGATCCATCTAGGCGCTACATCGTGCTACGTGACCGACAACGCGGATCTAATCTTTTTGCGTGACGGGTTGTCCCTCCTGCTTCCCAAAATCGCCAGATGTATCAAGAAACTGTCCGACTTCGCCGTGGAGTACAAAGATCTGCCATGTCTGGGTTTCACGCATGGCCAACCAGCACAGCCCATCACCGTCGGACGCCGTGCCACACAATGGATCGAATCTCTGCTCATGGATCTGCGCAACATCGAGCGAGCACGATCCGATCTACGCTTCCGAGGCGTCAAAGGCACCACCGGCACACAAGCGTCTTTCCTTGAATTGTTCCACGGAGATCACGCCAAGGTCAAGGCCCTAGATGAGCTTGTTACCAAGAAGGCGGGTTTCACCAAGCGCAGCATCGTGTCAGTCCAGACCTATAACCGCAAGATTGACTTCGATGTCGCCAATGTTCTCGCGTCCTTTGGCACGACGTGTGAACACATCGGCACCGACATCCGACATTTGGCTATGATGAAAGAACTCGAAGAGCCATTCGAGAAGGACCAAATAGGCTCATCTGCCATGGCATACAAACGGAACCCAATGCGCTGCGAGCGAATGTCGAGTCTGGGCCGGAAATTGACCTCTTTGCCCCAAGGATTCGGCCAGACATATGCGCATCAGTGGTTCGAACGATCGCTTGATGACTCTGCAATCCGACGAATCGATATCCCGGAGATGTTCCTGATCGCTGACTCGCTGTGCATCTTGCTTGACAATGTTTCTTCTGGATTGGTTGTATACCCTGCTGTCATCAACAGCCGTCTCCAACAAGAGTTGCCCTTCATGGCCACCGAGACAATCATCATGCGTTTGGTCGAGAAGGGTGCAAGCAGGCAGGAAGCTCACGAACAGATCCGTGTGCTTTCGCACCAGGCAGGTGCAGTAGTGAAACAAGAGGGCAAGGCCAATGACTTGGTTGAGAGAATCAGGAAGGAGAAGTTCTTCGAACCAGTGTGGGCGGAGTTGACGGAGAGCGACCTTTTGAACCCTGCCAAGTTCATCGGCAGGTCACCTGAACAAGTGGTTGAATTTGTCGAGGAGGAGGTTGAGCCTGCACTCGCGTCGTACAAGGAGGCAATTGCAGGAGTGGCAGCTGCGGAAATCCATGTTTAGGTTATCGTGTCGTAAAAGTAGGTTTTGTCCCGAAGAACCTCTGGTGCATCTTCATGCTCATCGAGCAGTGTGACCTTTTAACTCTCCATGCTTTCTTCCTTGCGGCAGCCGGTGGTTAACTAACTCTGTACGCGAGTCCGTACCTCATCCATCAGTCATTTCGTCGATCATGTCCCACAGTCGTCGCTGTTCATCCAATTTTGGGTTTTCGTTGCCAATAGTAGAGGTCTCTCCATTCAAATCTGTGGCCATCGCTGATCCGGCATGGGCTGCCGTGTTTCCCAGCTCGCCCAAGAACTGCTCAACTTTCTGCTTCAGGTTGTCAGATTCTTCCATCTCCCTCTCGCCGTCCTCCAATATGTCCTCTAGCATCTCCTTGACACTTTCTCGCGCCTGGTGCGGTCTGTACATGTTAATGACCACGTGAATATTGAGTACCAATTGTCGGATATCCGCCATTTTCTCTTCATAAGATGTGGGATCCAGCGAGAGATCGCTTGTCAGCTCGAGGAAATTGAGCATCAGAGACTTGGTCATCTTGCTCAGCAGGACGGCATGGTTGAGGTTCGGGCTGTCGGGGTCAAACAGTAGCTGATCTCTAGGCAGCGAGGTTGGTTTGCTCGGGTCAATGACCTGACTCTGGCCAAATGTCGTGTAGACTTCTGCGGATTCAGGTGGAGGAGGCGGAGGGCGCAGATAAGCCAACGGAATCGGCAACTTCTCGGATCGCCCTGGCTCGCTCGACTCAATCTCTTTGAGTTTTTCCTCGTTCGCCGTGGTGAAATGGCGCCAGAACGGAGGAGGTGCAGGGAAGGGAGCCTCAGGCAGTTGCTGCTGCTGCTGCGGCTGCTGATGCTCTTGGTCCGCCATGGCAAGACGGTGGTGATTACGTTACTCACGCAACTGTCAACACATGCCGGATATCCCGCGCAATTGTAAGAGATAGGTTGCGTCGTTCTTGTCGTCCTGGTGGGCAGGGTGTTGACATGCAAAGCGACACGTAAGGTGGTGTAGGCCAGAGATGCGCCAATGGTAAACCACAATTTGCGGCATAGAGTTATTGGAACCTGGGAGGAGACAGGGACTTCCACGTGACTCGGGTGCAACTCGGTTGTAGCAGCGAGAGAAGATAGAGAGAGTACAGGTAGCCTATCGCCTCTCACACTCGACGAGGCGTTCCTTTCCGCAAAAGATCAATCGTCCCTTTTTTCTCACCATCATCGCGGGCGTCCTCTACTCGTATCGTCGTGATGGGAATCTACCGAGGCTTCTGGTAAAGGGGCCCTTCCTCCCTCGAAGCGCTCTCTTCGTTGGTCGCGATGAAGCAAAAGCAATCTATACACGAGAGCGCAGGCATGGCAGGGACTCTGGCACGGTTTTGGCGACGGTCGTATGCGCCCGACTACATCGGCTTCGCTCTCGTCCTCGCAGCGTACATGTGGGTAAGTCTGCAGCGGTTTATTCAACTATATGTGAACAACCACCCTGCCTGTTCAAGCGGTCCTCCCTCCGAGTCCTCTCCGCTGACACTTCTGTTTCCTCACCGAACCAGGAACAAACCTTCGCGGTACCTTTCCACCGCATGTTCACGCTCGACGACCACACGAAGCAGTACCCGCACGCGGCCGTCGAGCGGGTGCCGACGCTGAACCTCATCCTCTACGCGGGCATCGGCCCGCTGGTATTCATCCTGGCGTGGGCGGCGGTCGCCCGGCCGGGCTTCCACAAGGCCCACGTCACGCTGCTGGGCCTGTTCGTCTCCGTCTTCCTCACGTCGCTCCTCACGGACATCGTCAAGAACGCCGTCGGCCGGCCTCGTCCGGACCTGATTGCCCGATGCAAGCCGGCCGCCGGCACGCCCGAGCACGAGCTGGTGACGTTCGCCGTGTGCACGGAGTCGAGGCACCGCACGCTGCACGACGGCTGGCGCAGTTTCCCCTCCGGCCACAGCAGCTGGGCCTTCGCGGGCCTGGGATACCTCGCGCTCTTCCTGGCGGGACAGCTACGCATCTTCAGGCCGCACGCCGACCTGGCCAGGGTCTTGGTCGTGCTCGCGCCTCTGGTGGGCGCCGCGCTGATTGCCATGTCGCGCCTGGCGGATTACAGGCACGACGTCTACGACGTCACCTCCGGGAGCATCCTCGGCATGGGCGTGGCATACTTCACGTACCGACGTTATTACCGCCCACTGAAACACCCGAAGTGCGATGTGCCGTACCCGAGTCGAGCAGAGTACGAAAGTGCCAGGACCGGTGCCAAAGGACGGGACTTGGAAGAAGCTCGACTTCACGATGACTTCTCACTTGACGATCTTTCAGAGGGCGAAGACGCGGAATCTTTTCCATTGAACGAGACTCGGCCTGTCAGGCTGGACAAGGTGCGTGGTGGTGTATCTACATGATTGGGTTGGATATGTGTCTTCTGTACGGGAATGTATTTGTGATGCGTCGTAATATCATGCGTGTATGATCATGGTAAAATCATTTACTGTTGGGATATTCAACCAGCTCACATGATGAAATGTTGTAACCTCGAACAATATCCGATGATAATTGTCATGTAGTACGTAGTACGTACAACCAAGTCACCATGGCCTGCATGTGTGTGCTTTGACACATGCTCGACGTTTCAAGATTCTAGTTCAAGAAGCAAGCTACTATCCGGCGGAGAGAGGGGGGGAGAGAGTCACATTGCAATAGTCATGGTCCATATGCTCAAATAGAACAATCATGGTTCAACAGAGTCGCAGTTCGTATATTCATCATTTGCAAAAGTATCACAGCCGGTCATTTTCCCACACGTACTATGCGTTGTGTAAGTGTCGATTTGAGTAAAAGGGGGGTGTCTGTCCGTGTGTGCGTGTGTGCGTGTGTGTGCCTTTTCATCCTTTCAGCCCTCATACTACGCAGCAGCAGCAGCAGCGTGCGTGTGTTGATGGACGTATGCATTCATTCCATCCAGTCGACATGGTGTACAGACGAAAGAAAGTGAGCGGTTCCCGTCATGCCTCTCGAAAGGAGGGGCGGTTGGGGGGGTGGACGTCGTGGTATAGTGGCCGTGGTCGTGTTCGCGTTTGGGGTTTGTCATGGTCGTGATGTTCGTGGTGCTAGTAGTAGTAGTAGTCGTGCAAGTAAACGCGGTAGCGGTAGCGGTAGAGGTGGAGATAAGAGGTGGCGGTAGAAACGGTGGTGGCCGTGATCCTCACATGACGGTGCATGGAATGATGCAACAGTCGCACTCATAGTCACCTAACAAGGGCGAAGGAAGGGAGAGAAGAGGTCAGCCAAAAATAAAAAACTTTGAACTTCTCGTTGATCTTCTCGCTTCGAGCTCGGCTCTAGGCTCTCGACCCGTCGACTCTCAACCCAATCTCCTCTCTCACGTCGAGGATGAATGAAATTGACGAAAAAGGGGCCCCAACGCTCCGCCCCCCTCCCCCCCCCTCGGAGAAACACCACACAGCACCAAAAAAAAAGAGTAAGGGCCGGCGGCACACCATACTAGAGGAACTCAGGTGGAGAAGAGAAGAAATGACACAAAACGGGACAAAACAAAAGGCAAAAAGAAAACACACACACACACGCACCACAGTCACACGGAATACATCCCGGTTTCGAAGGTCCCTTGACGCCCTTTGCGATGGTTGACGTTGAAGAAGTGGTCGACGAAGGAGGCATTGTTGGTTGACCACACCGCACACAGCCGTGGACAGGACAAGAGAGGAGAGGGGAGGAGAGGGCAATGAGTTTTCGAGGAGGAGGAGGAGGAGCGTGGCCGGTCGATAGGACGATAGATAGGACGACGTCGTAAAAGTGTTGATGTGAAACTCCACTCGCAGACAGACGCAGTAACTTAATAGTACTTGAGCTGAGTGTGAGGAAAAGAGAGAGAAAGACCGGCTGGCTGAGGCGTTTTGGTCGAGGTGGAATTAACTACCTAGATAGATAACTGACCTACAAGTAACGGAGTAGTAATATTAATACTGTACACGTACTGCATGGACCTGGGGAATTGGCGGTGACGTCGTCACTTGACAGCTCGCATCGAAGATTCCAAGCTTTTGTTTCGTATCCAAGTTAACTAGTCCCCTTTTTCTTGAAACACTGTGGCTCATGGTTCGGTGAAGACCTCCGGTGTGTTCGAGGGACTGTGTACCGCACCAACACCAGTCACCCAGGTCCAGTTGAAACAAGTCCAATCTCCGCCTACGAGTGCGAGTATTGGCTGTATTCCAGACTCGAACTTTGGTGTCCCTCTAACCGCTACACTGAACCTTTGTATTTGTTCTAAACAAATCCCCAAGAACCCTCTCCCATGTCTCCAGCACCAGCGAGTGCATCGTCTTGCATCATAAACATGTCCCCGTACCGCTTTGCAACCGCTTATTACCCGGACTTCACACCTGCGCCATGAAAGTATATTCATACAGCACACCGCCTGCAACAGTGCACATTCCCAGCCTGCTAGAACAGACCACATATGTCATGCGTACAATCGCAGTCAATCATACCCTTCAACCCTCAATACTCGTCATAATCTCTATTCCTTGACTGTTGCAGGGACCCCTCCAAACTCGACACGTTTCTCGCCAACAGCTGCTGACTTGACCACTCCACACCCAACTCAATCAGGCCCAAGCGCTTTGTTGGCGGTGTTATCAAAGATCTCAACATCTGAAAAGTACAACTTCCGTGGCAACCACAGGATGGTGTCGACGACCTTGGTTCCCACAACACACAGAAATGTCGCCCAGAATTGCCAAAGGACCATCAACAGGACACCCACTCCCCATGGCAGTATGAACTTGATCCACTCGCTCGTTTGGTACAGATCGTCCTGGGATTGAATAAAGTACTTTATGTCGTCGTCATCGCTGTCGTCGCCTACGTACTGATCAGAAGAGCGGTCAGGAGCATCCCGCTTGCTCTTACCCTCGAATGAGATCATGCTCTTCCTCCTGCCCTGACCCCCTCCCTTGCCTTTCTTCGCTCGTTTCAATGGCGATTTCTCCACTTGCGGAGCAGACTCGTCCGGAGCCTGTGATGTGGGATCGGTGGTAAGCTGCAAGACGGTGACCAGTTTGACGGGAGCGATGTAGAATGGGACCACCCAGAGTCTGAAATCCTGATGCATCGACACGTAGAGGAGAAGCTTTTCTTTGTCGAATGCTGGTGGTTTTCAGCTGACACGCTCTTCCAAGAGGGATGCCTGTCACTCTTCCTTACCAACACTGTCAATCCAGATGTCGACGTGAGGGCTGAGGATTTTGTACCAGCGGTAAATCATGCTGGGGGAGAAATCAGTAATGGGGAACAAAGACAGGAGATATTCCTCTCGCCCAAAATGCATCCCCTGCAGAGGAAGCGATACGTACATGATGAGCCAGATCGAACCGGGAAAACTCCCCGTTCTGCAAAATGGGTGGGTGAATGATGCGGCGGGCGTGAAATATAACTTGATGGTGTCGGATTGTACATCAGACGGCGCGGTAACCAGTGTCTTTATGATGTGTGGTATCTCGGCCACTAAATGCCAGATTGATCAGTGACTCCCCGCTCGGCGATTGGGTGCGTGGGTGCTCGATGGACGTACCAGGGTCGTCCATGGTCAAAGAATCGGTGAAGTTGGCGAGCAGAATGTGTGTGACTTGCGATGGCGGTTCACTTGGTTTGCTCGAGTCGTCGGAGACTGTCCGGAATGGTGTCCGGTGGAAGAGTGTCCTTGACTTCAGGAATCAACGTTATCGCAGCTCGAGTGGAAGGTGCGTTCTCTCATGCCTACTTGACGTTCAAAAGGTCCCTTTGATCATGCCAGAAGGTGGGCGTCCGGTGGTGGCTCGTCTATCTTCTTCGACACTGAGTAGGTATTTATGATTATATCGAGAATCGAGGCTCAAACTTGACGTCATTCCTAGAACCTCCGTCAGATCCTCCAATTCCGAGTTGTTTGCATGTGAGACCGTCAGTCGTGAATGCAACCAGATTTAAAGTGCAATAGGGGAAGCCTCTCGCCAGCAGAACACCCCATCGCCGTATTTGTGCCGTGTATCATATACCGATCTACCACGAGTGCAACAAACAATCTATGAACTTTTCTATTTCCATTCAGCCTTGTCTTCCCGAGTTCTCCTCGTCACTGACTATTCCCTACTCGTCCATCTTGCTCTTGCGGTACCCGAGCCCGTTCCTCAGCTTGTCTTCCTTCTCTACGATACTTGCTGGCAGATGCTTGCCAATTCCAAACAGCACAAAAAATGCCCACTTCCACCGGAATGGGTTGATCAACGTGACGAAACAGAACCAGTACAGCAGCTCCGAGTAGGTGAAGAAGTCGAATGCTTTGGTGGGCGCCAAAGCCTTGACGGTGCTGGTGAAATCGACCCATCTTTTCATCCACCACGTCCGTGGAGTGGTCAAGGGGTCGACGAGAAACATGAGCAGCATGCGGGTGTAGATGCCAATGTGATAATTTCCCACAGTGCTGCAACGACAAGGCGTTCAGTGGTCAGCAGTGAATCTGTGCAGACGAACTGAAGGCGCAAGACTTACCCAATGGCGTTGACGTAGGTCGAGTTGATCGCACAGATGGATGGTTCGGTGGGAGGAAAGCACTGGATAAACCAGCGCGGTGGTTCGTAGCCTGGCTCGAAGCACTGCTCTGGTAGAAAGTCGAGACTGGGCCGCTTGTAACCGGTGGCCATGATGATCATGTCCCCTTCCACCAGTGTATGATGGCCTGGTCCGCCTTTTGGCACTCCCTTGGCCCGGCGATTGAAGACGATGCCGTTGTCCTCAACCTCCTCGATGTCCCCTCGGAGCCACGACGCTTTTCCGGCCCTGATCTGATTGAAGATCTCGCTGTTGACCATCGGCGTCTCGGTGAAAAGACCTTGGTCGGTCGGTGCAATATCTTTGAGGTCGCGGTAGAAGAAGACCCGTAGAAGGGTTTCGGGGATCCACGACAGGAGAGTCTCCTGGCCAAAGATGTTGAAGGACAGGAGGGCATCCACGAAACCATTGCGGGGGATGATCCATTTATCACTCCTCGCAAGCACTTTGATCTCTGCCGCGCCGGTATCGACCGCCCATTCCAACGCCTCGACCGCACTGGCACCGCCGCCTACAATGAGGATCTTTTTGCCACTGGCATCCTCGTGGTCAAGTCTGGACGAATGGACGATCTTCCCCTTGAACCTATCCTGGCCTGGAAGATGGGGCATCTTGGGTGCACCGCAGGTCCCAATGGCCGGGATGACTCCTTCAAATCTCCCGTTCGAGGGGTCGTTGATTATCCAGCGGTCGAGTTTATCCTTGTAAATCTTTTCGACTTGGACGTTGAACCTCGTCCGTTCATCAAGACCGTAGCGGTGCCAGAGTTGCCGGACCTGGTCCACAATCTGATTCTGTTTCGGATATCCACGGTCCCACCGTACAGAAGGATGGAACCGATACATTACACTGTGAATCTGGAGCCCGGAAGTCTATATGTAAGTTGTTAGAAAGATGATACCTCTCGAATATGTCACAACGCATCATCCACTTGCCGTGTTGACGTCGGACCAGATGCCACCAAGATGATCCTTGCCCCGAGCTTCGAACAAGGTCACTTCGAATCCATGACCAACACAATGTGCTGCGGCGGAAACACCAGTCAAGCCACCCCCGATGACCGCAATCTTTGGTCGTCGTAGTTGGGCGCCGGGAGCGGGCGGGTTTGGGGAGAATATTCTAGCTAGCAGCCATTGAACCAGAGTGTAGAGCCAGACAATGGGATTGAAAGCCATGGCAGCGGCTGTAGTGACGTCCGACGGGCCTGGGTCAGGACGAGTCGAGAATGAAAAGAGTATTCGAGACAGGACGTTGTTGAATTATTTAATCCAGAGGTTCCTCGTTCCTCACCAAACGTCATCGGTGGACATGGTTTCCGGCAAGTAAGAGTAAGACCCACGTTGAATCACTTGCATGTGAAAGTGTCTCGGCTCTTTGAAGATGGAGCATGTTTCGTAACCTCTACGTAGCTAGTTGGGTTCCCTCGTCCGCTTTACGGGACAGTTGGGCAGTCAGTGCAGGTGGGATGAGGTCGAATTAACAGCTTTTTGTATACGAGTTCTACAAAATTGGGAGCAGATAGAAAGACCATTTCCGAGCGTCTAGCCGCCGCCAGGTCCACTTGTGAGAGAGCTCTGATCTTGGTCGTCTGGGAAGAAATATGCTCCAACTCTGTAGGTTCGGTTAGTTGACATGCGAGAACTGCGCGGGCAGGGAAAGGAAACTCACGCAACAATGATGTAACAAGCACATAACAGCGCCCCTTCCAGATAGTTGCTCCGGCCGTCGAGCACGAGGAAATTGACGATAAAGGTCGAAACGAAAAGCGAGCCGGTTTCGAACAGACTGAAATACAACGACATGCTTTTGTCCATGATCCACCCAAGGATAACGACAATCGGCGTGACAAAAAGTGCAATCTGAATAGAGGAGCCCAACGCCACTCCAAGAGCAAGGTCGAGTTTGTTCTTCGCCGCAACAGTCACCGCTGTAACATGCTCTGCTGCATTGCCCACGATGGGCAAGATGATCAGCCCAATGAAGGCTTCCGAGAGTGGCGAGTTTTCGACCAGGTGTTCGATGCTGCCAACCAGGAACTCTGCACATAAAGCGACGAGGCCGGTTGAGATGAGCAGCCAAATGATGGATGCGGTCTGACCCATCGGCGGCTCGCTTTCATCTTCCTTTGAAATTGTGCTTTTGGGGGTCTGGCGCCTGTCGATTCTTCGGGCCGCGGGAGACAGGTTTTGCCATTGTACATCCTCGCGATAGTTGGGATCTGACCTGTAGCGTCGGAGGTTATTTTGCGCATGGTCTGTGACAGGTCCCCCTGTGGGATTGGTTGAGGACCGGAACACTGGGGGTGTACGGAACGGCAGCCCTCGAGGTCCTAATGGCAGCTTTGCCTTGGCGCCGGCTTGAGACGTGGCGGTGACTGTCACAGGGGTCGCAATAGGTCCCGAGTGTTGGGAAGGCTGTTCCATCTCCGCTGGTTCTTCGGTTTTTTCAATTGCAATGTCTGTGGGCGGGACACCTTCAGGCTGAACAGGCTCTATGCCTCTTTCTGGTTCTATTTCTGTCTTCTCATGTCGTTTCATGCCCAATTTCGCCCTCAATCGCTTACGCACACGACGATTGGAACCCGAACCAGAGTTCACAGTGGACACTCGTGATGAACTTGCAGACGAACTGGATGAGTCGAACCGAGCGAGAAAGCCAGGAGCTGATTCCTCGTCGATGACGTGCTGCGGCGTACCTTGATACAGATATGCATGGGACTTGAGTTGAAAAAGAAGGTAAAGGAAGTAGATGACTAGGAGGATGACCGATGTGCCTCGGCTCAGCTTGATTACCGCACGATCTGCACGGTCCATGTCACTGAAGGAAGCATGGAAAGCGGTCTGCTTGGGGTTAGCTGTTGTCTCGTCGATTGCAGAAATTATGGGGACCAACCGGAATCAACAGACTGAGAACCGCCAGGGCCAAGAGACAAGCACTCATCTGCGTCACAGTACTGTCGTAGATCTGCTCTTGGTATTCTAGGCCACCGATGAGGAAAGCCATGCCCAAAATGAGGAGCAGGTTGGCCAGGAGTGAGCCTATCAGAGAGGCCTGTACAATGCGGATCTCGTTCTTAACGAGAGCGATGATGAAGATGATGAGTTCGACTGCATTTCCAAAACTGACATTCAGCAGTGCCCCCAGCGTGGGTCCAAGTCGATGGGCAACGCATTCGGTTGCGAAGGTCAAAAGCCCTGCCAGGGGAATGATGGCAACGGCATTGAGTGCAAAGACAATGTTCGGATCGACATTTGCGAAATGGACAGCGATACCGACGGGCACAAATACCAAGAGGACATTGACCCAACTATGGAAGAGGGGCGCTTTCACATTTTTCCAAAGGCGCGTCGAACGAGAGCCTTTGGAGCTCTCGACTTCGGTCTCCTGGCCATTGGTGGAGGCTTTGCCAGCAGCTTTCGAAGTCTGATCACTGTGCGACCAGGGATTGAATTTGTTTTGATGAGCAGACGAATGTGCCCATGCTCGGACTCGGTCTGCACTGGTGATCAGGATTGGAGACGGTCACCGCGAGGGGAGAGGAGAACATACGCATTGTTATTGAGAGAATTGGCCGTACAAGGACATGTTACAGGGGTCGCGATGTATGAGAAGTCTCGCGGAGGAAGGAAAAGGATGGTGAAGGCCTCCAAAAAGTGTCGCGTCACGGAAGGATGTATACTACGAATACTGTAGGTAATAATGAACCAAATATTCAGGACAGCGAATGGAGTCGATGATGGCAAAAGGTCGAGGCAAACAGGGAAACAAGATCCAAGACCAAGACAATCTAGGAAACGCTTGGCAAGGGCCAAATTTGCGACAGCCGAGGGCGTATTTGACGTCACCTCCACACACAGGGGGTTGTGGGTGGTGAATCCGCACGAGGGAAAAGAAGAGGTAAAGGTAAATGAGGTACGAGCACTCGCAAAGAAGGAAAATAGACGAGCAGAGCAGCTCATTGCCTCCGACTTCCAGACGAGGCCTCGTCCCAGGGGCGGCATTCTATTACATCATTCAGAGTTGGCAACTGGGACGCTGCTGATGCTTATGGCGTCTTATTGCATTGGCCAAGGCGCCTTGGTTAAAGCGAAGCCTCTCACACGCGTGCATCATGATTGGGTGTCGACCCCTTAAGGCGCCTTAGCTTCCGTGGCGAATAAACAGTGTACCAGATTCGGAGAGCTTGATATGTGAACTTTTGATCGGCTATCTGCATTTCATCCAGAGCCAACAAAACAGCTGTATCGTTATATCCTCGACATTGCTCTCTACTTGGCCTGCTGCGTTTCAGTCACTAAAGGTTGACCCTACAGTTTTCTCCCACTATGCCCCACAAAAAGCCAACAGCATTGAGTTGGAATAAGGCCGCCTCATCCTGTATACCTAGGTGGGTGGGTTCCCACTACCTGGAGTCCCGAATTGAAAGAGTGCGCAGCCAATGTATTTCCATATTACCAAGGTAAGGTATAGCTAGCTGGCATTTTTCTAAGGAGGCGTGGTTGATTATCGCCCATACAGTTCACACCACAAGAAAAGGGACTCAATTCAGTGGCTGGAGCATCTCTGTCTGGGAAGACAACGTCTGTTCTCCCTGCCTCAGGTAGATAGTTGGGGGTGTCAACGCCCAAGGCAGGTAGGTAAGCAATGGAATGTTTTATGATTGTCTCGGGGTTATCGATAGGCGCGATAGGCGTGATAGGCTTCGTCTACAGGCGGGCACTGGGCTTATCGATAGGCGCCTCAGGCAGTTCTACAAGTGCATCAGCGCCCCCGCCAATGCCCCGCGATAAACCCTGTTGAAATTTTGTGCTCAACCACAATCACTGACAGTACCCCAATAGATGGCTCGAATAGACGCACGAAAATAATTAATCTAGCAAACCTGATTAAAAAACGAAGTCAAGGAATCGACTTGCTGCACGCCGAGTTGAATATTGGATACCGAGATGCTGATAACACAGAGGCGGCATCGATGTTATGGTGATGCCATCGCTGGGGTGGAAACGAAACTCCAAGCTTCAAAAGAACCTGCACGATCGTCAAGGTTTTGACCGAACATGTCAAATGTCACGGCATCGAACCATCATGATCTTCAAATCGTTGCCAGATGGAGAATTTTCTCCTGCTGAATCTCCTGTAGGCGCTCGTACGTAGGAGATAGAAGTTTCGACAGGCGATCTAGAAAACGTCTTCAACTCCGCTCAGAGTGGCCAGAGCCAAAGTTTGCAAAAGTGCCAGAGATGATGACGGGCCACACCGCAGACGAGAATACTGTGTGTCAGCTCTGCGTCGTTGATGTAGTTGCAATGGTAAATACCAGTAACGGTGCCCAATGTTCGTATGGAGAGTACATAGGTAAGCGGTGAACCAGCCGTACGAGACTGTCTCCTGGGTCAAATGGTACAACACTGCGCAAAGGACTGACATGCAGCCGAACGGACTGACCAGTGGACAAAGTACGAAATGGATTGGATTGATTGGAAAACGCCAGCTTGACCAGGGCAGGGCAAACTGCGCGGCCACAACCATCCGCTGCCTGCGCTCCCGAATCTCAGCATCTCAGAACTCGCACACCCCATTTCCGCTCGACTCGACGAAACAATTTTCCCAAACATCCACCTTCGCTGTTCTTACAGACTTACATACAATTTGACCAGTATCTTTACACTTTCTAGACAGCACTACTGTCATCTATTGCACATTGACTCAACGCAGCCCGCCCAAAAGCCGCCGACTCTTCGCCTGCGCAGCATCATCGAGTGACTCGACGTAGTTGTTTCTTGCAGCACCAGAGCATCATGAGGTAAGTCATAGGTTGTTGTATATATTCAGTCCCTACAAAGAGAGCAGACTCGCTTGGAAATGCTTCTTCAATTCCAGAGATGGTGTCGTCCCCTGTGTAGTCCAGTCATAAGGTCGCAGGCACCCAGAGCCACCACTTCCCATACTCGGGTCGTGTCTGGCATGGACCTCCAACATGACAATGTCTACCAATGTGCATCTCTTTTTCGGGAGCCCAGAACCGTCTCAATTCAAACGGCAGTGGTCGAGCTTACGCTCAGGGCTTGCACCTTGCGAGTCCTGTTACTGACGGGTCACGACAGTGCCTCTCACCAGAGTACTTCACAGACCCGGCAGCCGTCGTTGCAAACCCCTCTGATCAGACATGCGTCGACAACCACGGCCAAATCTGCCTCCTCAGCGTCTTCCTCTGCTTGTTCCTCCTCCTCAACCTCTTCGTCATCCTCTTCCACTACGAGGGAATTTTACACTTCGGCTCTAGAGCGACGATTTGCTCAAAGCCCCCTCGATCGAGAGTACGTGGCCGGAAGATTGTCGCCGAGGGATCGACAGAGTCATTTGAGTGGGACAATGGATGCCATCCTCTCTCAATTTGAGCAGGATGTCGTCCGCACCTACAACTGACCATCGAAGAACGAGGAGTGGCATTGGTGGAGATGTTTCCTTTCCCAGGTGAGCGACCTCCTGCAACATACATCGGAGAGCCGACGTCTGACCCGAGTATCAAGACATTCGTTCAAATCTTTTTTTCGTCCCAGCTTCGTCACGATACAACCCAGTCCCTACCCACCAGTTAAGCGGCGTTGAGGCGTATTGCATCGATTCCGTCAGCAGCAACAGCCATCCATCATTCGTCTTTCATTTCTTACCTCTTCAGATCCATACACCTTCTATTGCCATTGAGCCAGGCCTGCCCAGCACCCAGCAACCATCTTCGCGGCCAGTCAGGCACCCGCCGGTCACGTGGGGTTGAGTCACCGGTACCGACAGACAACATCACGTGCCGCATGAGGGTTGCCTGGCGGTTGCCTTTTCCCGAGCCAAGTTATCAACAAAAATGAGGCAGTGCATGAGACGCGCTCTCGACAGCGACCGACAGCCTTATGTGAATTGCATGAGAGGAAGTCCCCTGACACGGTGGTCAACGACATCCATACCCTCGATTTCGAGGGCAAAAAGGAGTTTATAAAGTCCCACCCGGACGAGAAGCCTGTCAAATCAAGTCAAGGAGAGGTCGGTAGGCGTGTCGACAAAGAAGAAAAGCTGAGCTACTCGAGGCAGGCGCAAAACCGAAAAATCAAGGAGGCTCGCTATTGAAAGATTGCAGCAACAAGAGGAGGGAAAAACAATCTCCTTTCGGGGGGGACTGAGGGGCTGTCTTATGTATTTGCAATGGAAGGCAACAAGCCATCTGGCCACCGAAACTTCTGACATCGTGCGTGGTGAGCCCACCATGATGCAGAAGAGGGCAAGGATTCCAGGCAATTTATGCCTCACTAACCTCGCAACGCCAGGCTTTCTTGCACAGGCCAATCAGTGGCACGGCCTCGGGTTGAACAAGCGCCTATCTTAGCCCGCTTTAGGCTTAGCCATTGCGAGTCTTCTCAGCTCCCCACCCTCAGGTCCCCTAAGCACGCTGGCTCTGCTGGGTCTTTTGCGGATGCTTCAGGAAAGAATCGCGCACAATTACTGAAGTGGCGCACCAGGCTTGTTTCCGGCAACGAGCTCTACCTCTTTCGCAATGTATCCCTGTCATCTTCACAGCAAGGCTGTATAAGACCATGGATGGAGCACCACAAAACAGTGTTCCCACCATGGAGGATGCGAGCAATTTTCTTCGCTCATCCTTTCGTCCCGATGCCAAAGTCAAAGGGCATTTCAGCCAGGCGGGACCTTTCCGTTTCAGCCATTCCGTGACCAACGTGTATAAGCCTATGCAAGGGATGTGGACTTGCAATTCCATCACACCAGACGGGCAAAATTCTTCTGCCTAAGAGGCAACACCGATGACTCTGCGTATGACAAAAGAGCGCAGACGATGGCCAATGATTTACTTGACGAAGTAGCGGTCACACGCATTGGCTATGAGGGCATGCCACATCACCAATGCGCCCGATAGGAAATACAGCGCGTGGACCAGGTACTTCTGCGACTGTGAACTTGCTTCAAGGCGCATCTGATCCATTGGCCCATTAACCGTTCGGAGAATGATGCTTGGGTGGTTCTTATTACCGTGGAGGCGAGTTGGCAAAACTTGTTTGCTATGCCGCTCATTTCCAAATCCACGGGGATGTCCTGCAACTACGAACACCCTGTTCTTCCCTGCGCGACCAACGCATGCTGCGCTGCCTACCGAATTGGTGCATCCAATGTGGCTATTGCAATGCTCGTTCCTCACCGCCCTCTAGGTTCTGGAGGCATGCCGCCTGCAGGTCCAAGAATTACAAAGAGCCTTGGTCGATTCCAGAGCACCTCTTTGAGTCATTCGAGGGAAGGATATCACTGCTTGTCTCGCCTCAAGATCTCAGAGAATGGAATGTCGAATGCGACTTTTTCTCGAGCAGACCAAAACCAAACCACGCTAGGATCGTGGTGGGGGAATATGACGGTCATGGGATTATGTCAAAATGACGATTTGCCCAGCGCTCCTTACATTCTTTTCTTTTCCAGGTTGAGAAGTTGCATATGTAATGCAGAAGTTGTATTCAGCAGTTATTTTAACGACAATCTTTCCAATGACAGCCTACCGAGCTGCCCGATACGATTTTGTTGGAGAAGATGAGAAACACGTTCCGAATGAGATGAGATGAGAGGAGTCCACTGATGCGAGATCTTATGCACTATCATGAAGGCTGATTTGATATTTCTTTGTTTTCGATCGTTACACTTTGATTTTGTGAGTTGTCATGTGAAGCAGGCTATTCCTGATGATGATACCCATGATGAATGCTATTTTGTGTGGTTTAGCTATGTACGGAGGACCAGGAGTTCAGGGGGTCATTTTGGCCTTTTGCTATATTGATTGAGATCAAGATACAACACATTGATTTTAGTTGGTATTTTCAGATTACATACATCATTTTCTGCAACAGACGTTGAAATATTCCTTGAGTCTTGGACTGACTGAGTGCTTTTGCTCTGAGGGTTTTTCTTTTCCTGGATCTTCTTGGGATGAAAACCGGAAACACTGACTTGTCCCAGGTCCCAGGTCCCGGGTACGTAGAATCACGGCTGCGTGAGAGCTGAACCGAACCCGCGCCGGATTAAATCAGGCTGATAGCGACAGAGCGCAAGGAGAGCCAGCCAGAACGGTTGGAGCAGGAGTGTGACAAACACGCACACGCACGCACACACACACACACACACACACACAAAAGATGGATATACAAGTCAGAAAGAAAATCAACGAGTGTTGATCAGTGCCGATTCCTCGTTTCGGTATAATCATGGTCATGTACGTGTTTTGGCCGACCATTCCGCAAAAGAAAGCAGGCAGAAGGCAAAAAGCAGAAGGCAGAAGGCAGTAGGGGTAGGAGACAAAAGGCGCAGGGAGACCGGCGGAGAGTGAACAGGAGCCTGCCACGAATATGGAAGAAGCATTCCTTCCCCCCCTTTTTTTCTACTCGTTTTTCTTTTGTTCGGTTGTCCTTTTTTTGTTTTTTCTCTCTTTCTATGTTTCCGTCCTTCGTCCTCTGCCTGACTGTGCGCGAAGTAGACGGATCTTCCGTGCAGCGAGATGGCTGGCGTAGGCATGGTGAGATATCATACTATATCGCACATCGCACGTCGTGCGTCACACATCACCGCCCGGCCGGTTGGTTTTGTTTCGAAGTTGGAAAATAGAACATGACCGCACAGCAAGGCTGGTGGACACGACGATAAGCAAGCAAAGACAGACAAGATGAAAACAAACTAAAAGGGAAACAAAAAGGAGAAAATGAGAAAAGGGTGAGAGAGAAAAGGAGATGAAAAAGAAGATGGAAAAAAGACACACTCGGTGAAACAAGCAAGGAAGAGCAAGGTAGAGCAAGTAAGAGCGCTGCATGTACCCTGAATACCTACCTACCTACCTACCTACCTACCTACCTGGAGAGCGAGCGAGTGCCAGCATTGGTATGAGGGATGAGGACGAGGATAAGCACGAGCACCCTGTAACGACCAAAGAGTATTCGTATGCTCAAAAGTGAGGCAATTAAGGCTACTAAGTAGTATCCTACTCAGGTACCTCATGCGCACTCGACCCAATCCATACGTCGAGAAAGAAAAAACCCTTCAGCTTTGTGCGTGCCAATTGAGTCGTAGTTGGTATCCAGATGTTTACCTCGTACTCGTATGTACCCCAAGCAAGCAACTCGGAGAAAAAAACGCCGACGAGATTCTTCTCGGTTTGTCTCATTGATGTCATCAATCCAGTTCAATCAACCCGAAACAACACAACTGATTTATCGTCCCCCTTGATTCTCTGGCCCATGTCAATCGACTTTCGTAGTTTCATATGCATGTTTCATGCTTCGCGCTTCATGACAAGTCCACACAATCGGAGCAGCAGCAAGCATCATAAAGTCATCACTCATTTCCCTGGAGCGAATTGCCCAACAACCGCCCTCCCCAAATCTATGATTGTTACCGTGTGACCCCGGGAGAACGTCTAGTGAATACTCTTCAAATGTTCCACAAGAGCCTGCAACTGTTCCCTCACTTCGTCGGTGAGTTGGTCCTCGGGTTCGCCTAGCACGCTCATCATGATCGGAGCCAGTTTTGGCGTGAGTTGCTGGACGGTAGGGTCTTGGTCACGGTAGAGCTGCACAATCATTTTCCAGACGGGCTCGTTCTCCTGGTAATCCTCGGTGAGAGGCAAGATGTCGCTGTCCACCAAGACAGGAAGGACTTGCGACACGGGCACCTTGTCCTTGTGATTGAGGATGAGGCGTGCCACACAGCCTGCAGCATTATCAGTGCACCTAGCCTCGGTGATGTGCAGAATCGACTCGAGTTTCTGGAGGATCTGGGGATACGCCTTGAGAACAGTGGCATCGTCATTGGACTTCTCGACAAGACGGCCGACAGCATATGCAGCATTGGATTTTGTCTGAGCGTCCTCGTCGCCCAGGCGCTTAAGCAAGACGTTCATCATCTGCGAAGTGTATGGTGTGACTGCAGCATCCATGCCAGTGATGATCTCTGCGAGCACACCACAAGCGGACGCACGTCCGAGTGATTCGCCACCGCTCGCATAGCGAAGGACTTGCTTCTCAAAGATCTTCCAGAGCTCGCCGAAGCTAGGACCGAGCGCTGCGGCGAGTCCGGAGATGACGTCCATTGCGCTATCAACGACCAGCCATTCCAGTTCTGTGGACTCCATATCTTCCTCGTCCAAGTCGTCCATGTCAATCTGGCATGGGTGTTTCTTGGTGATCAGTGCCGTGACCGTCTGGACGATGCGAGAGAGGCAATCCTGGTAGGAAAGGAGAGATGGGCCAGTAAGTTTGAGGTTCTCCGACAGAGCCCGTGAGGTCTCCGTGACGGTGGCACTATTTCCCAAGTCAGACATTGCACATGCAGCGATGGATGGAACATAAATTGTTAACAACAATAAAAGTCAGAGGGTTGAAGATCGCTTTCGCTTCATCCACGGTCTTTCCGTGTCGGAGTGAGCTGGGATTAACGAAGAAGGTTCATCATGGTTGCTTGCGGGGGCTTGTCACAAGGGACGGCTGAAAAGAAAACTAAACTTACGTGTCATCCTCCTCGGTCCAGACATTCAATGTAGCAGTCATCAGGAGCTCTCCGAATTTCTTCAGCTCTGGGGTGGGTTCGACTTGCACTGGAAGACCTGGCTTCCACTTCTGAATCTGGCCAGACTCTTCCGAAACCTCGTACAGAGCTGCATATGATCGATGCAGGGTGCTGATGGTCGCCTTTCGGACGTTTTCATAGGAATGTTCTACCAATGGCAGCAACATCTCGATGGTCTTTTCGAAGTATGGGAGATAGGCTGTTTTGGTGTTGGATATCACGTCGCCGATGACTTCAATTGCAATTTCCTTCTCCAACGCAATGGGAGTGACGGTCGCCAGGTCGCCCCAATCACTGTCGTCATCATCACCAATCTCGACATCCTCGATGGTTCCATCTTCAGCCTCATCGTCGCTGTCGGCGGCAGCCACCTTGACCTTCTGGCCAGCAATGGTCACCTCCTTACCTAGCAGATCTTTTGCGCTGTCTCCAAGAGCAACCTCAAGGTCAGCCTCCTCCTGATCGATGCAGGCAAACAGGCCCTGCACCACTCCACCAAGGAATGGAGCGAAGTCTTCTTCGTAGACTTTAGCCAAGGAACCCCAAAGGATGTACGTGCTTTCCTTGAGACGCGAGTGCTCCAAGTGAAGAGCCTCCTCACTGGTTTGCATCAACGGTTGGACATAGTCCTTGAAGTTGGCAGCACCGACAGCCACCGCCATCTCGCCCATGGCGTCAGTGCAACTTGCACGCAAGTCCAGCTCCTCTTCGCTTTCCTTCTTGGTAATGAACTCCTGCATTGCGTGCATTGAGTCATTGAGATATGGCAAGAAAGGACCTTCAACTGTTGAAGCCAACGAGCCTAGAGCACCAGCAGCCAAGGCCTTGATCTTGAAATCGGGGTGTTTAAAGAGGCGTTGGAGTAGAGGCGCCAACTTATCCAGATACTGCACAGCATCCTGAGCATCCATACCATCGACGACGGCATCGATGGCGCTGGTTGCAGACTTCATAATGTCGACAGTGGGTCCTTCCTCCTCGCCCTTATATGCACCCATGGCGGCAGTAAGGTTCTTGACCAGCAGTGGTATCAGTTTCTCATGTTGCTTGGTGATATCTTCTGGTAAATCGTCGGCCAATCGTGCTGTGGTCTGCAGAGCAGCCTGACGAACGGTCACTTCAGAGTCTTCCAGGAGGGCGAACAGAACAGGGAGAACGGAGTTCAGTTGGGTACTGAGAAAGTCAGGAGCACCTTCGACGGCCATGCCGAGGGCCAGGATACCAGCTTGGCGGTGCTTGGAATCAGAGCTCTTCGAGTACTGTGGCAGGGCATCGAGCAGTGGCACGAGTACCTGGTTGGCCGGGAGGCTCTGGGCCATTGTGTCAATCAGACCGAGAGCAGACCGAGCCGGGGTGATATCATCGTCGTCGGCAGAGGCATCGTCTATCTCAGTGACGATTTGCAGCATGCTCCTGGTCAATGGCTCTCCCATCTTGGCTCCCTGGACTCTAAGCCGTCGATAGATAACACACTGCATCAGGAAGCTGATGGCTTGCGTGCGAATCTCGTCTGACATGTCTCTGTTGGATGCAATGTCATTCATGAAACGAACCAAGTCTAGGAAATGTTGAGAGATGAGTTGGTATTCGGCCGTCAGAAGTGTGTTGAAGACCTCAAAGGCCAACATGGCTTCCTCTTCCTTGCCCGAATCAATCGTGTCTTTCAGGACCGCAACCATCGCAGGGAAGATGGCCTGAAAGGCTTTTATCGATGCCTCGTCCTCATCCGCGTCAATGACGAGAGCCATTTTTGATATAGCCAGCATAGTATTGATTCTGACCTCGAGCGACTCTGGATCTTTGATGGTTTTACTGAACAGAGCAAACAACTCTTTGAATTTCGAACTGAAGCCATCGCCCATGGTTTCCAGTATGCTGTAAAGCACATAGACACCAACAGCACGTTCAGCGGCGCTGGTACTGGTAGCAGCCTGCTGGAGCATGGCCGGCAGTTCAGGCCACTCTCCATCATCAAGATCGATTTTGGCAATGGAACTGATCAGGCGAGACGAGGCATGGCGGACGAGCGAGGAGGGTTCGGCAAGGGTGGCTGAGAACAACTGACTTCTAGCGTGTTGTCGCTGCTCTTGAGGAATCTTCGTCCAATGCTTTGAGACTAGAGGTTTGGCTTGCGTCGCTGCAAGTTGCTTGAGCTCGGCGCTGTCGTGAGAGATGATTAATTGGATGAGGAATAGCAACGACTGAGGATTCTTGTAGAATTCATTTTGCAGAACGTTTGTCGCAGTCTTGACATTGCCTTTCTTTGGATCCAGGACAATTGCCAACTGCTGGAGGAATCTTTGTTGATCCATGGCGGTGGAAGCAGTTGACGGTGTGCGAGAGACACGGAGTCTCTTGACCGTCTTTGGGTATCGTGGGAATAAGCAAAGCACAAACGCTCAGGTAAGAATCGAGGCTGGAAACGCTGGTAGAAAAAGCGTGCTGGGCTCTTGAAGCCAATGCGGTGCAATATTGAACAGGAAAAGAAAAGAAAAAGCGGTGCATATGAATTGACCAGGTAGCGCAGGCAAAGCCTTTCTTGCTCTTCCTGTTGGTGAACCGGAGCCTCGAGAGAAAAAAAGTTTGGGCGGTACATCGTAAATTTTGCAGGCCGATTCTGGTATAGCGTCCACGTGTGCCCCTCTTACTGCTGGGCCGTCGCGCTCTCAATGAGGCGTGGCGCGTCTACGGCCACAGGCAGTGAATTCAATCACCAAACAAGGTGGGCGTGGCCTGATCCTGGGCTGTTTTACATTGTGCATTTCTGTCGATTCGACCCGGGATGTGAATCCCTCCTGTTGATGTCTTTAGATGGCACTGACCAGCAACGAGGAACTACGCGCGATGAAATCATGGCACCAGCCTCCACCGTGGCCCCGATTCATACGCCACAAGGGCAACCATCAGCCACACACAACACCGCCACAGAAGGCTACGAATACGAATACGAAATCCGACGGCCGAAAACAAGGACGAGGTAATCAGAACGAGGGCGGTGATGCGTTCATTCTTCTTCCTCACTGAACTGTAATGGAGACTGCACACTCCCCTCATCATAGACTCGTGTCGTTGATCCTTTCTCGCCCGGGCACATCTTGAGGTCGGTTGTGCCGCCAACTGATGTTTGTGCCCGTCCCCCGCCGTCCAGATACCACCATCATGTGGCATCAACACCGAGCCAGACACACTGTGGGCGTCCAACCCGAGTCCATTCCGAGATACTCACAACCACCCTGGTGATGGTGCTGGGGAGGAGAGTGAAGACAGCCTTCTCATTATGAGGTCACGCCCCAGGACTCTCTCGCCCGGCGCAGCCTATCACGGACAGCTGATAATTTCACCGGGCTTGGCGCTGCAAAAATGCATTCTGGATACACGTATTGTATTTACGGGGCCAACACTCCCGTCTCCTTTTGGCGAGGCGAATGCTTCCAACCTGTCTGCACCAGAGCCAGTTCCTCAGATACGTACAGACGAGGTACTGGATTCAGCCTCGAGTACTGGCTAGGCACTCTTCACTGGATGCCGGAGAATCTCATATTCTGATTGACTGACAGCTCAATTGAGGGTTTGGTGTGTATTGGCTGCGTGAGTACAGTATGCGAGCTAAGTGGTGTATGGCCATATTGGGCGCTTGCAAGAGGCCCCTCTGTCCTACCCAGAGTCCCCAGGAGGGGCAAATTGCATCCGTCAAGTGGCGGGAGGAGTGGCATTTGTTGTGGGATGGCAAAAGAAGAGTGCGACTGATTCATTCCTCGCCCGTTCGAGAGGTTCGAAAAGCGCGATCACTGTGACGCTGGTCGGATAACTTGTCCGCGAATCCTCCCCGACTCGTCCGCTGTTCTTGAAGCCAACAAACCATCCTGGTCGTAACATTTTCTTACTTCTTTATATCATATCTCCTTCCTCCACCCTTCAAATGGCGTTTGACGTGAGCAGCCTCTCGAAATCCGCATCGTAATCGCAAATAGCACGTACAATTCGTACACTTCCTGGGCCGTCGAACATTCGGGAGCTGTGCTAGATGCAGTGCCCGAGACGGTGTAATTACCATGTCTCAACCACTGGCCCCGCGACCCTCCCAAGGTCTCGATGGCTCAATCAACCCCCCAAATTCTTTGAAACCGCGCAAGATCTCGACAGCTTGTGGGGCGTGTAAGCAGAGAAAAACACGAGTATGCTATGCTGCTGATTTTCGCTCTTTTCACTAATCAGACTCCAGTGTACCGGCGGTAATCCTTGTGAAGCTTGCGCGAGCAGGAAAAGCCCTTGCGTGTACGATGCAACTTCCGACCAACGACGAAAAATCGCCAATCAGCGAAATGTGCAAGAACTTGCCGACACCCAAGTGCAACTGGAGAGACATCGACAGCTCCTTGGGGGTATCCTTGCAATTGTAAAGGCTGGGGATGCCAACGCCAACGAGGACCTGGCTCGCGTCATACGCTCCGGTGTAGACCTCTCTCAGCTAGCAGCACATGTGAGAAACGAGTGTCGTGCGAACACATCAATACAGGTGGCCTTTGACAAAATCGACTTTACCATCGACGGACCTATGGAACTTCCATCTCCCAGCCAGATCCTTGGCCGCGAGATCTCCCGTGGCGATTCGGGGACCGCATTTATGTCGCCAATCGAGAAGTCGGAGTCAAACAGCGACGTTACGATGCATTCGGTCGATCAACATCCTGATCGGAGCACAGAAGGGCGAGAACCATGACAGAGCCAGCAAGCCTATTACTCGCATATGGTATTATCCATCAGGTCCTACCATTGCTACCGATACAGATAAATCAAACTTGCTGCAGGGTAATAAAACTCACTGTGGGCACCCAAAGAGGGAAGTTATACTTTTAACTGCACGCCGCTTAAAGTGGCTATGCTATGAAAATTATCATCTGATTCGAATGATTGCGTGATATCATGGGTTTCTGGTTGAGATCGGTATGCTCTGCCATGTATATGGATGTAAGCCTCTCAGCCTCAGTCCAGCACCCTCCTGCGCCTGTCGAGCTTTTGCTGAGAATCGGGCAACAGTAGAAGGCGTTCACGCAGCCTCCTCAGGGCCCGGCACAGGCTTCATCAAGCCATGGAAGGATGCGGCGGCACGACCAGACTCAGGGATTCATTTGCATCGGCGAGTCCTGAAGGATGCTATGCGGAAAGATTTGTAACCAAGACCCCACGACGCGGAGACATTAATGAATACCGTGATTGACGTTCTTGACGACTTGGCTATTTGTTATCGCCAATCTAGGCGGTTCTGTTACGGACGTTTCAACTCATCTGTTTGCGAATATCCACAACAACGCAAGCGACGCGGCAAGGGCCTCTCTATTCGCTTTGACGTCAGACGGCGCCCTGTGGCCTGCAAGGCGTCTAGATCTAGCAAACTGCAAGAGAACCAAACTGAAGAACACGTCGCTTGACTTTTGTGCAATTACAGGAACTAATTTCTTTACTGGGTTTCAATTCCATCCAAGCAGCGGTGGCTAAGTCCAGTAATAAGGCCCCAAAGCCCTTGGCGAGTCCTGGTAGACATACATATGTTTCCTTCGCACGTCGCACGGTAGCAGTCAGACCATTTCGATTCAATAGTAGTGCAGTGTCGGGTGGCAGGCAGAACCTCTCAGCATACCAACAATTACGGGGGCCCATGCCTTTCAAGTTGGATACCAAGGGCAACAAAACATCCCCCCCCCCAGAGGGTGGTTTGCAGGAGAACGAGTTACTCGGGGCGTGGCCAACAACAGATAGGTATCCATACCCACCCAGAGTGGGTATTATACCTCGAAGCAATATCTGCTTAAGGGATCTGAATGAGTTTAAGGGTCCCCCCCCCCTCCCCCCTCCCCCCTAGACACTGGTTCAGGATGCCCTAACATGGATGGTACTCCTCGGCCCCTCTTCCCTGAAGAGTCTCGATCAAACTAGTTGGTTCTTGAGATTTTCCGCCTGATGGGCAATTCTGCAAGAGGTGATTCACCCACGCCGTTGGGATCTCCAGTGCCCCGAAACACGCCGTGCTGGTGTCATCTCTACCATCTGAATGGTTGCGCCTCCCTTCTCGGATGAATGCAACCGGTACCACCAAGCGACAACAATCACCGTGAGGGGAGGGGGGGGTTATTGCGTACCTTTGACTTCGAAACATGACACATGGCACCTCGACGGTTTTCAACGGATACGACAAGCGTGGCGACCTGGCAGGTGCAGGGAGCATGCCTCCGAGATCACAGCACCGGATACTGTTAATTCACAAAATCGACTCACGCTTGGAGGGGTCACAACTTCCACTAGAGACACGAACTGACTTCTTCAGAGCCAACCAGTCGCCAGGATCACAGGACGGCGTTCGAGGCATAATTTGTGCAATTGAAAAAGACTTGGGAAGAGCCTGCGGCCAGGGAGGGTCTTTTTCCCTGCGCGACATGGGCCGACGACACCAGGGGTTCCAGGGGGCTACCAGGGTCAATATGCGGTCCTGACTGCGCAAATGATGCTCCCTGACCCGGGACCTACGATCATGGTCGTGTCCTTTGCAATCGAGCTTCACCAGTAAGAACCAGCGGAGGAGCCAGGTTGATCCTTCCCGTGCCGCAGCCCGGTCCCTGTGACATTCTCCAGGTGATCGGCGGCTCTATTGGTCGCTTGCGGTACGTAACCACGGTATTCTTAGTACAGGGACAATGCAGGGAGGGGGTGTGGTTCAAGCTTTTTTGCACTGCGTGCCTCGGAGCTCTCGAACAGCGCAAAACCGGGGTTCAGTGCATCTCACCGAAGTCACTGGAGACTCCCAGGGTCGACGTCAGGGCAGGGTCATAATATCTCGGGTAGTGCCTACAGCCGACGACAAGGATAAATCGCACCAGACGCAGGTGCCCGAACACAGAGAAAGGTCTCAAGAATTTCCTTCATGGATTCTGGAATGGTCGCAAGCAGCTCATGTTAATATTATTGTCTAGTTACAGAGCCATGCGTCTGGTCACGACGGGGTGAACCAATTGGACGAACGGGCATTATACTTCCGGCCCGCAAACGCAACAGAGTTGGGTTATTCTACCAACACAACAGAGACGGAACTGTACTTGCGGTCTCCGCTCGTGAGGCTTCGGTTCCCTGGATGTGGATGGCACCTGTTGAGCTGTGATCTGTTATGCATCACCTCGCTCCTCACTCACATGTGGCCATGCGCCTGAGTCGATAGGGACATCCTCTATAAAAGAGGGCGGGGCCGCAGAAGAGATGTCGCTTAGCAGTTCGCCTTTTATGCATACGTTACACGTCGACCAACGGAACCAATCTTTGACAGACCATCCCACAGCAGCATCTCAATCCTCATCCTCGACAACCTCGGTCACGACCGCCACCCTGGTAACGTTACCACCGTTGAACCCGCCGCCCGTGTACGGACAGCTGGACACGGCGCAGACGGTGTCCATTTCGGCGCGCATCTCGACGTAGTCTCCCGGCTTGGAGCTGTTCAGAGCCTTCAGGGTGTAGTAGGGGGTGTTTTGGAACACGTTGAACGGGTCGATGACGTCGCTCCAGTGCTCCATACCCCATGGCGCCATGGCCTCGGCGAAATTGGTCGCGCACGAGCGATGATCGGGCTGTCCCTGGCGAGAGTAGAACCCCGGGTTGCACGCCATGAACAGCAGATCGTGCGTCCTGACCGTGTCGGCTACCAGGGTGAACATCTTCCGGTCGCGATTGCTGTACAGACACTCGCCTTCCTGCGGCGCGGCGAGCCCTCCCAGGGCGTAGCGAGTGTAGCTGGCGCTGAAGTGCTCGCAGTCGGTGGACCGGGTGTACGGCAGCGCCCACGCCATGAAGTCGACGACCTGCTGACCCTCGAGATCGACGATGCGGAAGTGAGAAGACGCCTTGACTTCGAACGCGAACCCGTGCGCTGCAGGGACGATGTGCGTCGCCAGCTTGGACTTGGGCCGCATGAAGAGGAGCGTTTCCCAACGATGCTGCTGCTGCTGCTGCCGCTGCTGTTTGCCGATGGAAGTGCACACGGGGCGCTGGTCGGGGTCTTCTTTAGAAGCTGGTTTTGGCTCTGGATTTCCGCGGTTGGTGCCATGGCCACCCTGGAGCTGAGGGAATAGTACTTTCCTCGTCATGGTTCCTCGGAGGGGAGGTGTGCAGGTAGGTACAGGTACCTAGTATTGAGGCCCTTCTGTCAAAGGAGTTGGCTTTTGGTTTAGATTAGATTTCTGCACCCTTTGGACTTTCTGATCTCTTAGGCCCGACCAATACTCTTCTCTCCAGGTGCTTGTAGACTAGTGTTACTTGCCACAGTACCAGTACTACGTGTGTTCAGGACGATGAGGGCGGAACTGAACTTGTGGTTGGAGCGCTAGCTGATGAGCATCCAGGATGACTGGATTGAGATTGGAAGTGTGATGATATGGAGATGGGAGCTGCTGACTGCGAGAGCACAAGGGTATGCCATCATGGGCAGTCGGAAATGTCCGCCCCTCGCCGTCGTCATTGGGCAACCAGGATCAAAAAGGTCGGGATGTGCTCACCGGGTAAGTCTTAGCGAGGCGGATCGTACTCGTATGTTCGTGTAGATGTTGTTATAACATGGAGTGATGGGTGAGAGCAGGTACTCGTACCGGGTCTGTGACGAGGAGGTACGGAGTAGTTGACTGCCACGGGGGGTTGGTTGACTGGTCATGTCGATCACTCTCTCGGTCTCAGGTCAGCACTCAGGTTCACCAGGTCCGTTCAGCTCACTCGAGGGACCCTAGTAGACTGTTCGGCGTTGGAAATATGTGGAAGTGAGTTTTTATCTACCTGACACAGAAAGACTGGCCACTATAATAATGAATACAGGTACCTACTTGTAGGTACGTTCTCGGTATGTGCGCACTAACTAACAGGCACGTAGGTACATAGCTAGGCCGATTAGCGAAAAAGGGGGGATGGGAGTGCCCGCTAACCAAGTTAGCCTGCCCGTAGTCCTGTTTGATGCACCAGAAAAAGCTATTCGTTTGAGAAAGTCTGGTCTATAGAGCCAATCACGCTGGGTGGAGATATAGATCCTGACGGTAGGGTTGGGTAAGAACCGACTTCCCTCCCTCGCAATTTGTATAATACTCGCTCAGCCGGTGCGGATACGGCGCCCGTACGACTGACTTACTTGTTACTTGGAAGTAGTCTGGGGTGACGGGCTGTGTAGTCTTGTGTACTCGACGAGTCTTGGGTACTCGTAGTAGAGTCGTAGAGGGTTCCATCGATCCAGCAGACCACGAACTAAATACCTACCCCATGGTATTAATAGCTAGGTCGAACTCAAAAAGGCAGCTAAATATCTACAGTAGACAAGCACACTGTTGTAAAGTACCCACGCCGTCAAAGATGTAAGTCCTTCATTTGCCCGACGGAGCCGTGGAGATCTAGTTTGAACATTGACCCCTACGGGGCTGCGGGTGGATAGGATAGGAAGTCTAGGCTTGAGATGTACAATTGGAACTCAGTAGGTCTTCTTTACTTTGCTACCAGCAACTCCAACATGGACGGTTTCGTGTGACTCGAGCAGGAAAAAGTGAGAATCTGGTCTGAAGCGGCCCGAAGCTCGTAGACAGTACAGAAGGGTGCGAAGAGCCAGGCTCAGCTGGGCTCCTTTATTGATGGCACAAAACTGTCCCGCTCTGTGTTCCTAACTTCCTGTTGATATGGTTGTTACACAGCCGCCGTCATGTTGAGGATACTGCAGTAGCGAAGACAATGTCGTTGACGACGAGATCTGTCACAGACGGTACGACGATAATGTATGCCAAAGAGATGATGAGCCCTGAGAATGTTCTTGTTCTTTTTGCCAGCCATGCTCCTCGTCTGGGAGTCCAGTCCGTTCGTCTGACACCTATTCTTCGTGGACCTACTAGGAGCGAAGCTTCTTCAGAGAAACATAACGGTCATCTAGTTTGTAAATCAATAACAATGACTCAATTACAAAAAAAACAAACTTACTAGACCCCTCTGGTGAACCTTGGTAACAGGTCGCAGCCATGGTCAGAGCATGTTACAGAGAATACATAGCGAGATATCTTTTCTACTTTGGAAGCATAGATTCTCTACCATTAGTAGGGAATTTCATTATCCTCGGCTCATATCTGTAGTTGGACTGGGTGAAACCGAGTATACATGAACCGGGACCAGATGACAACGTCAAGAGGCATTTGGAAGCACGTTCTCTGGAACAAAGCAAAGAACGAGGTCTTGAAATGCTCCTATTCAAGTTTTTTTGCTTGCAGCCACAAAAGGCGGCTTTGTACCGTTGCAAATCATAACACATACAATGCGGTTGTAGCTCAACCTTCACTAAGGTTACCTTGTTGTGAGGAGCTTCAAGCACATGTGTCATGCTCATCTTCATTGTCTTCCTGGAGTGCTCCAAGAAATGCAAATGCTGGACGAAGGTCGAGGATCGACCTCTAATACATCATATTCCACCGCTGGCTATGGTATGAATCGTATGAATGTCTCAATTATTGAATCCTCCTCTTGCTCATTCGTTGTACTTTATCGCCTTCTTTAACCATCCTGAGGTTGCTTTTGGCGATTCAGCATCTTCTGCCTTCTAGAATGATTCGTCATGAGCGTGAATTGGCACGCCCATCGTAGCACTGAGTTGATTGTTCGCGAGATATGGAAGACGGATTATGAAATAGAAAAAATAAAGATCCGAAATGTAACTATCGCTCACGTTAGGGGAATCTTGCCACGGTGTGGGAGATCGATCTTTCCTGAATCAGGCGAGGTGTTCGCCCGAATTCTGCACCGACACCTTCTGTAGGAGTTCAGCGCATTCTCGCAATGGCTGTATGAAGATCATAGTATCTTTTATCGGTGTTGGAGGGCGATGGATGTCGTGTAGATGGCGACCTCAGGTTATCTCGACGACGAATTGCTTGAAACAAAAACTTGTGCAAGCGAGAGGGTTTGGACATAGCGCAGATCTCACTGTTCATTGGCGAAAGGCTTGGTGTATATGCGATCCGCAGGCTTCCGGTGGTTGTAGTCGATTCTCGTTTGGACAAGGTGTGGGAAGTTCTTGATCTGTTTTCGCATCGATTGATGGATTCGGTAAGTCACGGTAGCGTTAGAGCATTCTGAAGCATTCAAACGGTAAAAACGATCCCGGTCTCTCAAAGGACCACGCTCAGTCATGATCCAACTCCAGTGATGATGGCAGAGTCCCACTCGATGTTGAGACTTGCACGTTGATTCTCCTGCGGCTGCAAGGCATACGGTGTCAAGGATGCCATTTTCGAGGAAGCAAGGAGAGGCTCGCAGATTCATCCCGCCACAGAAGGCCCATCACACATTAGTATTGACGTAACGCGTGGATGCAACTAGGGAAACAGACAGGCAGAAAAAGGTCACAGGGTCGAAGTAGGAACCCCAGGCGATAAAGAGTCTTCGCCTCAGATCAAGCTTGGGAGGTGTCGATAGGAAACGACCCTCTTGTGCTTGAGCTCCAGAGCGGTGGTGGTGGTGCCCTTGGAAATGGGTGGAAGTGGCATCTCCGGGGGCCGGCGCCCAATCAAGGGAGCCTCTCAAGACTCCTCCTTGGTGTGTCCCCCGGTTGCAAATTCCGGGCCTCAACAAAGGCGCAGAGACAAACTCTCGTACAAAGACACTGAGATTGCTCGGATTCAGCGAGTCTGTATCCGCAATCCATGCCAAAAGCCATGATGAGCGGACCCGGAGTCTCGTTCTCGCTGCGGACGGTCTCTCCTCTGCGGTCCTGGAGCAGGGCAACCATTGTCCCGCGCGTTTGTCTGTTCAGGTTCGGGCTCTGCGATCTGTTCATCCAACCTTCGTTCTCGGGCGCTTCACACAACCCATAAACAAACCCTTGACGCGAGCATACTCACCATTTCCCAGGATACCTCGCATTGTGTTCCTGTCTCTGGCATGTTCACTCTGCCGGACGGGGACCACCACCACGCTTCTCGCAGTCGGGCCCCGACGCGATCCTTTGACCAGCCAAATGCACCCCCAGGTGTATGGTTCAGGTTTGCCACAGCTGGCAATCAACTTTTTCCTTGCCAATGAAGGCTGGCTGTACTTCATGTGCCAACGACGCCTGGTTGAACCGGTAGGAACAATGATGAGCTGGAAATCCCGTGGTGCCAGGGGAACAGCGGTGTCCACGTACTTGACCTACCGGTTCTCTCGATACACAACTGTTGCGATAAATACCTCCTGCGTCGCCGGTCAGCGATTTCTCCCTTCTCCTGCCGGATACACTGGGCATCAACCTCGTGGAAAGAGGTGATACAATCCTGCGTTCATGTTGAAGATCCATGGAAGAAAGTTGCTGGGGCTCCACAAAAACAGAGACAATTCTCAAGTGACTTCTGAATGGTTCTTGAGACTATACAAGGTACGGAAAGGCTTCTACAACTACGTAGTCGTTCCCAGGGCGTTGAAAAGTCGTTTCTTCGTGGCCATCTCAACGAGACCGGGAAATGTTTCCGGTGGCGCACGTGTTGAAATACCGTGTAAAACATTTTGTCTGACAAAATGCCGTGACATGATGGGACTAAGCCAACTGCGGAACGGAATGCAACTCCCAGCCAATGAGCCGCACCATCTGTCTACCGTACAGTACACTTCCCAGCCGTGCGAGGCTGAGCGATCTTTTCTTCGGTGGACTTCTCTTTGCGTGGATAAAGTCATCCAAGGTTTGTTTTGATGGGTCTATTGCTATGCTAAGCTACCTAGGGTACGAAACTCATGCCGCATTGATACCATTCATGAAATGGCCGCCTAGATCCAACGCCTCCGCCTTTCACGAACAAAGTCCTACGCCATGGTACCGGACGCCGACAGAATGAAACCCCTGTTACCACACGATTCAGTCTCGGCCTCGACGCTCGCGCCTGTCCTCGCTTGAGCGGCGACGACGGTGGTAGTGATGATTGTATCGCTCAGGGCCACGATCGCGGAACTCCCGTTCATCTTCGAAGGAAAGAGTCTCTGGATACCTATTCGTATTCCCCCCTTCGCGTACCATCTGCGGCGACATCAGTGAGAAGTTCGGGGTCAAATTGCGTTCACGGAAAAGCTTGGATGATTCGGTCGCCCAGGAGACCATGGTGGACCTACTGTTGAAAATGTTAGAGATTCATTGGAGCCGCGGCCATCGGGGGGACTGTGGGAATGATTGTGATTCAAGCTGTTGGCGTCATGGCGGGGCATTGAATGAGAGTCATCAGAGCTGTCGGTGCGAATGCCTGTGCGTCGACCAGAGCTATGGGGACTAGAGCCATAGATGCTGGGATCGCGGCGGCGGAGAGAGGATGCAGAGGACCTTTCAGTACCACCATCAGGAGGCTCCCGTCGCCCTATTCTTGTTCAGCCATCCCAATCATTGTTCAATGCATTGGCGCATGATGTTCTTACCAGTGCGAGTTCGGTTCCTCGACCGGTGTCGTCCAGAGGATTCACCAGCATTGCGTGGGAGCATCCCTCGCGCATCTTCTGATGGATCCTCTTCAGGTATCGGAGGTTGACCAGCATTTCTGTCTGATCTTTCGGTTCTCGTAGATGTGGAGGAAGAGTAGTCAGATGGATGGTTGGGAGCGTGATTCGTTCTGCAGAATCGTCAGGTCAGGCAGAGCTCGGTGTTCAGGATTTCGAACCTGCTGCGTCGTCTTGGAGTCCTCTCATCGGCCCCTTCAGTGTCATGTGTGGGAGTTCGGTGCTCAGGCACCCCCAGTCGGGAATGCTGAATCTGAGTCATCGTGTTCTCGACCTCAGAAAGAACAGTAGAGACAGAACAAGGAGAGTACCTGAGGCCTACTATCGAACGAAAAACTTCATTCAACTGTTTTCTCCGGCAATCTGACTCTTTGTCGACGGACGACAACGTCTACACTGGGGGACAGATGCATCTTTATGTAAGTGACCATTGCACCGCGACACTGCCTCATTGTCGGAGCTCGAGCGGCGGAGCTTGAGTGATCTCACTGGAATCCTCATTCTGTGCTCGACAGAGAGTGGTTGCTCTGGAAAAGTCAAAGATCACCATTGGGAGACGTGAAGGTCTGCAGGCTGGGGCTGAGCAGTCCTCCGGACAGCCTGCGATGCCTAGACCGGGAGTGGTTGCAATTGTTGCCTGCACATAAGGAAGAGACAGCCTTGCTTGTCGGACTGCAAGAGATAATGCGACAGGATTGGTCATAGCGAATGAAGCAGTTTGGGTCGGTGGTTGCCTTTCGTGTGGCTTTCGAGCTCAAGGGCAGCGATATCGCCGGCATCTGTGGCAATGTCTTGCAATCTGGCTGATGCGAGACACGCCGTCGCCTTTGGGCACTTGTGCTTGATCAACTCTTGACTCAGCATTTGGCAACTTGCCATGATTTTTGGTGTGAAGTGATCGGGTTGACAATGTATCATTTGGCGAGGTTGGATTATCAGTCAAGTAGCCGAGATCAGCAAGCCACCTTTAAGCCATTGAACCTTGCCATCTGCCATGTTCGTTTTCAGACCGCTTCTTTCAACAACACCATCAAACATCAACTAACTCGACCCAAGAGACCCTCCCGATACGTTCCTTGCAGGTTGGGATTCCCCATGGCGACCGCGCCGTCAAGTTGCCTCGTGCGCAGAGTTCTCATGAATGGCCGCCCTGAAATGCGGCAAGCCCTACATTAGGCACTCGAGAGTCTTCCACCTCCATGCAGCCAGCTACAACCCAACAATATGCCGCTACTGAAGCTGCGAGTCTCCTCACCAGTCAATCGCGTGGACACAGCCTTGATCACCACCCGGCTTTGATTCCACATGACCCTCGAACGCTGCGCAGCCACTGCGTTGCTGCCCAAGCAATGTTCTGCGTGCCTCGAATGAATCAGCTTCCAGCCAACCTTGCAATCTTGAAAGAAGGGGGAACAATGGGTCAATCACAAGGCGTGTACCTTCGAATATACCCACCTGTGCTCATGTTTCGACGACTTTCCTGGTGGCGCACGCCGCCATGTTGGATGCCCGTCCCCAGCCGCGCCTCACTTCATCGCCGACGCTCTCATCCACAAGCGATCACGTACATGACGAAAATACATGACGAAAAGACAAGCTCCGAGTCTCTCGTGGCTCAGCTAACCCTGCTCAAGGGCAAGAACCTCTCGAGGATCGTGGAGTCTCCCGGTCTGCCTGGAACCTGCCCTTAGTGTAATTGCAAGTGAAGAGATCATTGCCCAGCACTCGGCCGGCGCAGTGTCTTTATACTTTGCTATGTGTAAGTTTTGGTCCTTGTGATACCGTTGAAGGTCTTGTCACGTGTGGGACGAAATCTTTGGATGACCAATGCTACAAGTCCTCAGAAACCCGAGCCATCCTTGAAGTGGTTGGTGTCTGCCAGAGAGACTGCCAGTCAAACATGAACATGTGGACATTGAGTAGTCTCTCGCACTCTATGCAAGTACTATTGGATGAACAGAAGCTGCAAAACTTGGTTCAGTTCTGATCGGTCTTCAGGCAACCGGATCATCTACCCCAATGTTGCTCAGGTTCGATACGACGTGACTTGTGGAACCTTGTTTCGCAGACAAGGTGTAACACTCACTTGTGATCGATGTCGTACCTCTGAATCAAGATAAAGATTCATGTTTCTGCATTCGCAACACAACTATCACTTTTTGCGGGCTGTGCTTTATATGTCGGTTTCAGCCCTGGTTACACCGCTCTTTTCTCCCCTGTCCTAGACACCGCCCCCATGGCACACCGCATAGCCGCTAAATTTGAGACGACAGTGGCACCCGCCCGTTGTCATAAGAACCAGGGCATGTTAGGGTTCTTTCAAAGGCGTCAAATGTTATAGCACCTGGCTTTCGAATTGACGACGCCAGCTGTGCCGAGCACTTTGGTCGTCATCCATGAGCGCCGTGGATTTCTCACGTTGCCGACTTGGGTGTCTCATAGGTATGATTTCTTTCCCGTAATGACCGTACCAAGGGTCCGCCTCGATTCTCTAGACGACCGAAGAACCATGGTCAACAAAGCATCAAAGCAGATTGAAAGCTCGACAAATACTTAGGTGAGGGACTGTAAATTAACGTCGCGTATCCAGGCACTGTTGGTCCATGATGCCGATACGACCCTTGCCCTCAGGGCGGGAAGGGACTTTGCAGAGCAGGAAATCGTCTTATTCGCGCATCTTTCCTGCACCAAAGAGTTACGAACTTGATATGCTCGGGGAGTTTGGAGGGGTTGATGAATATCTCAACTGTCCTCAATTGTCATCAGTATCCCATGTTCGCTTTTCGATTTGACGAGTTGTCCGAGGGGAACAAGATTGCCAGTCTCTTGGACTTTACCGATCGGTGTGGCCATTCGGGAGTACTTGATCCGGGAAGATGAATAACAGGAACGACTGTGATGTCAAGAATCTGGAACAGGTGCGAGAGATATACGGACATCTGACACTACGAGAACACGGTATGATCGAGCGTCCATACATGAACACCTCTACGAGATATAGGGATGCCGACGGCAAGCGGGTGAACTGTGTGATGGCTTGGATACTCGAAAAGCTGTTGCTGGTCGTGTTCGTCTTCAAATTGTGGAAAGGCCTGTGGGTTCTTGTTTCTTTGGCAAGCAACAACCGACTGCGGCAGCGGTGAAGAGCTGATGATGGGTCGAGCTGAAAGAGGTAGGGGTCCTCCATACAGCATGCCGTACTACGTTAGCAACTAAGGGTCCACGTCTTTCGGAGTCTAGTTTCTCTTGTCAATCTTGTCATCAAATACCAGGAAGTCCTAAAGTGGAGGAAGAGTTGTGGAGATCTAATCTTCTCTCATACAAAGACTTGTGAACCGGGGACGGAGTAAGTATACGCACACGAATGTGCGAATACAGATAGGGATATTGGAGTAACAAGCGAAGTGTGGAGGAAACGGGAACTTCGAGTTGGAGACAGGGACGAAGAGCCGATATCGTTGCAACTCCAACACTGGAACGGCATTAAATATCAGTCTCTAATAAGCAAGCCAAATGCTCATGGTCAGATACCGAATCGTTGAATCAAATCATAGTCTGCACACCTTTTCAGTTTTCAGAGAAGAACAAACCATAGCGGTCGAATACCTCTAGTTGGGTACCCAGGTACACGGAGTGCTCCAACTTCAAAGGACAGGCAGCGTACGTTCGAACTACCAACCACCCGGGCTTCTTTTTCATCACCACAGCACTTCACCGACAAGGTACCTTGAGTGAGGCTGACCCTAGTAGTCAGCTCGGTTAGTGTCGCGAGATATACGCCTGCACACTCTTTTCGAAGGTTTCGGAGAACTCGTCGAAGTCGAAACATCAGAAGCAGATCCAGAATCAGGCCGTCGCGAAAGACATTTGTTCGACGAAGGAGTTTACGCAAAAGCCATGCCCTCGACGATCATCCGGCACTCTCGCAACGAAGCGAAACCCAGCGTCAAGGTGAGCGGCACCTTCACGGGCGAAGTGTGGATGGACCCGGTCTTCGACGGGCCGGGCATCAAGTTCAACCACGTCATGTTCCAGCCGGGAGCCCGCACGTACTGGCACACGCACGAGCGAGGCCAGATGCTCAAGGTGCTCGCGGGGTCCGGGTGGATCTGCGACAAGGGCGCCGACCCGCGCCGGCTGAACGTGGGAGACATGGTGTGGTGCGACGCCGGGACGACGCACTGGCACGGCGGCGGAGACGGGACGTACATGATGCATCTGGCCGTCAGTCACGGCGAGACGGTCTGGCATGACGAGGTGACGGAGGAGGAGTATGCTGCTAAGAATGAGAATGAGAAGAAGAAGGAATGATGGCGGTGGCCAGAATCATGGGATCAGTTGGATGAGGATGAGGATGGGAAGTAGCTGGAAGGGGAAAATGAAAATCGACGAAGACGACGACGACGACATGATTGTAGGATAGTACTGATGATATGGTATGAAGAGAAGAGAACAAATATATTGTGATTCAAATGTCCAGACGCTATCAATAACTTTGGGTTGAATGGCTCGATCCCATCCAGTCAAGTACCTTACGCTTCAAACGTCTAGATGCGCACCGTGTCTAGGTCTTGATCCATTTCTCAGACACCTACCTATAACGTCTTATCGGTGTATTTTCCTCTTTTCGTTCTCTTGATGTGTCAAACCGCAAACCAATCATTTCCGTATCCAATCAACTGGCGCGCCTGAGCTCCTAAAGATCGTTTTCACATCTCCAGGATCAGGCATCCCAGGCAGGATATCTCGCAGCATATCATTGATGTTCAACCCTCTATCCTTTGACGTCTGCCATTGACGAGGATAGCCCAGGCTCACCTCCTCGAACCTAACTCCATCGATCCAGTCGGTTCTTCGCACGTGCAGATGCCCACTGACGACGACCTTGGCGTTGAATCTCGTATGCCAGTCCTCCGTCTTCTTCGTCCCACACCAAAGACTGAACCTCGGGATCCTGGGGATAGTGATGACGTCTTCACGAAGGGGCCAGTGGTTGATCAGGATAAGCGGGATACCTCTGGCCGCAGCCTCCCTGAGACGTTCCTCCGTCTTGCTGACTAGGGCGCTGCACCAATCGTCCCGAGTCTCGTACGGGTCGGGGTGCAGGAGTGCTTCGTCGGTCGCATAGACATTCTGCTCCATGGCCCAGTCGACCGCGTTTTCGCGACTGACATGGTCCGGGCGGAAACTGTAGTCGTACAAGGTGAAGATGGGACATATCAGACACGGGCCCCCTTCGCCTTCCCACCTGACAAACTCGTCCTCGGGCGTGATGACCCCGTATTCGTTGGCGACCCGGACACATTCTTGGTACTTGAACTCGCCCCGGAGTTCCTTGTCGAGATCGTCTTCGGTGGTGACGCCCGGGAGGGTGTACAGTTCGTGGTTTCCAGGGACCCAGAAGACTTGCTTGAAGAGCTTGGTCGTGATCTCAAAGGCCTCTTGGAGGTGCTCCAGACGTTCGCCGACGTCTCCGCAAATGATCAGACTGTCGTCATCATGCGGCTCGAGCTCATCGAGAGCCTCTCTGTTGAGCTTGAAGCTTAGGTGAATATCGGATATGGCGTATAGGCGCATAATTTCAGGTTCCGCCTCACAAGAGGTAAAAGCGAAGTCACACCCACTGTTGCCCAGCAAGACCAGGACAGGGCCACAGTTGTCAATGAGTCTGCTGTTCTTGGAAGGGGCAGATCCAGGGAGGACTAGCTAGATGATAGAGACTATGAATCCAGCGGCATGGTCAACGATGTTCCATGTTTAGGTTGTAGGCATTGTGGCAGAGGCCTAGTCGATAAGCGGTGAGGTGGATAATGTTAGGCGGTAGATTTGCGATGTTAGGCAATCATGCTTGTTGAGAGAAACGTCCAGGAAAAATCAATATTGGGTACCTTTGCGAGAATCTATGCAATGTAACAAACAAAAGCCAGCGATGGATGCAAGTGTGAAGTTCATGATCAAGGCAAGGCCTTGGATGGAAATATACATGCAAGTGTTCGAGAGCGGCCGGAGCGCGGAGAAACGCTTTTTCCGATACGCGTCATCGTCCGGTGTGTCTGCGATGCAGCGCGAAGACACCTAAAATGTAACGAGAAGAAAAGCAGCGATGTACGTAAGGACCGTGAAAACCTCAGCTGTCAGGGAGAACCGTGGAAGTATCTCTGGTCCTCAACCCTGAGATCGCATTCCTCGGAATCCTCGAAAAGTCTCAGACGGCCAACGACAATGGCTCTCCTGCACAGATCCTGGCAAGCTAGAGGCGCTGTCCGCCGTTGCTGTGGCCTGCCTGTCTCCCACCACCGCTCCTTTTCAGGACGAGAGAAGCTCCTCCGGGTATCTGAGGAAGTCCAAGACGCTCTCGCTACGGGCAAACCCGTCGTTGCGTTGGAGACAACTATCTACACCCACGGTAACCAACGACCATAAGCCTGCTGTATGTCCGTTATCAGGCTCATCTGTCGTCAGGGTTTCCGTATCCCGAGAATGTCGCGTTATCCTCTCACCTCGAGTCCTTGGTCCGGGTCAACGGCGGTGTACCTGCTACGATCGGCATCCTCAACGGCGTTGCGCGAGTCGGCATGCAAGCAGAAGAATTGATTGAGCTTGTGTCTAGTGCTGGTAGCGAGAATACTTGGAAGATCTCTAGACGAGACCTGGGCTTCATCGGTGGTCTCGGCCTTCGAGGCCAGAAACTCAACGGCGGAACTACAATCGCGGGAACCATGGTGCTCGCACATCTTGCAGGAATCAAGATCTTCGCTACTGGTGGCCTCGGAGGAGTTCATCGAGGTGGTGAAAACTCCATGGACATCTCAGCAGACTTGACAGAGTTGGGCCGAACTCCCGTCGCTGTGATCAGTTCTGGGAGTAAATCGTTCCTTGACATACCACGCACTCTGGAATACCTCGAGACACAAGGAGTGGGCGTCGGGACATTCGCAGATGGCAGAACTGGCAAAGTCGACTTCCCGGCATTCTTTTGTCGAGATAGTGGTGTCAGAAGCCCCCAGACTATCCTTGATGAAGCCGATGCAGCTGCCATTATCTATGCGCAGTTTCAACTCCCAGTCCATTCTGGTTTGCTGTTTGCCAATCCTGTTCCCGAACACTCCGCCATGGAGAAGGAGCAAATCGATTCCATAATTTCTCAAGCTGTTACTGAAGCTGAAGAGAAGGGTATTGGAGGGAATGCTAATACACCATACATATTGAAGCGCATCAGGGAACTGAGTCAAGGAGCCAGTGTCAAGGCAAACGAAGCTCTCATCGACGCGAATGTAGTTCGAGGAACCAAGATTGCTGTCGAACTAGCTAAGCTTGAACGACGGGATGGTGCTGCACCTCAGCGGTGAGCCGTGTTAGACTTCTCACAGTGGTGCTGATGTAGCTGCTGACAATATAAAGGGATAACGCGATTTCCACACATTCTGCCGCTGCCTCAAGAAAATCTACCGCAAAGCACGACTCTGCAAACATTGACAGTAAGACCAGCCATCAAAACGAGTCGATTGATGTCCTGGTAGCTGGATCCCTCGCCAGCGACACGATCTGTGACCATCAACCGTTTCAAGGCATTCATTCCTCAACTTCACCTACTTTGCATACCTCGAATCCTTCCCACATATCTCAGTCGGCAGGTGGTGTCGGTCGCAACGTAGCTATGTCAGCACACTTTGCAGGCGCCAAAGTCGCGTTAGCAAGCGTCGTCGCCGATGATTTGGCGGGATCATCGCTCCTCGCCCATATCAAGGAGAGTGGGTTGACAACCACAAACATCCGAACACTTTCTACTGCAGACGGTGCCCGAACAGCGCAATACGTGGCAGTAAATGACACCAGCAAAGATTTGGTACTCGCCATGGCAGATATGGATATATTAGCACGACCAGAGATGGAGTCGCTAGACTACTGGACGACCATTTTGAACCGCAATAAGCCCAAGTGGGTGGTCACAGATGCAAATTGGTCTCCAGAGATTTTGTCATCAATATTCCAAGCTGCCAAAGCTCAGAAGGCTATGATAGCTTTTGAACCCGTCTCCACGGCGAAGGCTGCCCGTCTCTTTAGCAAAGCCAACAACATCATGGTGCAGGCTGGCGTCGTACCGAATCATGTCATCAGTCTAGCATCGCCGAACAGTATGGAACTCAAAGCGATCTATGATGCCGCCACGGATGCAATGATGTTTGAGTCGGAGCAGTGGTGGAAGGTGATTGATGGGTTTGGTCTCTCTGGCACAGCATCACGAGACCGACTTGTCTCTGTTGCTGGAGCTGAACTAGTCAACGATGGGATCCCACAGCAATGTATACAACTTCTACCCTTCATCCCGAATTTGGTTACCAAGTTAGGACGTCATGGCTGCCTCTTGGTCAGCCTGCTAAGGCGTACAGATGAGCGCCTGACGCGCCCGGAGTATGCGCCCTACATCCTGTCCAGAAACATGTCCGAAGACTCTGAAATTGGCGGTGTGTTCATGCGATTGATCCCACCCGCTGAAAAAGTGAGACAAGAGGAGATTGTGTCGGTCAATGGTATCGGTGACACCATGCTGGGAGTCATTGTCGCGGGGCTGGGGAAAGGCTACACACTTGAAGAAGTGATTCCCGTTGCTCAGGAAGCGGCAGTCTTGACGCTGAAATCGGCAGAAGCCGTGTCACCTGAAGTCACAAGCATACAAGCGAGGCTCAAATAACGAGAGCTGCTTGGCCGTGTCGCACTCCGTCGGTGAAATGTTCCTGACTTGCCATGTCTATGTACACTGGCTGAGTCTGCAGCTTAGTCATCAGCGTGCCCGAGGCTGGTGCTTATGAGCTTCGCGCCGAGACTATCAACAGCCTTCTTTTCCGTCACAACCTCCTCTTCCGTCTACGAATTCCATCTCATGCCTCTGTCGCATATAGAACCATGAGAGCGGATCGGCTCATTGGGCTCCTTGCGATCTCGTATGCCTTCGACTCTGCTGTTGCAGGACCAAATCAACACGAAAACTTCGATCCGGCCGGTTCCGAGGCCCGTATTAGTGGTGACAGTCTCATTCAAGATACTTTTAACGGCAGCTCCATAGACAAGAGCGACTCGGTCAACCAAAAAATCGCCGCGCGCCAATCAAGCTGTCCCGACCCGTCGACTGCATCCTTTTGTAGGAGCGGGTATTGCTTTTTGTCCTCGACCACCGATGGCTCTACCTGGGGAACATGCTGTCCAGCTGGGTGGTCCTTGTGGCTAGATCAAGAGATCTGGAACAAGCAAAAGTGCTGTCCTCCAGGCACAAGTGGAACGTCATGCGATAACTCTGAACCTCCATTGGAACCGGATGACTGTGGTAGCGGCGGAGTAAAGTCAGGTTGGGCCTGTGTCTATTCTGATGAGACGAGTGAAGGTGCGACAACAGTCATGTTTTCGAATACAATGTCAGCGGCACTATGTCTGACGTGGTTTGGGATTTGGATGCTCTAATGACTGCACGATACATGCGATATGAAATGGACGAATTTCTTTGCTTCCCAGCGAGAGGGCGAGTGGGATAGACTGGGGATTTCACAAGTATCAGAGAAGTCAGTTGGTATAGCAAATATTCACGGCCGTCTTTCCACCCAGTCAGACAGACATGTATTTGATTGCCTTTTTTCGTTTGTTGTGCATGCCAATATCCATGGTCAAATGGCATGAGTATCGTCTCCTTCGTATTCGTATCAAAGCGAGCAAGTCAGATTGTCAGCTGGCACTTTGAACTGTGTCTACCTGGCGCCATCATCTCCATCGACGACAGGAACCGTCAGGCACTAGATAGTTCTCCTCGTCAACTTTTCTTGTATTCAAAGTTGGCTTCTGAGGAGGTGGTCTTTTTGTTTTTAAGGCCACCCATAAAGTCCACCACCACCACCACCTCCTCCTCCTCCTCCTCTTCTTCTTTCTTCTTCATCTGGTTCTCCTCCTTGTCTTGGAACGGGCCGGCCAAGCCCTTGTCCTGCTTATCCCAAATTCATGGCGCGCAAGTAGTCCGCTTTCTCCGTGAGGAAGTACTTTAGAAGGCGATCACCCCTATGAAGATCAGCATATAAAGTAAGCCTTACAGACTCGGTACCCCCGTAGTTTTCATCGTCGACTTTACCTGTTAGTAGGATCACTCGGTTCAGTCATACCAGAAGTAGTATATATCCTCTGTCGCTCCGCCGTAAGATCCATGCAAGTCTGATGTCTCTGCAGAACTCATCAACTGACGACGGGTAGATATATAGGCGCGGCGGAGTGTGTCTCGCTTAGATGAACAACGACCTAAACGACGCACACGCACCGTACACAAACACATGTCTGCCCTACCATGGCATCCTCGTCCACAGATACATCTCCATCTCCGAATTCAAAGAAGAAAGATGAAGACGCTCTCTCATCTACCCGTGTCTCCATCACATTGAATCCTCCAAATCAATCATGGAAGACGCCCTCGGCGAGGAAGGGGAAGAGGAAAAGCTCTGGTTCGGGGGCAAGGCGAGGGGGATGTCGGACCTGATGATGATCTTCCCGATGGACATGGCCGACCAGAGGGGCTACTTCGACGGCACCAAGTACCCCCAAGGTTCGGAACTGGTTGGATCGAACTCACAATCTCCCGGCCTACAAGAGAGCGATGGAAAAGGGTGGCAAGTACAATCTCAAGACGTTCCAGTGAAGATAGAATAAACATTACGGGGCCATGATACGACACGACAAACACTGTCAACTCTAGGCACTCAACTGTTACTATCGCACTGAGTGCTGCGTTTCTACGCTCGACGCATGAGGAATAACTTCTCAATCTTGTTCATGATAATTGATTTTTCTTTTTGCTCAGGGAAATAACAACTTCTATCATATCTATCACTGCCCTGTCCAATCTACCTCCATTGTCTTCATCGAATAGACAGACTTTCTAATCCGAATGTCCTAGTTCTCCTTCTTCTGGAGAGAACACGACAACGAGGATATCTCGTACTGACCCCATTTTTATTCTTCTTCTTCAAAAAAAGAACCCCAAACCCCGGAACCGAATTGCTCATGAATTTTCATAAACTCAAAAATATAAAGAGATAACCCCATGACAGCGTCTAGCATTGAAATCATTCTATGCCATAATGCGCGCCAAATGCAACCGAGAGAGAAAAAGGGTTAATGGATCGCGCAATTTCGTGCAAATCGTCAAATGATGCGAAGTCGTCTACTCATCCTCATCGGAGAAGACTTCCTCGCCTCGCTTGCGTCGGGCCATCCTCTGTAACAAATAGTTAGCAACCGCACACAACACGTCTTTGGTGGTTGGGATCAAAACTCACCTCCTTCTTCTTCTTTCTCAGCTCCGATGAAGTCAATTTCTTGGCCTTCTTGTTGCCTTCAATCTTGTTGCCCATAGCATCGAACTTGTCCTCTTCGTCATCACCCTTGTCAGTCAGGCGAGGACCGCTACCTTGGCCAGTCTAAGACACGAAAGTTAGTATACTGCTAGGAACTGAGATGCATCAAGAGTACTTACCACCCAGTTGTGACCACTTGGAGTCATCTTTCCGTTGACGACAGACCACACTTCGTTGGTCAAGCTCTCGGTGAATTCGGCGTTGTGGGAGATGATGACGACACCACCTTCGAAGGTCTTGAGAGCCTTGGACAAGGCGCCGAGGGAGTCACGGTCGAGATAGTTGGTGGGCTCGTCAAGGACGATCAAGTGAGGTCGTTGCCATGTGCAAGCAGCGAGCACGACCTTGACACGTTGACCGCCAGAGAGACCACGCATACGAGAGTGGGAAATGAGTTCGGCATCGAGACCGAAGTTGGCACCGTGCTGTTCGATTTCGCGACGGATCAAAGGTCGGAATTGACCGCTGGCAAGGGCTTCTTTCTGATCGACTTCAGCAACCATCTTCTGGTGGGAAGCGAGGATTTCAGATCGAGGAATCCAGGCGTTGTCGGCAGTCATCATAGGCGTCCACTTCTCGTTCTTCATGCCAACGTTCTCACCGAGGGCGAAGGAACACTCATATTCGTACGAGTTCTTGAACTTTCTTCGGGCGTGAATGCCAATAACACGTCGTTGAGTACCTTCAATCTTGTAGATCTTGTCCATGGCCTTCTCGTCGTCTTCGGTGACAATCTTGTTGGCACGGTCCATGGTCTCACGATCTTCACCAGTCTGGAAACGCCATTGGATGTACTCCGATGGGGTCTTGTCCAAGTGGTTATCGATATGAGCGAAAGCGTGTTGCTTGATGTAAGCAATACGGATGTTCTCGTGCTGGTAGACTTCACCAGTGGTAGGGATCAATTCACCGGTCAGGACGTTGACAAGGGTAGACTTGCCGGCACCGTTGGGACCAATGACGGCGATACGAGAACCAAGGGAAACCTGGAAAGTGATGTCGGAGATTTGGGGCTTGTCGGTACCGGGGTATTGGAAGGACATCTTGTTGACACGGACAATGGCTTTGGCCTTGGTCTTGACACCTTCGAGGAAACCAGGCTCGGGGAACTTGAATTCCATCTCCGAGGCACCGAGCTCGAAGTAGGAGCGAGCTGAAGGGACTCGCTTGGCGAACTCGGTGAGGTTGCCACGGTATCTTCGGAGCTTGAAGCGCTCGTAGTGAATGACATGCTGAATGACGTTGTTCAAGAATTTGGAGTCGTGCGAGACGATGATGGATGTGCAAGGAGAGTTGATGAGGTATTGCTCGAGCCAGGCAACGTTCTTGACGTCCAAGTGGTTGGTAGGCTCATCCAGCAGAAGAATATCTGGCTCCTCGAACACGGCACGAGCGAGGGCCAACTTCATCTTCCAGCCACCTGAAAGAGAGGTGATTGCCCCCTCGAATTGAGACTTGAGGAAGCCGAATTCCTCAAGCTTCGCCTCGATATCTGCCTGGGGCTTGTCAATATTGACCTGCTTCAGCTTCATCATGGTCCAGCCGATGACGGTGAGTTCAGTATCGGCGGCATCAAGATCGTGCTCCACGAAAACGGTCTTGACCTCGCTCTTCTTGGGGAAACCCTCGACCTGCTCGTTGTTGATGGCACGCATCAGGGTAGACTTTCCAGAACCGTTAGGACCCAAAAGACCATAACGCTGGCCGCGCTTGAGGCGGAGATGGGTCTGGTTGAGGAGAATCTTAGCACCGTAGGCCAAGTTGAATGTGCAGTTGCAGAGATCCTCGCCTTCTTCCTCGTCAGGCTCGGCCTCGGCCTCCTCTTCGATACCTGGAGAGGCCTTCTTTCTGAGCTGGTCAGCAACGGCGGGTGCGTCTTGCTCGCCAACCAGGGTCTTGAGGTATTCTTGAGTATTGGAAACCCAGTCTGGAGCGTCCGTGACCTTCTCGTCGATCAGTTGACCAGCAATAGCGGCAACATACTGGATGACGGCCTCAGATTTCAAGGCGTCCTTGTGCTTTGGCTCGAGGATGGATTTGAGGACCTCCACGACGGTGGCAACCTCACCAGCGGTCGAAACCTTGGGGAAGCTGCCATCCTCCTTGACGGCACCGACACGCTTGAGAGTATCTAGACCTTGCTTGGTCTTCTCACGAGCCTCAGGATCGGCCATGTTTTCGTAGTTCTTGATCAGAGCAGGCATCAACTTGGGCAGGAAAGCAGCCACAATTTGAGGATCCTCGACCAATTTACACATGTTGTCCACGATCACAGCGGCCTTTCGCTTGATGGCAGTCTCTCGCTCGGCCAAACCTCGCTCAAGCAGAGGAACCATGATGGCCAGGGTGGGCTCGTGGACATCGGTAACGAAAGTGGTGGCACCAAGCAAGTGAACGGTCTCGGGAACGTTCTCAGGCTTAGCGATACACTTGATCAGTTCGGGAATGAACTTTTCGATATCCTTGTTTTCGATCAACTTGCAGATCTTTTCCATTGTGCCGTATGCCTTCTTCTTAACTTCAGGCTTGGTGTCCCACATCGACTCGGAAACGATGGGAATCAGGGTCGGTACAAGGAATGACAGTTGAGTGGGGGCCGTTTCCACGAGAGCCTCGATGCAGTCGAGGCCGTTCATCTTCTCGGGCCATTTTTGAGCCGTGATGATGGAATTTCGGATGTGAGGAAGAGCGGCCTTGACAGCATTAGGGTTGATGGCTCGAACAATCGCGAGGGATGCGGCCTGCGCAGCGTTCTTGACGGAGACCATCTTGTCGCCAACGGCGGCGAGCGTCAGAGGAAGGAGGGAGATCAGATATGTCTCGACTGCAGGCGAGATGGTGGAGTGAGCAGCAATGGCCTTAATGCCATCGATGGCTCGCTCTCTGACTGCAGCATCTTTCTTGTTTCCAAGCTGCTTCTTGAAGGTCTCGACGGCTTTGGTGGGCATAACTTGCTCCTCAATGGGGCCGTTCAGGAGAGTGGCCAGGTTGTTGGAGGCTGCGTTGATTTCATCCTGGGTCTTTGAGACCGACAGAGACTGCATCAACTGGTCGAGGGTCTGGAGGGAGAGCTTGGTCTCCTTTGCGGAGGAGGCAGGAGTAGAAGTCATTGTGTCGACCGCTGGCATGTCTTGCTGACGCCGGCTTTCGAAGATTGACGATGAATTAGTCGGAGGTGAAGGGGTTGTGTGAGATTTTCAGGAGAAGCTGAAAGTGGCGGTCTATGGGTGAAATCAATGCCCACGGACTGCGTTCTCACGCAAATCGCGCTCTAATCGACGTCTATTGGGAAAAAGGAAAAGACAGATGCAGAGACTCTATCGAAAGAGTAAATGCAAGAGAGATATAGGGAGAGTGATGGGAGGGAGAGATGGATGTAGAGGAGAAGAGGCAGGTGGCAGTGAAGGCGAGGGCGAATTTTTATTAATTGTTAAATTTCAGCGGCCGCCCAAAAATTTTTCCGTCTAGCGTCTCATGGTTGGGCAATTGTCACTATCGCTGGGCTGACCATCCGCCCGTTCATCCTTCGCCCTCGCCCTCTCTCTGCCTGTCTCTGGCTCGCGCTCGCCGCCCGACCCGGATCCCAGGCAACGCCGCCTTCTCGCCAATTCCCATCATTTTCCATGGTTGCTCCGTGTGGTGACTCCGTCCTGCGCCCGGACTCTGGCCCCTGTGCCAATCGAACTCTCCCCCTCAGACTTTGCCGCCGATCATTTTCCTCGAGGGCCATGTACTCGTTCCGAAAATGTTCTGGAAGAGCCTAGGGATCCAGAAGAGGAGGAGAATCTTATGGTCCCATCGCGCAGTTGTTCCCTTCTTCCAGGCTCTTCTGCCAACTTGACCGTGGTTGACAAGGAACCTATTTCTGTCACAGTCATCCCCGTTTTGTACCGGCCAATGTCAGGGCTGAGTCCCCCGAACCCCGGTCAGTTTTCTACTGTACCACTCGAGATGCGGGATCGGCGGCATGGCTTCTGCAGCTACGTCGAAGGCCTAGGAGTACGAGTACCACGTCAGATCTGCATCGACAGGCATCGCCTCGACGCAAGAAAGGGGGAAGTGTTGTTTGTCATCCGCTACCACGCACTTCGCCCCCTTGATTCTGACTGGCATCTGGCGTTTTACTCTGTTGTTTGTTGCAGACCTGAGCCTAATGCTCATGCCGGAAGATATTCGTGCGCATTGAAATTGTGATTCTCTTACGGGGGTCACTCCGATTGTTCAGTGCTAGGTGTTCACTTAGGTAGTTTCTCGCAACGATCCAACTGTCTCTAAAAGAATGTGCACATACAGGGGCAGGCATCTTCGTCGCCTGGGCAGCACCTTGGAGGGGACGAAGAAAAATCCGCCAAAGTCGCCACTATCGATAAGTGCCGGCGATAAGCGCAGATAAGACTTTGGTGGAAGACGTACGGTATAGACATCAATTAAACAAGTGCCCGTAGCATCTTCGGGGGTACTATACCAGGCTACGGGTACGAGGTACTACTCCCTACCTAGTGGATGAGATAAGAGTCCTCGTACTCTTACTGTCCGTGCGTTGTTGGCGAACCCCAGCGGCAAGATCGATATGGTGGGCTTATGACTGGCTGCGCTGCCTTTTTTCCGCCGACAAATCCCAGAACCACCACCGACTTCGTTCCCTTCTCTCCCCGATGCCTCGTATTGCACCCTTCGACCTGGAGGCGGCTCTTCTCCGGTCAAAAGCTTCTCGCTCAACATGACGACAACGGCGTTAACGTGTCGAGCGACGCTGGATCGAATGAATCTGGCAGAAGGCTTATGACCAGTCGTAACAATCGAACGAAACATCGATAATTATAAGAGATGCTGGCCTGCGCCACACCATGTCTCTACCCCATGTACGCGGCTCTCGCCTGGACAGGTATGCGTTTGACCCACCTGAAACCGCTGTGAGAAGATCCCTGCGGGCACAAAACAATGTGGCAACGTCTCTTACACGATGCAAGGCGTGGTTTTGTACTCGTAGCTTCGTAGTCATCGCAGCCTATGTGAAAAGCGAAAATAGCTAAGACATAGAGCCTAAAAGATACACAAAACAAAACAAACGTCATACAGCTTCATCAAGGTCGTCCATCGTCGAGCGCAAGATTCCAACCACAACGTCTCGAACGCCGCGTTCGAGCCAGTCCACTACCTTCAACGGCGGTGGTGTCTTCTGCGTCTGCTGTCATCGCTGTCATAGTCACTGCTACTCTCGCTTCTGCTCCTTCTGCTGACTGATCTTCTTCTGGGAACGCTGCGACTGTGACTGCGACTACGACTGCGACTGCGGCCGAGGCTACGGCTCCTGCTGCGACGTCCTTCGTCGTAGTCGCGATAACCGCCGCCTTGACTCGCGCGCCGTTCTCGCTTCCTTTCTTTGCTGTCCTCGTGTTTCTTCTCCAGCTTGTGTCCGGCATAGGCACCCGCAAGAGCCGCCCCGACCGTCACCAGGGGATTTTTGTGTCCGATTTCGTGCCCGGCCCCTGTGGTTTATGTCAGCGTCGAGAGCTCCAAGCCGTAGCTGGAAGACATCGTTACTCACATCCGCCAATCGCCCCGCCGGCAATTGTGGCGCCGAGTTCCTTTGCTCCATCATGATGTCCATGTTTCTCGGTTCTTCGACCGGATCTTCGCGAACTTCGAGAGCTGGGACGGTCGTCATAGTCGGATGGAGGGCCGTGATAGGAGGCTTCTGTGCCGCGATATTGGCTCGCGGCATATGGTCCTGAGTTTCGGCGTTGGCGCCCATGCTCGAACTCAGACCCGGCGTACTGCCCTACTTGCATGGCGGATGAGCGCGGGGAGTAGTTGTACTGGTCCTCGCGCGCGGGTTGGTAGCCGTACGAACCCTACCGTGGCGGTTAGTGTCGAAGACTCAGATGATCACAATCGATGCGCGTCGCGCGAATACCTGCGGTCCCGACGAAGCGTAGCCTTGGTTGCCTTCGTAACGATCTTGCCTGGGCGGCGGCGGATAGGTGTTCTGGCCACTGCCCGGCGGGGGTGGATAGCCTCCCGGGTTGTAGTAGTCTGCCATGTCCAAGTTTTTGCGGATGAGAGGGGTTCGAATACGATGAAGGCGATCACGGCACAATGAAAAGAGAAACGAGGGAACCAAGGCAGCCGGGTGCGCATCCCGTCTTCCCTTTTGACTGGTTTTCATCATGTGTTCAACACCTCGTCAGGCTTAGTCATATCGCGCAACGCGGGGCGGTGCGAACAAGTTTCGGGCAGCAGCGGGAAGACTAACACCAGGCTATGACTTCATTGCTCAAGCCACCATACAGACCCCTGGTCCTCCTGATAATCTTGTGAAGAAGTACCTGGTAGCTCGGAGACGAAGACGGTGGTTTGGAGCGGCCGGGGAGAGAGAGAAAGAGGCGACAAAAGCTCCATTACCCGCGGATCAAATTCCTGGGATTGAGATTCCGACTGTGGTCTCCCTGGCTGGTCAATATCGCTGCGCTTTTGGATCAGCGATCGAAACATCCCTTGTGATACCCCTAAGAGACTTCTCAAGGCAATATCGCTTCACGGAGAGATGAAAAGAAAAGGGATCGTAAGACATCCCCTTGGCTGGTTATTCTGATATCAACGAAGCCTCACCTAGCAGCGTCGAAAGTGGTTGCCATCACAGGACGAGTATTCGCTGTAGAGAGAAAAAAATCTAGTTCTTATCCAAATAGTACGCGGCGCAAGAGAAAATACGACACAGGAAAAAATGGGTCAACGGATCCGAAATCCATGAGACAACAACAAGCCTCGACGAGGGTAAAGGCAGTTTAAGAGTCCAATCAGCAACAGCACCGTCCTTTCGGTCTTTGGGCCGCCAGGTTGGGCCTTTTTTACGAATGCCCAGGCAAAAGAGGTTACTGTAAACACTCAATTCTGCTGTAATGCTTGAATGAATGCGGCCCGCGCACCGATAAATGAAGTTCTGCTGGAATCGCCGACAAATCTCCAGGTCACGTGGCAAGTCGCTAGCGTCGCGACTCTTGGCCACTCTTGGCAGGCTTCGGCATTCTCTCGGTGGGTTCATTTGAGCGCTTAGATCTCACGTTTTCCCTCCCACGACATACCAAGTTTCCCTTCGCATCTCAACAACGGCCGTCCAGACTGTGACCGGAAACATATCCGGCACCTCGCAGCCTCCACTCCGCTATTTCTGTCGCTGTCTCTTGCTGCCGAATTGCCTTGGGCGATTTATGCTTAAATCTAATCAGCCGTGTCATTGGCTGGTCTGCCTCCGTCAAGACTTGTGGCTTGAGCTCCCGTTAAGGGCTCGCCATTATCTCGCTCCTTCATCCCTCGACAAATATATCGCTCAATGGGGACTATCATCCTTTCTGATTTGGACTGACATGCATGTGCGGTGTTCCTCCAATGGGGCGCTCTTATCCAGGGGCTGTTTGCGCCAAAGGTGGGTGGTCTTCTTCGTATCAGGTGTCCGCGAGAAGTCCGACATCATTTTTACATCATGGTATAAAGGGGAGCGTACCTCCGCTGTTGGGTATTGCCCTCAGCATACGTGTTTGACAATATACAGTTTCACTCCCTGGAACACAGGCAGTACGCCAATATTTTGCTTTGGCTCATCTCAGATATCGACGCCCTTGATTCCATTCCTAGACTGGTAAAGTCTATTCACCATGGCGAATCCCACGTCCGAAGCTTCGGACGACACACTGAGCCATGAAGCCGCTCAACATGCGTTGCATAAGCAAGATACACACCTCAGTCGAATGTCAACACGGCGCACCCTCGAACGCTATGAAACGCGACCTACACAGGACGCCGCCGAGGTCCTCGACCTGCCCTATGACATCCTTTCCGACGAGGCCAACATGGCCGAATATACGGAGGAAACAGCCGAGGGTATCATACCAAAGCGAACCATCTCTCGTGTAACTGGCCGCGAGGAGGAGCACGAACTAGTAACCTTCACAATCAACGACCCTCAAAATCCCAAGAACTGGTCGAAGCCGTACAAATGGTGGTGTACCATGGTGGTCGCCTTTACTTGTTTCGTTGTGGCGTTCAACAGTGCTGTCATCACTGCTGACCTGGAAGGCGTCATGAAAACATTCAACGTTTCCCAGGAAGTAGCCCTCCTTACTATCACCATGTTTGTCATCGGTTTCGGCGTTGGTCCCCTCGTATTCGCGCCGGCGAGCGAGCTTTTCGGCAGAAAACCAGTATACATCATCACCATCGGTGTGGCTGTCATCTTCGAGATTCCCTGTGCGGTAGCCCAAAATATCGGCACACTGTTGGTTTGTCGACTTATCGACGGTATCGCTTTCTCCGCGCCCATGACCCTCGTCGGTGGCACCCTCGCAGATCTCTGGCGCAATGAAGAAAGAGGCGTTCCCATGGCGGTCTTCAGCGCCGCTCCCTTTATCGGTCCCGCGATCGGTCCCCTTGCTGGTGGCTTCCTTGGTGATGCCGCTGGTTGGAGATGGCTATACTGGATTCAGCTTATCCTTGCTGGCGTTTCTTGGGGTCTCCTCACCCTCACCATCCCCGAAACTTATGCTCCAGCCATATTGACGAAGCGCGCTAAGAAGTTGCGTAAAGAGACTGGAGACGCCAGGTACGTCACAGAGCAGGAAATTGACAAGCGACCTTTCAGCGAACAAGTATGGATCTTTCTCATCCGGCCTCTTCAACTCTTGTTCCTCGAACCTATCGTGTTCCTGATCAGTCTCTACATGTCAGTCCTGTACGGCCTATTGTACATGTTCTTCGTCGCCTATCCCATCGTCTACGTCGAAGGCAAAGGTTGGACCGAGGGAAGTACAGGGCTGATGTTCATTCCCCTGGCCCTGGGTGTGATCTGTTCCGCAGCCTGCGCCCCGTTCGTCAACAAACACTATCTCAGCATCTGTGCTCGTTACCCAGATGGTAAGCCACCTGCAGAGGCACGATTAATTCCCATGATGTTCAGCTGCTGGTTCATCCCCATTGGACTGTTCATCTTCGCGTGGACCTCGTATCCTGATCTCAGCTACTGGGGACCCATGATGGGCGGCTTCCCCGTGGGTTTTGGTTTCATCTTCCTCTACAACAGCGCCAACAACTACCTCGTTGACACATACCAGCACCAAGCTGCCAGCGCGTTGGCTGCAAAGACTTGTATTCGAAGTTTCTGGGGCGCCGGCGTCGTTCTGTTTACCGAGCAGATGTACCACACTCTCAACGACAGATGGGCGAGTACCTTGTTGGCATTCATCGCTCTGGCTTGTTGTTTGATTCCATACATCTTCTATTTCAAGGGCGCGAGTATCAGAAAGCACTCGAAATTTGCTTTTGCCGATGACGACGAGAGTGTCAATTCTAATGAGAAGGCGTGATTTGACTGTACCATTACGAGGCGCACAGGAGCAGTTGTTTTTATTGTTACATGGTATTGGCGGTGAGCATAATCGGGGAAAGAGTTGAAATTGACGCGGCATGCCTGCCAGACGCTATTAGGTGTCTGAAGAAGGCGCCGACAGGAACAATTATAGGCGGTGCTTTCACCACATTGTGAGTGAAAAAAAAGTCCTTGAGGAAGAGGGAGGTTTCGACGAAGATCCCCCCAAGAATGGTGCGAGCGCCGTATCAAGTTAGCTAGCTATCAATATATTATCAATACTGCTGCGATACCTGCACCTACCATTGCGAAGTAATTAAAGGGCAACTTTGAGTTGTGTAAAAAAAGTCCCGGTCCTGGGTCTCAGTAAGTTCAGTACGTAGCCTCGCTTCATGGTGCAGAGACTGTTCACTTAGACTCGTGCGTAGCCTTGAAATCAGACAGTCCGGACTCCCTATTACCCGGTAGCAAATAGGATAAATTGCTGGGCCAAACACCCTCAGGGTAACTATAAATTCAGCCGAGGGATTGAGGAATGCGCAAAGGCAGACATAGTATTAAAGAACCCCAGGCTCCCACTCAGGTTTTGTCTTCTCAGCTTCCCCTTGCGTGAAGTTGAGTAACCCACAAGTCAAATGAAATGTCGGACCTGGCCATTGGATTTCTTCGTGTACGGAAAAGAACGCAAGCAAGCTTACGATCTCCTGTGCTCTGGATCACGCTATCACCAAGACACCAATACCAATCAATGTTCGCAGCTTCGGCAGCATGAACAATCCCCACTACCCATGAGTCTGGCTCTCACTCCCTTCCAGAGACTGAAAGTCCCGAGGATCTGTGACGAGATGGTCGTCTGGAGTTTCGTTCAGATTGCCTGGCTTCTAACAGCACCACTGCGGCTGTTTTTGCACAGGTGGCACCTCAATATGGATCCTTCAGCACACTTCTAGTGGCCAAGCCAAAAGGCGGGTCACAGACCTTCTGGCGTACCGCTCGCTCATGAAAATCTCGAAAGGGACAACACCACAGTAAGCAAGCCGCACCCTCACATGTGCGAGCGTGGAACAATGCGTCAGCGGCGACAGGTCCGGTGATCCGGCCAAAGCTTATCAAGGGATACAGCCTTCCCTGGGCTCCATACGGTGGGTGCGATATTTCTTTGCCAGTATCCATTAATTCCGCACAGATAGGAGTGCCCGCCATATCCAGTATCATGCCATGAGGCCGATTCAACAGCACAAGGGCGTATGCTGTGACTGGGAACCCACCCAGGATGGGTCTATCAACACTGTTGACCGCCGAAATTTGCACCGAGCAAGTGCTTTGTCATGCCTCGCTGCGAGATCCGGACCATAGAGTGTCTGGTTCTCCCAGCTCTCTTGACTTCCTCGTACAGCTGAGCCTGCTCCCGCTCCCATTTTCTTTGAAATCTCCAGATTGAAACCATGTCTCTTCCCGCACAGTATATCGAATTATGCTCGAGGCCGAAGGCCAAGGTTGCCGGAGGCCGGTTCGTGATCCAGCGTGACAACATCGACGAAGATAGCGATGTCTCCAGCAGCGACACAATACAGCTGGACGCAGACTTTCCGCTCACCAACACCGAAGTTACGCGGACATCCCACGGGAAAGAGGTGGTTCTCCTGTCGTTTGTCCCCGGAGATCCGGAGAACCCCTTCAACTGGAGCATACATCGGCGGCGCTTCATCTCAGCTCTCCTCTGTCTGATGACATTGTTCATAGGACTGGCGACCACGGCGTACAGCTCAGGAATCGGTCGAATGTGCAGGGACCTGGGTGCGTCACAAGAACTCGGACAACTGGGACTGTTCACCTTCAACATCACCTGCGCCATCGCCCCCCTGTTTCTGGCTCCCTTCTGCGAGCTTGCGGGTCGGAGAGCCGTTTACGTTGGCGCCTACCTCTGCTTCTCCATCATGTTTGTCGGCCTCGCTCTGGGCAAGAACATCGCCACCATATTAGTATGTCGAGCTCTCCTCGGCCTGTTCGGAAGTGTCGGCACGATTCTCGTCGGTGGCACGTTTTCAGACATGTATCTTGCGGAAGAAAGGGCACATGCCATGGCCTTCTTTTCGTATGTGGCTATTTTAGGAACCGTCGCGGCGCCGATCTACGCCGGCTTCATCGACGAAACCATCGGCTGGAGGTGGCTCGAGGCCATACAGGGCCTCTCAAACATACCACTCCTGATTCTTGTCGCGTTCGGCCTTCCAGAGACGCGAGGCGGCCTGGTGTTGCGCAAGCGTGCAGCCACCCTGGCCACTGCGGCCGGAGCCGACAATTTTGTCACCCACATGGATTTGGAAGCAAGGAGTGTGAAGGCGCTGTTGCACGAGTCCACGGTGAAGGCTATCCGCATGTTGCTGACAGAGCCCGTTGTGTTTTTCTTCGGCCTTTGGATCGCCTTTGCCTGGTTTATCACGTTCCTCTTTCTTTCGGTCATCCCCATCACTTTCCAGGAGAAACGAGGCTGGAGCGAAGGAATAGGTGAGTCTCTACTCTCGGTGCTGACGTCTGCCACTGCCGCGTTCCCTTAAGTTGATTGTTTTTGTCCTTGCAGGTGGTCTCCCTTACATATCTCTGGCCATCGGAGCCACCATCGGTTATATCGCCAATGTCTTCCTGCAGATGCGGAAATGGTCTCGGATACGATCTGCCGCGGACCGAGAGATCGTCCCCGAGGATCGTTTGTACGGAGCCATGTCTGGCGCGTGGCTGCTCCCGGTGGGGCTCTTCATCTACACTTTCACTCAGTATGAGCATTTGTCCTGGGTGGGACCCGCCGTCGCTTTGGCTCCGATCGCTGTGGGCATCTTCTTCATCTTCGAGTCCTGCTACAGCTATACGACGGATTGCTATGGGGAGGACAGTGCCGGCTCCGCGCTTGCTGCCCAATCATTTCTCCGAAATGTGATGGGCGCCGTGGCGCCCCTTTTCGCATCGCAGTTCTTCCACAATGTGGGCAGTCAGTACGCTGGTCTGATATTGTCGCTCATCGCGACACTTATGGCGCCGATACCGTTTGTCATGTTCAAGTATGGACATGTCCTTCGTCAGAGATCGGCTTTGGCAGAGACCCACTGAATCTTGATATCAAGATTATAAGTTATCTGTCAGGCCCAAGTCTTAAGGCGATTACCGTAGACGTCTATCCTTGAAGTCTACCTCAGACCCGGGGTTTCAAATGGACAAATGCTTGCTGCCAGCCCTCTTGATACGCCTTCCTCCTTTCAGGCTAACGTTCTGCTCCATACCATGATCGTAGCCCTTTATATCTACAACTTTGGCTTGCTCGTACCTTTCAACCGGGACAAGGTTATCTCGTCCCAATCTGGCGGAGCTCTTCTGTCTTTGTTTTGGAACACTTTCAATCCGATACCAGCTTCTCCATCCGGGCGCATCATCCTGTCAAACAGCTGCTTGATTCCTTTCTCCTGTTCCTCGCCGCCAGGATCTGTCCATCCCAGCCTGACGAGCTCTTTGCACATACTCGAAGCCTCTGGACCCGCTACCCTCAATCGAGTCAGGTAGCGGTCTACTTCCTGCGAGAGCTGTGAAACATCAGCCACGACCTTGGTCACGCAGCCCAGCGACTGCAACTGGGTCACGGTCACGGGCCGCGTAGAGAGCATGGCCTCCCGCGCAAAAGAAAATCCCCATTCTCGAACGACATATTTGGATATCGTCGCGGGACACAGGCCCAGCTTGGCTTCGCTCAGCGTCATGGTCGCCGCGCTGCACGCGATCCTGATGTCGCAGGCAAACGCCAGTCCAACCCCACCGCCAAACGCCGGTCCGTTGATGGCGGCGATCGTCACCTGAGGCGCGGTATCGACTGCGCGAAAGAGCGTCGCCAACCTCTCGTATTGTGCGTCGCTGACCTCCTGGCTCTGCGCAACGGGAGATGACCCCTTGCCCAGATCCATCCCTGCGCAAAAGCACTTGCCATGCCCTGTGATCACTATCCGCGACACTGAGCGGTCCTCGCGCACTCTGTGGAAGAGCTGTGTGAGCTCGTAGATCATGGGGACCGTCAGAGCGTTGCCTTTCTTGGGATTGTTGAGCACCGCTTTGAGATTCACACCGGACCGATACACCACCAGACTGTCACTCTCGGTTCCTTGGTCCAGCGTCCACACGAGTCCTCCAGGCCGCGTAGTATTGCTGTCACCCCTTGCACCAGCCTGACCGCTTTGGTCGTTTGCGGTTTTCGACTTGAAGAGCAGGGCCTTTTTGGCGGCCGCCGCCGTCAGAGCAACACCGGCGCGACTCTCGTTTGGCTTTTTCAGCTGAGCTGAGATCCAGTTTCCCACATGAGTCAGTTTCTCCAGGTCGACGCCCGTGTCGCACCCGGCTCGCTCGAACATGTACACCAAGTCCTCCGTGGCCGCGTTGCCCTTTGCTCCGGGTGCGAACGGGCATCCCCCGAGGCCACTGACGCTGCTGTCAAACACCCGGAGACCACACTGGTACGCCTGCCATACGTTTCCGACCGCTTGGCCGTATGTGTCGTGGAAGTGGCCGGCGAGCTGTGCGGCGGGGACGCCGTTGCGAAAAAGATAGGCGAGCAAGCTCTTGACGTCGGCCGCGGTACCGACACCCAACGTGTCGCCGAGACTCACTTCGTAGCATCCCATGTCAAGCAACCTGGTCGTGGCTTTCAGCACGGCTGAATGTGGCGTAGGACCGTCGAACGGGTCTGCGAAGATGCACGAGACGTAGCCTCGTACCGCCAGTCCGGCCGAGATCGCTTTCTCTGCCACCTGCTGCGCCCTTGCCAGTCCTTGGTCGACCGTCGCGTTAATGTTGGCCCGGCTGAATCCCTCTGTCGCACTGACGAACACGGCTACTTCCCTCACACCGTGGTTCAGCGCAATCTCGAGCCCTTTCAAGTTTGGCACTAGCACCGCTAGACGAAGTTGTTGTGTCGGTGGCTGTGACTGTGACTGGGATCCACTGGCTCGTATCAGCTTCTGAATGCCCGTGTCGGCGAGGACAGCCCGGCAGTCCGCCAGCTGAGGGATGGCACGCGGGCTGACGACGCTCGTGACTTCGATGGTCGTGAGTCCTGTTTGTCGCAGTCGAGATATGAGCTCGAGCTTCGTGGCCATTGGGATGGTTGTCTTGATGTTTTGAAGGCCGTCTCGAGGGCCGACTTCCACGATTCGAACGGTATTGAGAGGAAGAGGTGGCGGCGGAGAAGGTGGTGATATTCGACTCGCTCCCATCGTAGTAATGCCGAAGGCGCGATGGCCGTCAGGTTGAGGTTGACAATGACTGTGTATGTGTGACTGTATGTGTACTTGTGTGTGTGTGTGTGTGTATATGTGCACTTGTATGTTTCCTTCTACCGAAGTCTTTCCCGACGAGATCTGATACTTGCACAACACTCCGAAGTAATGGAAGGAGAGCTAATAGCCACACAAAGTTGTGCGTGTGCTTTTAGGCGTGGTTATTGCTTTCGTGACCCTTGCGCCCCATACACACCATATGGGTTCTTTTCACCAGAACCGCAAACAAGAATCGAAACAAGAGTCAGAACAAGAACAAGAACTAGAACCACCTCCTTCGCTTTCAATCGTCGACGGAGCAGAGCAAAGTCGGCGCCCAAAAACGGCCGGCCATCCGAGGATACTCGTACGCACAGCACAGACAGCAAGCACTTTCGTGTTCGGTGCGTTCGGGACTCCTCGGTAGTCGACCGAATTGTGCCTCACCCTTTTTTTGCCTTGGTTACTCGGACTGTAGTTATGGCCCTCGACCGTCGACGGTGGATCCACCCGATCAGTCAGTCCGTCAAATTCCCGCACCCCGGGCCAGATCGTTGGTTTTGTGTGGGTTTTGTGGGCACGGCAGCGGGCCGGCCTCTCCCCACCCCCGTCCCTCCCCTGACTGTCATTGCCTCCTCATAGTTTCTACGTCAAGCGGACTGACAAGGAGGTCTCGTAGTACAACAGTACTACAGTACTACTACTGCCGAAGACCTAGGTTTGCGATCACATCGGAACGGAAAGTCAGAGGGTTGACTTTTAGATCTACAAGGATTGTAATGGCACTGAGACGTTCAGATCTCCATGGTTGTAATGCACTCGAGATGTTCAAATCTCCAGGATTGTACTGCATCTGAAACGTCCTTGACTACCTGGGAAACACTCTAGTTGCCTCCGTGACCTGTTAATAACGGCCTTGACGCGTTGAGATCTTGAAGTCTTTGCATCTATAGTTTTGCCCTCAACTCTGCTCCTCCCTCTCCTTTACCTTCTTTGACAAGCCTCTTCGCCACATCCTTGAGAACATGCTTCATCATCTTCCCACTGCCTGTCTTTGGAAACTCGTTACCCACGCCCTCGTCGCCGATCCAGAACACGTATCTGGGAGCTTTGTGACTACCCAGATGGTTCCGCACGAAATTATTGACCTCACGCCAACTAGGTCGTGAGCTTTTACGACTTCTGGGATCTTGCGGCAGTGCCGTATCCGGCAGGGAGCCACTGGAGGCGGCCTGAGGTGGATTCTCGCGAAGAAACGCGCCGACTACTTCCCCGTACCTGGCGTCAGGGACAGCGACGACAGAGGCTTCGGCAATAGATGGATGAGTGGCCAGCAGAGACTCGATTTCGTGAGGGAACATATTTTCTCCGCCTACATTTGAGAAAACTCATCAGCCATCTGCACGCAGAATAAAGCAGAGAACGATGTAATATGTATATACTGTACGCACCTCGAATGATTATGTCCTTGATCCGCCCAGTTACGGAGCAGTAGCCGTCTTTGTCGATGATGCATTCGTCGCCAGTGTGCATCCACAGCACGCCGTGCTCGTCTCGTTTCATGACCTCGTTCGTTTTGCTCGGGTTGTTCAGGTACCCTTTCTGCAGCGCATAGCCGCTAGTGCACAGCTCGCCCCTGACGCCGCGAGGGACAATGGCGCCCTCACGGTCGATGATCTTGGCTGCAGTGTGAGGTAGTACTCTGCCCACGGTTGTCGTTCGCTTTTCCTCGTTGTCGTCCAAGGAGGTGATGAACGTAACGGGGCTGGTTTCAGTCATTCCGTAGGCTATCAACATGCCTCGAACACCAAACTCACGCTCCAGTCGCTCCATCAAGATGGGGCTTATAGATGACCCTGCGGCTAGACCTGTCCGGACAGTGGTGATGTCCAGCTTCTTTGTCTTGTTGGCTTCGATCTCGGCGATGAACATGGTCGGAACGCCAAGCAGAGCAGTACACTTGTGAGAGTAGAGCGCCTGGAGGACTTCATCTGCATCGAACTGGTCGCAGGGAAACACGATGGTGCTGCCACGGATAAACGAGGCGAGGAAGCCCATGACGAGGCCAAAACAGTGGAAGAGGGGTGGCGGGCAGCATACGACATCATAAGAACTCAGGTTCATAGCTTCGCCTACGAAGCGGCCATTGTTGATGAGGTTCCTGAGATTCGGGTGTTAGACTATAATTAAACTGGACAAGCTGACACCTGTATTACTCACCGGTGCGTTAGCATGGCTGCTTTGGGCATACCCGTTGTCCCTGTGGCTGTCAGCGGTTGCGATTCTCACAAAAAGATATACATCGACGCACCGGAAGTGAACTGTAGATTCATTATGTCACTGTTTCTAACGAGGCTCTCTGCTTGCTTCAAGGATGTCGTCGTGACTGTGCGGCCCTCCTTTGCGAACGACGAGTAGTCATGCTTTCCCGATCTGTTCCCTATCACTACCAAGGGTAGCGAGGGTAGCTCTTTTTGCACTTCATCGATGTGAGTTGACAGATTCTTTAACTTGATAGTTGACGCAATAAGGAAAAGTCTGCATGCTGTTCATTGGCGTCAGAACTTTCGGTCCCTGCCTGTTTAAATTCACCCAATGCACAACTCACAGGTCACTCGTAATGCTGAGACCAGCTCTTTGGGCGTATATGTGTTGTTGATGACCACAAATGGACAACCTATTCGCGCTGTAGCAAGCAAGGTTTCAATGTATTGGTAGCAGTTCCCTGCCATAATGGCCACGTAGTCCCCATGCTTGAGTCCTCTGGCGAGCATCGCCTTGGCAATAGTTTCGCTGCGCGAGGCCAGATCATTGTAGGAAAGTCTGTGGTTTTGCTGCCATGGGAAGAGTGCCGCTGTTTGTGCGCCGTACTTGGTGGCATGTCGGTCGACCAGTTCGCCTAGCGTTTCCTCCCACAAGGGATGTGTTCTAGAACCTGACACGATAGACATAGGCGTCTCCGGCACTCCCTGAGACGGCGGTCTGGCGCTTGCCATATTGTTGACCATAGCATCTGTGTATCGTGAAAGCGCGTGGCTAATAGGCCGTTGGGGGGAAGGTTGATCAGTCGAGGCACATCTGAACTAGAGGTGGTTTGGGTGAGTGGTTGCAATCGCGAAGACGGGCAATGACCGCCATTGCCAACCGTTCTTTGCTCATTACTGAGTCAACACCGTCTACATATTCAGTCAGTCCAACTCACGGTGTCGTGGGTAGAAGCCGGCCTTGGTGGATGCCGAGCTGCTGCAACGGGCCGTCCTGGGGAGTGGTCGTGTCGCTGCCCGGCTGGGACCCGGGGTGCATCGTGCGGGTAGCCTCGGCACAGGCCTGACTAGACCAGGAGGCGAAGCCACCTTCAGAAGGAGACACAAACGGTGTTCTTGTAGGAATTGCATTCTAGCGACATTGTGTACGACATTTTGCGATTTCTTTGTATCAAGAATTGTGTAAAGTGGAAATGGCCCAGGGTGCTGGATTTGCCGTCGCAGAGTCCTTAGTTGACCTCAACCAAGAGGCCTACAGATCAAATCGAGCCGCGTGGGAGCCGGTACTAAAGGAATTTACCACCAACTTGAAGAAGACGGTATCTGAAGGAACGGCACAATCAACGAGCAGGCATGAATCTCGAGGACAACTCCTCGCGCGGGACAGGATATCGTTGTTGCTGGACGCGGAATCACCGTTTTTAGAACTTGGCTCTTTTGCTGGCTTCGACCTTGAAGAGTCGAGTCCTTGTGCCAGCTTGTTGGCAGGCATAGGAAGCATCAGGGGCCGAATCTGCATGGTCATTGCACACATCGCAACTCAGAAGGGAGGCGCCTGGAACGAGTTGCTTGTAATCAAGCAAAACAGAGTCACGGAAATCGCCAGCGAGAATGACTTGCCTCTTGTCGCCCTCGTTCAATCGGCAGGGGTATTCTTGCCACAGCAGTTTCGGGTCTTCCACAAAGGTGGCCAGATCTTCCGTGACTTGGCTGTGCGGACACAAAATGATCAGGCCTCCTGTGCTGTTGTTTTTGGGTCGTCGACCGCGGGAGGCGCATACCATCCTGGGCTGTCAGACTACACCATCTTTGTCCAAGACCAAGCGCAAGTCTTCTTAGCAGGACCTCCCTTAGTGAAGATGGCAACTGGAGAGATAATCGAAGCCGAAGAGCTGGGGGGTGCACGAATGCATGGAACCATAACTGGACTGGCAGATCAAATTGCGGTGGACGAGTTTGATGCCATCCTCAAAGCACGCGACTGGGTCAGCACTCTAAAGATTCCTGACCGCCCGACCCGGCATCTGAGGCAAATAATGGCCCCGAGATATCCCATCGAGGACATATTCTCGATAGTCAACCCTGACATCCGGAAGCCTTTCGACATGAAAGAGGTGGTCCTTCGACTTGTTGACGACTCGAGAATGGCAACATTCAAGCCAGCATATGGCCCCAACTTATTGACCTGCTGGGCTCAAGTTATGGGTGAGGCTGCAAAGCATAATACGATGGTAGCATGAGCTGACGAAAGCAGGGATACCAGTTGCAATCATTGCGAATCAGACCCCTATTATCAACCCGGACGAGGCTTCAAAAGGGGCTCAGTTCGTGCGCATGTGTAACCAACAAAACACCCCAATCGTCTTCTTGCACAACGTGACCGGATTCATGGTTGGTTCGAAATCAGAGCATGCGGCTGTCATCAAGAAAGGTGCTCAATTCGTATCGGCTGTCAGTTGTTCCAAAGTCCCACATATTTCCATCATCATGGGCGCCTCTTACGGGGCGGGTAACTATGCCATGTGTGGGAGATCATATCGACCGCGATTTCTGTTCACATGGCCAACAGGTCGGTGCAGCGTGATGGGCCCTGAACAGCTATCAGGAGTCATGGCACAAGTTGAAGCCAACAGCGCCAAAAACAAAGGAATCGTATTGAAGGCTGAAGACGTCGAGGCCAGAGTGCAACGTCTGCGGGCCCAGGTCGATCGAGACAGTAGTTGCTATCGAACCTCGGGTGTGGTGCTCGACGATGGAGTTATCGATCCCCGCGATACACGCGACGTGCTAGGAATGTGCTTGGAGGTTGTACAGTCACCGAAGATACAAGGCAGTTCTGGCCATCGCGGCCTCGCGAGGATGTAAACTACGACAGACGGATAGTAGAGTATAGGCTTTTCACAAGAAGTATGAGATGGAACGGAGCATCATTGGTATCTAGGTCTCTTTATTAGCAGCCATTCTCGCGTAAGCTCATCCACTTTGCACTCCAGGTGGGTTAGTGGCCTGTAACCCGGCGGGGCCCCACTTACCACCACCATTGACGCCAAGAAATGCCTCCCAGCTGTCGCTCAAGTTGTGCATTACTTCACAAAGTGAATCGATCAAGTTATCCACTCCATGCGAAGATTCGTCATTTTCCCCGATAACATCTCTGCACTGACTGTTCTGGCTCAACCTGCTCTTGATCTTCACATACTGATGGAGGACCGGCGCGAAGCGAAGAGAGCACGACAAGCATGTTTGAATTGTAGGAGGTGAGAGCCCCCCCCGGCAAGAAGCTCTTATCAGGCGGGGTTATTGCTTGGGAATTCAACTCTTGAGGTTTTGCAAACACAGACACCAAGCTGACGGCGATTTGTTATCTAGAAAGAAGTCCAGGTGCTCAGGCGAGAAGCCTGTATGTGCCTTCTGCGCACGTCTAGGTCAACGCTGTACCTGGGATGGCCACGAAGACCGATCGCCCGAGTCATTCACCGAATCTCGTGGGACGTCTGCTACGGCAGCTGTGCACCACGACTCCGACCTTGCTGCGAGAATCGCCCTCCTTGAGTCGCGCCTGAACTTTCTTGACGCAGAAAATGCTTTCAGATTGTTCTCATCATTGCCAGGCCCGGGCAACCCAGCGGAACAAGAGGTTGCTCAGCAATCTTACGATCAGCAAAATGTCCTTACCGATCAGGTAGAGGACCTCCGTATTGATTTCTTGTCTCTGCCATATCCGGAATTGCTCCGGTCTCTGGTAGATGTCTATTTCGAACGGTGTCATAACCAGCCCTACGCCTATTTCCACCAAGAGTCATTCCGGTATGATTATGACTCCGGAGTCCTGCCTGATTATCTCCTATATGCGCTCGCAGCTACGGCATGCCGATTTTCTGATCACGACTTCTATCGCAACAAATGGTCGGACGCAATCGACAGCTATGCACAAGCGTCATTCACTCAAATATTAGAGCGTTATTTCTCTGACGCGGATTCGCTTCAAGTGGACATGATAGTAGCCTTATCGATGCTGGCCACTGTGGAATTTGCGGGTGAGATTTGGGAACGGCCCCGACGAAAGATACATTGAAGAAGCTAACTCTGTGCTCCCTAGCCGGACGTCCCAAGCTTGGTTGGATCAAGCTTGCTTTGTCCACTCGCTTTGCTCAGTCCTTGCGGCTCAACGAGGAGCCTGACCCTCAACTTCCGCTTCTCGAACAAGAAGAACGCCGCAGAGTGTTTTGGTCTGTCTATCTGCTCGACGTGCTCATGTCGGTAGGGCCGAACCGGCCTCCAAGCCTTCTAGACGAAGACTGTACTGTCCGCCTGCCATGCGATGAAAACTTCTTCAACGAAGGAACTGCATTCAACAAGAGAATTCCAGTCAACTCGATGCCAACTTTGACGGAAGTCCAGGAGGATGCGTCTATTGACCTACCACCACTCAACTCGTTTGCACTGACAATCCTGATGGCGTCGGCCCTGGGTCGATTCCTGCGTTTCAGCCTAAAGCGCACATTGAATAAGGCACGAGTCCTTTGGGATCCAAGGTCGAAATACTACGAGGTACACAGTATCCTGTTGCGGTACGAGAGTCAATCGCCGTGCGCTTTCACCCCAGTTATTGAGGTGATTCACAAACTACCTACACTCGGACCACAACCGCCATCGAAAGTCAGCCATACCGTGTTTGCTCATGTCCTTTATCATCTGAATCAATCTCTCTTGAATCATCCATTTATCCTGTACCGGTTTTTCCACAACTATGCAGCACCCATACCCTTGAGTTTTGTGCAGGAAGCTCTCCAACGTTGTCACCAGCATGCAACAAGCCTTATCGAGCTTCTCACTAACCTGGAAACCCACTGTCCGCTCAGTCATGCCAGCTTTTACGGCTACTGTGTGATGGCAGAAGGACTCATTCTACGCATGTATGAGAGAAATAACGACAAGAACATAGCAGACGCGGCTAGCAGACGTGTTCGCGAGGCCCTTAACTTCTTGCAGCGCAAGCCGATCCGATGGAGTCACGTTGGACACATGGGCACCCTGCTTTCCTCCTTCGAACTAGATGCCAGTATCGCAAGAGTCCTTACCGATCCAGCCAGCCTTGCGCGCAAAGTTGATGTACCGCACGGGACAATGTTATGGCAGCTGCTTGACTATGCGTGGGCTCCTCAAAACAAACCTCCCTCGGCGATCCGAAGTTCGCTGGCAATCGCAGATTTGCTGTCTGAGACGGCACCTGAAGAGGCGAACAACCCTACCGGATCCTCATGTGACAGCGCCTACACCCCGATTGTGTTGTTTGACAGCAGGGATTCATTGCCTTCATCTTATGCTAGAATGTTGGGAGAAGACATGTAAGTATTATGATCAAGGATATACTGAACGAACCTTCCAGTAGTGACAGTGTTCCACGTATTCCCTACATACTAATTATCTATAGGGGCGATATTCTGTCTGAAGCCATGGGAGACCGTCGATTCTAGACTTTCATCCGCCGAGGATCTGAGGATTGAGCGTTATAGCTTGCTCGACAGCTGGGACAGTTTCTTCAGCTCCTTGGTCTCCAACTTGACAGCCAAATCGCTCAAAATCTCATCGCTTCCACCTCCCACCACCATAACTCGCACGTCCCTGCTAATCTGTTCGATTCTTGCACCCTTTCCACTCCTGGAATACCCGGCGCCACCCATGATTTGTTGCGCATCCCGGTTGACTCGCTCCAAAACTCGCCCGGCACTTGTCTTCAGCGTTGCAATCATAGCGCCGACATCCAGGGCTGCTGGAGCGAGCTTCTGAGATTGTCCACTATGACCACGATCGTGCGGTCTCCTCTGGCGCTTGCGGTTGTGCTCATTCAGAAACACTATTGACTCCATGTATGCGTGTGCGGGTTCGATGTCGCGAGCAAAGTCGGCAAATTTGGCTGATATGACTTGATTTGCGATCAACGGTTTGCCGAACGTTTCTCTCCGAAGCGCGTGTGCATATGCATCCTCGACGCACACTCGTGCCATCCGGAGGGAAGTGCATCCCAGCCACAGGCGCTCGTGGTTGAAATTCGACATGATGATCTCGAAACCATGGTTCTCTTGACCTAGCAGATTGGAAACTGGAACCTGGACATCGTCGAACTCGATGTACGTCGATCCACTCGCATTTACACCGGAATTCTCAATCTTGGTACAAGTCACACCCGGGGCCTTCAGCGAGATGATCAAAGCCGAGACTCCTTGTCTGCCTGGACCTCCAGTGCGGACGGCGGCCGTTACGTAGTCCGCGAATATGGCATTGGTGATCCACTTCTTTGCGCCATTGACTATATATACGTCTCCCCGTCGTTCGGCCGTCGTTGTAATTCCCGCCACGTCAGATCCAGCTGGGTAAGGGTGGAAGTCAGCACGGCGTGCGCAACACCGGGGGGCTTCTTGGGAAAGTGCACAAGAGAAGAGCATAAAGAGGACTTGACATACCGTCAGGCTCAGTGACGCCCAGACAGAAACGTGACTTTCCAGATAAGACGTCGGGCAAGAACCGGGCCTTCTGCTCCTTGGTTCCAAAGTTGATCAAAGGCGGAGCACCAATAGAATTTCCACAGCTCAGCGCCCAGATGACTCCCAAGTACCCGCATCTCGCAATCTCGTCGATGATGATCAAATCGTGGAACCCGTCCCAGTCCTCCGGCCTGATGTCTCCCGGAAGTCGTTGGTTCGCTGCTCTGATCTGCTCGACGGCAAGCGGATAGATCGATACGGCCATGTACCCGAGCCGGGCGTGATTGAGGATCACATCGCGAGGGACCGCTCCTTGCCGTTCCCAATCTTCGCAGAACGGCGTGATGCACGTCGCGACGTACTCGCGCGCTTCGCGCTGTAGGCGTCGGTGGCTGTCGGTGTAATATGGGCTTACAACGCGAGAGAGCCATGCAGGGTCTGCGTATGGCGCTGTTGAAAAGGCGGCCATTGGCGTTATGTTACGAAGTTTATAGGATGTATGTGCTTGTTAAAGGGAGATGGGGGCAGAGAGTATAATCGGTCTCAAAGATTGACGTAAGGTTTGAGTCTTTGATCAACTCCGGACCCCATATTTGGAAAGGTCGTGGTTGCTGGACTAATATTATTTCCACCTGCGATAAATGCCATCCTCTTAGTGGCATCTCCGCTGATTACCTAGAGGAAACAAAAAGCAGCCGAGGCGTGGAGCGCGGTTGACAACGGTAAGCTGAACAAGTCTGAGTAGTTGGTCAGTTCTTGCACATGGAGGTAACTGCACGGAGTGAGTGACACGCCTCATTCCCCGTGGGGAGCCGCGCACGGCCCGGCCCCGGCACCGTGGCCGTGCCTCTCAAGATCCTACAACATTACCTAGGTAGCAACAAGCAAAACCCACCTACTGTACAGGCGAATCGTGCGGTTTTACCATTACCGTAGATAGCATTTGAAACTTCGAGGGTAAAAGAGCACTGTGACTGGACAGAACGAGGATGAATGACCAATGAGCAAAGTTATGATTCATTCTTCAGCTAAAAAACTCAACTCTCTACTCAACCCAACAGAGTACTTTGCCATCATCGACCGAGTCGCCCACCTTGACACTCGTGCCAAATGTGCCTGCGACATTTACACTAATATTCGTCTCCATTTTCATGCTCTCAATAACCAGCACCACCTGTCCAGCCTTGACCTCCTCGCCATTCTCTTTCAGCACCGACAGGACTTTGCAGGGCATCGGGGCTTTGATGACCTTCGAGCTCGAAGAGCCCGCGGCGGAGGCGGAGAGTGAAGGGCGGAGAGACTCGATGTAGTCTAGCATAGTGTGGCATTTGTACCCGACCCATGTGCCCAATGAAGGGAGGTGGCACAGAAAGGTAGAAGAAGCGGCACTGCTTGGGGCGGTCGAAGAGGCATTAGTGGCGAGATAAACCTGAATCGTAGAGCCGTTGATGGCGACGGCGGCGGAGGCTTCTTGCCAATCGGACTTGGAGTCACCGGTAATCTGCTTGGATGCATATTTTCTCAGTTGTACCGTGTACTCTGCAGCGCTGGCGAGGGATCCGTCACGAAGTTTCCGGCTGATGGTGTGGTACCGACCTGACAATTCCCTGGCAGGCGTGGTGTTTGGAGCACCATCCGCCGCTTCGTTCTTCGGCGTCTCCGGTATAGGTGACATGGTGACATGAAATGAAGGATCGCTGCCTTGACTCGAAGAGCTCGCTTTCCAGACTGACAATAGCGGCTTCGAGGGCTCCGCTGCTGGTACGATTATCGACGTAGACACATTGACGGGGTCGAGGAATTGGTTCCTAAAATTCATGCGGACGTGCTGGAATGGTCTTGAAGTTTCATGCCGGTCCGGCGTTGCTCTCAGTAATAATCCAGGGATGACCGAGAGCATAGAGATCATATCCGATGTCGCGTTGACATGCGGGTTCCGAAGCAAGCTTTGGAGGTGTTTTGGAATCAACGATGTGGTGTACGCCGGATCTTGGAAGCTCTCGTGTAGCAAGCAGGCCTGAAGAAACAGTTGGTTAGTCTTGACTCCTGCGCAGGCAGTGCTAGCCATGACTCTGGCCATCTTCCTAATGGCAGCATCTCGAGTCGGTGCCCACACTACGACTTTGGCAATCATCGAGTCGAAGTAGATGGAAACTTCCGATCCGGTCTTGATCGCGGTCTCATATCTAATGTCCCTTGATGCCCCGTTCCTGTATTGGTCTGATTCCCGCCACAGACGGATTGTGCCGTTCTGCGGCATGAAGTCGCCATTGGGGTCTTCTGCACAGAGGCGACATTCGATCGCATGGCCACGTTGTGGGATAGTGCGTAGCCAGGGTATGCTTGAAAGAGATCCACCTGCAGCCACGAACAGCTGTAGAGCCACCACGTCAACACCTGTCACTTCTTCTGTGATAGGATGCTCAACTTGCAGCCTGGTGTTGACTTCCAGAAAGTAGAAGCTTCCGTCTTTCGCGTCTACAACGAACTCGACTGTCCCTGCACCTTCGTACCCGATCAATTCGCCAATCTGAACCGCCACCGCGCACATCCTTTGCCGTTGTTCTGGCGTCAAGAAGGGTGACGGAGTTTCTTCGATGATTTTCTGGTGTCTTCGCTGGACGGAACATTCTCTCTCCCACAGCGAAATAACCTTTCCGTGGCTGTCACCCAGGATCTGGACTTCGATGTGTTTTGCCGCCTCGATGTATTTCTCCAGGATGCAATCGCTCGAACCAAAGGACCGCTTTGCTTCTGATTGTGCCCGAGCCAACTCACCGGCCAGTTGTGAACCCTCTCGAACGATTCGCATGCCTCGTCCGCCACCGCCGGCTGAGGCTTTCAACATGACAGGGAACCCAACTTTCTCAGCTGCGATCTCGAGCTCTGCGACATCCTGACTCGACCCTTCGTAGCCTGGAATAAGTGGAACGCTCGGTGCATGCTTTTTGAGGTATTCCTTCGAATTTCGCTTGTCGCCCAAAGTTGACATGGCCTCTGAGCTGGGCCCAATGAAGATCATCCCGGCCTGACGCACAGCATCCGCGAATGTTCCATTTTCGCTGAGGTAACCGTACCCCGGATGAATGGCATCCACGTTCCGTGACAGAGCAATCTTGACGAGTAGCTGCACATTCAAGAACGGGTTGCCTTCCGGTTGACTGACGCTTCCTAGATTGACTGCCTCGTCTGCTTCTGTCACATGAAGGGAAGTCGAATCTTCTTCAGCAAAGATTGCGACCGACGTGAGATCCAGTTTGCGACATGTCGCGATGATACGGCATGCGATCTCACCCCTATTTGCAATTAGGACTCTGCGAATCTGCCTCTTTGCTGTTCCACTAGTTGGCAACTGTGCAACAAGAAGTGGATCTCGTGGAAGTGCAGAGTCATGGTCAGATTTGGTATGAGGAACACGATCTTGCTTCATGGTGAGATGTTCGTATGTGGATTTCAAGACCTGTGTCGAAACATTCTAATTAGTAGGTATGTGGTCCAAGGTACATGAAGAACCGCTGTTCAGTTGCCCCGGGTTCGAGAGGGCCGATCAACAGCCGTTCCAGCCTTGTCGGGGCAGCGCGGTCTGTGATGAGACATTGATGATGGTTCTACCGAGGCAGCGGTAGACGTGACCCCTTGGGCCACCGGGGACCCGGGCCGTGCGAGAAACAGGTTGCCGAGAACATCGGTCGACACTTTGCCTTGGGAAACACGACTTGCTCGCAATTGAACAACGAGTCGTGATCCTGGCTCTGGATTTGACACTCGGAATAAATCGATCCCGACATTTCGCAAAGGCATGGTGATGGCCAAAAGACTTGTCGTCCAGGCTATGTCCAGAACATTTCATAACTTTCTTGCGCTTATCGCCAAATGCTCCACACCATTAAATATGCGTTTCAGGAACAAAACTGCACCATATATCTTGATCCCTTCCTAATCTCTCTCAGTCCGACCTATTTGTCCTGCAACCAGGCTAATGGCGAGAACCACAAAGTTTTTCTCTACACAGGAACAGTGCACCTAATTTGGTGACGACCGTTGGCTCTCAGGATGTAAATCGTGTGGCCGACATCTGATCCATGGATCCTCAGCTGGTGGTCTCCCTACGTTAGAGTATGGTTACCTCAAAAGGTGAACGGCTCGAATCACCAGCATTTCCCTCTGCTTCGAAATGTCCTAGATCTACGTTCTATCCCGTACCCATCGAGAGATCTAGTGTAAGGCAATTCATGCTCTCAGACACCGTCTATCACCTGAGGACAATCATCGTCAGCTTTCGAGGCTGAAAGTCAAGGACCATTCCTTCGAGGACAACAATATCGTCGGCATGGCTCCGACTTCTAAGATTTCATTCGCTCTTATTAACGTAACGACGCTCCGTTTCCAGCAACTCGCCTAATGAGAAGAGAAACTCGTCGCCCTCCTCCTGGTCCAACGGTAAAAGAGGTCGGCGCGGTTCTTTTCCATAGCCGTGGACTTTGTGCAGGACGTATTCTGACAGAGGTTAGTCAAGACACACTATTCCAATGTTCAGAGTGTGTATCGGTCCTGCCCTCATTAACCACACTTACTCATAGCTCGAATACCGGCCGGTACAGCAAGTGCGTCTGCTCGTGACAAGATCGCTTGCAACTGTTCTCTTTCTGACACTTCCTCTGGCGTCACTGTTGGAAGGTTCAGTAGATCCCATAGCCTCACGGACGCTTGTGGAGCAAAGTTTGGTATTCCACTAACAGTTCCGTGGCCACCACAGGCCTTCCATGCTGTGAGATCTCCAATAAGACCATCGAGAAGAAGAAATGGCCGAGGACGGGTAGCCATAGTAGTGGATGATACATCCAAGGCAGCTTTCAATCGCACAAGTTTGCCAACACTTCCTCCACAGCTAACATCAAAGAAATCAGCGTACAACGGTAAATCTAAACTGGGCACCCGGATTACTTACGTCAACTTGACACCACACAAATTTGGGGCTTTGGCCATTATCATTTCGATCACCTCCGACGACATATCTAGCCCCGCAGCATTTGTTGGGAAGTTGTAAAGAAACAATGGGATCTAGGAACCCTGTCAGCTCAATGGGAAATGTCCATGGCGAAGAGTCTGTTACCGGAGACGCTTCACAGATGTCGACAAAATATTGAACAATCTGATTATGATCCGAGTTCAAACTTGCAGCATAATATGCCGGTAGTATTACGAGCCCAGCGTCCCTGGTCTTCGTCAGTGATCATGAAAAGCTTCTACTATAACAGGCTAGATCTTCTGCTTACGCCCCAGCAGATGCGGCATCCTGACATAAGTTTATTGTTTCTCGGGTGCTCAAACCACCTACTCCGGCGACGACAGGCGTTGATCGCAATCCCAAGTCGTCCAAGGTCTGGCGAGTAGTCTCGATCAAAACCTGTCGCTCTGATGGACTCTGTGGGCCAGATTGATTAATACTTGTAGGTATCTCAGATATGGATGCGTATTTCTTACCAGATGAGCCCCTTCCCCTAAGGATCCTGAACAGACAGGAACTAGACTTGAATATCAGTGTCTCCATCGGCACATTTCTGAACTTTGTCTCTGAAGACCCACCGATGCCTTGTGTCGCCAAATCTGACAATATCAGGGTCAGTCAGTCGGTGAGATTTCAACACAAATGTTGTTTGTGAACGCACTAATAAGATGTTTCTTGTAACTGACGAGGTCCAACTCTTGATCGTCACGAAAGAAAGTAGGTAGAGGCCCATACAGCCCCGGTCGTAATTCTCGCATATTAGGGGAGTTGAGTTTGTAATTTTCGACAACTACAACTTTGAGGAGAAAAGGGGTACTGTGCCGTAAGTTCGGTATATGCCCAGTAAAGCTGGCACGTGAGTCGTGTCGCCTGGCTAGCCTCGTGCAGGGTTCTGAAAGGGCAGGATGTCAAAGGCGACTAGAACTCCTCAGAGATTTCATTACCAATTGTAACTCCGTACTGAACGAGTGGATATGCATATGTAGCATCTCCTCGAAAAGTAGCCTTTACTGTCGGCATCAGCGGCAAAGAGCCGACATTACGACCCAGGCCCTGTCGGCAAGTCGTGAAGAAGGCTTGCTCCACCAGTATTCCGCCCCATACCGAGGGCCCACCCTTATCATGGTCTTGAGAAAACGGGGACAGAGTTCAACGACAACCAAAAGCTAGAGATCCACGAGCCTGTAATGTCACATAGAAGATTCTTAACTAACGGCGTCTTTCTCCTTTATCGCATATTGATAGCCCTTTGTCGGCTTGTCTCCGAAGGTCAACAGCATTTTGAGCGTGCCCTTAAGGACATACACCAGATAAGGCTCTGTCGGTTAAGATATATAGCATGTGTTCCCATAGCTCCCCACTGCAATCAGCGAGCACGTGGAACAGTATCGCGATCGAGTCTACTCTCTGTAGCTCCAGACGCATTCACAGCTCTCCAACACTAAAGGAGCAACGACAAGAACACTTAGAATGTCGACAGGCGAGGTACGCATTCTGAAGTCATCTCGAGCCGTCTTAGTGTCGAGAAAGATATTTTGAGATGATGCTCACTCTTCTAGGCGACAACACCCCTGGAGAAGGAGCACAATATGCTCGCGACCGTCGAGCCAGCCAAAGGCTCCGAACTGGGGACTGTGACGGATGCTCCAGCTCACACTCTCAATAAGGACCTGAAGGTATGTCTCTGAGCAGCTTCTATGTGCTAGCCGGAAGTAATTGAACGCTAACTTTGCTTCTATTCCTCTGTAGCCTCGCCATATGTACGTGTGCATATTGTGACACGCAGCGCCGACTAACTCATGGTCCTAGGCAAATGATCGCGATTGGTGGCGTCATCGTAAGTATCTTTGGAAACCGGGTTGGAGTCGCGCGTATTCTGACAGTTGCTGAAGGGAACTGGACTGTTTCTGGGAACGGGAGGTAATCTGGCCAATGGTGGGCCTGCAGGGCTTTTAATCGCGTACTGTCTCATGGCCTCGCTACTGTTCTCTGTCATGGTACGATCTAGCAATCCGATCATATTTCCCTGCTAAGTACTTACAGGTTGCTCTGGGCGAGATGGTATCCAAATTTCCCATCCCTGGAGGTCAGTTCGCGCTAGCGGGCCGGTTTGTTGCGCCTGAGCTGGGGTTCGCGATGGGCTGGCTGTATTGGTATAAGTATGGCTAACACTAGAAAGTTGAATTCGTCATGCTCACAGTGATATAGCTACATCAGTGGGTACAATTCAAGTCTTTCCGTCTTGATCGTTTACTGAACCACGAAGTCGTCCTTCCGGCCGAAATATCTGCAGCCGCCGTCATTATCTCGTACTGGACACCTGCCGGCGATCCGGATTCGACCTGCACGACAGGAATCTGCAACAATGCCATGTGGGTTGGGTTAATGCTTATCGTGGTCGTAAGTTCACTACTTTTCCCGTTGCTCGAGAGGTCTTTCCTGACCACCGGATGCCAGTGGGCCATCAACTTCGCCGGAACGCGTGTCTTTGGTGAACTCGAGTTTTGGTTTGCATCCATCAAAGTCATAACTATACTGGGGTTGATCATTGCTGGCATCGTGATCACTTCAGGCGGCGGCCCCGACCATCAGTCCATTGGGTTTCGATATTGGCATGAGACTGGCGGCTTTGTTCAATATGCCGGCATAGGTAAGTTCGATATGGCAAACAAATCCGGAGTGTAGCTCCTTGAAGCTAAATATATGTTAAATTGCAGGGCGTTTCTTGGGCTTCTTTAGCGGTAGGTTTTCCGTTGGAATTCGCCTGGTCAGCTTCACCATGCTAATCTGTTGCTTTTAGTGTTGATCAGTGCTGCGTTTGCGTTTATTGGAACGGAGATTACTGCCATAGCAGCTGCGGAGACGGCAAATGTAAGGCTCAGTATGAAGTCTCTGTGGATCGAACGAAGCTGACAACGTCAAGCCCCAACGCTCAGTACCACGCGCGATTAAAGGTGTTTGGATTCGTCTTTGCCTGTGTAAGTTGATTTTGTACTGAGGTGACCTGGAACTATTCAAACTGATGAATTCGAAGTCTACATCATTAGCGCTTTCATCGTAAGTTCAACCATAAGAAGGAGTCGATTGAGATTGACCTTCGGATAGATTGGTTTGTTGGTGTCCCCTACAGACCCTTCATTGAATCTTTCCTCGACTGCAGCAAAAAGTCCATTCGTCATAGCAATGAAGGTATGCACTCTTCCCTCCCCCTCAGCTCCTGCAGAACTGATATGGTTGGTTACAGAATGCCGGGATCAGCGCCCTTCCATCCGTGGTGAACGCTGCTCTCCTTACTAGTGCTTGGTCTGCTGGTGTGGCCGACCTTTTTGTGTCCTCGCGCACATTGTACGGCCTGTTTTCCCGGGGGCATGCTTTCCAGATACTAGGAAAAACTCGAGGGGACGGTTTACCATGGGTTGCTGTTCTCGTCGGAGTCGCCTTCTCCTTGCTCTCTTTCATGGCAGCGAGTAAGGGGCAAGCTGGAACGGCGTTTGGCTATTGTAAGTCTCAAATCCCCAAACCCATGTCGACTTTCCTCTGACAGCGGTGACTTGTACAGTTTCGAACATGACTGCAATCTGTGGCATCATTTCATGGTCTGGGATCTTGTGGACAAGCATCCGTTGGCACAAGGGTTTAAAAGTTCACGGAATCGATCGCAAGTCTTTACCTTACCGAGCACCACTACAGCCGTATCTGAGTTACTACGGTCTGACTGTCTGCGCCCTTGTCCTCGTTTTCGGCGGATTCGGTGCCTTTATCCATGAATTCGACACATCTTCATTCATCACCACTTACTTTCCAATTCCATTCTTTGCGGTTCTGTTATTCGGCTACAAGATCGTCAAGAAGAGTAAGATTGTCCGTTACGAAGACTTTGATCTCGCCACAGGATCGTCGGACAATGTGAGCAATCCAGTGAGTTCAACTTCCTTGGCGGATCGAGCAAGTACTGATACAGATGCATGGCAGCTCGAACAAGAGACAATATGGCGAAAGATCAAGGACAGCGTCTGAGTGAGTTTCTCAGAGAGATTGTCTTACATATTGTCCGCAGGAAACTGGTCCACAGAAAGTTTAAATTTGTTTCAGATCATAAAGATACCACTCAATTATTGTTGTATCGCTGTCAGGGGTGTAAGATGGTCGTCCTTACTGGACGATCATAATGTCGCATACAGAAGCCATGTGTATTTTCTACCGCTGTGAACCTGTTATTAAGCAATCTCGACTGGCGGAACCCCAGATGCTTTACCCTTGCCTGTCCTTTTGTTATATGGAGCGAGCCTCGACATGTTCCTCTGCCAAGCATCTACCGCTTCTTTTGTTTCTGAACGCATCAGAATGATTGCCGACTCAAAAACGACGACTTTGAGAGACTCCCTCAACGGGTGTTTCAAAGACTCTGCTCTCGTCTGCAACGCTTCATCAGTATCAACCTGTCAACGACCCTTCATGATCCTGATATGAATAAACAATGTTGTGTGATAGGTGCTTGGATTTATTTAAGGCCGATTTCCGATCAGCAGACGAGATAGGTCGGCCTCATTCACTGGATCTTCCAGATCCTCTGCCCGATATTACCTGTGATTTATGTCTTCTGCTTCGGGAAAGATTTGCCTTGATCTATCGAGCGCAGCCTGGTGAAGCGACACCTGTTTTGGATGCTTCCATTGGATCTCGGCCCCAGAGCCCAGAACCTTCAGGCAAGCATGCGGAGGAAGCAAGCCCCAACAGGCTGGAATTCTTCCTTGTACAAGACGACGTCATTGATATGAATTTATTCTAGTTGAGATTTCAGAGACCCGACAATCATGATGACGGTCTACAACTGTGCCTGATGCCTCTTGACGGTAGGTCTCTCCGGCCGTCGTGTAACAATGGAAGAGCATTACTAATATTGTCACGAAGATTTTTCATTAAAGAACATAGCAGTTGTTGCAAATTCAACAGTAAAACCACATCAAGGCATAACATGGTTGTCTGAATGCTTGAACGAACATGAACGGTGCAAGGCAAGGAGAGCGAATATGCCAAGTGAACCTTTTCTACCGACCAGATTGATCGAAATCACGACGGAAGGGGCAGAGGTAAAAGCCCGGTTGCACGAAACTTTACATGACGTCGGAAGTCCCGTCTACATGACTCTAAGCCATTGTTGGGAAAGCGGAGCGGTGTGGAAATTGTTGAGGGCTACGTATAGGGCTGCTCTGGAGAGCTTACCGATGAGAGACCTTCCTCCGGTATTTATGGACGCTATATCCGTTGCGTCTTCCGCCGGTATCAATTTCTTGTGGATTGACTCTGTGTGCATCGTCCAAGATGATGTCGATGATTGGTCTAAGGAGTCTGCACGAACGGGTGATATCTACGGAGGAGCAATATGCAACGTTGCTGCTACCGGATTCACTGATGGATCACACGGACTCTTCGCTGCGAGGAATACACAAACCTTAGGACCGATCGCAGTCAAACTTGACTTTCCGATAATATTCAATGAGTACGACGGTATCATTGAGACTGAGTTTTACCTCGTGGACCGCGATGTTTGGGTCCGCGGAGTCGATAGAGCGCCCTTGAATAAGAGGTCGTGGGTGGTACAAGAAAGATATCTGTCCCCTCGAATCATTCATTTTGGACGTCAACAGCTGTTTTGGGAATGTTGCGAGCTCACGGCCTCTGAAACGTTTCCGCACGGCCTGCCTAGCCGACTGCTCATCCGAAGCGCGCCCAGCGTGCTCCTGAATGCAATTTATTCGGGGAAAAAGGCAATTGATGAAGCATCGTTAAGCGAGGATGATTTCATAGACTGGTGGACAATAGTCTCGGCGTACAGCCTGGGTCGTCTCACTTTCGCGACGGACAAACTTGTCGCGATTTCAGGCATGGCCAGATCATTTCAGTCTTTCTCCCGCAGCCGTTACCTGGCAGGCCTATGGGAACGCAATCTACCACATGATCTGCTGTGAGAAATCGCTTCTGGAGACAGAATTGTTCAATTCGGCCCTCTAGAGTATCACGCTCCTTCGTGGTCTTGGGGGAGCACGTTGTCTTCTGCCTGCCGGTTCGTATTCAGGGCGACCCTCAGCACATTTTCGAGTCAGGCGTCTCTGATTCAGACACATCAGAGAATTGGGATCCTCAGATCGCCGGTCTCGTGCTCCGGCCGACAGGTTATGCGGACGGAGAGTACAGAAGAGTTGGAATTTTCACTTCCGTGGACACAGCTGCTATTGAGAGCCTCCGCAAGTCAACTGCTGGTATCCCTTCGCGGTTCTACGAGCGCTGGGATGGCGAAAATACGTACACAATATCCATTGTCTGAGGATCTGATTCGTCGCGGCAAAGGGGCTTCTGCGAGATCTGGTTCCTCAGACCTTGCTTGTACTCCTTGAATACCTTACGAAGTAGGAACTGAGCAGGCTGGTGACTACGTAATAGTCCGCAAATCTAGCAGTTTTTCAATTTTCATTCATTCAGAGGTGCTGAGCTGGTGGGAAACCTAGCTCGGCCATTAATTCGAGATCATATACATTTCAGCAGTCGTAGTATGACATTGGGAGGCGCCGCCTTCCTGGTAATGATGGGCGGCAGGAGTGAATATTGATAAACTCAAGGGTTTTGAAGAAGACGGTGCTGCTGAATTCTTCGATGTCACGGTCGTTTGAGATCGTCCCCATTACTGTAGTGTATGTCGGGCGTGCGAAAGTCGTCGAGGTTGCCGTCACAGTGGGCTTCACAACGATAGTAAAATACTAATCACAATAATCGAGGAACTGCTAGACCTGGGGGCAATCTTGTCACGAAAATCCTCGTGCCGACACTGATGACAGTACTACCCAACCCCCGCGAGCGTTGAAACAACAGGGTTGAATCGTGATGGAGCAATCGTGTTATATAATCAGGTTCTTTTTAGGCTTTCTCCGTTGAGACTAAGAGGTGGATCGCGGTATCAATGATGATCCGATTTCCACGATAAGGAACGACATACAAGATAGAGCGTGCTTCCTGTCAACTAGTATTCGCAGACATCGGGAGTCAGAGAGGTGCCGGCATGGAAGATGATACTGCTAGGCCTCAGTAAGTTCGACTTTGTATCCAGAGTTGTCATTGCATTATGCCACGTCAGAACCGCTAGTCTGACTACATGAAACAGCTCTAGTCCTGACGAACCTCCTCCTGCAAAGTCTCGTCGCATAGCTCGGGCATGCTTACAGGTACTTCTTCAACGTGCAGTGCTCTCCCATATGGCACTGGTTCTAACCTCGTGAGATTCACCAGTGTCGTGCGCGCAAACAACGCTGTTTGCCATTGGGAGAGAATACAGGCTTCGGCATCGCCTGCAGGCGGTGCAAGCGCCACGGAGTATCATGCTCCTTCGAGGCCGAACAGCGAGATACAACAGTTGCGTCGAACCCGGCTGCTGCTACTTTGGGCAGTATTCAAGCTTGGTATAAAGCTCACCATCTTCAAAGTGGAACTCTCAGATCTAATCAACCGTAAAGCCTGAAAGACCACGAGCGCCGATTGGCGGAACTCGAAGCGAAAAGACCTCTCGCCCTTTATGAAGAGTCTCAGCTTCACTCCCTCAGTCCTCAGTAAGTCTGTGAAGGTGAAGATCTCAATGAGACCTCTAACATGCTTCTCAGCCCGTCTACGATCGTCACTCAAGATGGACCCGGCGGTGACGAGCCAGGGCTCAATGCAGCAAGAACTTCCTTCAATCAGAGATCGTGGGATGACCGCCAGCAAGCTCCCAACATAGACGCAGTTGACCTAGGTCCCCCAATATCTACACTTCGGAGTCTTGGAGCGATGCACGGGTACCCGCGAGCGCACGAGTTGGACAGCGATGTTGCGACTACAGCGAGGAGCCGAGAGTCAACAGCGCAGTACGGGCCGTTCGACCCGATATCCAATGGTATATTGACTATGAACGAAGCCTCACGAGCCATAGACGTGTGGGTTAATACTATCATACCAGCGCAACCGATGATTGACCAATTTTGCTGTTAGATTCTTTCAGCACTGTCACCCAATGGCACCAGTGTTGAGCGAAAGCCTACGATCACAAGCAGCATCCCTGAGGACCGGAAGATCAATGTTATTTTTGACCCTTTGCTCAATAGGAACTCGGTTCTGGCGGCCTACTGACATGGCGTGAGTGCAGCCCGCCCTCTCTGTGGTACGATCGAATTGGATAACAGGCTTAGTGCACATAAGTGGCCGACATGGCATCCCAAGTGTTCGGAACTAGCAGTCCTACTCGACAAGGCTGTCTCACAACTACTGCTACGTCCGACTCCCAACGATGTTCATGCCGATTCGGTGGTAGTCCTCTTACTGTATGCGCAATGGATGCCGTACGGTAAGCAAGCGTTCCAAGACACAAACGACGCCAGCAGAAAAAGGAGTGTCAAGCGGTCCTTGAGTCGCTACAACGACATCAGCGCCTGGGCAGTGCTCGGGTTGGCAGCTAGATATGCGGCCATACTTGATCTTGGACGAGGGGCCATTGCTCCGTTCAGACGACAACAACTGGCCATTACGCATGAAGACATGTCAAAGCTCCGGATCTGGTTCAATCTACTGACTTGCGACTGGAACCTGATGCTGTCTTCTTCTCTTCCGTCCACTCTTGACCCGACAGAGGGTGCTACTATTGCACGAACTTTTGGCACACATCCCATCGCACAGCAGCCCAACGACCTACGGTATGCAGCGTTGGTGGAGCTTGTCTCCATATCGCATAGTGTTCTTGAGACGAACAAAGAGTTCTCGGCGCGGCGATTGAACGCGGCTGGCCTGCGAAAATTCAACATGGCCTGTGACGATTGGGAGAGGTGAGACTCCGCTAGCCAATCCATCCCACAACGCTGATTAACCTGGTTCGACAGACATTGGAAACCAATCCTTAGTATGGAGTTTGACAACCAGATCCTCAGTACAAGTACTGACAGTTTCTCAGGGTCGACTTATTTTCAGCACGTTCATCTGCCATTTACTTCGCTGAGGGTGACTCCTCCATCCCAAATCTCGATGTGTTTTGGCTAATCTTTAACCATAGTGGTGTCGTCTTGCGCTCAACAGTGCAGTGCTTGGCCCATACCTGAACTCAAACCCCGATGAAAATATTCAGCCATCTCACTTGTGGGTTCTGGAAGCCGTTGAAACTAGCATTTCAGCAGCGACACAGATTATATTCTGCGTATCAACTCTCGGCCACGAACACATATGGAGCCTGGATGCACAGAATGCGTCGACAGTTCCGCGCGAGCCTTTCGTTGTTGACAAGGTTACGCTCGAGCGTCTAAGCTATGCTGTGGACTCGACGTGGGTCTCATATACTTTTGCCGTGACATTTTTGGCATTTTGTTACGTGAAAGGAGTTGTCAATGGTAGATATACAATGATTCCCACTCTCTCTTTCAAGAAGGCTCTGCAAAGACTGACCAACTCTCCTCTTGAATAGACGAGCTGCGTTTGCGATGCTTGACGGGTGCAAACTCGCCTCAGAATGTGGCCCCACGCTCACCCCGACCGGGATCCCTTCTCGCACGGCTTCTTCGACTTGCCCTCGACCTGTTCGATGCCATGTGTGAGGGCCCAATCTTTCCGCTAGCACAGGAGCTGCAGGGCGTTGTCAAAGACTGCGTCATTCTGTTACTAGCAGACGACGGTGGCAATCGAAACAACGAGGTCCAAGTCGACACCACGGGCATGCAGTCTCTGTTCGACCAGATGATGGATCCAGGGTTCGACTGGCCAGTCTTCACCGAGGACTGGGATATTGGAGGGACACCGTTAATATAGGTCAACTGATTCTCTCCGTCTGCATCGTTTTGATACCGCAGTTTAAAGCTTTGACCTCGACTTCTCAAGTTTCCTAGCCTCAGCTGCTCTTCTTTGATGAAAACTTTCTGTCCTAAAGTAGCAGCGTCAGCGATAGTCATTTCCAACGGATGCAGTTGAAGCAGAGGCCTACTTTGCGGAATCAGCAGCTTCGAAAGTAACATCCTGAGCCCCTTTCCACAAGACCAGCTCTCCCAAAGCTCGCAACGACTCGTGGCCCTCGACAATGGTCAAGAAGTGGTTTGCGGCCAAGGGGCCCATCTTGCTGGCAAAAGACACCCCTCCATAACAGAACAGGATTTCCGTCTCAGAAAACCCGCCAGGGTACAAGAGAATCTGTCCCGCTGCTGGATGAGAGGTGTGGTTCTCATAGCTTACGTGAAAGTCATGTTCTCCCAACGGGATCCACAGACCCTCGCCGCTCCATCGGACGTGGATGAGTTTCTGACGATAAGGAAGCAGGTTTGCGAAAGTCGACACAGTCTTTGGCGCTGCAGACTCAAACTTGGCTAGAAACTGGAACGGTCCTGCTGTGATGAGAATCAAGTCTGCTGTCGCCATTCCGAAGATGATACGCGACTGACAGGGGTCCAATTTCTTGACATTCGGAGGAGGTTGTAGTAAATATATTGTACTCCGGATTATCCGCAAATCTGATCTCGTGGGTGGAGGTGTCGTTTGTCTCGCTTTGACCACGTCAATGGAGAACATCGGCCGGCAGAGACTTCGGCCGACATTACCACGGGTTTCACGCTACCATCAGTTGGTCAATGGTGGATGATAAGCCCATCTCAAGGAGAGCACATAGAGATAAACCACACCGGGCCCACACCGCCAACATCGGCCCAAACCCGACGATGTATCGGTTCGCTGTCGGCTCTCTGTCGGTAAATCCGACTGCCACTGTTCATCGTTTCCAACGGTGACTTTGCGCTAAGAATTGTGCATTCTTACACACTGGTGGAGGTATGCAGAACTTTCAAGCCTCGGAGCATAGCCGCATTGCTTACTACTCTGGAGATACGTCAAAACAATCCCGGGAGATAAAACCAGAAATCTGGCTTATTATCCAGGAATTGAAACCATGCAAAATCGGGAGTTTTGCTGATTACTTCGCTCTTGCAACAAGAATGTCTGTATTTGAGGCCTCGCATATCTACAGTCTCCCTCGGGTATACGTAAATACGTGTCCTGGCGCAGATACATCTCTCGTACTGCGGCTCAAAGGCTCCGAGGAGAAGCCTCGATGTGAGGGAAAGCCTGACAGGCCCAAGTCCTTTCGAAAAGGATCGCTCACGGTCACACCGGTGCTGCATCATTCTTCAGCGAGCGGTAAAAGGTGCACGTACTTCGGAGCCCAGGTCAATGGTGTGGATTGGAGTCAAGCAGTGTCGGAAGATGTGGTCGCACAGGTAAGAGATACAGAGAATTCTCCCTTCTCAGGACTCCGCGCCCTGGCTGTTCTTTCTGCGGGATGAGCTCAGCACTGACATTGGCCATCCCGTCCAGCTAAAGGAATTGCAAGACGAGTATGCCGTCCTCATCTTCCGTAAGACGGGCCTCGACAACAGCCGGCACGTCGCATTCTCGCGGCAGCTCGGACAGGATCTTGAGATCAACCCCTTCTTTTATGGTCGCGAGAATGATCGGATAGGGGACCCTTTTCTTTGGGACGTCAGCAAGTATGTTTCCTCTTCCTTCAGGAGCCAAGGCAACGGGCTTTGTTGCTCTAGGAACCACTCCCACCAGGTTACCAAGGCCTAGCCACGATCTTCGGACTGATCTTGGGTTCAACACATCTACAGTATCAACCGTGATGGCAGCATCGTACAGCCCGACTCACGCCGGTGGCACCACAGCCTCGGTAATGCGTTGTGGCACACGGTAAGAAGAGCCCTCTGATGGGGTCGAACCCGCAGCCCCAGCCATGTGATTCCACTTCTGCCGGGTTTATAGCTGATGCCGGAACCTGCAGGACTCTTCGTACCACCAAGAACGATCGAAATACTCTCTACTCTTATCACATGGGACCCCGGTGAGAGGCGGATCCTGGACACACTTTGCGGATACACGACAAGCGTACCAAGACCTCCCGCAACATGTAAAGGACCAGCTAGAGGACCTTGTGGTGGAACACGAGTAAGGCTTGTCCCTTCCACAACTTTCATGTGTTACTTCGGGGTTTTGTCTCTGTTAACGACAGCAAAGACGGAGCCTTGAGCCCAAGATGATGACCACAATACTGACAACCATTGTTTTCTCGACACAGTCTCTGGCATTCGCGTCGATTAGGATCACCGACGACGTTCAAAGAGCCTCTGCCGCATGAGCGGGCGGCAAAACCTCCCGCTTACCATCGTCTGGTTCAGCAAGCTCCTGGACAAGGGCGGAAGACATTGTACATTGCTGCCCATGCCAAATTGATCGTGGGCTGGTCATACGAAGACAGCCAAGAGTTGATTTGGAGACTGATAGAGTGGTGTACGCAGCCGAAATATGTTTTCAGTATGGAATGGCTTGATGGTGGCGACATGGTCTGGTGGGACAATCGGTAAGTGTGTTGCTCCAGGTATCCTAATTGCTTCCTCCACTTCAATAACATGACTTGCTTGGAGCCTTGCAACAAGCACTGACCTATGAGACGACGTGAGATTACGGAGAATGCTGACATGTAATGATACAGCCAGTCGATGCACCGTGCTAATCCATATACCACGAGCATGACAGCGCGTGATGTACGAAGGGCAACCATCATTGACGACGGGCCTTCAGCCTGGGGTGTTACCGAAGAAGAGATTGCTGCGGCAAAGCATAAAGCTGAGCAACTTGGCTTGCTACGGTGGGACTCTCCCCTCGTTTAGCAATCGCTTGTCTAGAGCTTGGGATCTCGCCCAAGTATAGCTGCCGTTGCAGGTCTAGGTTGCTAGGTAGGCAGACAAATGATGCAAAGAGCCAGGTCCCATGGTGACTGTTGCATACTATAACTCGAAATGTTTGCTCTCGTGTGCTGCTCACGGCTGAACATTGGATGATTGAGACGTAGCGTATCAGAGACTGCTATTGGAAAAAGGCTCCTATACTGTAATATACGTAAAGGAATCCTTGATGTGATGAGAGCGTCAGGAGCCTACATATAGTGGTGCCTCGGTATGACCAGCCAACGCTGGCATCGCTGGATTCAAGGAGTCGATCTCAAAGTTGAGCTCATCCAAGCATACGTGATTTGCAAGTTCTGTTTCTAGTGCGGAAAGGTTGTTCTCCAGCAATCTCAGTCTCTTTTCAAAGTCTCTCGCAGGAATATTGCCCGCCGAGCTCTGGAAGTGGAGAATCCGAAGGATCGTGTCCAGTGCAGATTGGTCATCGTCGGTAAATGAGAACGGATCTAGTCCCGGGTAGGCAAACGCGTGCATCTGCTGGGTCATGTAAAGGACAATGGCAGCAGTAAATGCGTAGCTGGCATCAAAATAGGCATGAATCGCTAAAGAGAACTGGATCAGCACGTTTCGCGAAATCGACAGGAATGGGGGTGTGACCAACAAAGAATGCCGTGGTAGTGCAACCACTCCAGAATCGTAGCGGTTTCACGTGCAGATTCCAGGCAGGCAGTATAAAATGCCTGCAGGATTGATTTGGATCCAGGAAAGAGGTCAATGACGCTAGCAAGACCCTTGCTGCGTGCATCAAACCTGTCATTGTGAATATTGACAAGCGCCGGTCTAAGGAGCACCAGAATCGTCTTGGACATATTAGTGAGAATACGCAGAGGCTCGCACAGCAGATGGAACAGACCTGATGGTAAATGAGATGTAAACTGGCATTAACTCGATTCAGGTTGATTAGCGAGCCATCCCAATTTCGAATTAATTTCAATTTCGGTAAAAGATCTTTCTGCCATGCAATCAAGCCTTGGTGGAATTCATCCATTTTGTCTAGGTGCTGCTGCGACAACAAGTTCCCCAGGTCGAAATTGAACAAGGAAATATGGGAGTATGGATTTATTGCAGTTCCAGCGTAGCCGTACAACGAAGAATATGCTTGCCCTCTCAGACGCATGACTTCGAGGTGTGCGTTTGACTCGTCGGAATCGAAGAAATCTTGTAGCGAGTCACCAACAAGGCGGCTGGAGTCTGCGTATTCGATGGTGATTTCGTCATCCAAGATCCCCCATGGGCGACCTGTGGTGGCTGTGGTGAGTCTGAGGGCAAATAAAATCAGCATAATTGAACGGATAATGTTCTCGGGAACCCATACAAATCCTGGTAATAAACGGTCCAGAATACTCGTCTCTGGTATTCTAGCTCCGCCACAGAGAGGTTTGAGCGTTCGGACGGGAAGTCCAAGAGATTTCGGTGAAGACCCAAAGATAGCGCCGCACGCAACGCGATACCGTTGTACATGTAAGCAGTGTTGACCTTGTCCATGGAAAAAGCATACATGGTCAGCAAGCACAACGTCTCAATATACTGTAAGTCGGGGTTTTCCGCCACTTGTTGAAGAAAGGCAACAGATTGATGGTAATATTCGGCTCCAGGAGGCTCTTTGGTAGCATCTGACGATACGTGGCCAGTCTCAAGAGAGCTGTCAGGACCAGTGGTGCCTCCATTGTCTTTGTACAGCTCCCCAAGTGCCAGTGCAGCAAGCCAATAGCATAGCCAGCCATGATCTTTGCTTCGAGTAGACTCTGGATCTTCATACATCTGGCGGGCCCTGGCTCGAAGCTGTCGCCGACGAAAGTAATGCTGGTCGTGACCAATCGCAGCTTCCGCGCACTGAATCAAGTATATACTGTGATTGTAGGGAGGCAAGCGAATCTTGATCGGCCTTTTGGACTCCGTCAAAGCTGGAGGACGAGAGACTTCGGTTTCAATGGATATCTCGAGCCCGGGATGCATTGGACCGAACTCTGAATGTCCTAATGAAGCCCATCTTGGGTCAAAGGAGTTATCGACAAACGGAGTGAGCTGAACCCTCTGTACCGCCGTCCATTCGACGAATTGCTCGACAAATGTCCGGCAGGTAGGACTGCCACGATAGTTCTGCCTTGAAGCCTGGTTGCTGTTGATGGAGCGGTTTGAGCTAAAGTCCTTCTCAGACCGGCGATAATTGCCCGAATTTGAAGTTGTGGCGGGCAGAGCTCCGTTAATAGCAGATGATAATGTTGATTGGGTCTCTCCGATACCGCTGGATGGCAGGAAAGGACTCGACTGAGTAAATGAATTGCGAGACTTGCGCTGGGGCGGAAATATACATGGCGAATTGGAAAGTGAGCAGTTTCGACACGGCACGCCTGTATCTTCATGAGCTGCGGGCACGGAGTGCCAAAAATAATCTTGCTTACCACCCAAGCACTTGATTCTTTTCGAGTGGCACCGCGTGCATCTGTTGTACAAAGTCAGCCGTAGGCACGAGTAGAGGAGTTTGATATAACAAACGCTTGCTTCCTGCGTGGTGCATAATATATCGGTGCAGGCCTTTGGTCCTCAAGCGTACCGTGGGAGGCCGCCGAGGGAGGGGAGGCCGTTGATAAGGATGGAGTCGCCCACATTTAGCCAGCCACCCGTCAGGACTCACGAATTCGTGTCAGATAGCATGGCCACAAGTTTCATAGGGAGGTTCGATTTTCGTAGAGAGTCCGTTCACCGACTTGGAGCATTAACGACTGCGATGTCAACTCTGCAATGTCAACATAGAGCCTGGAGGAAACATCCGGGGTTTGGCTGGACCCGGCGAAAAAGACTTTGGATATGCGACGATAGTCAAATTACTCCGCCTTATTACGCTAGTAGATAACCGGACTAGTGTGTACGGTCGTGCAGGTCGACACGGACCGCCGTTTCCTTTTTACATTGCAGAGAATCATGTACATGCATAGGTAGTTACTATCAATAACTGATCTCTTGAGATATCTATCTATCTAGGCAGTGGCGTCGGCATATTCAAGAACGACACTCTTAGGCTCGACAAATACCCCCAAAGGTTTGTAATCGATCTTGTATCCGAACGCTTCAGGGCCCCCGTACTCCATGCCTCTCTTCGTGTCGGACCAGCGCGGCGAGCACGTTATTCCCAGCACCGTCACCAATAGACCATATCGAAATTCCGGAACGCCGAGGGCACAGCCGGACTGCGTGTCCAGGACAGATATTAAGTCAGGCACCGTCGCGAGGTACGTCTCTGATCCATCGACGGCGATGTGTTTTGCATAGATGTTTTCATTCTTGAACGGAATCTTGACGACGCCGCCTTGGGCCACCGCGGGCCTTTCGTGGCCCTGTTCCTCCTCATCCTTGTCGGTTTGACTGATGGTGATCTCTCCGTAGGAATGTCCTTTGTAGATCCTTCGCTCCACTGCAGTTATCTTGCCTCGAAATAAGATTTTTGCTGTTGTTGGCCCGCCAACCTCGTCAATGATCTGTTCGGCAACAGTATGAATGGTGCTTTCTTGCTGAGCCCGTGCAACTGTCCTACCAATGCGCCAGGATAGAGACAGAGTATTGATAACCCCAAACGATCTCACACGATCCGTTGTTGTTGGCCTAGCTGCCATGCCGACCCTGGATCCCATCTCTGAGCAGGATGCTCGCAGTGCGCGATCCACTATCTCATCGTCCGGAGACTTCGTCATGATGATGGTTTTGCCGTCACCTGAAGCAATTGCGCATGGAGTGAGCTGTCCGCTTTCATGGACAGCAATGGTTGTTTGCCAATAGGTCGGATAGGCTCGACCTGAGGTTTGTTAGCGAAGTTCACACACGAGAGGGGGAATCTAAGATTTCGCACTCACCCATCCAGTCTGCATCAATGACGGGTCGGTCGAATGCGTGCGAGGATCCAATCAGCAGAGGCTCGAGCCCATTGGCACCTCCAATTTCCAGACCCATGATGGCATCGAACGATTTGTGCCCCAGATATTCCATCAGATCTGCTACAGCAGTTATACATTCTGACGAATTCAGTCTCTCGATTGACACTGCTGGCGAACCCATCATTCCACCCCCTATGGTTCTGTTAGAAATGAAAATTGGGTGTTTGGAGTAGTTCAAACTTACAATAGATCGTGGCATCGTCTCGCAGGGACGAACTATCAATAATTCGAACCGAGGAACCTCCACGGAGCTGATCTCGAAGCTTGAGGAATTCCGATTTGGGCGAACCACCACCAGCGCATCCCAAAATGTAGCATCCAATGCTTAGCCACTCGAGATCGGTCTCCGAGACGAACCATTCCGGAACCCCGGACTTCTCGTTCCGTTTGACTAGAGGGCGATAAGCATCGAAATCGAATTTGGCGTTACCGCTCTCCTCTTTCCTAGAGAGATGCACATCTTTCGTCTCCTCTGCAAGCGCTTCATCCACCTCAGCTTCCGCTTCGGAGCGAACTTTGCTGTCGGCAACGTAATCCAGAGAGAGATCTCCAACAGCTTTAGCGATGACCCGAATTTGCCCTGATACGTATGGTATCGGAAGAGTGTCAAGTTCAACCACAGTCAAATTTCTTGGGTCTGCCCCGGCCCCGACCGCATTAGCAAGAGCTTGGGACTTTGCATCTTCCAAAACCTCTGACAAGGGCACATCTGCAATGTTATAGATCGCATCGACTGAACCGCAGACCCTGGAGATTGCCGCTCCGACAGCATTGGCCACCGAATGAAACCTTGGGACCACCACTTGAGAAACACCGTCGAGTTCGAGTGGGCATACGACAGAGCCTCCGCCAACGAGAAGAACTGGCAATGGCGCGGGAGTGAGCTTCAGTCGGTCGATAACTCGTTCAAGCATCTTCTTCGTCTTAGCCTGAACCTTCTGAATTGTTTCAGTCGTGATATGGTCGACCAAACGTCTATCTCCGATCTCCAGACCTCCAGCGGCCGCGACATCGGTTGTTGTTAAGATGCTGCCGCCAAAAACCTTCGACTGTTCAGTTAACTGGTACCCAACCGAGTCTGGTCCTATCGATACATCATTCCCACGGTCACGAATTATCGATCCTCCTCCCAGGCCGATGGATTCTAAGTGGGGCATGCTGAAGTTCATCGTCACTCCTGCCACATTGACGTAGGCCGCAGCCGCGCGAGGAAACCCTGATGGCAAAAGAACACCACAGTCCGTCGTCGTGCCACCAACGTCAACTACGATTGTCGATGTGTGCGTTTCCCCTGCCGTTCCCGTTCTCCCAAGACCAAGATACGCGGCACCTCGCATGGAATTTGTTGGACCCGAAGAGAATGTCTTGATGGGTAGCTTTGCGGCTAGATGGGCATCGATAACTGTGCCGTCATTTTGAGAAATAAAAAGGGTGCAGTCGAGGCCCAAACGTCTCATGGCAGCGCGGAATCCTCGGATAGTGCGTCGAGCAAATTTCATGATTGACGCATTCAGTATGGATGCATTTTCTCTTTCCAACAAACCAATGTTTGAGACTTCAGAAGAGCAGACGATGTCTACATCTGGTAGCCGTTCTTGCATAATCCGACGAACAAACTGCTCTTGGTGGAAATGTTGGTCGATAGGAGAAAATATGCCCGAGATAACGACGGCCTTGATGCCCCGTTTTTCGATCTCCTCACACTCCCTCAAGATTTGCTCTTTGTTGACTGGAGCTTCCTGAGAGCCGTCGATGTGAAGACCGCCATCAATGAAAGCATGGTAGCCGTGGAGAATGTTGGATAATGCAGGTGGAAAGTCCGAAAAGGGCGGGATGTCCTTTGTAAAGCTCTTCGACAGTCGAACCACAGCAACCTTTGATAGTCGGTGGCTGTCGCGTTCAATGACAGCGTTGAGGAAGTGCGTTGTGCCCACAATAAGGCAGCTGATTTCAGAAACACAGTCTCCTGCCTGGCCGAGAACATTCCCTACCGCCGTTTCAATCCCGTCTGTCACATTGGGACTCGTCGTCGGTGTTTTATGAAAGGCCAAGACCCCGCGGTCTGGCTGATCAACACAGTCTAGGTCAAGCAGTACAGCATCCGTGTTGGTGCCGCCGACATCGACTCCTATTCTGAGAGCGCGCTTTGTCCTTACTGAACCCATTTCTTCACCACGATCCCCTTTCCGTATAGTAGGGGGGCTTTCCAGAGATTGTCAGAGGCGATGTCAATATAACGGTCCATCAAAGCAGCCTTCTCTCCGGCGAGGTTAAATTGTATGTGAGAATTATCGATGTTGACTAGAACGGAACAGGCATTCCTCAACCCCTACGGCCCAAGATAGGTTGGCAGTGGAGGTATGGTTAAAGAGTGTCATTTCTATGTGTGTTTTGATCCATACCAACTATGAGTGGATCATTTACTAGACCGAGATATGGTTATGGAGACTAGAGCTTCACCACTTAGACTGGGATCCCCCTTTGGGATTCGACGGGCTCTTATTCGCCCGAGACTGTCAGAGATAGGTTGAGATAGGTAGTTCGCAGATATCCGCTCCAGTTAAGCCGTACCCATTGGCTGTGCTTCCGCCGAGATAGGTGGTGACCCACTTCCACATCCCGAAAGTATCTTGCGTGGCCAGACCGGAAGAGGCTTGATAGGAAAATTCATCGCAGACGTTGGCATGGCGTGGCCTGCATGTTTGCTTCAGACCTTATTGTTCCGTCACGACCATACCTGTGTCGTCTAGTACCTTGGGGTCGAGGGGTTCCTTGAGTTGCGGTGCAGCACGAAGATTACCCTTTCATCCTTTAAGGGATCTTCAAGCAAGCTTCCCTATCTTGTGGGAGTCTAGACACTCGTATGATAACGCTTCTCTTAGTGACATCTGCGTATCGAGAAGATACAGCAACCCAACACGTTCCACAGACCAGTATATCAGGGGTCGTGTAATCCACTGAGACGCTCGACTTCCATCTCTCGCATTCCACAATCTATCGAAGGCAGCTACCAACGACGCCGTACACCGAATTGCTTCCCCTAGCTCTGCAAGATGAAGTTACCAAGCTTCAAGCCTCGGCCATTCCATCTCCGGCTCCATGGAGAGTCATCGGTCTGGATCAACGATGACATTCGACCGCTACCTCCTTCGCGACGCCTCTGGGACACCTGGGCCTATATATCATTCTGGGCCATCAACCAGATCTGCATCAGTAACTGGCAAATCGGTTCATCCTTGATTGCCGTCGGCCTCTCAGTGTGGCAGACAATGATCGCAGTCATCATCGGCAAACTCATCATTGCCGGAGTCGCAATCTGCAACGGTATGATCGGTGCGACGTGGCACGTCGGATTTCCAGTCCTCTCTCGAGGCATTTGGGGTGTCTGGGGTGCCTACCTCATCATCCTCCAGCGGATCGTCCTGAGTCTGACGTGGTTCTGTGTGCAATCCTGGACCGGTGGTCTTTGCGTGACCGCAGTGCTGAGCTCCATCTTCCCCTCCTTCCAGCACATGAAGAACACACTTCCCGCATCTGCAAACACGACAACGAAGATGTTGACCGGGTGGATAGTGTACAACATCATAACGATACCCATGCTCTACATCCCTCCCGAGAAGACAAGGCGTCTACTCTTCGTCATGAACTCTATCTCTGTTGTCACACTCATCTCGATGATGATTTATCTTCTTTCCGAGGCTGGCGGCGGCGGCCCGCTCTTATCGGCACCTGCGCAGGCGCAGTCAGGCAGTCAGTTAGGATGGGCCATTGTATCTGGCATCACGACAGTCATCGGAGGTATTGCTGTCGGGCTCACGAACCAAGCCGACTATTCCCGATTTGCGCGCAGGCCAGGGGATCAAATATTTGGCCAATGGTTCTCTATCCTCACACTGGGAACAATCATGCCCTTGTTCGGCTGCCTGGCGAGCTCGGCGTCCGTTCAGCTCTACGGCACGGCCTATTGGAACCCGCCTGATCTTTTCCTCTATTGGCTTGATAACGACTACAATGCAAAGTCGCGTGCCGCAGCCTTCTTCGGCGGTTGTGGCCTCGTGGTTTGCCAGCTGGCTATTAACACGATCGACAATGCCTTCTCTGCTGGCATGGACCTTGCCGGGCTATTCCCCAAATTTTTCAACATCAGGCGAGGATCCTACTTGGCTTTGATCATCTCGATCGCCATGTGCCCATGGGAATTACTTTCGTCAGCTGGGACTTTTATTAGCGTTATGGGCGCTTGTAAGTATATCCTATCCGTCGTCAACTATAGTATCAACCAGTCAGGGTGCCAGAAGCTGACAGTCTTGTTTACAGATTCGGTGTTCCTCGGGCCCATGTGCGGCATCCAGATCTGCGATTACTTCATTGTCCGTTCCCGAAAGGTCAAGTTGTCAGACCTATATACGCCCTCTCCGTCGGGTATCTACTACTACTTCCGCGGCGTCAATCCTCGTGCGTTTGCCGCTTGGGTTTGTGGCTGGGCCCCACAGCTGCCCGGTTTCATCAACAACGTCAACAAGAGCATTTCCGTCCCAACCGCGAGTAAACACATGTTCAGCCTTGCATTCCCACTGGGATTTGCGATCAGCTTCACCCTGTATTATGGCCTGAACAAGGCGTTTCCACCCAAAGGCCTCGGTGCATATGACGACGTCGACTACTTCGGTACCTTCTCCAAAGACGAGGGTTCCAAGCTTGGTGTATCTCTGCCGGAGGAGACGGATTCTGAAGAAAAGGAAGGACACTTCAAATATGCTTCGGATTCGAAGACCGCAGAGGGAGAGGTCACCACCGCGTGATGTACCATCATGGCAAAAGAAGATGTCTTGCCAGAAATCTTAGAACATGAACCACGATAGATTTTGAATCACATGTGTGTCTACGAGGGTAGCATCGATATGAGTTTCTTCTACAATTCAAGTATGCGATTAATATACTCGAGCAGTATCAAGTCCGCTTCCAGACTCGCATCGGCTTAGAGTCGTCGTCAAGTCAACAGAGGGGCTTTCGATTTGGCAGCAGCTTCTCATCGAGAGGGACGTCGGCAATTAGAGGGCTACCTCGTCGGGACAAGCATACCCAAATGCCCCGTGCTCTCCACAGTCCCCCACAATTTTCGCCCGATGTGTCAGATATATACGGGTAACCCGAGAGTGATCATCGCCTAGCTGACAAACAAAACTGAGAGCCAACATGTGAAGGTATTGGCAGACTTTGTCGACTAGATTGCCAACGACTTTTTGGCTGCGGGAGCTCGAAAGGCTGGTGCCACGATCGAATCTGGCAACGAGGTCTTAAAAGGCCGATGCAGAGCAGGAGCAAGGTAAACTCTATCTGATGGACGGTAGGATAATCAAAGCAAATATTGTGGTTCCTTGCAGACGGGTGTAGGTACTTTAACCGGGCACTTTTTCTGCTTGCTGACCGGTGCAACGCATACGGTCGAAAAAGAAGGGATTCATCGTCGGTAACGAGAAAGCAGAGCCCAAGCCTCTAGGAGTTTCACCATCGTGCCATGATACCAGCCGAGGCTATGCTGAGGGACGAAGAGACCACGAAGCGAACGACCAGTACGGAAACCAAGACATGGTCCGGACCAGGTCGGTTCTTTGTCGTGTATGCGATATTGAATAATACGCTGTTCAATGAAGCCCTAGTGACGCCTCGAGACAACGAGACACCGATAAGATCCTGGAATCATCCAGGCGACGTCGACGAACAGCGAGCCAAGTTTAGCAGTTTCAGCCCGCTTGTACGAAAGTTGATCGGCCTCATAGAGAAATGAACAAAGTGGACGATTGATAAATTCCCCGAACTGATCACCTGGTCAAGTCGCCCTGGCATGATAATACTTCTCGGCGATGCAGCAAATGCAATGTCATCACACGCTGCGCAGGGGGCTGCCATGGTCATGGAGGATGCGGCGGTGCTTAGCGAGCTCTTGTCCAAACTTGAAAGATTAGAAAATCCTCCTCGTGTCGCCAGTCTGCGAGTAACTTCGGAAGCCGCGTGTGGCTTGTGTGGCGTCAATCGCAAAGGATAATGGCAAATCCTGGATCTTCCCCGTGAACCTGAGCAGGAGAACCGTGACAGGCGATTCAGAAAAGTCACCGAATTCCATAGTATCAGTAAAATGGGTCCGGAAGCGATGGTGGAAAGACTGAGAGTTCCAGCGGACATACACGCAAAGTGGCTGCAGCCTGCTGTGATGATGTGGTGGTGTGGTTATAAACGATTGGGAGAAGATCAACCAGGTAAGGTTCTGAAAGTACGTGTCTTGATACTATGATCAGGACAAGCTTTGGATTTTCCAAGTAGTAGAGAGAAAATTGCCGAGGTCCACGGTAGTTGTACTATTTCAGACGTCCAAACCCATGTCCGCAGGCGACCAGCTCTCTGCGCTTTGCAAAAGGTCAAGATTCCACGGCCAGTCCTCGAAAATACTCGTTGCCAGTTGTGAAGGTATGGTTCTCAGTGCGTCGGAATGCCGCCGGTCGGGATGCTTCGTGTTTGCCTCATTGAGCTGAGGACTGGGCTCGCCTGCAGCGAAAATGCGCAGCTGGTTCCAGTAGTCGTCGATTTGTGCCACCAGGTCCCTTAGTCGCTGAGCGTTGATTGCTGAATGGATACCATGGTCGAAATTCTCCAGCAATTGAGCGAGCGACAGCAAGACGACTCTCACCTGCTGGTACGCCATATTGCTGAGAGGCTCCTCCAGAACACTGCCCAGGATGGCACCAATCCCAGCAAGGTGATGAAGGAGAGGTGAGCTGATGGCTCGTAGATAAGCTACCGGAATTCGAGTGAAAGCATCAACGACTTCGCTTGCTATCTTGCATCGTTCCTCGATCGTACCTCCGCCTGAGGCAAACAACATCATTCGGAGCAACTGGACCGTGGCAGTAATGTTGGCGGCCTGAAACCCATATCGATCACTACACAGTCATTAGCAGCCATCGTCCACTAGGAAGGAAACTTACCTCGAAGCATTACATGTCACCTCGGGAAACTCTTTGAAGCAGCGTGGGAGGTTGCCGTATAAATTCATGATGGAGTCCCGGACAGAAGTAGGGGAGGGAGCAGTCTTGTCACCAAACATATCACCAAGCAACGTCCTCCTGTGGCGTCTTCGGTCACGGAAGTTGGCAATGACATGTTCCAGAACCCGATATAAATCGGTCGTGAAGTTCCAACCGCAGAGCCAACTGCTACCCTTCACATCACCCCATCTGCCACCAGGGCTTGGTCCGATGTCGACGGGAGATGACACTGGCTGATTGTAGCCGACGTCGTTGAAAAGCTCATCATCCAACTCTGTGGTATATGCAACATTGACCTGTTGTTCGCGGCACCGTGTAACACCATTCCATATGATTGACGAATAAACTTCCAAGGTATACATTGACCAGTACTACTAATCGGTTAGCAGAAGCATCACGGATAGAGCGAATGTCTCACCAGTCGTCGTCTCTCTTCCGTCTCAATAATCCCAATGTCTTTTGGCCAGTTCGATTCGTCGTGGAAGCCATCCATAGCAGCGAAAGTGTGGTACTTGCCTAAAAATAGTTGCATTTCGCGGATCTTGCCATACTGAATAGCCGTGAGGGCAAGCAAAGCAAAGCATCGCAGTGTATTGAATGAGTGGAGTTCACTGGAATTTTCGCTGCCCTGACTATAACGGACGGCGGCATCATAGAATGTTTCCGAAGGCGTTTCAGACAACTCCCGGATGTCCCAAGAAGGATTGAAAATTGCTTGATCTCGGACCCTCGCGGATACAAGGGCGCAAACTGCCATGGTGACTGGGAACAAGTCTTGGTCGGTGGCATAGTCGCCTCTTGATATCTGAAAAGGTTTGTCAGTGCTGTACAACAACAAAGGCAGTCAAATCAGATAAACCGCTAGCCCCGGGTGAAATTACTTTTCGGATATATGTCGGCCGATGAAAGAATGGGAAGATTGGATATACTATTTCAAAGTATACCTCGACGAGACTCATAACCACAGCCTGGCTTGCAAGTATCGGAGCCTTCCATTGCTGAGACGGCGAGTTCGACGGCGCTGAAGGTTGTTAGCATTGATCATCTAGGAATATCGTAATCCAGCCTCGCCGGGAGGGCTCAAGCATCTTGAGGAGCCGACAAAGGAGGCAATGCCAATAAATAAATTCAATGAAACGTACCATTTGCGGAACCGGGAATCCGAGGTGCTGGGAGAAGCGAATCCGCTCTAGCTCCGGATTTGGGTTTCATGCCCCGTTTCTTGATTGCTCGATCATAAGTACATGGCTGATCAAACTCGGCGCACCTTTGACACTGCAGGCCATCAGGATTGACGCATCGGATGTTGCGCTTGTGACAATAGTCGCAAGCTCGCGTGATCCGTCTTGACCGGCTTGCGCGTTGTTCAGAGGCCGGCATGACATCGTCCTCAGGTCGCGCTGACCATCATAAAATGCGAGATAGACGCGTATTGGACTAGAGAAAGATACAGGCCCGCGTGTATTGTGTCCGGTAGACGGTCTAGGATATATAAAACCGGAGAGAACTGACCTGCTGCACATGCAAGCGAACAGGACGTCAAGGCTTTTTACGAGGCGATGGTCTAGACCCGGCATAGTTGCCGTTTGTGATATTCACGTGACTCAGTGCCGTCTCTATCTATCACGTGTCCAAGACTCTTGCCTTGCTTACTCATGCGGTGTTCGGGACGTCCGGCGAGTTTGTTCTCCATAGTCATCGCTTCTTCTTGAATGAATGAACCATTGCTACCATTTGAATCTAACCCAGAGAAAGAAAACAAACGCTTTGCAGCACCAAGTAAATGCTTCAACAACAGCCAATCTCGCATGGCTCACAGGAGCCGGTCTTGATCAAAATGAACTTGTTCACCACTTGTTGTCGAAGACTTTTCCGCCCACATAATTCACCATATCAGTTACGGGTTCCAAATGAATCCTTCCAGCGCCGAAATCCATTCCATGCTTCATGACCTTGCGATAATTGGTACCAGGACTGACCTTTCCGAGCACGTACTGTCTCTGCGTCTCAACCCTGCTCGGTACATTGATACTGCGTCCCACGATGGCCTCCATCCCTTGCCATGCGAAGGTGATGGCCTCCTTTGCGTCCGCCGGGATACCAGCTTCGTCTAGCATCACAATTCTAGTTTCAGGGAAAGCCTTTTGCATGAAACTGGTGATGTTTGGGTTCTTCGCTCCACCGCCACACATGAAGATCTCTGCAAGAGGGCCGTATTCCTGCGGCATATATCTGTGATAATGGTTGACGATGGCTTGGGCTGTGATGCGAGTGATAGTCGCGACGATATCGTTTGGCGAGAGACCCTTGGCCAGGCCCTTTTCTATCAGCTTGTGGGCAATGGTGTCCCTGAAGACCTCCCGGCCTGTCGTCTTGGGTGGTTCAAGGCTGAAATAGGGGAAAGTCTGCAGGAACTCGTCTACCATCTCCTGGTCCACTGTTCCTGCAGCACCCATGGCGCCATCCTTGTCGTACTCACGTTCTCCATTTGTGAAATATCGGACTGCTGCATCGATAAAGACGTTGCCCGGGCCAGTGTCGAAATCGAAAAACTCGGGGTTCAGTTTGCCATCCTTGTCCGGAGGGATGAAGCAGACGTTGGCGATGCCACCAATATTCTGACAAGCCCTGAGCTTGGTAGGGTGGTGAAGGACCAGTGAGTCAAAGAATGCGATCAAGGGCGCGCCTTGTCGACCGGCTGCCTGGTCTGAAACCCGGAAGTCGGTCACTGAGGTGATTCCCGTTCTGGACGCAAGGAATGACCCTTCAGCCATCGTCAAGGCGGATTTGATTTGGCCAGGCTCTGGCATGCTAAGCAGCCAGATTGTCTGGCCGTGCGATCCCAGAGCATCGATTTTGTCGAGAGGGACACCCTGCTTTTCGGAGAACTCTTTTACGGCTGCAGCGAAAGTCTCACCCAGCAGGACGTTGACCTCGGAGAGCTCCTCAGGCGTGGTTCTGTTGTGCAAGATCATCTCCATCACTCGCTTTTTAATCTTAGGCTCGAGCGGCACTTCGTCGTATGCAAGAAGCTCAAAATGCATTGGCGATTCGGGTGACTCTTGTCTAAACCGGCATAGTGCGCAATCAATACCATCCATTGATGTCCCCGAGTTCAGGCCTAGTACCGTCAAATCCAGCCCTTTCTCATGATGGCCATTAGTGAGCCCATTGGTAAGCCCGTTGGTTAACGTCATTTTGAAAGAGTGTGATATGGCGACTGTGTCTTGTGTGGTTGATACCAAGTTGCCAAAGAAAAGAAATGTAGGTGTTGAAATATAGATACTTCAAATTCAAGATTCTTATCGAAAACTGGCCGAGTGTCGTACCCTTGCCACAAGTGAATGGGGAAACAAGCAGATCAGGACGGGGTTCAGGCTGGACCGGGCGAGCCCATTCCCTTTGCCTCCGGGTCCCTGCTCGGAAGGGCGCCTTCAGCCAGCTTCGGCTAAAAGGCTGAATGGCATTATCGCCACAAAGTTGATGGGCTCCTCCATTCTTCTCCTTTCCCCGGGCAATCTCCCCCAGGGAATCTGTCAGGTGAGGTATGTCCTCCGAGATCCAGAAAGCTATAGCCTTTTTTGAGGCTGTACGGCTGTGACTGACGGCAGTGGGTGTAGGGAGACCCTTGACTTCGAGACAAGTCGCGTGGGAGGTTTTAGAGTCTAAAGATGACTACCATTGGTCAAAGTTGTTCTCTTCATAATTCCGCCGGGGGGATACAATCGGTAGGCACTGGGGCGACCGACCATCTCCTCACTCTCCTACAAACAATTGTGCGTGACGTGTTCCTTCGAAGACGAACCCCTTGGGCGCTTCAGCAATGACGATTCCCCATTATTACGCACAAAGCTCGGTTCTTGAGGGAAGCGGCAAATCCATCCAGCAAAGTGGCTCCCCGGAAAGATGGAGTGTCTTGGCCGCTTGTCTGTGGAGGTTTTCCTTGGCCTGATGCACCGGCCATGCTCAGGCTTTGACCAGCAGATGACCGTCTGTTGTTTTTCACCTCTCCACACTATTAGCATATTCCCTGCTTACGGTCGCCAATCACACCGTGGGAAAATCGAGCAAGGGCAGTTCTGCCTTTTAGCCGTTTACCACGTTGCCCAGGGCGCTACGCAGCGGCACTTTCCTCCGCATTGCACTAATCTCCATGATTTCTCTGTCCCAAATATACGGATCTTGTGGAAAACCCGTGGAGAGGTCTTTCAAGGTCAGACAGGGGTGTGTGCCACGCGGGATTGAGACGGGGGAAAGGCACCATCAGGAGACTGCGGGAACTTAGTGCGCGTCACAATCCCGCACGGAAGCCCAGGCTGAGAACACCGCAACTGCTGTGAGAACTTGTATGTATATATATGTCGATCGTCGCCGCACAGGACCTCACGATCTCTTCATACTCGCATCTCTTCGCTCCACAGACACCATCCATCGACCTTTTACAGAAACTCCTCTACGATGGGATTCGAACCATGGCGCGCCCTTCCTGGCAAGGGGGTCTTGCTCTTGCTCAACATAGTCAGCGCCATCGCCCTGATCTACGAAGGATACAACCAAGGTGTTTACGGCGCAGTCTCTGGCACTCCTGGTTTCATCGCCATGTCCGACATTGGCGAGGGTGAGACGGTTACCAAAACCACCAAGCAGGGTGGTCTTGCCGCGGCGTACTATTTCGGATCCATTTTTGGTGCCTTTATCGGCGGATGGCTTGGAGACAAGGTTGGAAGAAAGAGGGCGGCCTTCATCGGAGCTATTCTCTCGCTGGTGGGATCGGCCATGCAATGTGGCTCGGTCAATGACAACATGTTCATCTGCGCCCGAGTCATCTCTGGTCTCGGGATCGGTTTCATCAATAACATCATTCTTTCGTGGGTGTCGGAACTGACTCAAGCCCACGACCGCGGGTCGACTTTCTCTCTGGTCTTTGTGTCCAACTTTCTCGGCATCTTCCTCGCCAACTGGATCAACTTCGGCATCCGCAACGACGGCTCTGCGTTCAGATGGCGCTTCCCGCTGGGATTCATGTGTATTCCCATGCTGTTGGTGACACTGGCCATTCCCTTCGTCCCAGGTGAGTCTCTCTCCCTGTCTCGGGAGTATTGTGATGGTGAATCTAACACAACGTATTTAGAATCTCCAAGATGGCTAATGGCAAATGGCCGCAAAGCCGAAGCGGTCGACATCCTCTGCAAAATCCGCGGCGACAAGGCTGCATCGGACCCCGAGATCGCGAGAGAAGTGGAACTGCTCAACGCCGTCGTCGAGGCGTCGTACCACAAGCGAAACAACTACGTGAACATTGCTCTTGGAGGTCGCTATTCCGGCAAGCTCCACCTCGGCCGTCGCGCCGTTCTTGGATTCGCTCTTCAGCAGATCCAGCAGTGGACTGGCATCCTGGTCATGGTGTCCTGGGCGACGAAGCTCTTTGAGCTGGCCGGGTTCGACGGGTACAAGGCGTCGTGGATGTCCGGCCTTCTCAACACCTTTGGCGTCATCGGCACCGCTGCGGCGTCGCTCGTCATCGACCGCATCGGCCGGAGGATGTGTCTGCAAATCTCCTTCCTGATCCAGGGCGTGTCGCTGTTCCTCGTGGCGGCGCTCATCAAGACATCGCAGGACCGAGTCACGTCGGACCCGTCGCAGTCCCAGGCTCTGGGCACCGCCGCGTCCTCCTTCACCTTCACGTTTGTCTTCTTCTTCACCATGTTCAACATCGTGCCGTGCTGGATCTACGGCACCGAGATCTGGCCCCAGGAGGTCCGCGCCAAGGGCTACTCGTTCACCATCCTGGGCTGGGCCATCGGCTGCGGCGTGACGACCTTCGTCATCCCCATCATGCTCGACAACATCGGGTGGTGGTCGTTCATCTTCTTCGGCGGCATGAACTTTCTGGTCATGCCCATCATCCACTTCTTCTACCCGGAGACGGCGGGCCGTTCGCTCGAGGAAGTCGACCTCCTCTTCGCCAGCGACTCGCTTCTCGTCAGCAAGAACATGGCCGAGTACAACCGCCGTGTCGCCGAGGCCGGTGGCAACATCGCCGTCGCCGCAAGGAGGCTCCTCGACGAGGTCGATGGCGAGGACAGCCTGGATCCGAGACGAGTTTCCCTTTCCCATGCCACCCTCGAGCAAGGTCGCGGCAAGACCGAATCTGAGAACGATCATCTCGAGTCGTCCGTTGAAAAGTCGTCGTTCTAGTAGACGCAAAAGAATTCACGGATGATGGATATGAGGGCTGAAGAAAAATAATTCGTCCCGTTGAGAGTGTGAGGGCAAATTCCGATGTGGTCTTCGCGAGAGAGAGCGCATAAATCAAGCACAGTTGTAACATTACACTTGACACCTAATTGTCAGGCTTCAGAACATTCTACGTCGGGGCACGAATGAAACTTTCGTATTCTCTTACAAACATCATGTCTTCCATGGTTCTTCGTGATTCTCGAGCAGTACATTTGTGGCAATAGCACTACTCATGATAGACTGCACCCGAGCTTCTCACATACACGCTGCGGCCGAAGCAACTCTTCAACCACGATGGCTCAGGAACGCCAGTATTTAAGCCCTGATGAGACACGATTCTTTCTGATTGGGCATGCACTTCCACTGTCGTGACTAGCCTGTTGCTAATGATTCCAAAACGACACGGCTACCTCGGCACATTTCAAGCTATACAAAAGGCTATCAACAAGTAATTGGAGGGTTCCGTGTCCAGAAGTAAAGTTCGTCGCAAATACTGTCATAATCACATACGATTATCATTACCAGACAATCCACTTTAGGCTCTGCCTCTGAAGCATTTCTCGGCCTATTTCTACTTTTGCCGTCTGAAGGCACCACGGGATCCAGGTCTCGTGCCCACTCTGCTGAACAAGTCTGTATGGATGATTCTTCACAAGATATACCTGAAGCGTTCTCCCATGGAAGGGACACTTCGCTCGTGCTCTCCTCCATGCTCAACATACCCGGTGTTATCCTTGTCGGCATGGTGAACAGCTGTTTCAGCATTCAAAAGCTTCGCATTCTCCTTGACCAGCGCCCACCGTAGCGCCAGCGTTGCCAAGGCACATGCAACACAGAAGCACGCATTCGCAACCATGGCGGCCAGATACCGAGGTCCAAGGTTTGCCAAGTACATGTAGGGGCTGTATATCTGAGCCAGATTCCCGAGAGTGTTGACCAACGCGATGGCCGCACTTCGCTTCTCGACAGGCCGCGGCAGGGTAGATGATATCCACGCCAAGGCGACATTGTAGCTGCCATAGACGCCTCCGAGCATGAGGAACAAACTCAAGTATCGCGCGGCAAGAGCCATGCTGGCCGATGCAATAATGTACCCGGCCATGGCGAGCGAAATCGGTGCGATGATGTGAATGGACCGCTCGGAGAATCGATCACTCGAGTAAGATATGGCCAAGGCCATGAGCGCAGCAAAAAAATATGGAGGCGCGACGAGCAGGAGCGTCTCAATCTTGCCGTAGCCAAAGTTTTTGACGAGAGTGGGGATAAAGGACGTCACTGCCCCGGCACTCGTCTTGGTGATTATGATCAGAGCAAGCAGCCAGACCTTGTAGTCACAAACAGCCAGACGTGCTCCGTGTAGGAGACTGCCCCTCTCGGTATCGCGGGAACCGTTCATCTCTTGCAAACGACGTACTGCGATGGCTCGTTCCTGCGGGCTCAAGAACTTCGTGTTGTGCGGAAAGTCTGGCAGGATAAACATGGCGCATAAGGCGATGAAGACGGTGATGGATGCTTCGACAATGAACAACCACCTCCATGCAGTAATCCCCATGGCGCCGTCTAGGCCTGACTGGATCCCTGCTCCAACGAGACCGCCCAGACCGCCGGCCATGAGAGAGCCAGTGTAGAGAACGGACGTCCGCAGAGCCAACTCCTTGCGCGTGTACCATGAACTGAGTAGAAATAGAGAGCCAGGAAAGTATGGGCCTTCGACGACTCCAAGGAAGAAGCGCACGACAACCAGTCCGCTAAAGTTATGCGTGACAGCGCTCAATCCAGAGATGAGTCCCCAGGCCGCCATACAAGCGGGCTAATGCATCCGTCAGAGAAAATCGGACGTCCGACAGGGAAGTCTTGACACTCACCAGATATATGCTCGGTCGGACCCTTGTCAGGATAAGATTTGACGGTATCTGTATAGCAAGGTAGCCGGCAAAGAAGACCGAGATACAAGTGTTGAAGTCCGTTCCTTTCAAGTTGAGATCCTTTTCAATGCCGAGGACTCTAGCATTGGCTAGGGCATTACGATCGAGGTAGCTAAGAGTCAAATGCAGCATATCAGACCCTGGTCATGCACCGTGCTGTACACGTATGTACAAGAAGCGAAAGAGGCTGAACTCACTTCAATATAATAATCGTAACTAATATTGGCATTAGTCGCAAGTCAATTTTGCGTACAAACTTCCGCTCAGCAGCCGCATATTCCTCTCGTGAGAGATGACTGAGCTCTCCCGCCAGGGAGAATTCTGTCTCTACCGGGGTGGTAAGCTGGACTTCGACTTTAGACATGATGGCAGTATATTTCGGCTCGCTGGAGGGAAGGAAGGCTCCCACAAGATCTCGAAGGGGACTCCATCTTTTATAGACGTTCCCCGCGAGCTTCCTCCCCCTAGTTCTCCGCGTCCGAGACATCTGCCGTCCGGAGACAGTGTGACGGTGTTCTAGAGCATTGAACTGCACTGTTACGTCTGGGGTATCTCATGAGGGCCGCCCGAATGTCGCCGGTAAACCGACCAGCCACGTGGGGCAAAAGCGATGGCATCTCGGACAACGGCCGAGCACTTCCCCGGTATCCCCAGCCGTGGCGACGCTGGGCAGATTGCCGAACCACTCGTACCGCGTAGTGACAGCTGAGCTCGACTCCAATCGCCGTTACAAATTTAATGGTAGATATCAGCAAGCAATTGTTGAGAGTTGACTCGGAAGCGAATGCTCTTTCCATTATAAATCTCTGGGTCTTGGATCTCTCGATTATAATTGCGTTCATCGGCTCCATTCTTAAACGCCAAGTAGATTCGACAGGGATGCATACATTATATCAATAAAAGTGGACCGATACAGATCAAAGAACGCTCGATGTCTCTCGCCGACTTTGATTCAATAAAGCACAAAACGCGGTCACCTGGTCGAATACCGCGAAAGTAATTCCGCTGGAAAGCTACTGTACAGTCAGATCATGTCAAGAGATATGAACAGCCACAAGTGTCGGACTGTCACTTACCATTAACCTGACAAGTCGGGGAGTTGTTGCCCGCCAGAACACTTTGATTCCTTCCTGTCTGAGCATGGACATTCCGCATGACAACATACTCCGATGTGAGTTGCTTGTACTCTGCATTCTGGTCTTGATATTGTCGAAAGGCATTGAAGCATACCTAGTAGAGCTTGTCAGCAGCGACACTTACGAGCAAAGTTTGGATACTTACGTCGTCACAGCGCCACTCAGGGAACCTGCAAGGAGAGTCAGGCCTGCGCTATTCAGTCCTTTGGCCAGTCTTGTTGTCGAAATCCAATCCTTTATAGCTTGAAAACTTGCAAACCGGACTGCTGAGTTGGTTGCCTGTTTGCACATGGTGGGAGCAAGGCCTTTCCACAAACCCAGTGGGCCATGAAGCCTCATAACTTGCCTGGCCACCGCAAGAGTACTCAATCTCCCGGATCCGGCAGCAGCCATATCTATTGACTGTGTCTTTAGAACTTCGGCTGGAGTCACGACCAGGATCGATTCGGTAATGCCTCCCGACAGACCTGCCAGAACATTGACGAAGACATTGTTTGGTCCGAGAATTCGCTCAAACACCTTCTTACTGCTCTCATAGCTGAAGAACCGTACCCCTCCCTTGGCTGTGTTGGAGGCAATCAGAGCTGGAGATCCTGCATAGACGCCCCGAATGCCTTGCGACTTGAGTACAGAACGAAATATAGCAACCGAAGATAGCGGCCTGCCGCTGTTGCTGACAGGAAGCTGTCTCCGTGTTTTAAGGAACTCTGCAGGATAGGTGATAACAGTCTCCGAGGCCCCAGCAATGCCTCCAGCGAGAATTGCCACAGCACCAGACGGTTTGGGCGACATCGTGTCAGCTTGTTCCCACTATCACTGTTGGCTTTGAGCAATTTGGTTGAAGAACAATTCGTGAACCGCTGTCTCCTCTTGATCTGGCGGGAACGTTGGTATGAGACTGAGTGTGAAAGACCCCGTTACTTACAAGACCTGACTGGAATGAGGATCTGTCCAAGGTCCAAAATTGTAGTGGGAAAGCTCTGAGATATCTGGTACTCGGTTCGCTCGCATCAACTTGATTACAGTTGAACAACACGTCCGCGCGTTTCCTCCCTCGTCAAAAATGAGAGAAGAACGGCAACCAACCCCTGACACTTCGGGTCAATGCCGAGGAGCCTCGATACAAGCTTTGATTGGCTCCAATCAATAGCCGGGTCAACAGCCGGGTGCTTCGGACATTGACCGAAGCTGAATGCTGCAGTCAACGTGGAAGCCCAAGTTCAACAGATTTAGTGAGATGAATGTTGAGTGGTCTCGATAGAGTTCCATTTGAAGGGTCTGAAAGAATACCGATTGCGATGCACACTGGTGAGTCGTGCATTTTCGGGAGTAAAATCAACCCGCTGACTAGTCCAATACATACCGGAGAATTCAAGCTTTCTCGCGACAGGATTATTTGTCTAGACTCGTGTTGATTGCACTTGCTTGTCATGTTAACTCACTCGCCTCGTAAGGACTGTACAAGGCAGAATGTACATCGGCAGCCAGGAAGAAGCTATCATCGAACCACGTTTCCATATCTCCTGGCAATGATACATCAGCCCATTGTTGTGGCAGAATGGCACCCTCATTCACAGCTGCCCATTCATATGCATTCGGTTCCTCCGGTGCTATGTGAGGAAGCTCAGGTAAGTCTGTTGACGATCTCGTCGGATCATCCAGGTAAACATTCAAACGCTGGATCTCACGTTGAATTAACCCAATTGCTGTGCCAATGATGGGAGCCGTTGCCTTGACGCTTTCCATAGCGTCAAGGCAATATTTCAGCTTCGAGATCGGGCCTTGCGTGTCTGTCCTGGTGGCCTGGACTTGGAGCAGAAAGATGGAAGCGGCTGTGTAGACGCAATATATCATAGCTGTCATGACGTGTCCCAGCCCAAAGCTGCGCGTGTAGAGATCAAATACGTTTATGATCGCGTCAGCAGCAGAAGTGCACTCGGCAACATGATGCTCTAGGTTATCTCTTAGTATCTCGGAAGTGCCACGGGCGTATAGAATTGGCCGATTGAGCTGGATTTTCACCATGTGAAACATGGCGTTCAGTGTCGCCACATGAGAGGGCGGGCAATAATGAGGCAAATCGGAAGTAGATATCTTCAGAAACGGAGGGAGCCTGTCCCACCAGATTTGCATGTTTGCCGTCTCGTTGAGGATGTAAGATTTTTTTGAGTCTTCAGGAATTTCATTCAGAGGGTCGTAAAGCTGGCGTAGAATCCTATGGAGGACTTCAGACAGAGAGCACATATTGATAAAACAGGAAGTCGCATGACTCTGCGTAGGTGGGTAGTTCTGCTCATCAATAACTCCAACTCCAGAAGGCGACCAGACCTCGATTTCAGCAGAGTCATCTAGCAAGAGCTGTGGAGAACTAGCGTGCGTTGCGAGAATGACAGGCTGCCTACCCAGATATAAGCAGAGTAGTTTCTCCCAGCAATAGCAGCTCCAGAATAAACGGGTTCGAATCTCGATATCCTCATCGCTAAGCCCGGCTGTTGCGGCGTAGCTAGAGCTATCGATATTAAGACCCATGTCTTCCATCAGCCGCATGGCCATACCCATGTACAGCCACGCTTGGGTTTTATGTCCTTTGCCAATAGCTTGAGCACTGAGCAAGAGGAGGGCCTGAACCTCGGGAATTTTGCCTGGACCTTGTCTGACGCTATCAAACACGGCGGCAATCGCTTGACGATAGAACTGAGCACCGCCATCATAAGGTTCCAGTAAGACAGATAAATCAGGGTCGGCTCTCGCCCATCGCACAGAGTGTGCGAAAATCGTACTCAGTAAGCCGGCGGAGTAGTAGGGGCCGTTGTTCTTAATGTCTCTGGTGAAAGCAGGTCGGTAGACGAAGTTAAAAAGAGGCGAAACCCAGGTCCAGTGGTCACGAAGCAGTGACTTCATCGGTTCGGGGGTGTTTGAGAATTGCTCAAAAGCTCTTTCTTTCCATGCGCTGTTGATTAATTTGTCCTTGCCCCTTCCAGTGTCCCTTTGGGAAGGGATTGATGGACCGATACCATCTGCATCATCATGGAGACTGCCAGGGAGCCGGAAGAAACTAGTCGTCCCATGGAAGGTCAGCTGGCCGTCATCAACTCGAAGTGCGTCGAATTTGGCGATCTTTGTGCCCTCGGTACCGTCGCTTGGCTTTGAGTTGCAGTCGGTCTGAGCAGAGCCAGCAGTGCTTTGACCCGAAGGGGAGACTACATCAGCCGAGAGACATTCCAAGGTACGAATTTTAGCCTCTAGATGAGCGACCTTTTGCTCAAGAGCTCTGGTATAAGATAAAGTGGGATTGAGACCGTATTGGCAATCATCACCTCGCCTCGAACACCGTGAACAGATGGGCGTCGCGCCGTCACATTTGACCTAGCTCACACGATGGCTTAGTTCAGTTATACCATATTGGGGTTGATAGTAACCTACCTTTCGTTTTCTGCAGGTTTCACAACTGAAAGCGCGCCGACGCTCGGGCTTGAGACCAATTAGCTTGCTGCTTGCAGAGGTCATGGCGTGGATTGCAAAATCTCGGCATTTCTTCTGAGGCACACCGACACACTAACGTCATGAAGCTGCCTAAAGCTGTTCCCGTGCCCTGGACTTCGCAAGAGATGAGAGCCTGGACAAGCAGAGCTACCTCCTAGCAATAGATCATGGGCATGGTGGGCCGGCCAGTGCCGTAGCTCTTGGTTCTGGTACTTAGTAGTCGGGGATCTGGAGTGCTGGCATTCTAATATATCCTGGAGACAGGTCTGATTTAGGGCTGACGACGGGTGAGACCAAGAGTCCTGTGCTCGATGGGCGACTGGGAAGATTTCAACAGAAGAGAGACGTCGATGTTGGAGGGTGACGACGTCGACAACTTTAGGAAAGTGCCCCGACTACCCCTAAAGAGGAAAGTGAGGCGAATCGCATCAAATACTGGTGGCTTTGACCAACTTTCTTGCCTCGTCCATATAAAACTTTCACGGCATAAACGCGAAGCAGGGCAGCTAGCTTTGGTTTAAGCGATCCTATTAAGCTGGAATATGGAAGGCCTTGGAGTTATGATGGCAGATATGGGGTCATATTCAAGGCTATCTCTATCCAAGGTGGGATGAGAGAGCGCATCAACAGTTTTGATTCAGCGCTTCTCCAGATCCACATGACTGCCTTCAACATGCTGCATCTCAACTCCTTGCGACACCTTCTCCGGGGTGTCGTGCACGGCGACCACTTCTAATGAACCATCCGCGGCCTCACGTGTTGCCCTGGCCTTCCAGGTCTTGTACCACGGCCCCTGAAACAATTCATCCATGCGTTCCAACGGTACTCTCTTAGTCTCGGGGGCCCAGAGACCGAGTACAACCAGGCCGGTTCCACAAATAGCCGCCCAGAAGACATAAGCTCCCCACACATGCAAGCTGACCAGCATGTTGGGAGTGACGCGGACCACAGCAAATTGAAAGAACCAGTGCAAGGCCATCGTCATGGCGTAGCAGAGGCCTCGGAGTCGCGTAGGGAAAATCTCTGTGGCATAGATGGACTGAAGGATACAAAGCCCGATGGACCACCCAAACGCGTATATGAAGACCGAGGCGATTGCAGCATTTGAGGCGGCGTGGTTCTGTCCGCTGCCCGGTTGCTCTCCCATGTACACGGCCATGTATACGTGCGTCAGCGTTTGCAGAGCGAGACCAGTGATGAACAGTGGCCTTCGTCCCATGCGGTCCACTAGGAAGAAAGCTGTGAGGGTTGAGGCCAATAGTTTCATAATCCCGTATGCTCCAGATGCCACAAGTGAAACGGAATCACCCGTGATGCCAGCATACTGGAAGATCTACGAAGCAAGAAACGAGTCAGTTGTTGCATTTCACTTAAGGAGACCGAGGAGCAACAAACCGTGGGTATATAGTATGTGATCCCGTTACCCCCGGACCACTGGGCGAATGTCTGCATTGCTAGGGCCAGCAAGAATCGTCCACGGTACCGCCTTGACAATATTTCTCGGAACAAATCTTTGGTTGATCGCTCCTGACGGTCTATCTCACTTTCCAGGATTTGCTGATGAAGAGAATCAAAATTGGACAGCAGGAGAGGGTCGTCGGTGGAGAGTCCAGTCAGCCGAGCAAGGACTTGCCGAGCATCTTGTACGCGGTTCCTGGCAATGAGCCAGCGCGGAGTCTCGCAGAGCCAAAAGGAGCAAACGAATGCCACACCCATGGGAATCAATGGTATCGATTGGACAAGACGGTATTGCTCCCTTGTGTCGGACATCATTTTGCTGGCGGCATACGATATGAAGAAGCCTGTGGCGCAAGCATTAGCGAGACGCGCCTCTGACAGTTCTCAGGAAGAGATGCGAACCCAGGCTGAGGAAGGAGAGCAAGAAGACCATGTACAGGCTCACAATCCATCCCCGAGACCGCGCAGGTGTTACTTCACTAAGGTATATTGGTGTCACCACGGTAAGTGCTCCGGCACCCAGACCACCCCAGATGCGACCAAACAACAGCAGTCCATAGATGCCTGAGGAGAATATCTGAATGAACAGGCCGCTGGCCCACACAGCAGCGTAGGCGCGCCAGGATGCCAGGCGGCCCCAGCGAAGAGAATCCAAGAGCAGAGCAATTACGCAGCCACAGGCAGCTCCGAGAACCCCAAAAGAAGTTATGTTGGCTGTTCGATTGGCCAGCCCAGTGGCGTTGCCTTTCCAGTGGCTTGCAACGAGGTCGAAATCTTCTTTGAAGGACTTCAGAGAAACCGAGGAACTGTAACCACCTTCATCATAACCTTTGCGTAGCAGAATCAGTATTTTCCCCAGATACGGCAGTGCAGGACAAAGTACCTTTTGGGATACCGCCACAGGCTATGACCACGACAGTCAAGAGATAATATGGCACGAGCCGTCCATGAGGTCCCGACTCTGCAAGCCCGGTAGCGCGGATTGTTGCACCCATGGTTCTGCAGTCGACAGATTTTCCAAGTTCCCAGGAATTATCACGATAAAAGAGCTGGACATCAGCAAGAGAGGAAACCGCTGGGGCCGATGTCTTATGAGAACAAAAATCTTCAACGATATCATGGTCAAGTTCTGGGGAAAGTCTCTCTCTCCGCTTTCTCGGACAACGACCGAGTCTTGTGAAGCCCCACGGAGACGTGGATTCCCGTATCCACATCACACAACTGACCTTCTCGCAGATTATCCGAACGCGTGACAGGAGATGAAGAGGGATAAACACGGAGAGAGATCAATATAACTGCCGCCCTCTGGCAAATAGCAGGGAAGATGCAACGCCTCAGCAGGCACGCCCAATCCGTTCATTCGTGGCCGGCTCTTCTGCTGGGATACTCAGGCTAACAGCCGAAGACGATACGCAGGCCCCGACGGCGAATATAACACCACACGCAAACAATCAGACCATGTCGAAGGTACGGCTGCCATCGCAATCATGGGACAGCCACATGCATGTATTCGAGCCTCACTCACTTGACCATGATAGCGCGCCATATTCTCCGATACCTTCTGACCTCCCTCACGCTCTGGCTTTCGAAGCGTCTCTCGGCCTTCGCAACATCGTCCTTGTCCAGCCATCCTGCTACGAATTCGACAATACGTACCTGCTGCGGGCATTGAAGAGACTTGGACCTCAACGTGCTCGTGGAGTTGTAGCATTCGATCCACTCACAATCACCGTCCCAGTCTTGCAGTTATGGCACCAACTGGGCGTTCGAGGGGTACGAATCAACCTCAAGTCCGTCAATGAGACAATGGACCGTCTGGCCTTTGAGGCCCTTCTCCTGCGCTACGCGAACGCTGTGCGTCCCCTCGGCTGGGTCATCCAGTTGTACATACCCATGGAGCTCGCGACCTGGCTAGAGGACCTATCCCCAGCTCTCGATGTCAGACTGTGTCTCGACCACTTTGGCTGTCCCGATCTATCCTTCATGTCATCTGCCATATCCTCGTCACACTCATCTTCCACGGCGGCGCAAACACCAGTCGACCCCTACGAGATCCCGGGCTTTCGGTCAGTAGTCAACCTTCTCGCCCAGGGAAATACCTACATTAAGTTCTCTGGCGCGTATCGGCTTTCGAAAGATTCGCATATGCGAGACCTTGCCCCAATAGCAAAGGAACTGCTTCGAGTTGCTGGGCCGACTCGGATAGTGTTTGCCACAGATTGGCCTCATACTCGATTCAACGGCTTGGACATTCGGCCTTTCGTGGATCAATGCGTTCAATGGTGCGACAATGACCATGTCCTCATTGATCGCATCTTCCGGGACACGGCAGAGGAGCTGTGGGATATCAGAGAACACGGTTCGGACTCACGACACGCGAATTTGTGACGACACAATAATTGCGTCTACCATGGGCGACGTTGGCTGAAGTGCGTGAGATATGTCGCCTTTGGTCCCGGAAGCTTCCCTATTTATAGATTTAGTTTTGTGAATAGAACACGGGTAGGTAGAGTGTCCTCGTATTGATGCTATCACTTCTCAACCACCGTGGTGTACCCACAATTCTCGCAGTTACTTTCCACTTTGTTTCCCAGCGCATATCTCCGGCCACGCTCAGCCGTAGCTTGCACTGGGCATCTTCTCTGGATATATGGTGTCTGTCCAACGACGAGACACGGCGTGCATCTGCGGCTTCATCAACAGGTATATGCAATTCCATCGAAACGTGGCAGTGCGACACAGGTATCCAGCCACCAAGGCACCGACAACTCCAACTTCTCGCTGACCAGACCGAGGGCGTACAAGCAAGCCACCATTCTCGAAAACTGTCAACCCAACCTTGTGTCTGTGTCTGCCCTCTGGAGATCATCAGCCCAGTACTTACAATGCCATACGATCTCAAAGGCCGTCGCGTGCTCGTGTGCGCAGGTAGTCGCGGCCTGGGCGCTTTGATTTGCGAAAAGTTCGCCGCCGAGGGCTGCCACGTTATGGTCAACTACCACTCGCGAGAAGACCGGGCGAGAGAGGTCGTAGAGAAAGTGCGTGCATGCGGCGTACAAGCATTCGCTATTCACGGGGTGAGCATCCTTCTGTTGTTGCTGGTTGACTTGTTTTCTCCTCCCCCTTTTCCCCCCGGCCCCAACGACAGCCAAGAATACCTACCTACATATCGAGAAGCAATCTCATTCTCCCCTTTCAATTGTCATCCAGGACGCCGAACTGCCTGAAGACAATGATCGACTCGTCCGCGAAACTGTCGAAAAACTCGGTGGCCTTGATATCATCATTGCCAATGCTGGATGGACGAAATTTTCCGACTGGAAGGACCTCCATGCCCTAAGTCACGATGAGTGGAATAAGGTGAACAGACCCTCTTCCCCCTCGACGTTATCCTGTCGCGCCGTGCCACCCACGCCGTACCCGACCAGATACGTTGACTGTTGAGGACGGACGTACGCTGACACCAAATCTCACTTTCAGTGCTGGGCTGTAAATGTCATGTCTCACCTACAACTAATGCAGTCTGCCGCTCCGATATTCAACGCGAACCCAGAAGGTGGCGTATACCTCGTCACATCATCTATTGCGGTATGTCAGGTACTCGTTTAAGTTTTCAACCCGTCCGTCCGTTCATTTTATCAACGCTTTGGCTCCCGGCAGGAGTTAGGATCGAGGAATGAAGCTGGGTCGGTGACATTCATCGCTGACCTGTGTTAGGGAACGACACAAACCGGAAGTTCCATGGCGTATTCAGTAACGAAGGCTGCTGGACTACACTTGACGAAATGTCTCGCTGCAACACAGGGTCCAAAGATCCGTGTGAATGCGATTCTTCCTGGTCAATTGTTGACTGATTGGGTATGTGCGCACAGAGATACACGCATCCCCATACGTGTATACATGCATACATGATTCTGCTTTCTCGAACTTCAAGTTCCAGCAGTTGTTGTATTCAAGTGCACGCCCGCGCAAAGTGCTGATCATCCTACTCTATCCAGGGCATGCAATTCACCGACGAGCAGATCGAGGCCGAGAAGAAACTGGCAATCTTGAAACATGAGTTATGTACCTTCTTGTGTACTCCTTACGCATATCTACCTTGTCTAGACCTATCTAGGTACGAGTCTCAATTTTGCCTAAATGTATGTAATCCAGACTTTCCTCGACGACTGCGCCGATGTGTATGTGTCAGTGGCCAAAAATACGTCCATGACAGGCCAGGAAGTTACTATCGATGCGGGATTGACCCTGGCATATTTCTCGGGTAGCTGAAGAAAATATAGAAGAAGAAGAACAGGTTTGTGGGGGGGAGAGGAAAGACCGGCCGGTGACGCTACCTCTGTAATCACAAATCACGTATTGTCAAGAGGACGAGATTATGGCTTTTGGATGAATGTGTTCTACATAAGGTCGTTTCGTAGTAGCCATCGATTGAACTCATCACAATACAAGACTCATCAGACTAGTCTTGGTGAAAGTTGAAACTGAGATTGCGGCAGATGGTCATGCCATGTAGGTAACCAGCAGTGTCATTATCAGCTGCGCCGCGGCCGGACACTATGCGCAGAGTCGCTCAATGTCAGCAGGGCCAAGTGGCAATGTACTCGACGCGATGTGACATTGATGCACTGCGATATTCCAATCCGATTAGCGTTTGAAGGACACTTGAAAGACAGACGCAGCTAGCAAGTCACAGAAAAGAGATGGAGAGAGGAAACATACTGGACCTGGTACCGTAACTGTCGGGATACTCGATAGCACTGTGTTGAACGCCCTGAAAACCCCATCGTCAGCGATCCCTCTGTGATGCACACGTGGTTGGGTTTGAGGTGATCACCCGCGAAGTTAGAACTTATTAACGCAACGATGTCTCTCGGGAATCTAACCACCGGCCACCCTACTCACCCAATTATTCCACAGAAACATGTCACCCTCCTCGCACGCCGGGACCACGATGTATTCCGGCGTTGCGATCCTGTCGTATATGTCGTTGACCCAGAGCCTGATCTCCTCGAGATCCTCAACCACCCTTTCCGACGGCGGCGAGGTGGTGGTTCTGATGTGCAATCTGCGAATGATGTCGGGGAAGATCTGCAGCGCCTTGGCCCCGGTGACGGGGTTCACCCACACCATGGGGAAGGTGTAGACCTTGTCGGGCGACCATTCGGGCAGCTCGTCGAGAGGGACCGTCTCGCCGCCGGGCGCGAGGCCCATGCCCGACGAACGAAGCCTGCGCGTGCCCATCCACGCGAACGGGTGCGGCGCGGGCTCCCAGTGGCTGTGGTCGACGAGGTCCTTTTCGTCGTCCGACAGGAGGTCGTAGAGCTGCTCGCCGCTGAAAAACGCCGTGCCGCCCGCCTGACACCGCATCGTGCGACCGGTGCCGTCGTCCCAGCGGACCGTGAGCGGCGGGCCGACGGGCGCCTTGACGCAGCGGAAGGCAGTCACGCGCGAAGGGTACGCGCCGTAGATGGACCCGTCAAAGTGGAACGAGTTGAACCGTGTCTGGCCCCTTGCCAGCTCCGAAGCCGAGATGGGCGTCGCGTGGACTCTGGACTGGGGCACGGCGCGGATCGTCACGTCCTTGAGACCATAGTGGTCCGGACCTTGGTACCCGTGGCCGACGAGGTTGACGCCGCCCGAGTTCGGGATCCCGTAGAATGGTATGTCCTTTTGACGATGGCGACGACGTTAGAATATTTGCCTGGTTGACGAAATCTAGGAAGTTGGAAAAAGACAAAACGGAGAAACACCAACCCCGAGAAACCCAACGAGCTTCGACCCCTTTCCTGCACCGAAGCCATGTTGAGCTTTCGCGTCCGGGTCGAAACGCTTGATGAGTTCGAACTGCTTGGCTGGATTGAGGTTGTGCTGGCCCTTGACCACAATGAGGCTGTACTTGTATACCGCTTCTCGTAGTATCTGGAACGTCGCCTCATCGAGGTTTTCGAGGTCTGCACCTGTGACCGTTGCTCCAAACTATCCCGTGTGTGCTCTCAGCAAGGGTGTCTCCGGTTCAATTGGTGCCCATGCTCACCTTCGCCTTCTTGCCTTCCTGCTGCGCGAAAGGGGTGATGATAAGTTCTTGCGACGTCGCGTGCGGCATGTTGAGCAGATTGTCCACCGAACTAAGCGGTCAAGATAAAGTGTGCTCCAACTGTAGAATTTTGAATAGTCCTGGGATTGCAAGCTCAAAAATAGTCTTTACGATGGAAACACCACTTCAGGCGACCGGAAGGCGATGCACAGGTACTGATGTTGTTGCTTTATCATCCTCCAGTCTCTCGCTGACTATTGCCTCTCGGAATGATCGACCTGCGGACAATCCCGCATGGGGTTTTCGTGGAGCAGGTTGCGCTGATAAAGATAACCATGCATCAAGTCTGGAAACTGGCTCCGATGCAGTGTGCGGACTAGATCTATACAAAGGCACACGCCGTCCAGATTGAGAAACAGACGTGTCGTGATGCGCGCGCGGGCAGTAATGCGGAGAATGCATTTCCAAAAGCGACGTCGGAAGTGCTGGAGACAATCGAAGTGAGTCTTGGGTATGTCCGCGACTCAGACTCATCCCTACCACGGAATCACTTGCTTAGTTGGTATACTATTGGGTCAAGTGACTCGTTGGCACAGGCCCTTTGCTCGTTTCTGACGAATGTGAGGCCTTACCAAGTCTCAAACCATCGGCGATTAGGTAACAATTGACTGGATAACAAAGCATAAGCCTGTGGGCTGCGAGAAAAGTAAGGCCTGGCCAACGAGGGAGGGAGGGGACACGAGCCACAGAACAAGGCCATGGGCCGTCGGAGATGCGAAAGGAGGGCGAGAACAACTGCGGATGTTGAAAACGTCAGATTGCAGAGTTATCTAGCAGATGCCATGGCAACTCCACATCAATTCTCGACAATGGGATACTGGGGAGATTTGTTATTCTCTTCAGCAACATCCAGCGCAACCAAGAATCGGGTGACCATGTTGTAACTAGCAACAGTCGCTGTGAGTTCAACGATCTGTTGTTCGGTGAAGCCAGCTGCCCTGACCTCGTCGAACAGGGTCTGAGGGACCGCAACCTCCCTCGTCATGGCATCGGCAAATCTGAGAACTGCCCATTGCCGGTCGTCAAGGGCTCCCTGCTCCATGGGAAGAAGCTGCCTCACAACATTCATCTTCTCCTCTGTGAATCCAGCAGACTTCAAAAGAATCGGAACATGCGCATTCCACTCGAACCATGCACGATTGATCAGTGCAGGTCGGGAAATGGCAATCTCGCGAATGTCGTCCGGTAGAGAATTCTTGGTCCGGACAGCTGCCAGAAGACCGTTCCAGCCTAAAAGGGAACAGTTGGTAGAGCAACGACAAGACAGAACCGTCTCAACATACCATCTGCAATTTTCGGGGCATGAAGCAAGGTCAAATCTAGAGGAATCAAGCCCATGGCCCCTCGTCGGGCTTTTACCCGTTCCAGTACCTCCTGGTCCTCGGGAGCCAGGTCTGTTGGCGGGTTTGGAACGTAGTCGAGACGCATATCGTCAATTGAGTGGGAAGGCCACGTTGGTATATTCGGGAGAGCAGGAGCTTTCTAATCAAACCTTTAGGAACACACCTTTGTCTTCAAACGGTCCCGCGAGAGACGTATGAAGGTCTCCAACTCTTGTCATCGCTCCCGGTGAGGGGGAGAGTGGGAATTCGGGTGTTTGAGGAGGCCGAGGTCGTCGGCGATGGCGGAATGTCTGCGCTCCATCTCCCTCTGTGTTGGAGACGAGAATGAAATGCGTTGGTCGTAATGATGAAGAGGGACGAGTGACACCTGGCTTTATCTCTTCTGTTGGTTTGATTCTGTTATCTCTGCATCACGCTCCCATCTCCGCGACACCTTCAAGCCATGGTAGTGAATCTCACAACTGTTGGGAAAACAAACAATCATTGCCAGGGCAAAGTTCCGCTAGAGCAGCAGCTACGGGTCGCCTTCTTGTGTCGAGATGGTGTCAAAGATAAGACACAACGGTGAAACTGACGCTGATCCTCGTGTTCAGGTGAGAGATGATAGTCGGGGGCCACGAGGCGTTCAGCCACACGCATTCAGCCTGTGGTCATGGTTTGATTGCAAAACATCGGATGGTGATTGCGTGAGACAAGTATTGCATTTGATCTGAAACACAACCTGGTGCGTGGAGAATGGAGGATGAGAGTCTCAGACCAGCGGCCCCGGGTTGTCGTGGAAGTCTGGAGAGTCGTTTTAGGCGCTGCGCAGATGCATGGGCGCTACCAATGGTGCCTATCGTGCCCGCCGTCTCCCCAACGGGCGCCTGCCGGAATCCTGCCTTGGGCGTGCGACAGCCTGCATTGCGCAAGCTAGTGAGGCCACCTGAGCGCCTAAAGGCCCTAAGAGCCCCAAGCTACGTCAGCCGCGGCTGCCAGGCCCAGTGGATGCTAACAAACTCAAGGCTAAGGCCGCTAGTGCCAGGCTAGAGGGCTTATCTTATCGAAACCCCCAAACACCTGGCGGCGTCGACAATGCGTGTGCGACGGTGCGCAAACAAGGCTTCAGCCAGCGCAGGGATAGAGCAGCTTCTCTCACTCTCGTCTCGCATCTCACCATCTCACTGGCTCCTGCGTCTCGAGCCGTCATTCATGCAAATCGTCACGAGACAGTAATCCGATCTCGACCTTCCATCATCTTCTCCCAATCCCATCCAATCCATCTCTCCTTCCCATCTGACTCCCGATCCCGTCATTCCGGTCGCTTCCTTATCGACGAGACGACGCTTCTCAACCTCTACTCGCGCCTACTTAAACCAGATCGCGCCCTCTTCCCAACATCCGGCTGCATCCTCTTCTTCTCTTCCCTTTGATCTCCATATGCCCGGAATACGTACGTCTTCTCATTGATCTCTTCTGCCTCGCTGTCTCCCGCGTCGTCAAGACGACATATCACCTCTTTTGGCTCTACATCACTTGTCTCCTCATCTAATCCGTCGGTTTTCTTACAGCACTCGACGCAATGGACAAGATCAAGGCTCTCTTCAAGCGCAAGAAGGACAAGCCAAGCAGCACTGCTGGCACAAAGACAGAAGCACCAGCTGACGCTGCTGTCCCCAAGCCTGCTGAAACTGCGGCTCCTTCCACCGCCGATCCAACCACGGCCCCTGCTGGTGAGTTCTCCCAAACCCTTGCAAGGTCATATCGAAGCTGATGATTGTATGTAGGCGCTGCTCCCGTCGATGCTCCCGCAGCCGACACTCCAGCTGAGCCAGCGTCGACTGAAACACCAGCTGTCGAGCCTCCGAAGTAGGAATCCGTGCCTCGACCAGCTCCCGCGGCCTGATCATTGGCACACCAATTCAACGTTCCCCGGAACCGGCCACGCAGCAGTCACCCGAGGTCCAATCTTTGATGGACCTCGCAGCGACAATACCCTTGTTTTACTCGATAGCACTCAGCAATTGTCCCGAGGCACCTAATTCAACTTTATACCCCTTTGGTGCCTCCGCGCGAATCATTTCATGATACCCACTCCCTTCCCTCTCTGCAAACAACGATATGCAAACAACCCAACAAGGCGGATGGGCTCTGGGCAAGACGGATGTTGCTTTCCTTGAAATACCAATTCGATTAAGATACCCCACCACGGCAGCCCTGCAGCGAGCGGCTCGCATGATGCGTACGCGTACCGGCATTCAGAGATACCCAAGGTCCTTAAGATAGTCTTTTATTCAATTCTGCATAGGAAATCGATTTCTCATACAAACCATGCCTTCCAACAGCATATCTTGGCTCGACCGTGACCAAAAAGAAGATAATCATTGATAAGTATTACAACGTGCGGTGGTCGTAGGCCCTACACAGCGTGACCATTACTCGTATGTCGCAGTATATTCCCATTGCAGAGTGGCATAGAGGATCAGAGTCTGGACGAGAAAACCCCACGTGTCTACGGAGACGACTGTGTTTGCGTAGTCCCCGTCCCCAAAAGATCATCCCAACCCAGGCTGATGTCATTCCTTTAAAACAATCCTTTCGTTAATGCGAGGAGGAGACAAGAGGACGAAATTGTTGTAATTGTCGCCGATTTCAAGGGAGATCTCTCCTTGAAGAGCGACCTTACTGCGCTCCGTTCGTGGCGGACATGGAGAGAGCGCTGGGTTTGTCGCAAACGATACCCCGTACAAGCCCTGATACTCAGAGATACGCCCAGTCATGTGCGCGATTATCTCCCATCCCTTGTCAAGCCCTACGGCAAATCGACATCGAGCGTGACGAGTACCGAGGAGTCCTTGCTCTTGACAGAGGCTCCATTCAACCCTCCAAACGAGTTCTTACTGCGCAGCGACTGCGCATCCTTGGACGTCGGGCGCGACGCGGGATAGATCCGTATAGACCGTTTCGACTTGTCTCCAGGGATCAAGGAGAGGAGGATATCGTGGTGGGACGAGGACGACGGGCCACCCGTCTCGGAGTGTCCGTTGATCTGAGACGTGGACATGGTCATGAGGCTTTTGTGTTGGTGTGGGAAGATCTCGACAATTTGGCTGCAGAGATGCGTTAGCAAGGGAGGGGGATCTGGACGGCGAATGGAATGACATACTCGCTCGCCCATCTCGTGATGTTGTCCAGGGCTTCTTGCTCCCGCCGTGCTTCCTCGGGGTTCATGACATTTTGCGCTGGCACGTTTGACGCACCCCAGGTGCCGTAGCCGTGATTCGCGCCGAGTTCATCGTAGAGAAGACGAGAGCGATCCTGACTCTGGTCAGTTTGAGAAAATGGAAAAAAAAAGGAAAGAAAGACGGCTCTCGTCCATACTTCATCTTCGTCATTGCGGCGCAGACCGAGACAGGAGAGGCAGACGCCCATGTCGGGTTGCGGGCGGTTTGGTGGCTGTGGGCGTCCGGGTCGAGCAGCGATTACATGGGAATAAAGCAGACAAAGAGAGAGGGGGAGAGAGAGAGAGATGGGGAGAGAAGGACGAAGGAACGGAAAAAAGAGCGTCAGGAATAGTGGTACATGGGAATTACATGATCCAAAAGACCAAAGTCAGATGCTGTTTGTGAGTGAGAAGCAGAGAAGTGGATGGTGATCATCAGCTGGACGGAAGTACGGAGTATACAGACTGTATAGTTAGTGGAATAAATTATTACTTCTTCTCCCACACTACCGGATTGCAATCTTCCTCTCATCTCACGCACTTATGATTCCCTCCACGGTCCACCTCAGATGTCGATTCCTCCAGCTTATAGCAAGCAGCTGGCCGTGCTGTGCTGTCGCTCTTTACGCTCTCATCTACCAGAGTGCGGCTCTGCCCACCTCGACACTCAGACTGAGACAAGTCATCCGTAGAGTCCTGTTACTCTCCCTTGCATCAACACCGACGTGCCTTGCATGTTAAGCAGGATAATTGCCGGCCTCCGAGCGACGCACATTCTTTTCTTTTAATCTCCAGAGGCGCAGGCATTTGTCTTCTTCAGGTCCTGCTGCCAGCGCCATACGCTGCAGGATGTAAGGAACAGTTCTGTGAAAGAATGCAAACCCCAACAATGTCGCCACGAAAATGTTCCACGCTCGACCTGAGACACCCTCCCATCCCTCATATTGCTCTGGAATGAACAATATTATTGTCACCTCAATGCTTTTGTCGATTTGCCAGGCGACGTGAAGCCCCCTTGCGTTCCGTTCGATACGAGACAATTCATCGACACCTTGATTAGGTCTGGCTGACCGCAACTGGTGCGGGCATCTTGCCCTTGTGCAAAGCCTCTTCAAGGGATCTGCGAAACATTACTACTGGAACGTCCGAGATCAAGATTACTCTGAACCATTCCTTGGTAAGTTGCCGTGATGTGACAAGGTACGTGTGGTATATATCTGCGAGCAGCATGCTGCTGAATATCCGGTCGTCTCGTTGTTTATCTTCTCAAGCCATTCACTGTTTTCCAAGCCTTGAATTTGTCTTTCACTCTAGTCGCTCGTTTAGTCTTTTCGAAGATGCGTTCTACACTCGTTTCCTCGGCCGTGGTCGTGGGCTTGGCCACCTTCATTTCCACTTCTGCTGCCAAACCCTACGTCGCAGCCGACGAGCTTGACTCCTTGGAACCCTTTCCCTGGGCCGACTGGGCCGACTGGTCCGATTGGGGCGATGACAGTGACGGGGACGACATAATAACGTCTACAAAGGTATCTACCACATCTACCAAGGTGTACACCACATCTGTGATTCCAACACCGAGTGTTGACCACCGTACGGATCCGACTTGTCCGTACGCAAACACGCAACCCTTCGGGAGCAGGCAATCCGACTGCGTCAGTTACGACTATGTCTGCGGCCAAACATATGACGACAGTGACGACTTCCTGGACTATTCCATAGGAACACTCTCCCCCGAGGAGTGCGCGAATCAGTGTGATGAGTTGAACAGTGACCATCCTGGACGCTGCGTGGGCGTCGTTTTTGATCTCGAAATGGACACGGATAACTGCAAGTTCTTGACTAGTACGAGTGTGCCTCAGACGGATGACCATGTCGTCGCTCTGATTCGTCATTACACTCCGGGATGCCACGCAACCTCAACTATGAAGTCGACAACCGTCGTGACTACGACTTGGATTGCACCCTTCGAATCGTCGACAACAGCTGCTTACACAACTACCACAGGGGAGACAGCCATCGAATTCACCACTACGACGTTCAAGTGGACAAGGACCCCGACGTCGACGCCTGCCGATGAAACGACAACCTCCTCGACCGTTGCCGAGACTTCGACTAAAGTGGCAGAAACCTCTACGACCTCTGCCGAAACATGGGCCACCACGATGCGATGGTCGACTACGATGGAAGACACCTCGACAACACCCACTATCAGTATGACCAGCACCACCGTGGTTGTCGGCGCCGTCACCACCTCGTCGGAGTACCCCACGACAAGCTCCCCGGCCAGAGAAACAACGTCAACGACAACTTGGGAGTCGACCACCACCTCAGAGACGACTACGACCTCGGAAGGTACTCCCTCGGAATCAAGCACAACTTCTGAAAGATCTACCTCGGAAACCGAGACCTGGACAACTACTGGTACATGGTCCACAGAGACTACGACCAGCGCCACGAGTTCTGAATCCACAACAACTGTTCCCCTTTCCACAACATTGTCGTCCGCGACCGAAACATCCCGCCCCACTTCGACCTTGATTCAAAGCACAACGTCGAGCTCCTGCCGGGCCACGACCATCTACGTTACGCCAGAACCCCGAGCAGCCATCGTGACTACTGTCACCGCCACAGAGTACCATACCAAGATCAAGAAGGTCTGCGGCATGCCTAGTGTCAATCGTCATAGATGGCACTGGCATTAGAACGTCAGCACTTGAGGCTAAACTAACTAGATCGATTAGGATGAGTCGCGGTTTTCGAGGTTTTAAATTCCATTGTGGAGGCCCTTCGAGTTGCGTTTCTCTCTCACTCGTAGAAGGAAGATTTATTATTATTTTTCATTCAAAAACGCGAGAGTTTTGTTTCATTTTTATTTTTATTTTTATGGTGGTTCCCGAGAGTCTTCAATTCTATATCCACCACTACTAGACAGAATTTTGGAACTTTGGAATGCGATTTGTTTTGTCGTGTCTAACGTTTGTGTCGTCTCATCTAGAGTCTGGCCGTTTGCCTGCCTCCGTACCCGTGTGTTGTCTAGCTCTTATTGTCTTGCTACACGCGGACTGTACCTTGCGCTTTCTTTAGTGTGTCATGGGTCATCAGAGCAGTAACGCCTTGGTCCATTCTCTCAAAATCTCACTCTGTCTTGGTCTCGAATCCCAGTCTGATGCTTCTCATTCGTATCCTCATCCTCATCCTCATCCTCATTACAACTTTGCAGGTCTACCCGCGTCACGCTTCTTCGCGCTGTTCCAGATCTGCACGTCGCCGTCCTTGATGTAATCGGGTGGGAAATACCGCGGACCCAGAGTCTTCTTCATCACCTTCCCCGTGCCACTCTTGGGCAACTCGCCCTGGATGACGCGCAGGAGAGTCGGCATTTTATACCCGGCCAACCGACCCCGGACGTCGTCACGCAGACGCTCGAGGCCGAGGGCGGGGCCCGTCTCGTTGTTCTCGTCGGTGGCGATGCTCAGGCCCAGCAGCGACACGACGGCGCCGACACGCTGGCCGAACTCGTCGTCCGGCACGCCCACGACCATGGCCTCCGCGATGTACGGCAGCGCCATGAGTTCTCGCTCCACGTCCAGCGCCGAGATCTTGTACCCACCGGACTTGATAATGTCGACCGACGCCCGTCCCACGATGAAGAAGTACTTGCCCTCCCTGCGCGCGACGTCGCCGGACCGGAAGTACCCGTCGGCTGTGTGTGCGGCGGCAGTCGCCTCGGCGTCGTAGATGTACTTGCTGAACATGTAAGGCGACTTGATCACGATCTCACCTTCGTGGCTTTCGGTGTCTCCACCACTGCCACAGTCACTGCCACCGTCGTCGGAGGCAAGCCTCACGTCGACACCCACTGTGGGTTCGCCCACGGACCCGTCCGGGGTGCTGCGTGCTTCGTCCGGGTGCGCGGACATGTTGAACACGACCCCGGACTCTGTGGATCCGTACCGTTGCACGATCGGCCGGCCGTCACGGAGCGTCGTCCAAAAGTCCGCGATGGGCTTGGGCAGGGCCGACGTGCCGCAGAGACAGGTTTTGAGCGCGGCCGCGGCGGCTTTGTAAGACGCCGACTCTCCTTCACCGGTGCGCGACGACGAGGACGAGGACGACGAGAAATTTTCCTGATACCATCGCATCATGCGCATGTAGATGGTCGGTACGCCCGTGAAGTATGTGAGTCCGCCTCGGCGCCAGCGATTCCAGGTCCATTCGGCATCGAAGCTGCCGGATTTGAATTCGATGCATGCCCCCGTGAGGAGGAACGGGAAGAACGACACCCAGATCCCCGTCGCGTGGTGCACGGGAAGCAAGTGCAGAAGCGTGTCGGAGGAGTCGAGGCCCATCTGTTGCGCAAACGATAGGGAGCCGTCTATCATTGCTGCACGAGACAGGACCGCGCCTTTGGGAGGACCCGTCGTGCCTGAAGTGAATATCACGACGCCGGCCGAGTTGGGGTCCAGGAACCGGTTCGATGAGATTTTGATCTTGTCGAGCGCGATGGGCGGTTCTTGGTTCATCGACCGTATGGGCACGAAAGCAAAGGGTTGCGACGATGGCTCAGCAGTAGATGATGGTGGTGATGATGTTTGGATTTCTCGTGAAGCCGCCTCAGCTAGAGAGAGTGTTGTCGCCGACGCGAGGAGCGCCACGGACCGCGCTTTGGTAATGTAGTACACTGCCTCTGTCACGGGTTGGGCACTGCTGAAGGGACTCACGGCAGCGCCGAGCGCCAGGACGGCCAGGACGCCAACGGTGAACTCATACCCTCCCGGCGCCACTATGCTGATGAACACTTCTTGACCTCGGCGGAGGTCGTCGAGGGTCTGTCGGGTGAGATTCGACTGGAGCACACGGCGGAGCCTGAGTACGTCGCTGAGCAGTTCTGCCGCTGTACGTTCTACCCCGGCATTCACGTCGCGGATCGCCGGTCTGGGGTTGCGACGGTGAGCCAAGGCCAGCAAACGCGTGAAGAGAGGTTCTGCCGGGAGGATATGGTCTCCTTCGTGGCTGGGTACCAGGTCTCTTCTGTCGAAGAAGGCGGTGGTGGAAGGCATCGTTGCTTGCAGCGTCGGGTGCCGGTGGCCGTGCCAGTGCCGGTGCCAGTATCGTCTTGCCCTTACGGTATGGCAGGGTACCTAGGGTACGTCCGGACGTGCCAACGAGACCCTTTGGCGGTCTTTGAGATCATGAGTCTTGGTTCAAGTTAGACCACATACCAAAGACAATGTGCGATATTTCGGTGTCTAACTCAGGGACCTGGTCAGACTTTCCAGTTCCGAAGAGGCAGTTTTCTGTCGAGCGAAATCGATGCGACGGTCGTTGATGTGGGGACAGAAGTTCATCCTCGGTATTTACTTTTCCTGGCCGCGGGAACTTTGACAGTGAGGGGGTTCGAAGGGAGGGCGACGGGGAGTATTCGTTGGATGGCCTGAGCCATTGTCTCTACTTGTACTATTATATCTGAACAACCGTTTCTTCCGAACAGTCCAATTCAATTCTCTACCTGCGGGACTGGCGGACGCTACTATCAGATACCCACCAGGAGATCATCAGAGAGGGTGTCTGTCTGGATTTGACAACATCATGGCCGACTTCACTGACAAACTGAGACCTGCGGACCCTCAGGGTCCTGATATCCTGGCCCAAGAGAGAGCCAGCTCAAACTTGAACACCGAGCAACTGGCACAGCATCTCCTTGCGAGAAACGACTTCCTCGCTCGCCAGAAGAGGATCTTGTCGATACTCGAGCCGATCCCGTACTTTTGTAAGAAGAACCAATTGAACATGGCCAGACCGGACAGATACCACCTGGGGCTTGCTCGAGCAAAGACCCTGAGGAGGCTGTCTCTCAAGCACGGGTGGGACCGCGATGACTATATCATGGCGGATTATCTGACAGACGAGATGGCGCCCTACGCTCTGCAAGCAACCATGTTCGCCACCTCGATCCGCGAGCAGTGTAACGACGAGCAGAGGGCCTACTGGCTTCCCAAGGTCGAGAAGTGGGAGATTATAGGTTGCTACGGACAGACCGAACTCGGCCATGGCAGCAACGTCAAGGGCATCGAGTGTGAGGCCAGATGGGATCCAAAGGCGAAGCAATTCATCATCCACAGTCCGACCATCACCGCGAGCAAGTGGTGGAACGGGGCGTTGGGCCGCACGGCAAACCACGCCATCGTCGTCGCTCAGCTCCTGTTGCCGGACTCAAGTACTGGCAAGTACAAGTCATACGGCCCTCACCAGTTCATCGTCCAGATTCGGCACATGAAAACCAACAAGCCGCTTGACGGGATTGTGATTGGCGACATTGGTCCCAAATACGGCTACCCCGGTATGGACAACGGCTATATGCTCTTCGATCGCTTCAGGGTACCACATTCGGCGCTGCTTTCAAAGTACTCGGGAGTCGACCCTGAGCGTGGCACCTATATCAAGCCCAAGAACCCGGCAGTGGTATACGGATCCTTGACGTTTGTCAGAGCCCAGATCATCATGCATGCACGATTGGTGCTGGCTCGAGCCGTGACGATCGCGGTACGCTACCTATCCATACGAAGACAATTTGCAGATCGCGACGCGAAGGATATCGGGGCACCCGAACAGGCTGTGTTGAATTATCCCACCGTGCAGATTCGGATCCTACCTCTCCTGGCCACAACCTTCGCGCTGCACTATACCGGCGAAGCCATGTACAAGCTATACTATGGCACTCGGGAGGCGATCGAGAAGAGCGGCGACTTTTCCAGACTTGCCGAGATGCATGCCGCGTCGTCCGGTCTCAAGTCCCTGTGTACGACGTTGGCAGCAGATGGTATCGAGACGTGCCGCCGCGCCATGGGCGGTCATGGCTTCGGAGGCGGCAGTGGCATGATCGCTCTCAACAACGAGTATCTCTCCAAGCCGACCGTCGAAGGCGACAACTGGATGATTACACAGCAGACGGCCGCGTACCTGATCAAGAGAATGACGGAAGTGGCCGCGAAGCCCAACATGAAGCCCAAGGAGACGGTCGACGTTCAGTTCCAGGAATTCGTGGCTACCAAGGCCAGGTCGCGTGATTACGACGTCCTCGGACAGGAAAGCGACCTCGTCCAGGCGTTTAAGCACAGAGCATCGTATCTGTCTTACCAGGCTTACCATGCGAGAGTGGTCGAAAAGAAGCCGTGGACCAGTTTGATGATCCAGCTTCATAGGCTCAGCAAAGCACATTCCGAAAGTCTGCTCGTGTCCAACTTCTACACCGCCGTCTTCGAATCGCCACCGAGCCCTCCCCTCGATGCAACTGCGATTGAAGTCATGAAGAAGTTGTTCAAGCTGTTCGCGCTCTTCACGCTCGACGCCTCTGCTTCCGAGTTCCTCCTCAGCAAGGCACTGACGGTCGACCGGTTGGCGATGGTCACGCCAGCGATACAGGATCTCATGACGCAGGTCCGCCCACACGCAGTCCGGCTCGTGGATGCTTGGTCCATCCCCGATTACCTGCTCGAAAGTGCCCTGGGTAGTTACGACGGCGACGTGTACAATCGGCTGTACCGCAAAGCCCACAAGGAGAACCCGTTGAACAAGCTGACCTTTAACCCGGACTGGAAGACCGAGGAAATCATCATGGGCGAAGGGGAAGAGAATGCGAGGAGGCGGTTAGAGGCATTGGCTCTGGGCACAACTGAATACGATGCGAAGCCAAAGCTTTAGGAAGGTGGTATGCCTGACGAGACGTACGACGTGAACAACGCCTCGAATTCTAACTAGTATCTGGGCACATACATAAAAGGAGAGTTCAAATCTTTGCTTTAGCAGCCGTTCCTATCCGCTTTCTGTGCACGTAGCTGATGGCCTTGAACTTGTCGAGAGCCTCGCCCCACAGCTCCGTTCTCAAAAGACCATAAACTCCCATGGTGGCGCGAGGGGCAACAGTGCTCGCGAACTCGATCGCTCTCTGTCTCATCTTCTCTGGCGGACTGAGCTCGTCGACGATGCCGTCCCTCAGTGCAGCCTCGCCCGTCCACTTGTGTGCCTCGAGCAGCATCTTGCGCGCAACCTGGGGGTGGAGCTTCAGTCGAGGAAGTGCACCGATGCCGTCAAAGTGTAGACCGAGGTTGACCGGCGGCATGCTGATGAAGCCACGCTTGCTGTTCATGATCCGATAGTCGCAGGAAAGCATGAACGGGCACGCTCCGCCGAACGTGTGGCCCGTGATCAGAGCAACGGTCGGGTACGGGTAGTCGACCAGAGTGGCGAGGAGCGGGTAGAAGCCATCTGAATTGGCGTAAACGTTGGAATCGGACTCATCCAGCTCGAGACCCGTGCACCAGAACTTGTCGGAAAAGGACGAGATGATGACGGCTCCGGGAGAGTCGGGTTTCATCAGGTCCCGTTCGATGTAGCGTAGAGCATTGATGATGGTCTGAGCAAATGCGACGTTCAGTCGATTCTCAGGCGGCTTGTTCAGCGTGACGATGTGGACTCCTGGCGCCGACGCTGGGGACTCGATGAAGAGGTTTTCGAATCGTGGAGCCATGATTGAAGACGATTTGGTCACTCCCTTGCCCGGCAGTCGTTTAGGTGCCTTTGTCAGAGGACCAGGGCCGGGGCCAGCTCAAGAATTGACGTCTTGTGGCCTTTTGCCGAGAGCAGAGAAACTTGTGGAGCGACAGGCCCTTCTATTCCAAAACCTTCGGCGTCGTGGCGAACGTCGAGCACATATCCCGCGGCGATGTTAAATACTCACAGGTAGACAGCCTGCCGATCACGCTGGTGGGCTTCCCAGTGGACACTGTTCTCGGCTTGTTCGCGGGAGTCCCCAGCGGCCGACTGATAGTGCGGGGAAGATTCAAGGTGACAGCAAGATCTCTTTACTGTACCTCGGCTCCTTTGAGAACCTTCAGCTCTGATTGCTGGGCGGGTCGGAGCTACAGTACCTGATACAAAACACCTTGTTCCAGTGGTCGCCTGAGGGAGTCTGCAATTCCATCTTTCAATTTTGTCGGTACGGAATAATTGATTCTCCTTGCCAGTGCACGTGACTATCATTTCACGTGACCTCACATGATATGCGATGTCCTGGCGCTAGATCCGTTTGGGATCAGCGGATTCCTCACCGTCCTGCTCAAGGCCGCATTTGAACGACCCTGGACAAAACTTCGGTGGGTATCCGAAGTCACACATCACCGCAATGGGACGCCGTACACAGTGATGGACACGCATTTCCTCGTGTTCACAAGTTGACATGGGATTCTTGCTAGCTTGGATCTCGCCACGGACTACATCCCCTAGTCGAGATTCCAGACATCCTTGCCAGATGCAGGCTCAGCCGCAGTCAAAACTGGCGCCAATGCATATCCGGCGCGTAGAAGTGCGCATCACACCCTCCTGCAGAACATCGTCCTCACTTAGAAGCAAAGAAAGCACGGTTCCCGCTTTTGACAGCTGCATTCCCCTTGCTGGGTCTTCGAGTCACCCAGCATGCACCCTCTTTCGGCCTCCAAGTTTCAGGTTCTCAGGCGGCAGTTGATGGAAAGTACCAGGCCGGCCCAGGCCAACGATACGCACGCCGTAAGCCCACGACAAAAAGAATACTTCAGCTGATGTTTGATTCACCTATTGGCAACTCCGATTCCGTGGTGTGGAAAGATATCTACCCGAGTTTGTAATCTTTTAGGCAGCCTACCCAATGTGTCAGCAGTCCGACAGCGTTCACAGAGCAAAGGAACCGGGGATGATGTTACATGACAATCGCCAGATCTCCCGAAATATCGTTCTCACAGTCGCCTATCTCGACATAGTGGGGAGACGCGCCTCGTTTCTGAGCTGGTACCTCACAGATGCCCTTCTGCTGTGCAATTCGTCAATGGTCTCTTGGAGCATGCGGGCTTCGCGCTGGGCCTTTTCGATGCTGGCCCTGAATTTGTCGCCTTCGCGCCGCCACCTCGCTATGTTGTCTAGCTCCTTCTGCATGCGTCTTTGTTTGACCTCGATCTCTTTGCAGATCCTGCATTGGTCCTGAACGTTGATAACATTGTCAGGGTCGACAAGCTTGGCGCCGCAGGTTTCACCCATGCGGTGCTGCCGAGGACAACGTTGTTTCATGTTGCCCCATTTCCAGTCACGACAGGAAAAGTCGGTGCGGGCATAGTAGCACATGATGTCTGCCAAAGGTGATATTGAGTATTTGCCTCTTGATGGGCCAGGTCAAGAGAATGGTACATACCTTGGCTGGACTACGGCGAAAGGGAATGACACTAATACGATTAGCTATTTGCGAGCCCGTGCTTTGTCTGGGGCAAGATCTAACCCACCTGAGCCACGAGCGTTGACCCTAGGTTTGAAGTGATTATTGTTTGATGTATGGAGCTGGCTGGATGATTGAGTTGCGCCGATCCCCTTAGTCGAGTACACAAGAGGTAAAGGCCCAATGTACTTTTGTCTGCTTTTGTCAATGGCTCATTCGGATTGTTTGAGAACGATCGAAGACACGTCTCAACGTACACCTCGACCACAGCTTTATACCTTTCATTTCCAGCCGCCAGAGACAATCCGGGACTACCCCTTTCTCGATTGGCGCGGCACACCCAGACGTGTCCGGTCCTCATTGTTCAGAGGTAATCACTACTATCCAACGTGATCCACTCCTGTACCGGGACCCACCATGTTGCAGAGACTATAGGTCACCCTTGAGCATCCGTTGTCAGTGGCAAATACAGCATGGTCCGTCGCTCTTAACTGAAAGCGGACCTTATGACTTGAAAGGACGGTCGGCTTCTTGCTCATTTCTGACACACCAGGATCCCTGTTCTCTGTCCAGCTGCATTTCCTGCATAGACACAGCCAACAAGAACGGCACGAGCACCCTGCTATGAAGCAGCCATGCGACACGCTCGCAAGGTGGCAGAGTTTGAGTCGTAGAAAATGGGAGACTTGCAGCTGCAGATGCAAGACCTACCACATCCAGATGAGGCACGCTGTTAGCAAACATTGCCCGAACTGTCAAACATGCAGTTCTAGACACCGCATCTTAACACGCGCTAGGATGGCTACAGGTGCTAAGCGTCATGGGCATGACTTTTCGTGAGGAACACCACCTAGAGTTGTTCGAGTGCTTGACTTCCAGCTGAGTTCTGAGTTCTGGGGTGAGAGACTGTGTGAAGTGTCTTTACACTGCCCATCGGGTCACATGGCCAGAATAAAATGCTGCACCCGAAAATAACCAGAACTAACATCTTGAGTTGACAGACAAGACCACTAGGGCAAGGGGTCCCATGGGGGTGCGGGAGCGACGATACGAACTTTCGACAATGCTCTGCGGAAGGCGGAGGCCATGGGCTCACTGGGCTTTGTCGTTGACTCGTTTGTCCATTGTCGGGCTGAGCCGCGGAGAGTATGGCTTCCCACAGATTCCAAGGAGGCCGTGGTCAACCATCCCTGCCTCCCGCGGCCTGGACTATCGGGTCAGGAAAGATTTTGGCAAGGACTCCCCACCAGTCAAACCTCCAAAACGCTCATTCCACGCATTTATCCGGAGCTCCTGGGCAGTTGGGCCTGACCTTTATGACCAGTAACCCATGTTGACCCTTGTCAGTGTTCGGCGGCCACGCGGATGTACAGCGGCTTCCGATTCAGTTCAGCAGCTGTAAGCAGTACTGTGGACTTGGTCTCTGGACTTCCGCCTTCGTCGACCCCTGCTACCTGCTAACACTAGGAGAAAGAGCACTGCAGTCGACCGTAGCTGGCCGCTCCGCATTGGCCTTCACATGCCGTCAGCGCGACTACCTCTGCGGCCCTTGTCTCTGGCCATGCCAGCACACCTGTTTCTGGCCAGCGATCGACGCGGTAACCTGTGGCTACCCACGCGAGGCCGGAACCAAGTGCTGTTCGCATTGAAGCGACGATGCTCCTAGTACCGTGGGCCCAGGGTCAATCTATGATGACCAGTATTCCATCCCTGTACCTCGTCTGCGCAGATTAGCGTGGTACTTTGCGTGTCACTAACGAGGTTCACCCTGGTCCCTGTCCCGGGTGATGGTCACAATCTATGGGGAAAAGGTCGTCCAAGTGGCTTCTTCAAGCCTAATTGGTCTGGTCTTGCAGGAGTTTAGCGAGGGCGAGGAGGTCGCGGCTGAGATCGCGCTCAAAGATGAATTGAAACATCAGGCTCGTTTCTGTCTTGTCTTCGGCTGCTTTCTAACCATCAGAATTTTCCGTGTCTGAGCTACAGATACTAGTTGATTGAAACTTAATGATAAAGTGTGTGGAGACTCCCTGTCAAAGAGCTATATTGGTGCACGAACCCAAGACCATGGTTCAAAGAAGCGCCCGCTCCCTGGCTCTGGCTGTTTGCATCACGATCGGAGGAGGGGTGTTTTCAAAATCATGCGAAGTGGAGTCCCTCATGGTCTTCCAAGCTTTTGAATCCGCCTCACTCTGACCGGAGGTCGACACGCCTTCTTCGGACACAAAGTCATGACGGAGGGCCTGGTGCTGGGTCTCCCATGGTCTCCTCCAATGTCCGCTTTGAAAGTGGAGGAGATCTGGGTCGCAACCGAAGGTCATGCTCTGAGAACCATCTGGCTGTTTTGCCAGCTCACCAATATGCATGCAACTCACACGGGCCGTTCCATCACTGCCGGAGCGGTCTTCATCGCTTTTCCGGCTCCGCAGGCTGCATGGGTCACCGGAATCAGAGCTTCATGGACCGTCTAGTCCCTAAGCATGTCGCTCTTCAGTCCGTGAGCCCGTGACTTTCGCATACCGTACAAAATGGGTTGTCTCGAAAGAGGAGATGGCATTCTGGCAACCTCCATTACCGGCACTTCTCTTCTACTGGAGCAGCTCTCCAGTAGCTCCACCTTGAAGACTTGGCTACATGGTTAGCAAGGCGCCTTCTTTGTACAGGATCTCGGCCGGGCTCGGTGGCCACTTCACAGGAGCTCAAGGCGGGTCAGGAGGTCGATTTTTGGACTGCATATTTTAGCTCCTTGCAGGTCTGCGTTGGCTCTGCGCAAGTATGTGGTCGACTTGTAAGCGGTGGTTGTGCCTGTCAAGGCACGAGGAAATGCAGGGATGGTATGTCGGATTGACAGCCCTCCTTGAGTTCCCGGCCTCGTTCAGGCAACTTGGGAAAAAGGACCGGCCATTCATCACGGGTTGTCCTCTCGAGCTTGACTTGTGGCTTCAGGTAGGACGGTGTGAGCTGGCAAACCCATACCTCTTTCAGCATCGCTTGTGCGGGTGGTGAACGGCGAGAACTTCTGGAAGAGCAGCAGCACGATTTGTGTATCGTGCATAGGGGGTTGCATGAGCACCGTCGCACTATCCTTGTTGCTGCACGCTGGCTTGCGTGGATGCTTGGAATCCACTGATGGACACTGGAGTGCTTGACACGGTACGTCAACGAAAGAGACCACCAGTTGGGACGATTCTGATGTCGGCTGATCAGGCTGACAGAGGGGACAGGTGCCACCCTGGAAGCGAAGGTGCTTCTACTTTTCCCTTTTCCCTTTTCCCTTTTCCCTTTTCCTGTACTTTTATTTCCCAGGGGTGAAGAAAAGGGTCATTTCCGCCGATGGACTTTGACGGTGTGAACGGTAGCAATTGGCCCGGCCGGGCAATGATGTGTCAGTGTGACAGTGGAGCGCTTGTTCGTTTTGGCCATGACAATCTCGTATTTAGTTAGGGAGTAGCTTGTACGAGCAGGTACCAAGGGGTGTCTTTGATTGAGTACTTGAGAAGTATGGTCTTCTTTCATTTTGTTTTACTGCTGAACGGCTACACTTTCCCTTTTTTCCCGCTTCTAAATGGGGCCCTGTGTTGTAGATGTACCTTTTACTTGTTCTCGTGTGACCGATACGGCCTGCTCACTTACTTCCTAGCCAGGTTCTTGTGCAAGACGTGCTCTTTCATGCCCAGTCCGGCCACGGCGGCCAAAAAGGCCAGTCCCAGTCCGGCGAAGAAGGCACCCCTCAGGGCGTGCATGTAGCTTGCGTAGACGAGGTGGGCGTCCCAGCCCTCGGGGAGGTGTTTGACGGCGTCCAGGCTGTCCCTGATCCTGCGGATGTGGCCGTCGCTGCCGGGGAGGCGGCCGAAGTGGGCCTCGAGGTCGCCGGTGAGGACGTTCTGGAAGACGGCGGCGGCGACGGTGATGCCGATGGTCGAGCCGGTGGAGCGGAAGGCGTAGCTCGCGGCGGTGATGACGGCCTGGTGGGCGTGGTCGACGGCGCTGATCATGGCGACGAGCGTGACGGTCAGCATGGCGCCGTAGCCGAGGGCCAGCGGCGCGACGTAGGCGTACGTCGCCCACGCGGCCGTGTCGAGCCGGAACGTGCACAGCAGCGCCGCGCCGGCCACGAAAACCCCCATCGCGCCCGCCATGCACCCGTAGTACCGCCCCGTCAGCCGCATCAGGTAGCCCGACCCCAGGCTGCCGACGGACGTGCTCGCCGCGAACGGGATCATGCGCAGCCCGGCCTGCGTCGAGCTCAGCCCCCGCGCCTGCAGGTACAGGGGGACGTAGTAGAGGGCGATGAACGACGCCATGGTCCCGAACCAGTTGGCCAGGCAGGAGAAGAGAACAGTGCGGGTCCGCACGATCAGCGACACGGGGATGACGGGTTCTTCCGCCACCGCGGAACGGAGCAGACGACGCAGACGACGCCCCGTCGGAGACGAGGAGGAGGAGGAGGAGGAGGACGACGACGACGACGACGACGACGATGATTCGGGGGACGACTTTGGTGGGGCGGATTCGACGAACAAGAACAGTGCAAAGGTCACGAACGCGAGAGAGAGACTGGTGACGATCAACGGGTGAGACCACGCGAGCTGGTTGCCGCCGCTGTTCAGCCCCAGGAGGAGCAGCACGAGAGAGGTGACGAGGAGAAAAGACCCCAGGAAGTCGATGCGCCGCAGCGCCGGCTTCGTGCTCGCGTTGACGGGGATGTCGACCAGGAACCACACCATGACGGTCGACACGACGATGAAGGGGAGCTGGAGCAGGAACGCCCAGCGCCACGACAGCCGGTCGGCCAACAGTCCACCGAACACGCCGCCGGTGCCCATCCCCAGACCGAAGATGAGGTTGCCGTAGCCCTGCCAGAGTCCTCGCCGGCGGAGGGGGATCAGGTCGGATGTGACGAAGGTGGTGATGCAGGAGAGTCCGCCTCCTCCGATCTAATAAGTCGGATTTAGTTCATCAGTGATTTGGGTTCAGTAAACTTGCCAAGGTCGACTTTTCGTGAGGGAGCTTGGACTTACACCCGCAATGACTCTTCCAGCGATAATGGTCTGCGCGTTAGGTGCCAGACCACAGATCAGCGTACCGGCGGCGAAGAATACGTTCGAGAAGACAAGTCCGTATCGTCGTGAGAAGATGTCCGTCAATTTGCCCGAGAGGGGTTGACACGCCGCGTTGGCGATCAGGTAGCCTGACGCCAGCCATGAGAGGAGACTGAGGGAGTCAAAAGACGAGGAGATCGGTGCCGTCAGGGTCGCGACGATTGTTGTGTCTGGAGAAGGGAAAAAAGGAAAGGGGGTTTCTTGTTAGTATGTCTTCTTAACTTTGGTTCCCTTGAGGGGGGAACAGAGGCAAAGGGGGACGGCAAGACAAGCCAAAACAAGACAAGTGTTAGGGCAGTGAGGAAGAAAAATAAGATACGATGAAGGCACATCCCCCAAAGGTTAGGTAAATAGGCTCAGTACATACCCAACGCAGCGAAGAACACACCGGTCCATATTGCAGCCATGATGAGCACGAGTTTCTTGGTGCTGGGTCCCTCGGCCGCCAGAGCGGTCGCATTATCGCCGTTTTCAACGTTCTCAGAAGACGACCCCGGCTGGGGGTTTATTGGATCGACGACTTGTCCATTTTGACGGCCGAGGAGTGGACTTGTCTCGGTCGGAACTTGGTCGCTTGCGTCTGCTTCCGCTGAGGCGACCTCGATGGCCATCTTGGAAAAGTAAAACCAAGAATAGAAAAAAGTGAAAGAGAGGCGGTGGATGACCGGGAATGGAACTCGCTGGTCGTTTCGGACGCTGGGGTGGGTGAGGGTTTGGCGTGGTGAGCCCGCGATACCGTGAAGACAAGGGACGACTATACAAATATACACGGTTTACACCTCGAACCTTGAGTCTGTGAGGCTTCCGTTTGGGGTTGCGGTGTATGTTGTACGATATACCCGGTCTGGCGAGGATCAGTGCGATTGGTAGGATACGGAGAAGTCCTCAAGCCAGCAGGCTCATTCAAGTCAGTCCTGGTCGAAGCTTGTTGTTCAGCGGGCGTTTGACTGAGGACTCGTGCGTATGTATGGAATTATGGTGGCACTCTGTAAGTCTGTCGCTGTCGAAGCAGGAAGCTCTCTCTCACTCTCTCTCACTCTCTTCCTCTCCCAGTAGACCTGTGTATCTGTTGGCTTGGACCAGTCAGTAGATAAATAGATAACCGCTCGTGTGTGTCGGGGCAGTGAGGACAGGATCTGTAGCACTGCGATATGTCGGGTTTTGTGTCCTCTCTTGAGGCCTTGAGCAGTTGTAATATGATATTGGAAGTGATGAGAAGGAGATGAACAGAGTTTCGTACAAGGGACATGAAGAGAAACAATCATACACAATTATCGTTTTGACCCACGGTCTTTAGCGGGACCAGACGAGATGATTATTTTCGTCTGATTGCGTCTTCTTTCTGCTCCATCCGAGTCGGCGACTTTTCTCACCAGCCTTTTTGCTATGGACGCGTCGGAGATGACCAGACACTCGCAGAGTACCGGGATAATGCTCAGATTATGCCGTCAAGTCATTCACATGGGCTTATCTCACACGAGAATATAACAGAGGAAACCGGACTGGCTACCGGCGACAATTGTGTACATATATTAGCTGGTGTCCAACGGAACAACGATCATGCTATCAGTTCGCCTCACAGGTGCGCAGCCTTTCCAGCAAGGCACTCGTACTTATACACGTACTTATACTGGTAGTTCTAGTGTGAATTCAATTCATCAAGGTCAATCCCTCAATGCCTCGATATCAACAACCTCCTTGACAGCCTCGGTGGTGAGGACATACGGAGTGTCTTCTTGCACACAGACGCTGTCCTCGATTCTCACCCCCATATTTCTGAAATGCTTCGGCCACCGTTCGTCGTCGGGCACGTATATCCCGGGCTCGATAGTAATGCAATGTCCCTCTTGCAGTACGGCTTTCCTCGAATAACCCACTGTGTCATGCACGTCCAAGCCGACGTAGTGGCTCAGATGGTGCGGAAAGAGCTTCTCGACCGCCTTGGACGACATGTCGAACCCGATCTGCCTCAATTCGCTCGACAGGTACTCCTCGGCCACGCTGTGCAGTTTGTCCAGCGACATGGTCGAGGAGCCGCGACACAGCGAAATCAGCGTCCTCTGCACATTCAGCACGGCCTGGTACAGATCCCTCTGCGCGTCGCTGAACTTGCCGTTCACCGGCCACGTGCGCGTGATGTCGGCGATGTAGCCGCCGTACTTGCCGCCGCCGTCCACGAGCACCATCTCGTCGTCCTGCAGGACGTCGTCGTTGCGGACGTAGTGTATGCCCAGCGCGTTCTTGCCGCCCGCCACGACGGGCTCGAATGCACTCGTGTCGCACCCCTGCGTGACGAACTGGTACCTCAGGTACGCGTCGAGCTGTTTCTCGCGCGTCCACGCCTTGCGCATGGCTTCCGTGTGTGCTCGCCCCGACGCCCTCCCTGCTCTTCTCATGACTTCAATCTCCGCCGGGCTCTTGAACGCTCGTAGGTCGTTCATGACCGGTCGGAGACGATTGATCTTGTTCGACTGCAGGAGATCCGCAAACTCGGTGGTTCTTCGAGGTTTGCCGTACAGAAACCGGCGCAACGCCGACTGAGTCGAGTCCGGCGTCGTGATGTCCGTGTATATCCCTGACGCAGACCCTACGAGCTCCGGCAAGATCGTCTTCACCCGGCTGATGTCTGCCGTCTCGTCGGCGTTGAAGACGTCCCGCGCGGCCTGTGTGCCCGATCTTGCGCCGTCCCAGATCTCTGCCTTGGGATCCTTCTCTCGCACGTACAGGTGGAATGTGTGGTCTGTCCCGGTTGAATCCTTTCCGATCACGGCAAGAGCCTCTGGTTCATTGAACCCCGTCAGATAGAAAAAGTCTGGGTCTTGGTGAAACTCGTAGAAGACGCTGCCGGAGCGGAACTCGACGTCCGACGCCGCAACGATGGCGATGGCATTGTCTGGTAGCTTGGCCGCTAGTCTTGTACGTCTGTCGGCATATTCCTGAGCTGTGATGCCTGGAGTGAGTTCTCCCGGCTGCAGGACGTGAGGATGGGTTTCGTGGACCGGTTGGCCGAAGGAGAGGTCTGCTGCACTGACGATGCCGCTGGCACTGTTGTAGCTGCGCAGAGGTGCGCGGGGGAGCCGTCCGATGGGCTTCAGAGGGCTGAGGACATTATTGGTGCAATGCAGGCTCTGCCATAATGTCCTCCGTATCGACATGCTCTGGGATGACAACGGCAGGGCGCAGGGGCGCGTGAATCGAAAGCGAATCCTCTGTAGAGTAATAAATGGAACGAGACGCTCTTCTCCAACGCCAGACAAAACTTCTCGCATAGACTTTCCCGGTGCGGAATTGACCACTGTCCCTCGGTCGCATTGACTTTGTAACAGCAACGCGAACATTGGTGGGAGTCATAATCATGTTTAAATGCCGATTTCCCTGCCTCGATCGAGACTGAACATATCCAGCGACACTACTCACATACATATTGCAGTGTGGTCGGGCAAAAGAACGCATACGAGATTCCCGAGACGTCTGCAGCCATGGTCCAGACCCTCGCATACCCCAAGAAGAAGCAGAATACCATCAACCGCTATGACAGTAGAGGTGAGTTCTTATCCGCGCCGCCCCCCCTCGGCGCACCCCCTCGGCGCAAGAACTCAAGTTCGCATACTGACTTGATGGAAAAACAAAAGGCACATATGATCTGCGTGCAATCCACCACATCATCAACTCAACACCGGTGCTTCATGTCTCATTCGCTCCCAACCCAGAAGACCCGTTTCCAGCCATTCTGCCAATGATCGGAGTCATGGGCTCGTTCGAGTACCCGTCCGCCGACCTGGACGAGCCACTGGACTGCTACCTGCACGGATACGTCAGTTCGAGAATCATACGTCTGGCACGAAACTCCCCAAAAGGCATTCCCGTGTGCATTGCAGCGACCAAGGTGGACGGACTGGTACTCGCGTTAACACCAAATTCTCACAGCTACAACTACCGTTCGGCTGTGCTGCAGGGATATGGCCAAGTAGTCGACACAGACCAGGAGAAACTGTACGCCATGGAGAAGATCACCAACAAGGTTGTCCCAGGCCGCTGGGAGAAGACTCGAATCCCGCCCGATAACGTCGAAATGACATCGACAGCCATTCTGCGTGTCAAGATCGAGACTGGCAGTGGCAAGGTCCGACAAGGAGGACCGCACGACGATGCCAAAGACGAGAATAGAGCCGACATCACCGAAAAGGTGTGGACTGGGGTTGTTCCAGTATATGAGACATTCGACAACCCTTTATCGAGTGCAACCAATAAGGTCGACCCCATACCCGAGTACATTCTGAAGTACGTCCAGAACACGACGGCAGAGAATCGACAGCTCGCTCATGATGCCGTAAAGGAGCCGTGATAGACGACGTGGGCGACAGTAAGAAGGTTTGGTTCATGAACACAACATTGCAGTATTGCACTTTTGGGTAACTCGTATTCATATCTTCTGGAATGGCGCTGAGTTTTCCAACGTGGGCGGTTCCACCTCGGACTATTCGTCTCGATTCTGTGCATCACCGGATCGGATCTGGGATCTGATTGCGTTCCCGACGCAGCTGCACGCAAATCAAGGTCTTCGTGTCGACTCTGTGCAACGCCAGAGTTTGGTCTGGATCTTGATTGCGGTTCCGACGCCTTGGTTGGAGCTCTGGCCTATTCCTATAGAATTGACACATTCTTGACGCTTGCCGTGTGTATTACCGAGTTCTCCCTTCTGCGCACTAGTTAGTCCTTTTCATTCGAGCTTCTTCTCACGCTGCACCCAATACCGTGCCTCAAGGCCTGCAAGTCAGAGTTTAGTTCTCTGCACTGGAATTTCATCAATTGTTCGCTCAAAGCGTATCCATTTTTACTGCAAACAAATTTCGAAGGATTGCGAAATCGGAGGCTCGTTCCACCAGACGAGACGGTGCGATCTCCGAGACTCCCGAGTCCAGGGGCAGCTACCGAAGAGAGCGTAAAAAGCTACTGACCCCCCTTCGAGGAGGCCAAGCCGCTGCTGTCGTGCCCGCTCCAGCTGAGAAGCAACGTGGGCAAAGTGAAGAGGATCATCGGTCGTGACGAAGTATCCATATGTGGAGGAGACGGATCGAGATTCCAATGAACTTCAAGCCGAGCATCTGATTAGATAACTTGGCTGGCTTGGCACGGCCAGGGAGCGCACCGATTGATTAGATTAGACACGGAATCCTCCACCAGGCTCGCCTTAACCTTCCAAAGTCTGTTCGATATGTCCCCGTCCGTTCCTGAAGTACAGCGCTTGAGGGGCCTAAGATTCTTCGCGAAGGTCTTGGATTCCATTATAGACTTTTCTTGTGAATTTTGGGGCTGGGTAAACGTTCCAAGGTGGCACTGTTGTTTCGGTATCGGACTAACTGATGAATCAACTGTGTCAGCATATGGAACCTGATAAGATCCCACAGGATCCAGGCCCAGCCAAGAAGACCTAACACGAACCCAGCGGTGCATTATCGACGGGATGTAGTGGTTCAAGAGTCTCTGGATTACACTCCGTTCTCGGTCGCGTGAAAACCTCTTGAGTCGTGGGTAAGTCTCTGGTCAGCAATGAAGATCATTCAAGTACGTACCATGGTGCCGGAGTATTTCTGTCATTGTCCCTTTCCAACCGAATCCCATCGACCCGTTGGTTGTTCTACGTCGTTTCTTGTCACCTGCTAGTTGTTGAGATATGGCAGACACCCCTGCACAGGCCCAGCAGGCCGGCCATATGTCTACTGAAATCGCCACCAAGAAAGACGAGGTTTCCACTGTGCTAAATGAACTCGATGAAAGCAAAGACTTGTCGAGAGAGTCGAGCGAGCCCGCTGATAGCGATGGGCGACCAGAAGCAAGCCTGACATGGAAGATTGTTGCCATACTGTTGGTCTCCGCCATTGGCTTTGGGGCTCATTGGAGCTCAGGAATCACCGGCGCGATGAAGTCGACGCTCAAGAAAGAACTGCACATCAACAACACCCAGTTTGCGCTTCTGGAAGCCAGTGAAGATTTCATGGTCACGGCGCTGATCCTCTTCAGTGGTTTGGTGACTGATAGGATTGGTGGAGCAGGTAACTACTTCCCTTACCAAGAGTCTCTCGAACGAGCGTTGGTTGTTCCTGGATGGCTGACCGGCTTGGTAGGTGCCATTATGTATGGCAATGTGATCTATTCACTCGGATCCATCTTGATCGCTGCAGCGGCGCAGGTTCGCTCATACCGCTTTATGATCGCTGGAAGGATTATTGCCGCGTTTGGTGACATCGCCACGCAAGTAGCACAGTATAAGATCTTCTCCTCCTGGTTCCCTCCGAGCAGTGGATTCGCGTCGACCCTGGGGTTGGAACTCGGGATCGGGAAAATTGGCTCTTTTGTTGGCAAGTCGAGTGCCAATGTCATTGCGAAGGTAGTCTGGTCTTACGAAGCGTGGGGAGACGAATTGCTGATCATTGTGTAGAATACCGGAAACTTCGCTTGGGTGTTCTGGGTTGCCGTCTTCATGTCAGTTCCTGCTCGTTCTCCGCCGCTGTCACCTCAAAGCGAAAGCTCCACGCGGCAAATACAGGTGAGAGCGTCGATTGACTAACATTCCCTTGCTAGGAATCTCTTCACCAATTTCATGACCGTCGTCTTTTACCAGTTCAACAAGATCGCAACCAAGAGGTTTGCTTCGGTTTCAGATCCTGCAACAGGCGAAAAATTGACGGAAAAGAACAAGAAATTCGAAATAAAGAAGGTCCTGGAGTTGCCCTGGATATTCTGGTGCATCATGATATTTTCATTTTTCCAGACCAGTACTGCTATCGTCTTTACACAAAATGCGACAGAGCTGGTAGAGCAACGTTTCGGGACGGACTCAGTGACTGCTGGCTGGTATTCTTCCACGGTGCAGTATGCCGGTATGTTCGAAGGTGTCCTGGAGATAATCGACACGCAAACGCTGACTTGGACAACCAGGTTTTTTCCTCGTGCCAATCATCGGCATTTTTATTGACCTGTTCGGAAATCGTGTTTCGCTCAGTAAGCATCTGGCAGCGCTTATGGAATAGACGGTACAGGAACTGACGAACACCAACAGTGGTCCTATGTGGCACAGGAACGTTCCTCGCTATGGCGCTGGTGGCCTACAGTAATACAACCTCTGGCAACGCGGCAGCTTTTGGGATTTTTGCATTTGCATATACCTTCGGACCAACCGTAATCATTGATGGGATCCGGACCTCGATGTGGAATCAATCCGTATTCGGCTCGGCCTATGCTGTCAAAATTGCGATGAATAACTCGTAAGTCGCGCCCCCGAGCTCCCAGGAGCATCCTTGCCAGCGTGGATTAACAACGAGTAGGGTCAACATCATCATACGTGTCGTAACAGGAGTTATTCAAGATCGGGACAACAACTCCTACGATAAGGTCAGCATCTTCTATTCAGCATGGGCTGCCGCTTCAGCTGCGGTTTCGATCGTGCTTGTCATTCTTTCCTTGAGGTCGATTGACCTACGGCGTCTGCAATGGACTCGCAAGCAGCGCATTGCGAAAGGAGCCATCATCAATGAACGCAACCGACGTTTTCATGATGAGGAAGGGGAAAAGAACAGGAGAATTTCGAAAATGTGTTTTGGGTCGTTGATTGTGTTGATCTTGGGCGCATGGTCGGCGTATTTTTGGGGCGTTGCAACAGGCAACAATTGATGATCCCTGTAAGATGCTGCTCGTAGATGCCAGGGACGGGAGTCCTCAGGTAGTTGATATTGCGCGTCCGCACTCGTACCGATGGCGGGGCGACCTATTTAAATTCGTCTTGTTCTTGAGGAATAGCATGTTTGTATGACGCCGGCAGGAGGAAGTTTTACATCTCGTAGAAAGAGTGAACTGGTCCACCGAGCACATAACATCGACCACTCGTTATCCGTGAGAGCATTAAAGGGATGGAAACAGACAGGTCACTCTATGGTTGGCCAGACTGGAGTACATGTAGTTGGGACGTTATATCAATCCAGTGCCAGGGCATTTGAAACACATTGATTGCCTGAGCAGACAAGGCTGAACGAGGCTGACCGAGGCTGTGATCAAACTGCGGCGACATCATCACACACTCTCTCTCATAACCACTCTACACGTTCTTCCAAGTATATTCACTCTCGCATCGCCTCATCAACCTTGAACTCAAACGCCCGACAGAGCCCGCTTCACCAGTGTCACAATGGCAGACAAACCCAAGGCGTCCGGCGGCAACCCAACCTCGTCATCGACGTCGTCGGCCAGCTACGTCTCGTCGTCGGGACATGTTCTCGAAACGTACGTATGGTACTGTATGGAGTAGTACACTCTGTGCTTCTGGTGTGCTCTCTGTCTACGTACCTATCCTACCTGTGCAACCCAGTCCTTCCTCGTTCAACCGATCCTCCCCTCTTTCGCCCTTGTCACCCTCCGATCTTTTACTTTTCCCACGTTTGGTCTTCTTCCCTGTTCCTCCCGCACTTCACGTCGTTGACGAACACGCACTTTTCTCACAACATTTTTTTTCTTTTCCGAACAGACCTCCCCTCGCCGCCCGCATCTCCCGCCTCGGCGACGACATCTACAACTTCCTGGGGCTGTACTTTGTCTCCCTGTTCAGTCTGGACCCGTACACGGCGGCGCAGAATTCGCAATTCAACACCCGCGGTCGGCCGAACGCGTACCAGGAACGGTCGCGGTGGGGTGGCGTGAATCGCACGGGTGGTGGTGGCCCTGCTGGCGGCGGTGCTGCTGGCACCGGTTCCGGCTTCGGCGGACGCGGAGGTGGAGGTGGAGGAGGAAGTGGTGCAGGGAGGAGATTCGGCGGAATAGATGATGTCAGGGCTCCAGAGTGCGGAAGCTGTGGTTGACGACGACGAGACCTTTATCACGGACAAGGACAAAGCGAGACGAGATCACGGTGGTTGTCACATGTGGGCATGGCGTGTGGCGTTCGCTACAAGGTATCTAGGCATGGGAAAGGAAGACAACACGGGAAACAAAACACTCCAAGCCTCATAGGGTGCCGAAAAGTCAATGAAGTCTACCTATTAGGTAGCCATTGGTTGACAATGACTATGACTATGATGAAAAGGTTCCGTTCTGAAGATAATCCTCTGTCGATCAAGGAGGACTGAACAACTGCTATGCACGAGATCATCTCATCTCATCTCATCCATCCATCCATCCATCCAAAAGAATACCGAAACACCGGTCGAGCGTAACAATAGAACATCATCGAAAACTGATTCAATCAAACCTTGCCCAACTGGATACTGTTCACGGGGATATCGCCAGCAATATCTGCCGTGGCCGTCTCAGCTCGACCGGCTCGCCTTTTCTTCAAAACGTTCTCAATAAAGGCCTCACCGGCCTTGTAACTGCTTCGAACCAGCGGACCACTGGCCACGTAGAGGAAGCCCATTTCAAGCGCTCTGACTCTCCACTGCTCAAACACATCGGGAGTGACATACTCATGCACGGCCATGTGTCTTTTCGTGGGACGCATATACTGGCCGAATGTGACCACGTCAACATTGTTGGCTCGCAAATCCCGGAGGGCTGCCCAAACGTCCTCCTCCTTCTCGCCCAGTCCGAGCATCATGGACGTCTTTGTGATCAATTCCGGCTTGGCCTCTTTGGCGGCCCTCAAGACGCTTAGAGATTGTCTGAACGTTGCGCGGCGATCCCGGACTTGAGGGGTGAGCGCCTCGGTGGTCTCAACGTTGTGGGCATACACATCCAAACCAGACGTGGCCACCAACTTGACCATTTCAAGGTCGCCGGCGTAATCTCCTGTCAAACATTCCACCAAGATCGAAGGTGCTTTGGCCTTGACTTTTCGAATCGTCTCGGCGAGATGGTGCGCACCGCCGTCTGGCAGATCGTCGCGGTCCACGACGGTCATGACAACGTACCCCAGGCCCCATCGTGACAGTGCTTCTGCCGTGTGCTCGGGCTCGTGGGGATCCAACGGCGGAGGCGTCTTGGATGTCTTGACGCTGCAGAATCGACAGCCTCGTGTACAGGTATCGCCCATCAACATTATGGTCGCCGTTGCTGCGGACTTGCTGCTTCCACCCCAGCACTCGGAAATGTTGGGACACCTAGCTTCCTCGCACACCGTGTGTAGGTTGAGGCCCCTGAGATCATTCTTTATCTTCTTATAGTTTGCGCTATCTGGGATCGAGGTCTTGAGCCACGAAGGCAGGCGGGTGATTTGTTTCTTTTTCCCTTCTGGGCCTACTAGCGCAGTCTTCAGCGCATAGGCATCGGCAGGATCTAGGGGCTCGTCTCTGCCCGACACAAAGTCTGAAAACGAAGGACCGGCGTTGAGTTTGTCAGCGAACGTAGTTGCGCGCACCCGTGGCTTTGTTGTTGGGACGTCGTCGGTCGTGGTGGCAAATGTCCGTCGAGCGGCCGAAGGGTTTGAAGAGGTGGTGCCCTGGAGCAAAAAGACCTTGAATGGTGATGACCAAGGGTGGCCATTGAGACACCGATGGCGAGAAACTACGGCGGCCATGGTGTTGAGGGTCGTGGCTGATGGAGAGCCAGACGATGGTGGTGGTGGGAAAAGTGATGAGTGCAGACAAATAAGGTGCATGCGATATGAAATGTGAAAGGCGGAATGCGCCATTCTGCCCGGTCGGCGGCATCGACGGCTGGCGAGGCCTCCACGTCGCGCGCTTATTCCCGGCTGCGCAGCTTCGTTAGAAATACGGATATGCACCCTATGAAATGGTGATCCGTCTCGGTGATCTGTTGCCAGCTATACAACAAACCCCCTACAAACATGGTAGTCGTTGTTATCGGTAAGTTGGTTTTATTGTCTTCTCACATCCATAATCCTGCCGCGTACTCCCTCCTATGCAATCAAACAAAGATTTTCTTTCACAGGCTCGCTCTGTATCGGTACGTTGACACCAATTCATCAAACGCTCATAAACAGTTCGTACAATTCGTCATACTCCTTCTGGTGACATCTCCAACAGCCCAGGGACCGTTAAGCTCTGAGGACACGATGTTGACTCAGCATCATCGATCTGCCAGTCTGAAACGCCTGATGGCGTCCAGGAAAAGCATCTTCAAGCTGCCGGTGCACTCCTCATCCGCTCAAGCTCATGCTCCGTCTCCTGGTCGTCCTTCATTGGCGCCACCACCATCTCGTCTCCCGTCATAAATCTTGCACTGGCTCGGAGCAACACCTGCAGGACTTCCAACTCTTCCTCGTTTCTTGGTGCGTAGACTATCAAAAAGGTGTGTCCGATTTTCCAACTGTTTCTCCTGCCACCCAACCACCATGGAGCTTCTCTTGCACACCGGTGCCGTTCGGCCCAGCCCTTCTCGATGATCTCTTTGGCGTCTGCAGGCGAGAAATACAGATGCATCGAAGCATCTCCATGCATATGCCCAAGCTCCCCTCTGGAGACGGTAGCCACTTCGGGAAGGTTTTCGGACTTGGACAAGAGGCTTGGATGGACAAAAAGAGCAAGGTTGTGCTTTTCAAGGCTGGAAACGCTTTGCTGCAGAGACCTAGGGTTTCTCAAAACAAGTGAGGTAAAAAGAGACGTGATTCGCTTACAATCATTAGCCACAAAGCTAATAACACAAACGTCGGGGGATGAGCTCCTGCCGAGTTCACATGTTGACCAAACTCACCGCATTCATCCCCGGTTCCGGGTTCTGGCTGAATTGTCGTTGAGGTGCAATGCCCAGGATCAGGGGACGAGAGCCTTTCCGGTTCGGCAGCGCCAGAATTTCCTTGTGGGCAGCGTTATCAGGATAGTCCCCTGTCCAGGTCGTGTCATGTGCGGCGAGTGTATAGGGGCGAACAACGAACGAGGTCAAGAACCAGCCGTACACATTATACGGCGGGCCTCCAGGTCCCAGTGACTTGTACAGACGATAATCTTGCACACACCACGACACAAAGCTAGCCAACGAGATGGCGAGGCCAACAACGACCACGATGGGGTGCAGAGGCAGGGAGGATGGAATAACCTGAGGCTCGGTGGCATTAGGGAGGATGTACATATCGTTGTCCATGGCGGATGGATACACGGAGGACGATTCTCAAGGCAACGGCAGGGAAGCAAGTAGCAGGAGAAAGAGGAGACGGGTTGTAGAAGGAGAGGAGTCTGGTAGGAGAGTACTTCCTTTTGTGTGAAGGCCAAGGTGGAGAGAGGTACCACAGCTGAGGTGCAGAAGTCGAAGGATCTCTCGCAAAAACGAGGCAAAGGCTGTTGGATCCGGATTGAGGCATGTGGCCTTTCCGTCTGCGCTTTGCAGAGGAATGACGCTGGGATCGGGTGATCAGCCTGTGGACAAGGGGAGCAAGGTTGAGGCGTCAGCACGCGACGATGATTCGAGGCGAGGGCGCGGTCTCTTTGAAAGAGGTAAGGTCGAGGTAGTCAGGCTGGCAGACGGCGCACGATTGAGTCCTCGTACCTCGTCTGTGCAGCGACCAGCATCGCCGACGTGGAGAGCGGATGTTGTGAGTGCGAGTTACGAGTGCTGCTCGTAGATAGTGGCAGGAGACGTGGTGAGCGCCGGCCGTGATACGCCCAAATGACGTCCGTTTGTGACCTAGTAGTTTGGCAGTTGTTGTTCCTGAGGGGCTTGACGCAGGGCGGTGCAGGGTTAACGACGCCCGACTTCATGCGGGATGGTCACTTGGACACTCTGCTGCTTGGATTTATCCCTCATCGCGCTGTCGATGCCTGACTCGCTCTCGCACAGACCCAGAGCTGACGCCGTTGAGTTGGCCAGCGTCGAAGTCCTTTGGAAGGTTGCACACAAACTGCAAACAACGACTCCTGATCCTCGATCCAGACTCGCGAAGCCCTCGATTCCAGACCCGCGACTATATTGCTGCCGCGGGACCAAACAAAAAAAACATCGTCTCACACCGGGGTTGGACATCCCACCCGCAAGCGTGGGATGGTCGACACGGGCGGGCGTGGGTGGTGCAGCCGCTGCATCCTGGGGGCTCTCTTTAGCTGGTACTGACCACTCTGTGATCCCAGACATCCCACCACGGCAAAACCCAGCGCTCTCCATCATGCTCTCGTCAACGTGCTACTGATTCAGGTACGCGACTGATTGGCGCGGGATTTTGACATCACACGAAGCGATGGGCATCATTTTATGGAGCATGACTTCACTGCTCTTCCTACGTACTCGTCTCCCGGACACCTGAGCCGCTTGCTGTCCTTCCCTGCTCCCCGCTTACCACCTGCATCGCCGGCGTTTCTCTGCTTCGCCAATCATGCCTGGCGGATCGTAATAACTTCGAGCGTATGTTGACTTCTCAAGACCATTGGGTGCCTCAGAAAAACTTTGAGGCTGCAAGTCCTGCCCCGGTGCCGCGGGCTCGCCGGGAGTTGCCATGCCGCTTGTCGAGAGCTTCGTCGCCAACATCAAGGGAGTGCAATTGTGTTCGACTGCCAGTTGGTGCTCGAACCATGGACAAGAAGTGTGATCAGAAGACAGACAGACAGACAGGCAGGCAGGCAGTGGGACGGAAAAAGACGTGACAAACTGGTAGGTACTGGCCCCTTGCTTTTCCAACGGCGACGGTTCCTGTTTTGTCTCCTCAAGGGAATCGCCGCCTGTTTGCTTCTTCAAGAACAGCTACAATACGAGATTTCCACCCCGGCTTCGTCTGACTAGCCCGCCTAGATTCATCGAATTCCCGCAACTCTTCAGCTGCCAAGGAGGCTGAGTAACCTATTCGGTGTTCAGACAAGGCGGATGGGACTGTTCAGCACAAATCTACGGATCCACCTGCGCAGTAGTACCCTACCTACACCCCATATCGCTCACAGGCCCACCGAAGACGCAAACGGCCAACGTCAACTCCTGCAGCATGGGCTTGACATGAGCATACACAGCTTGACATGCTGTATGGCTGCATAGACCTTGTCCTGAAGAGTGCCATGTGATCCATCACACCACAATTTATTTGATTCTGCATGCCGCAACCGCCAACAACTGTTTGAGAAACCCACAACAGCGCAGAAGCGTCTGTGCAATTGTTTTAGTGTTCGCCTTGTACACAACTACATGTACATCTTCACAATAGCAGTTCTCCATCAGGCAGGTTTCACACAGAACGTGGCTACTATTCCCGCTCGCTATACCAAACGAGAAAGAGAGAGCCCCTGTTCAAGACCGTTGCCAATCACCCAACGCGACTGCTACCCAGACAACGCGACTGCTACCCAGACAACGGCCATTCGTGTTCTTCCTTGATTCCGAATAGTCGTGGTGGTCTCGAGGTAGCCAACGGCCTAGACGCCGTCGGCGAGGCTTGATGCTCAAGCGCTCAACATGTTTAAGTATCTGGTCTGTCCAATATTCACGTTTGGCACTGACGAACGACAGCGGCGTAAAGATCGGCATGGCAGCGCATGTCTTGGGCGATCTCGTGTCCGAAATACATGGAGTAGGTTATAACAGGAGAACGACCAATGTCACTCGCGCGGATGCGATTCACAAAGCCAGGGGGAAAAGGTTCTAATGTCAGGAACACCTCACTCCAATTGTCCAATGGACATCGTATTCATTCTACCCAATCAATCGTGTCTCGTCATCGTCTCACTTCTTCCACAAGCCCATTGGACTTCCAATATTCTGTTGGAGGGCCGCCTCAAACTTGAGTCGGCGGTCTCTGAGCAAGTAATTGAGGTGCGGCAGCACCAGACCCCAGTCAAAAACCTCGCTGCCGAGGTAGACCACCTCGCGCAAGTCGATGCCGAAGTTGTAGTGGACGGCGTGGCCTCCTGGTAGGTGTCGGCAGAAGACGTTGAAGGGCATCGGCAGGGTCTCGCGGATGCGAGGGAGGCAGGCGTCGTGGCAGTGCAAGTCGGCGTGGAACTCCGACTCGTCGAGCATGGTGATGATCATTGTGGCCGTCGCACCCTGGTTCCAGGCCTTGAAGAAGCTTGCGTTGGCCTCGGTTTGGGTGAGTGGAGTGTATTTCATGCAAGCCCAGCAGAGCTGAAGGTCGCTGGGCATCCAGCTGCGGAGGAGAAGGAGGGTGATCCGGCGTTTGCTGCAGTAGGTATGTTTTTCGTCGCGGCTATAACCGATGAGCACTGTTGGGTCAGGCACGCGTTCCAGTTGTGTACTGTTGGACATGGGTACAGGGCCGCTGACTTCAGGGGTCATGCAAAAGGTGCCGAAGAATTTGTTGGTCAGGGACAAGCAGACGCGGCTGGGTTCGTCGAGGTGCTTCCAAATCTGGAGGAGCAGGTCGTGGTCGATGGTTTCGATCTTGGCTGGAATGTAGCTTTCTATCTGAGTGTCTGTCTCCGTCTCCATCGTTGTGTCTCTGTTTGTATCTTTCCTGGGAACGCTATCACCGAAAATCGACTTGTGTTCTCCAATGACCAAGTTCTTGTGCATGTCGCGCTTGATGAAGCGGCCGTCGTTGCATCGTGGGCCAGAAACCTTGACCAGCGCCGATTCAATGATCTTGATGTTTTGCGTTAGTGGAAGATTCCTATGAGAACAGATGATCCTTCCGCTTACCTCGTCCGGAATCTTGAACACTGCGTACGAGGCCATTTTGTCGAGAACCGCACGATCACTGTCTCTGTGGTACGTGTTGCCGCTGTTCCGCCAATTTCAGTGTCAGGGTTATGCCTCTGTGATGTGCACACTATGTTCGCTAAGCTTATTGTTTTGAGGCGAGGCGACGGGTTGATACACCGGTTGCAGCGTATACTTCACAGAAAGTGAAAGCCGGTGAACCAAAGGACGGCAGTATCGCGGTATGGTTCCACTAGGAGGACATTGCTGGTGCTGTGTGCCAGCAAGACAACGCTAGACACACAACAGGAACCGCCCATCCATGGCTGCCTCTGAATCAAAGCACGCACGTGTTTGATAGACCTCAAAGAAGTGCAGGCGCAGGTAAGTACAACATGTCGCAAACTCTGTGTATCGTGGACCAACGATCGTGATCAAAGGAATGTCTTGGGAGCTGGATTCAGGCGATGCAATATCTCCCAAACATGTTCGTGAAACCCATTGTGGGCAGCATTCTTCCAAGCAAACTCGCAGATATTTCGTCGTCATTCCACACCAGTCACTGGTGGTGTACAGCCGGACAGATTTTGTACAGTACAGGCAGTCGCCGACCCAACAACCCAGGGGTCGTCAGCCTTGTGTGCTGAGGTCATCCTGTGGTCTGATGGAGGCATCCCCAAGGTGCATATTTCAATCGGCCAACTTGAGCCATATCACCATCCACAAGGCTGAGCTCTCGAAAGGTGCTATTCTGAGGCGTATGTGGGAAGGCCAGACGAATGCGAGGCATTTTATCGGTGGCAATGTTCATCAGATACGTGGAACTCAGGGGAGATCGACGTTCAATTGAACTGCAGCGGTCAGAGGAGAGCCAAGTGATTATGTCAGCCGTTTGAGGCTATTTGGCGGAGGATCTCGGGGAAACATTTTTCCATGCCGCCCCGAAAGACGGAACCAACTGCGACGCCTTGTTGTTGTTTCGGGTCAAACTTTAAGGCGTCAGTATCTGCGATTTCACGCCTGCGGCTGATAAGAGGAGAATAACAAGAGACCAGGGAGAGTCAGACCCGGCATCACCAGAATATCCCGGAGACAACTACCCTGCAGTATATACGTAGTGACCGATTCCTGTCGACCCGTGGACAGTTCCACCGGCTGAGGCTGTCTCGATCTGCGTCATTCCATTGTATTGTATGATCGTCCATACCGTCGCCTTCTCGGGTCCTCAACCGGGAACATAACAGAGTGGCCCAGCCGTCCGAAGATTTGTTTCCTCAACCTTCACGAACAGTTGAATCTCTCGCTCACATCATTCCTCCTCGTTCACCGTCTTCATACGAGTCCTGTCCACACCACCGTCGCCGTCGCCGTCGACGTTCTTCCTCTCAGCGATCCACACTCGATCATCGACATTCCCCACCACTTGCGACGACGATTCTATTCTAGTCACCACTTTTTCTCGCCTCATTCCATTACTTCACGGCGTCGAACAAAATCCCGCACACACACACAAAACACACAGAGCCTGCCGCTTGCTCGCCGTTGAGCCTCGCTACCTCCCTTTCTTCCTCGGCCAACATTCTTCACCGTGGCTTCCTCAAGTCTGCAGACGAGGATTTCCGATTCGTTGCAAAGCCTCTCTAGCCTTGTCGAACCCCTCGTCGACCGTCTGCCACCTGAATTCCACATCCATCTTAACAACACCCTAACAAATTATTCGACCGCCTCTTATACGACCCTTGCCGCCGTCTCCCTCTCCCTCCTCTTCCTCGTCTACCGGTTTCTGATGAGCCGCTACGGCGACTACTATACCTATGGTGGTGGGCGCAATGGAGGCTCACCCTACACCAGTCACATTGTCGATCCCTACGCGCGCAATCTTTCGAGCCAGTTCGAATACATCGACGCCGATCATGACATATTACACGACGCCCATCGGCCAACAATAGCAAAACCCCAGGACAACACTCCTTACGATGACCCCGAAGCACCTGATTTGATCCTGGTACGGTACATGGCTTCCGTCATCCCGGTCCAGTTTCCCGCCTACTCGATTAGCGAAGAAAAGGCGTATGTTGGCCAGTTGCGTGAGGCCGTGGCACGGGCATTGTCGACGGATCCCAGAAGAGTCAGGCTGGTCTACAAAAAGCGCGATCTGAAACATGATTCATGGCCATTGAGAAAATATAACATGAAGCAAAACAGTGAGGTGGCCGCCATCAAGACTGAAGGTGTGCTCGACTACAGTGACCGGGACAGCCCATCATCCAGTGATCAGGAATCGGTAGCAAGTCAGAACCCTCGAAGACGGCCTCGCGCCTTATCATCGGTCAGAGATCGAAGCAACGACCAAATACCTACTCAAAAATCGCCTATTTCGTCGAATTTCCTGTCTCCTAATGGCCATATCCCCTCTACTGGCGACTCCGAGAGACAAACTCGTGGCAGTCTAAGGCCTGATGTCGACGACAGGACATATCGGCGAGAACCGTCACGAACACGTGGTACATCACCACGCCCAACTACGACGGCAACACCGTCAGCCCCGTCGGCCAGAGTATCTGCGGATCCCAATACTCCTCTGGGGAAGTTACAGGCCCTTTCGGATACCTTCCATGATCAGTGGCTACCCCTCTGTCAAAAGTTTATCTCCAATCCCCCTTCGAATCCTCAGGATAGGGAGAAAGAGCATCGCAAGTTGAGCGAGAGTATCATGCTACATGTTTTGCTCAAGGCGGATGCCATTGACGTTGACAATTCAGAGGCCAGAGCGTTCAGAAAGGCCCTGATCAATGAGACTAACGACACAATGAAGAGATTGGATGCGGTTGCGAAAGCGTGATTGGTGTCCCTGGTATTCTGGTGATTGCACACACGTTACATTTTCTGGCACCAAAGAAGGCTTTATGACCATGGAGGGATGATGGTATACTGGGACCGGCTACTTGCATTGATACTGGCGATATTGGTTGTTTGCATGGGTGGCTCATTCAGCATAAAAGATGGCGGCCTTGAGGGCGGAATTGCACGGACTGCAACTGCATAGAATGTTGCTGCTGCTGATGCTGTAGTGGTACTGACACAAATATTAATTCATGCACTCTTTGCCATACTACATCGATTCAGGTACATCAGGTAGGTACATCCTACGGCATCGAAAAGTAGCTACCCGCGATGGATCTAGATAGGGGCTCTCGAGGATAATACCCTGACACCTTCCTTAAGAACTGCCTGGCAATGGCACGCGGCTCGAGTCACCTAATGTAATCAGTCGCCACAACAATGATTTTCCATCCAGCGACAGAATGGAGCCGTTTCGATGCTTCTTGTTCAACCCGAATCAGATCAACGAGGGAAACGCACCGAAGAGATCTATGCATGTTAGGTTGCCTGCGGGACGGACGTACAGCCTTACAGGTGCTTCAGGTCCCTGGTCGCCAGCTGGCACCCTCTTACTGGTGAGATATTTTGATGATTATGCATCTTCAACACTGACAATGATTGTTGCTGTCTATTTGCTTCGAGTCTTTCGTTCTCTTGGGCGCCTTTGCAAATGCGCGTTGACGAAGTACAAACTCCAGCTTCATGGCCCCCCACACACAGATGGTGAACATGTCTCACAGAGAGCAACATGCCGCGGCTTCAACCCGTTCAGACCGCCAGTCGAGAAAACTCCATCTGGAAATGGCTGTCCGAAGAGACCTTCCGCCGACATGTGGTATCACTGTCTAAGAAGTCCCACCAAGTTCCTATCAATCCAACACTCTGGCTCCCTTCGACGGACGATACTCATTACCACGAGACTTGGAGCGGTCTCCGACACCTTTCCATCGAAATGGAAAAGAGGCTCGCAGATGACGTGGCATATATACTCGCTGCAAAGGAAGGCGTAGGCAGCGTTACTGCGGTGTGTGTCGAAGAAGAGCAGGAGGTAGAAGGTCTCCTTCTTCGCATTTCAGCCAACGAAGGGGTAAACCAGGACGTCCGGGCTGGTCTTGGTCATGTATGTGAGCTGTTGATGTCTTGTGCGAAGAATGGTAACGTATATCAATGTTGCTTGCTGGCGATCTCCTCATGGGATGACAGAAATCGCACGAACACAATGCATCTCGGAAGTCTCAGAGGTGGTCCTCAACCTCTGTCACGATCGAATCCAAGACCGCATGCACTTCTTTCTTACAGGGATCCCTTCTTTCAGACGGGGGAACAGTTTGACGCTCATCAATTCGAATGGTGTAAACAATGCCTTTGAAAACTTACACCGGGATGCTCGGAGTCCAGCTGGCAAAGAGCTTAGCAGAAAACTGTCCGGCCTTGGGAAAGATTTCGAAGTTTTTCTGCGCAATTCTCACAGTCTGTCTCGGGTGGATCAGATACGCGAATTACAAATCATTGTTAAGAAATGCTTCTCCATCACTACGAGTGATGGAAAGATGTCATTCTGGGACGCTCTTTCTTCTGCAGGAATTAGCCCTGGGAAATGGTTCAACAACAAATTCATCATGCAGATTGATAAACTAGCTGCCTACCACAGGATACCAATCACCATGGCGAACGACGTTCGCAAGAGAAGTTCACGAGCTCTATTTGCAAACATTACACCGTTCTATATCGAGCCATACGGATGTAAGTCGACAACAATATCTACAGAAGGAAAACGTGTTGCCTGTCATGTACATGCAGAGGTACAAATGATCACACATTACCTGAAGTCACCGCCACGCATTCCACCCAGGTTCATCGGCACAAGTAAAGCTGCTTGCTTCCTATGCCTTCTGTTCATCCAGTCACACGGGCTAATGAAGGTATCGGCCATTCACGGCCGGCTTTATGACCAATGGACCATTCCGGATCTGGCCGACTACAGTCCAGAAGCCATCACGACACTCAGGAATGTCATCAAACGTATGAACCATGAATGTAGGCGTCTCATCAAAGAGAGCCACCACGTACGTGATTTTCCGCTGACCAGTAGACAAAATCTCCGAGAGCTTCCTCAGTATTCGCCGGTATCCTCAGTCATGTCTCGGCCGATAGCGGCTATGAGTGAAGCACCGAGCGGTCGCATTGGTGTTGTAGATGGTGATGATTATCAGACGCCGTCTGAACCTACTTCCCCAGCTCTCATATCAGTCTCGCAGCCACCATGTTTGGATGAGCAAGAAACGGAGTCGGTCGTGAGCCAGGCATTGTCCCAAGCTCTTGTTGGAAGGTTCCACGTCAATTCTGACGTAGCAGGCGATAGCAATATGGATCAGAATGTCAACGAGCGAGAGGTCAGCGAAATAACCAACAACGTGTCGGAACCATTGTTCCCACTGCCGCCGGCAACGATACGTGAAGTGCAGGTCCAACCAGATAACCCACAGTACATTGACAGTATGCCTGGTGTTGATATCACTGTGGAAATCGAGAGTCCGTCAGTCGGCATGGTCACCTTTGAAAAGGTTGCAGTGGGTGGAATCGAGCATGTGGTCAATCTGGTCAACATCGAGGATTTGAAATTGGGAGATGAATTGCGTTTCGAGAGGCCTGAAGATCAGGATCAAGTTGCTTTGCGTATCAGCAAGAGGAAGAGCGAAGAGTTATGGGTCTTGCGATTGCGATGGATATGATGACTTGTACGTGGTACAAACTAATAACACTTATGAGAAATGTATACCAACATACAGCGACAGCCTCGGCACCACGAATAGATCTGTACAGCATTATCTGGAGTCTAAAATACTTTCACCAGTCCGACCCTCCGACCCTCCGACTCTCCGATCCTGCGACCTTGCGACCGTCCGTTGTCCACGCTGTTATCGAACCAGCGATCCATGCCTGAAGGAAAGAAATCTGCTAATCGCTCAGCACGCCGCTCACTCTTCGCCGAATCGGCCTGATTAAGCATGCCGAACACCTTGAGTGCGGTCGTAGGGCCTGGTAACAGTATAGACGTACACGGTAGGTTCAGCATTCATATAAATAAGGACCATACCGGTCATGGTGTCTGAAACGCCAGTTTACGATTGCATTGTCATCCGGGTCAGTTTCGGTGGACAAGCCCTGTTACTAGTAGATCCTGTCGTGGACTTTTCTTTCAAGATTCCTTTTTCCCCGACGAGTTCCTTACGGGGCGTGGAGCCTTACTTTCTGAGAAATGGCAAGGGACGCATTTGACCCTGCACAAGACATCCCGAACCTACATGGCAAAGTCGTTCTTGTGACCGGGGCCAACGCTGGGATCGGCAAAGCAACAATCCGCGCCCTTGCCAGACACGGCCCGGCACGAATCTACCTCTGCGCCCGTCGGCGCGAAGCGGCCGAGACCGCAGCTGCCGAGCTGAGAAGCGAATGCCGGTTCGACAGAATCCACATTCTGGATCTGGACCTGGCATCTCTGGACAGCGTGAAGAAATGCGCGGCCGAATTCAACGAAAAGGAGAACAGCCTTGACCTCCTCTTTCTCAACGCCGGCGTGGCCAGCACAGCTCCCGCCCTGACGCGAGAAGGCTACGAGTTTCAGTTCGGGGTCAACCACCTGGGCCACGCGCTTCTCACACAGCTTCTCATGCCCAAAATGCTGCGGACGCGGCGCGACGACCCGAAAGCAGATGTGCGCGTTATCGCGACAGCCTCCAACGCCGCGTTTGCCCCCATGCTCCCCAAGGGCGGCCTGGCCCTGAACGCTATGCGTCGGCCGGATGCGTTCAGTCCCATCGGTCTGTACGCTCACTCCAAGCTGGCCAACGTCCTTTTCATCCGCAAACTCTCCCAGAAGTACCCGGAGGTCCTGGCCACCGCTGTGCACCCCGGAGTGGTCAAGTCTGACATCTGGGGTAAAGGGGCTGGCGGGTTGTTCAGTATCCTGTATAGGCCAATTGTGTGGGCGACTTGGGTCGACATCGATCAGGGTGCAAAGTCTCAGCTGTGGTGTGCTTCGGCGCCGCTCGGTGGACCGAAGGGAGTGGAATCCGGACAGTACTACCAGCCAGTTGGAAAGATCAGGTTGCTCAAGGGCGCGGCCGCAGACCAGAAGCTCGCCGATGAGCTCTGGGAGTGGACCAATAAGGAACTCGCCAGTCACGGCGGCAAAGGTTGGCCTGCGGTGTGAGGAAACGACGAGACTTCACCTGGAGCGGTCTGGATCTGCACCGCCGCACCAGATCTGACGAAGCGGGTAGATAGATACCCGATGTACTCGTCGTTTTGGTATAATATCTGGTTTTGAAATAGGGCCGGCTACAAAGTTGGGCAATCGGCTCTCGAAGCATACCTGGAAGGGAGGGTGGTCTAGATGCTTTAGGTATCTGTGTCCCGGGAATCTATGGATCTATCGATTGTGGGAGAAAGGAGGTAACGGACGCCAGGCCAGAGTAGAAGTGCTAGGAAGTCGTGGATGATACCAACTTGAGCTCGGATATGCAACGAGGGGGCGCGCCGTCGATGTTTCCTCCTGCTTCTTCCTCTCTCCCTAGCAGGGTCTTTTCGTAGACGACAAAATCGCACTCCGCCACGAGCTGGTCGACGAGTTTGGGGTGGCGGCGTCCGATGTCGTCCTTTTCCAGAAACGCGTAGCCCTTCCTCGCGTACCAGCCCTTGAGGAACTCCTTGGACGGGTGCTTCCACTTCTGCGGCACCAGGATCTCCAGCTGGATCCTCCGCGCGCCCTTCTCGAGGGCGACGGCCTCGATGAAGCTCAGGAGTGCGTTCCCGATGCCGAGGCCCTTGTACTCGTCCAGGACGGCCAGCATGCCGAAGTCTGCGACGTGGGCGGATCGGAACCCAAGTCTGACCGCGCCGACGATGACGGCGGGGTTCTCTCTCTTAGTCTTCTGCCGTTGCCGCCGCCGCCGCTCCTCAACATTGGTGGGGTCGTCGTCCTCGCCGTCGTCCTCGTCGTTGCCCTCGGAATCGTCGGATTTCACCGCGACTATCATCTCTCCCGTTTCGATGAAAGACTTGACTTCTTCCAGGGACGTGCGGGCGCTGTTCGTTGCCCAGAGACCGTCCGAGGCGTGCAGGTAGACGGCGTTGATCACGTCCGTGATCTCATCGAGCACGCGTGGCCGCGTGACGATCTCCGAAGGCTGCACAACCCGTATTGATATCGAAGGGTGAGCGACGAGCGTGCTTGTGTACGAGGCGAACGCCGGGACCGTCGGCGTAGTCGTATCCTGCCAGCAGTCGTTTTGGCCGTTGTTTCTGTCCATGCTGGAGATTCCCTTCAAGCAATATACATGTACATTTACATTACATATGCCCCGAACCATGTTTTATCCCTTACCAATTCGTTCGGGAAACGGAGCAAGGCCGCTTTACTCGCGCCCTTGACGGATGCCCTGCCGAGCACGGGAGAGCGTCGCGGGAGCCACGGCAGATGACGGGGGAGTGCGCCCGAGCACCGGGGGAGCCACAGGGGCGTGCTGCATGATGCCCATTCGCAGAAGCCAATTCGGGCTCAGGCGTCCCCTTTAGTCCTCGGCTATAATTTACCTCCGCTCGGATCATCTGGACGTAACAGGCACCTCCTCAGCTTCTGTCTGATAGACGTTCGATCTGACCTTCCAGGTCTTTTGAGCTTTGTGAGCAAGGGCTTCGCCATACTTGATCGGCCATTTCTTGCTCTTTTTCAGTTCGATCGCGGCGCTTGCCTCGGCGCACCTTCCCTCCCTTGTAGGTGCCGCGTCCCGTCTCTAACTAGCTATTATGCAGGTTGTGACCTTGGTCCGTAACACACCGAGCTACTTTATTCTCCAGGCTAACTGCGCTCTTCCTTTGTTTTTAGCCCGCCATCTCATGCTCCTCTTGCCGACCTGAAATCTCTGTGAATGAAAGGGGTTCCTAACAGCAATTTACTCCAATGCACTAGTTCCTCTGTTCTATCTAGGAATGATGACTTTGTTTCCTTCGCAGTGACATGCCCCCCCGGCTTCGGCGCGTTGCGAATTTTATCGTCATATGGGGCGGTTTTCCTGCGTAGGCTAAATTTCTTTCATAGAAGTCAAGTGAAATGCCCCTCCGGCGATTCCCAGAGTCTGGCATTAGATGGTCTGCCTCAATCATCGCCTTCTGCCAAACTCGATCATTTACCTTGCCACTGTCAAAATGCGTCATCCAGCCCCGACACATGCACATTAAGTGTTTATCCTCGTTGAAAAGGTCTAATGACAAATTTTTGGGATTTCGTCGATAGTTAGGTGAGGAAGGGATCTGCTGTGTTGAAATTTGACACATGCTAATAGGGACGTTTTGAGGGCTTTGAGTAGGAAGGAAATTTGTGCTGGTGATGATGATTTTTGCACCTTTGCCCAGGGTGTCAACAACTCCCAGCAGAAACTCAAAGATTTCTTCATTTTCATTGCTCCGGTCCTGATGACAGCATTCGATTCGATCGATAATGATGGCTATACGATCAATTCTCGAAATTATGCGCCCCAAAAGATTGCATTATTGGTTCAGTTCGACCGCGGACTGGAAATTGTGAAGGAGGAAAAGGTCGGGCTCCTCGAGGATCAACGTCGGTCGTTGTTCAAGAATTTGGCATATGAGGATTTTTATTAGTGTTGCGGGAACATATTGGTTGACTTCTGATCTGTCGCACATGATAAATGTGACAAGTTCATTCTGGACTTGAAAGGCCTGGATAGTGTCTAGTGCGAATTCTGTTACCCAGGAATCACGCCCACGGGTTGGACCAAAAATGGCCAAGATAGAGGCGTGCGGTAGACAATTCCACGCTTTGAGGTAGTCCAAAACGCCGTTGACTTCCCAATGATCTTTCGGAGAAGTACGAAACTGACGGCCTTTCCAGAGTTGGATTTCTTTATCCATGGTCACGTAGAGGGGTAGCAGAGTGTTTATCAACACGCTATTGTGCTGACGGATCTGGAGCATATGCATTCCTAGGCATAAAAATTTAGCACAGTGTGAATCTATCAGGGGAAATCATACTTCTTTGATCAAGCTGCAGTGTATCAATGGACAGTCTGAGACTCGCAATCTGAGACTGCATGATTAAGAGCTCGCTCGCAACGTAGTTCACTTTTTTGGCTTGATCTTGCAGTAGGTCATATGTGTCGATTTGCAAGACACTGCTGGCGGCTTGCATGAGAAATCTCAAAGTTTCCCAGGCGGACTCAACTTCCTGGAGACCCTTTCTGAAATCGTACTTTGTGTTCGCGGTCAAAGCATCGACGATTTTTGCTTGAGGACGTGAGAATGACTGGTGCTTTGGTGCGAGAGAGACTCACATGTTCTGCCAATGGCGCAGTATTCAGTTACGAGAGCAACGAGCTCTAAAATAGCAATGTATACTTTGGCCAGTTGCAATCGGATCTTGTCTGGGGAACTGGAGACAGACACGTTGCATAGGTCTAGACTATCGGTGACCTGCACAAGCCTTGCAAAGATTTCAGACACAGCTTCTAATTTCTCCTGTTTAAGTACGATAGTCTAGCTCCTATTAGCTCTCTCTTTGCGGCTAGATTTGAAAGATATAATTGACCTTGGAGATGACCATCAGACATCCAAGCACTACCGCACATTCTGGGTTTAGGGATGTAAGCGGAGCGACCAAATCCCTGATGTTGAATGTAAAGCGCGCAAGGCTCTCGACAGTCTTCGGTAGCCACTTGAATCTAAGCCATTCATGTCGCTGTTTAGCCTGATTTGCTTTGTCCTCGATGAACGATTTTACAACCTCAGCATTGATGACTTTGAGTTCGGGTTTGCCAGGAATTCTAGACAATAACACAGCGTCAGTCGGGGGAAGTATGTTAGCAAGCTTTGCGCTTGATTGTCGACACTGCCGGAAAGCCTCTTCAAACACACTGCAAAGTTAGTCCAGACTCGTCCCAAGGGATGGATTCACATACGAATCATCGGTGCCTGGTTGGTATCGCCGATCTTGTGAAGGTCGAAAATCTTGGGTAGTAGACTCGAACGCTCCTCCTGACATCATGCGAACAAGGTATTGAAGAATTGTTGGTCAATAGCTAGTCTGTTTGTTTCTCTTTGTTGTGTTGACCAGCCTGAGTATGATCCGGATGAGGCTGGGCTGCGCACAATGGTTGAGGTCTGCAGCTGAGTGACGTGGCAAGCGAAATGGTTGCCTAATTCTCATCTTCCGAAATGGACATCGTCGGATACTCTTAGCCTCATCAAAAGCTTCGCTAGAGTTTGAATAAAAGCCTTTCATGAGCATTCAGAGTACAATTCAACGCCATCTTTCTATAGAACGCACAAACGAAAATGTCATCCATAGCTGCTGAGAATCACGCTACGCAGAAGCCCACCAGAAGTTTGCATTGCGAGCAATCAAGTTCAACAGAACCAACGAGCAACGGTGAGATTTGCCGAAACTGCTCAGAGAGTTCTGCATTAAGTGGAACAGTCACCGACGGAAAGCTCAAGCAGCGTATCGGTAGACGGAAAGAGGAGGGCGGAGAGGTAAAATGGATCAGCCAGCTGCAATGGGAGGATGAACAAAGCCAATTGAAGGCTACAAATGGTTTCGGCAACTATGCATTTTGTTTGGACGACTCAAATGACAAGAATAAAATTGTGATTTCCTCTCCAGCTCTTGTTGGGGTTGTGAGGCGAGTCATTCCAGCTCGTCTATTCGAGAATGTGTCCGACGGCGTCACAATAACGGAGCCGTTTTTACGAATTTTGCATTTCATTGATGACATGCGCAACGACATGGACCTAAGTACTGCTGATCCTCAAGAATCGGTGGATATTGATGCTCTAGAGACATTTCTGTTCGAGTGCCAACCACAACATAAAGTCGCCCGGGGCATTCTGAGCATTACACAACCGGCAATGGTGAATTTCGAGATGATCTGGGCACTTTTCAAAGAGAGCGACCTAATAATGGTCACAGACAAGTTCAAAGAAAATAGAATATTCAAATTCACACATTTGGAGGAGAACGTTGACCGAATGAATGGACGACCTGATGTTTGTGTGAAGCTAGCAATTTGTGGATGGTGCATCGCTTGGGACATCGAACAAAAGTCCTTCTCTCAACAGAGCTACAAGTTCTACATTGAACGTTTTCTAGGATATCGCAACGTGCGAACATTGCCGATATATCCTCTGCGCTGCGAGGAAGAAAAACGAGGAGACTCATTGAAGGCGGAACTGGAGAAGCGAGGGCGGAAGTGGGCACATTTCGCTTCCCAAGCTCCTTGCTGCTTTGAATACAGTGGAACTGCTATCCATACAAACGACTATGGGACGAGAATCTCAGAGAGCGTCACGCAGGTGTGTTAATCAATGACTAAGAGGGGCTTACAGCTGATGAAAAGCTAGCTGAGTGGCCGGATCATAATCGACCACGTTAAGGAAGTCTCCTTGCGAGGTACATTCGACACAGAGGTAGATCATAACCGCAGGGCGATTCTCGAAGAAAAGCTTGATGATACACCGACTGGCACTTCCAAGATGCTAACCAAAGCTGAACATTACTTGCTGTGTACTCCAACGCTCACATGTTTCCATATCGATAGCTGGAAACGATATCACATCAATATCAATAAACTAAAACCTGTTGTGTGGGTGAACAATGCAATTGAAAAGATAATTATCGAAGAAACTAAGAAGAAAAGGCTGAAACGCTTGGTGAAAAACTACATAAGTGAGGGAATGCGAGGTGGAGACATCATCACGAATAAGGGGCGAGGTTTAACCATCGTACTATATGGTCCCTCAGGAGTTGGAAAGACGCTTACTGCCGAATGTCTCGCAGAGTATGTGAAGATGCCATTGCTTCCCTTAAGCGTGGGTAGCTTGGTCTCCGACGATGATCTGATTGAGGAAAACCTGCGCGAGGCATTTAACAACGCTAGCCGATTGAAAGCAATACTTCTGCTCGATGAGGCTGATGTGGTGCTGGAAGCTCGTTCCTTTGAGGATGTTCGTAGGAACGGGATAGTATCAAGTAAGTGTATCCTTGATTGAGGACCCTTGCTGACTCAATTACAGTTTTCCTGCGACAACTTGAGTACTACGACGGCATCCTGTTCTTGACCACGAACAGAATTACCACGATGGATGTCGCATTCCAGTCTAGGATCCAGTTGGCCATTTCGTACGAAGAGCTAAGTGCAGACACACGCGAGAAAATCTGGAGGAGCCTCCTGAATACAGCAATTGTAGACGTAACGGAATCTGAGAAATCCGCCATCGAGAGAGCCATTCCTGGGCTTTCGCAGGAAAAGCTGAACGGCCGGCAGATCCGCAACACGCTGACGCAAGCGAACTTGTTGGCCCTAGATGACTTCAGCAGTGAATGCAAAGTCCAACTCAAGCATATCAAAGAAGCAATGTACGACACGCTACAGTTCCAAGCCTTTTTCGAGGGGGCAGGGAGAAACCAAGTCAACAAGCCTCGAGTCTGGATACCGTTCACACCATCACAAAGCGGTGTCTAGTCATACAAGACTCAAGAAGACACGATACGGGCTTGTAATGATCTGCAGTAACTATGGTGCTGAATGAGGTGATATGCAAGATAATGCAGACCGGATTAGACTTGTCACTAACGCACACCCAAATAATGCGCAGAAGGCTGTCCAGGGTGTCTTTCCTCGCACGAAGTTCCGAAGACCGGACCATCCGCTCACAGAACGTGCCAATCATCCTTCATACCTTACTCAAGCCTTGTCTGCCGTTGTGATGCTCGGCGAATTCCCAACACCCCTCAGCCCCTGCGCCTTGCAAATACAGCCCTGCGGCGCCTGCTGCTCGCGAAAGCCTTACCATCGACGATGGAACCCTTACGATCCTGGTTCACGCTCCCTGGCAGTGTAGTTTGAGCGTCCTCCCGGGCGTCGAGGTTGCGGAAACAAAACCAAAAGGCTCAAGATAGCGAAGAAGCTACGACACGTGATGTTATGAGCCGCGCGATTAGGACGCCTGGTGCGCCGGGAGCTGTTGGCCGGCAGTACGTATGCGGGGACTGTGCGTTGTCTATACTTCGAGTCTTCGTAAGATAAAGCTTCCTCAAACTGAGGTAAGCCTGCTGAAGCCAATGTAGTAATTGAACTCATTAAAGCCGAGTTCGTCCATTTTGACAACAGCCTCCGTACTCTGCCTTCAAAATCCCCAAGTGGCTCTCAAAACGTTCATGGTGAGCGCTTTGGCTGGCTAATTGACCTCTAGATGCCAGACGGGTGTCCTGAAGTGCCCGAAGTAGACCCCGGGGCCTTAAATGGCCCCTCTAGATTATGGGCAGAACGACATACCATGCAAATGGAGAGATTGAATTATCTAGACAGCAACCTGGCTAAAACGAACGGGGGTATACGTCTAGGCAACTGTAGCTGAAGGTCTAACGTGGACCCCTGAGCCCGAACTGGCTTCTGGGGCTCGGCATCGAGGCAACATTCCCTCAAGCTCGGGCTCGCTCCCCTGGCGCTCACCTCGCCCCAGTAGTGGCTCTGTCGACGTCCCCCTGTCGGCAATTATCCCCGTGACGCTCTGTCACGTGCCCTCTTAAAGCGGCCGCGCTCCCCTTCCCTGAACGAAAATGGCAATGAACGAAAAGTAGGTTGGGGTGTATATACGTATGTGTACACAGTGAAGCTCGAACTGGCTGGAGTGGTCTGGTCTGGGAGGACAACCCGCTGATGACTGATGAAAAGACAGATAGAGAGAGAACCGAAGGCCTGAAAGAAGTCAACACGCTGGTGGCTACCTAGGTTAGGTGGACAGCTAAGTGTCGGCGGAAGGAGGCGTTTATCACCTTACCTCCTGTAGAAATATCTACCTACGTACCTCCCTACCTATCACATCGATGACTCCCTCCTAATTCAGATATCGTACAAAGGGGATCACCGATTCAGGTTTCGGGCCCAGGAGCTTGTGTGGTACTCGTAGTGCTGGGTACCTGAGGTCGGGACCGGAGATACTTATCGCCGAGACTGCTGCACTTTACGGAGTACTACGAGCATCAACACCCATGGAGACAGACGGAGCCACAAGGAAACTGGGGTTCCTATTATTACTACTCGTACTCGTACTCGGACTCGGCCTCGGAACGACGATGTGGAGTGTGAAGTAATTGCGCCTTAGTATTTACATACTCGAAGTGCGTCATTGTGCAGTCTGCACGAGCCGAGAGTCAGTCATCATGGATCAATTTCAATATTACTACGCGTACCTAGACGACGACTTGAATACAAGTAGGACAGACACACACGGAGAAGAAGAACAAACGGGTCCAAGAACTGAAAAACTCAAAGACGACGACCACCAACACCACCACCGACGCCCTCGTCATGCAGCAGGACAACACTCGAGCGGGACAGTCGGAGAACGCTCGATCCGAACATGGAATAAGTCAGTAAGTCGGGGGCTTGTTCTTTGTTTTTCTCCCCTCGTTTTACCTGGCCTTTCCCGTCTCCTATCCTACACATCCAGACTCGAACGGAGAACGTCTGGCCATGTCCCGCACCGGACTATTGGGTGGATGGGCATCGAACCATGGTCGTGGACCGTGGTGGTGATCAAAACTACCATCCTTCGCTGATGCTATACCATATCCCTGAGACATTTGACTTTTGCCACGTACTTGTTATGCCAAAAGTCATCGGAATTACCAATAACTCGATAACGTCCCTGTTTCATTGCCATGTTTGCTTACCCGTTCGTCATCTTCGCACAGAAATGTAATTGACGAAACGAAAGAAAACTACGGGACTAAATCTGCCGTCGATCGCGACGTGGGCAAGTACATCCCCAAACGGCCCAACACGTCCACTGCGGGGTCTTCAGGGTCTTCTGCGTTCTCGTTACCTGAGATAGGAAGCGGGAAGAGCCTAAGCGAGAGCGTCGATGAAGCTCTGAAAGATGCGTCCGGGTTGGCGGCCCAGGAAAAAGCTGAGAAGATCAACGAGTCTGTGAAAGTCGGGGAGGAGGGTGATATGCATGATTTGGCGGCCAGGAAGCAGCCTTAAGAGCCAAAGGCAAGACAAACGATCACGACGAAACTCAAATGGGAGGGGATGGGCGACTATTCATATGGGGTTCTGATAAGCAATTTAGGACAGAGGTCTGATCGTCTGATCGTCTGATCGTCTGATGAGGTATAGTTGACGGGTCGGGAGAAAGTGCCCAAAGACTAAACAGTGGATAAGATTGGTTTGAACACCAACAAAAAGCAGTAATTCGACAGGAATCCAAACCAGAAAGGAGATTGAATATTGCATGTGTATATTCCTGGTAGGCTTCAAGAATTTGTCGACGTTGATTAAAAATATATGGTAACCGTGCAATTCACTCTCTCATCGTAAGGTGCCGGAGCGACGCCGCCATCGAGGCCAAGCAACTGCGACAGTATGTCAAGAGCATCATCTGATTTCCTCTCGGTGTAGCGGTGTCGTTTGAGGTGTGGTGATGGCAGCACAGACTCGCCCAAACTCTTCCCCTCCGAAGATCAGTCACTCTCAGGAGATTTGGTTCACGAATTGTCTTTAAACTCGTCCAATCTGGCAGAGTTTTGCTGTGTAATCTTTGCTGGACCGCCGCAGGGGCCGAGCAAGGACACGGCCATAAGTCTCTTCTAGTGGCGAAATATATAGTCGAGAGCCAATCAGGAGTGACAACTGCGTTCTTCACGGCTCTGAAGGGAGGGCAAATCAAATATATACGAGCATCTTCGCGATATGATCTTGTCTCAGGACAGCACCAAAACTAGGACATGATGGTCAGCATCGACAATTCACGACGACGACAATCCGGAACCCTGAACAGTGTGTGCACAGAGACATGCAAGGTCAATGTCCACAGGCGAGGGCGACGGTGGCAGTGGTGACGACAAGGACAAACGTACCCATAACACTTTATTTGTGCCAGTAGCCGATCCGAAAGCAGCACCAACTTCTCGACTTTCATCGATGCAAATCCCCGGCATGAAGTGATCATATGCCACACTTGGATCGGCGTGACCTCGAAGCTTTCCTCGACGGGCAGAGCACTCGACGCCTCCAACAGACGACGAAGGATTTCTTTGGGAGCGTTCCACGAATGAGAACAGATGTCTTGTGTAGGGGCGACGGCATCGCTGCACAATAACGCGGCGGTAGCTGTATGGACATGGCCGGCTGGAATGGTCTGAATGCCATTCTCGTCTGGCTGGTGAATGTGCGGGAGGCATGGTCTTTCGAGTCTAAACGACAACAAAATACGACGGTAGTGTCAGCGAATCAGCCAGTTCATGCAGATGAGGTACAATGTCAACAAAAGCAATCACGTACTTTAACACAAATTCCATCCCAACGACGACAAGGTCGAGCTGTGACACGTATTCTGAACCAAGGTGGAGAATCGAGTTCGTGGGAAGCTGTGAAGAGTCATATTGAACTTGTCCATCTGCTTGTCGTTCACCTCGGGTGTCAGCCATGATATTCTCTTCAGACTTTGGCTACGATCGCTAGTACGGGCAGCCAGACAAGTATGATGGAGTTTGGGATAGGAAGATTGGGGGTGGGTGGAGCAAAGAATATCGGATCTCACCTGTGAACTGTTGACGTGGATACCAATCCTGGGGGGATTGTGTGTTGTTCGTATTCTCGCTCTGCAAGCTGACTGGACTCAACGGCCATTGCGACTGTGGTTGATGATGGTTTGACTTCGACTGGACGTGCATCTGCCAGGGTTTGTCGTCCTGGCTTTCAACCCACACGACTGCACTGCCACTGTCACTCCCGCTGCTGACACTGCCATATGGGGGCTGAGACTGGGACGATTGCGAGGGTGATATAAAGTCGTTGCTGGCGACGTAGGTGTTGCTCTCTTCTTCCCAGTTATTGCTGTTGCTGTCGTTCCGGTCTGCTCGAAAGTTGTTCTGGCTAGGATACTGCGCAATTCCGTTCCTCTTGCTATCGATCACGGCCAGTCGATTGGTCGCTTCGGCAAGTTCACGCTGAAGACGACCAACTTGAGTCTGCAAGTCTGATTCTGACTTTTGAAGTCGGAGAACCTGTTTTTCGAGGTTTTTGAGATACAGATCTCGTCGTTCTCGAAACGTTCTATCAACAACAGACACACGAAATACATGTCAGCGAACGATCAAAAAAATGCGACACCAATCACCGAGAATGCGGCGGCATGGAGACCGACTTTTGCGCTTTTCGTAATTGTTCGCGACGATTGGCGACACGATCTGGATTACACAATCAGCGACATTATCTGCGGCTAGAGCTGGAAGCGCCCGCGTGAGGAGCTTGAACTACGCGCGTACCTTCGACGCTCCGAAAGAGTGGGCGAAAGACATCGGGCATTTTTTTCGTTTTTTCGCTGTGCTTTCTGCGTCGACGCCGGAAGGGGTGGGTGAGATACGGTTCCGTTCGCACCACGTCCAAGCGACACCGAATGATTCAGCAGACGAGAATTGTCTGTGATGTACTCGCAGAACAGGCAGTCGGTCACTTCCGGAGGAACATTCCAACAATGAAGATAAAAAGATCAGCACAGTGAGTTGCAGAGGAAAAGCCACGAGGCGACAACAAGTGCGGCTGATACGAACCACCAGGATCTGACACTCTCCTTTGCCGACTCCGCTTTCTGGGGATTCGCTCGCTTCGTAGGGGCCAAAGGTTCCTGGCGACGTTGCGGTTGGCCAATCACATCTCCCTGGTGGCTCCTGAAGCTCCAAGTCTGCGACACGTTTGAGGAAGATTCAATAATCCAAAATTCCCACGTTGGGTTTAGCTTCGTTGCTGCAGTCCACCGCGACTAGAACGCAACGAGGAATATGGGATTGAGTAATCGTCGAGGGGAGACTTGGTGTCAACCGACACTTTATAGCCAGTCGACGCTCCGACGGCTTGGTAATGTCGCAGAGTGAAATCACTCGGCATGTTTTCGCGCCGGCTCAAACACGTTTCTGTTGATCGAAATCAATAGTTTCCTGATCGAACATCGCGCAAAGATAGCCGGGTCGATGAGCCTGTTATAAAAGATGGGTTCAGCCGCCGATATCTGGGAAGAGAACGCCATCTTCCATTCCAGGCGAATAAGAAGAACATCCAACAGCATATCTTCTGCCTTTTCTTCGTACTGTCCGAGACAGTAGACTTGAACGAACAAACAAGAGAGAATAGAAGATGGTTTCCCACACTCGTTTCCTCCTCCTCGCCTCGCTGGCTATCACTTCATTTGCCGCTCCATCTCAACGGTGGAAAGGACCACCTCCATCAGGCTCAGGCGACTGCGGCAAGGCGATCTACTTGATCACAAACGACCAAACAAACTCAGTCGTCGCTTTGCCCATTGGGGCTGATGGCAAACTGTCGAATGGAAGTGTGACCGCAACAGGGGGCTCCGGATCGAACAGCATCGACAGCTCCAACGGGATGCCGGCAGCTCCAGATGCCTTGGTCGCGCAGTCATCCTTGACGAGAGCTGGAAATGTGAGTGCGCCTGGTTCTCCATACACCAACCGTACACCATGCTGACACGTTCGTGCTAGAAAATTTTCGCAGTCAATGCAGGTAGCAACACCGTATCAATGCTGTCCTTTGACCCTAAGAATCCCACATCCCTCAAGCTGGTCGGACAACCTGTGTCTCTCCCAGGACAGTTCCCCAACACGGTCGCGGCATCGGGCAAGAACAATCTGGTGTGCGTCGGCACGACAGGTCAGGTCAATGGAGTTTCGTGTTCGACTTTCTCCGCGCAAGGACTCAGTGCCATGGATGATCTGAGATCGTTCGACATCAACCAGACGACCCCACCGATGGGCCCATTGAACACCGTTTCGCAGCTCTTCTTCTCCGAAGACGAATCCCGTCTCTTCGCTACTGTCAAGGGAGACCCGACCGTCAACAACACGGGCTTCTTCTCAGTGTTTCCGGTTCAGGCTCCAGGGTGCAGTGGCGTAGGGACCTTGTCCATGCAAGACACGCGGAGCTCGCCTGCAGGTACCGCTGTCTTGTTCGGATCTAAGATCATCGAGGGAACCAACAACGTCTTTGTCACGGATGCGTCATTCGGCGGTGCAGTACTCTCTGTCGACCCGGCGAGCAACGAGGCCTCACTTGTCGCAAACCAAACCATCGACGGACAGAAAGCGACCTGTTGGGCCACAATCTCCAAGAAGACAGGCAGCGCATTCGTCACGGACGTTGGGGTGAATCGTCTGGTGGAAATGAGTCTGACTGATGCCAGTATTCTGTCCACCACAGACCTCTCAGCCAATGGAGACCCGGGCCTCATTGATCTGGTTGCGGCAGGGAACTTCATCTATGCTCTGTCTCCCGGAAACGGAACCACGCCGGCTGCCGTCAGCGTGGTGGATGTGTCTGGAGGTCAAGGGTCTGCGAAACTCGTCCAGCACTTCTCCCTCGCGTCGATGGGTGTGGGGAAGAATGCTCAAGGCATGGCTCTGTTTTGAGAGGTATTGGTGAAGCATGGAGGAGAGTCATTATTCTCCACCCCAAAAATTGTTCCTTGTAAATAGAATCTTCTATTCATTTCAGTTCGTATTGACGAATTGTTACACTTTGAGTTCCGTATTCGAAAGCGCATGACTGCCTATTCAAGTCAGAGAACACTTTCGAATCTGTCTGCCTGCCGTTATTCACTAAGCAGTCTGAGGGTGGTGTGCTCTGTTGCCCAAGTCAGCGAGGTCACCACGAGTCCGCACAGTGATTGTCTTCCTGAGGCCTGAAACAGAGGTCATGCGGAAAAAGGCACCGAGGTATGCTTGAAACATTTATCCGTGTGTTACACAGTCAAGGATTGAAGATGGCAAACATTCCACACATTTCGCGGCGTGTTTGTCACACACACACTTATCTGTATTGACTCCAGAGAGCAAATTCAACTCCTCAAGATGCTTGTGGCCTCGTCTTCATCTTTACTCGGACTTGGGATTCAATTCCTTGGGTCTCTATGACTCATTGGTGATCTTTGAGGGTCGTGCCTATATATAAATATGTCCGGCTGCCCATATATTCTCGTAGGGTCAAACCACGGGTGGGGGTGCGGCGAGTGCACGACTGCTATCACGGTCGTCTTCCTTCCTAGAGTTTTCAGGATGCTCATGGTGTCTGGGTGTCTTTATGGCGCAGGTTCCAGCATCTCGTGACCCACATACTCACACTCCACAACATCGCCGACGACCTGCTTGGTCCCCTCAAGCTGATCTGGCTTGCCGAGGTCTTTGAGAACCTAGAGGCCCTTAACATCGAGCTCAGGCAGTCTCCCTACGAACAGGATCGATTCGAGCAGATTTGGCAGGTATTCTTTCCCTTCCTCAGCCCGCGCGGCTACACAGGGGAGCTAGCCTGATGGGGAGCGAGTTCACCCTGGGCCATTTCCTATGTGGCAGTAGTCCCTCGAGTGGATGAAATTTGCCTTCCAATCACCCTTTATGAGACACGCCTGGCCGTCGCGTCCCTGAAGAAGTCCTTGCCTTTTTTTCAGAAGAGGCTACATCGGAACTGTGACGCAGGCAGACTACCCTCGAATCGATGAGGTCTGCAGCCGCATCCCTCCTCCGGCGATCCAATTCAATGGATTCAAGAGGATCAGTCCACAGATTACTGAGAATCCAAACCCACTGAGAGCATGTCTTAGAGACTATGGTGTCTCGATGTGACATCGTCCACGACCAACCGTCGGATGAAAGTGACGATATTGCATCTCAAGCGGTCTCGGCCACCACCAGACTGCCCACAGAAAGCCAGGCGGACTACACAGAGCGCCTGCGCGACGCAGCATTCTGGGAGGTGCGTCAAAACACCGGCTCGAGAGTCAACCAAGCATGTATAGTCCTCGGCATCGACTTGGTCAAAAAGCTACTCGATAAGAACCCGACTGCTTCGGTTATGATACTCACGGGATACAACGCGCAGGCCAGACTGTATCAGGTTGCTAAAGAACTGGATGTTGTGGCCGCGCAATTGCCCACGATTCAGGACGCCCTTTGCCGACTTGGAGGCCATATGACGATGTGAGCGACCAAATTTTCAAAACCCATCAAGTGGCAACCGCCGTTATGTGGGTGAATGATTTGAACCCGCAATGGAATGTAAGAAGTCTCTCGCAGTCATCTTGACTGCCGAGGCCGATCGCGCCACATCCTTTTCTCCACCGCGAGACCAAAGCCAATTCGATATCTTCGTCCAGGTTTACTTCCTGTTGGGCTATCTTGTGTTCCATGATGACATTCTCGAGGAACTTCTCCTCTATCTCCAGCGATACAGATTCTTCAAGCACGAGACCTGACGACTGAATGTCTCTACAACTACTGTTCAAGAGGTCGCCGTACGGTTGAGCCCAAATTACCAACCCTCTTTCAGCTAATCCTGCGAAAGGTGGTGTCATGTGATTTGAGCTATCCCACGGGATCGTCTGACTGTCTCGATCACTTGATAAGACCAGAGTCGCTGCGTTTCAAGGTCAACTGGCGGCCTGGGACGAAATGCCGACAAACTGTTTCCTTCGGTTGTCGACACGGTTGAGGAAGAGGACGATACCAGCAACCTGACTGACGTTGCGTCCCAAAACAAAGCAGCGAGATCTGTCGATCCTGAATTTCGACGCCAAGTCATCTACCTACATCTTCATCTGATGACGCGGGCCAGTTTACCTGCTCTCTTTTCAAACGCTCACTCAAGATTGGCTTCCCATATATACTCCTGACCACTCAATATCGCATGAGAGAACGAGACGGGAAACGAGAGGGAAAATGACACGGAGAGCGAGAGGCCAAATGACACGGAAAATGAAAGCAAGGATGACCCGAACAACGAGTCAGGGCGCGAGACAGAGAACGGCTCTCCTGTTCCTGACAGCAGCAACCTCACTCCTAGGGCGGTGAAGGGTATGACATCGAGAAAGAGACTCCCGAAGCGAGAACCACCGAAAACGCCCTGAACCTCTCAAAGGACTATTAAACTCAGAGTGCCAGCAACTCCAAATCGATAATGAAACTGGTCCGGACGGACTGCAGCAGATCATGGAAGAACTGATCGAAAAGGGTCTACTGACTCAACACCACTTCAAGCCAATGACACTGAATCGGCCTCCGACTCTGAGGGATCCACACGCACATGAGTTACGCGGTCAATGCAGCCTCGTCGAATCATGACATCCCAAGAGGCAATAAGCCTAGTGGACTGCGCTCTCGCCGACACCATGAGCACTGAGACATTGAAGGCAACTTTTTACCTCGATAGACAGCCTTCGGAAGAGTGACAAGGTAGACGCCAACCCTCTAGTTGTACAGCGTGAAAGTGATCGCCGTCGGTGGGAGTTGGAGCTCGAGTTTCGAAAGTACCCTTTCAGTCTTTGAAACAGAACTTTTCATGATGCGAGGTACTTCTCAAATTCGATCTGCGTGGTTAACACTAACGCTCTTCAACAAAGTGCTTCAATTTGTTGACGAGCTATTGGTCAGTCCAGATCCTGTGCTGGTTGAGTTCCACGGCGTCATTCACTTCGCAGTGGGTGGTCGCCACACACGGCGTCATCCACTATGCCTGGACGGGGACTCGGTTGGGCAACTTGCGTGGAGAGATACATAATGGTGTCAACTGTCGCCCGGGGCGGCTTGGTTCATGATGCTCATGTCTGCGATAGTGCTCGATGCTGTCATTTTGGGGATGCAAAAGCCAGCCTTGTTGGCAGTCAAGAATCTTCTGAGAACCTGCTCATATCGAGCCAGCATTTGAGCGAGTTCGGTCGTGCAATCAAACACCAGGTAATCGGCCAACCATCAACCAAATATCAACACAAATTGATGCGGACCGTGGCCACTATCGTCCATGCCACTGGATGGGCAGCTGTCACAATCTGGGTCCCGTTCAAGCCTCAGAGTCATTGTCCAAGTGTGGATTGTGATTAAGGAGTGTTCCTTTGAAGCAGATACGATTGGTCAGGAATATTCTGGCCTCGCTACCACTTTTACTAACCTCCCCCTTAAGGAAACTTCATTCTCATCAAATGGGCCCTTGACTCCAACGGCAGGTTTCATGACTCCTTCCGCGACGACAACAAGCAAATTCAAGTCCATGATGTCAGGTTCAGACAGGAGAGAGAGGAGAAAGAGCGTGTCATCGCGGAGAGTGGTTTGGAGGCATACCTTGATATCCTCGGAGGACGTTGCAAATTTTCTAGACTGTGAGGTTTGGCACTTACGTGGATAGGAGATGAAGGTTCGACAACCATACAGCGAGATTCTGAGAGCAGAGCGGCACGTATTGATGCCGCCCTGGCCCTGAGGTGTGCAGATCGCCAGCAATGGCCAACCACCCAAACGCACACTGGTGCGAGAGAGTGTTGAAGGAGCAACAAGCCGGCTTGCCCCGACCAGTCCTGATGGATTAGATTGATGTCGATACAGACTCAGTCAATAAGCAGATTAAAGACATATCAACAGAGGAGCAGGTTGACAAGGAGGAATACTACGATGAAATGCTCGGGAAGAAGTGGCTCGAAACAGCGCAAGAGCGACTGGAGAATTTGGGCCGGGTGGAGATCTCGGCTAACCAAGAGCCCGATGAAACCCTGGCTGTCGATCACGATCGTGCTGGAACGCCAGACGACGGTGAGTTGTTGAGAGATCCAGGCGCAGATTATGTTCCTGGAAACGGTGAGTAGAAAAATGAGCATAATCGACGCCGTCGCTTCCTGTTTCTCCCGTGTGCAAGATATATATACATTATATCACCCCCAACTGTGGTTTATCCCTTACTATTTTCGTTCAGGAAAGGGAGCGAGGCCACTTTTATCGGTGTGCACACCCTTGTATCTCTGACGAACATCATGACGCCGTTGTTAAAGTGAAAAGGATCGGAGGCGTCGGAGAAGGAATAGTAAATCGGGTTGGGCAGCGGGCCACCAGTTCAAGTCACGTTGCCCACTCCCACGTTCGTCAAGTTGGCAAGGGTCGACTGGACCTCGGGAGCTGCGGAATTGTAAGAGAGGTGCTGTTGTCGGCGGGTGATCTGGGTACTCTGGAAGAGGCGGTGAGCAGGAAATGGTGAAGGTACCACCTGTCACTGACTTCAAGAACCAGACAAGCCTACTCTAATCGATGGCACTCAAAATATACCAAAACGGCCCAGACTCAAGTTGCCACGATGGATTCGCTCGACCAAGAAGTAAATTTCAGGTCTACACAGATATCGGGAGTCTTTTTATTGGCGCCTCAGCCTCAGCTGGGACTGCGGCTTCAGCCTGACCGGGTGTAATTGTGCAGCTATGTCGTTGCCTCTCTATGCCGAAATGCGATCCATTTCATATTTTGCTGGCATCAATACCTCAATACAATCATTTCTGAAATTGCGGTAGATTTGCCATGCCGGGCAAAGAACTGCGCCTGCTCGCCCTTGACGGCGGCGGTGTGCGTGGCCTGTCGTGATGATTCTCGAATTGTTGATGCAGACCATCGACCCTGAACACCCTCCCAAGCCGTGCGACTATTTCGACATGATCGCGGGAACCAGCACTGACGGGTTCGTTCGCAGAAAATGTACTACCGGGATGATTGCTGACGTGTTAAGCTCGTGGCCGTCATGCTGGGCCGCCTGGAGACGACGATCGAAGAATGCATCGACGCGTACCTCTCCCTCTCGGACTAGATCCTCCAGAGGAAATCCCACCAAGTGACAATGGAGGGAAAGATCCAAGGTCGGTTTGACTCGAAGAAGCCGGAAAAGGCCGTCAAAGAGGTGGTGAGAAAGAGGAAGCTACCAGAAGACACATTACACAGAAGCACAGGAGACGGGGCATGTCAAGTCTGGGTGAGAACTAGAGTGGTCGAGGGCGGCCATACTGACATTGGGAGATATGTGTGTGCGACCAGCAAAGAGACCAGCAAGACAGTGTGCTTGACAAGCTACAAGACACCGCGTGGCAATGACGACCTCTTGAACTCGACCACGATCTCGGAGGCGTGTCGAGCCATGTCGGCGGCGTCATCATTTTTCGATCTGACCGCTATCGGACGCTATGGTGAAGAATCTGTATATGTGGTTCATCCAGTTCGATTAGTTAAACCCATAGCCACTTCCATGATCACTACCAAACCAACCCCTCTCATTTCGCGGGCACAACAAGGCGTCGCAGCCCTTGCCCAAGGTTGAAAGCAGCGCGATGGCCCCCTTTTGGAGGCAAGGGGCTGAGGAGGATCGACAGCGAGGAGAAAGGGGAAAGATGCCCATAGCATGGATAGCGTTGACACGATCGTCACAATAGCGATTTATGGCGGAGTCCAAGAGGAGGGGCAGCGCAAGCAACGGCACTATGAGAAGAGATCGGCATCTGGGCCATGCTCATGAGCAAAATCTCTCGTGGAAATACCAGAGAACAGAGTAGAAGGAGTACGGGTTTAATCCGGTCAGCACCCAGCAATATTATTTGGCCAATTCCGCTACGTCCCAACAATCATGGAGCGGGAGGGCTACTTATGATTCTTGGTAATAGGAGATTTATCCTTCACACCATCGCCCTGGTGAACTCCCGGAGCTCGTGGGGCTTCGAGGAAGGCGTCTCTTCCCTGACTGTTTCCCTCCCCCAAGAACCGCTCCATGGGCGTCTTCCCAGAGTCATTACTACTGGACACAGCGTTCCACCCCTGGGACAAGCCTGCCGCCCACGTCTGCAAGTGTTGATGGGTTGGACGCAAGGCCATGGATTCAAGCATCGCATTGAGCTCATTCTCCAGCCCTGTCGACGTGTATTCACCGTCGGACCTGATCACGGTGCTCGGAAGTGGGTTGTAGCGAGCGTGCACAGGTGTCATGAGATCGAAGATGGGCCAGTGCAGCGGGCTTTGTTGGCGGACCTCATTTGCATGAGTAGTCGGCAGATTGTTGCTGCTCGCCATATAGATCAGCTTTCAGATTCTAGAGTGGAACAAAGGGGGAATGCAGAGGGCGCGCGTATGGAAGCATACCGATCCGCCGGCTGTTGTATGGAGTGCAGTCCGACCTGGCGTGCTGTTGGATCCATGTCAAAAACTTAACGCCAATGTTTCCGTATGAACAGGAGTTGAAAGGGGGCTCTACGTGTAGCACGCTGACTGAGGAGGGACGAAGTAAAACTGGATCTCTGGATTGAGAGAAAGGGTAACCTCGAAAAAGCCATCTTGAGGGCTCTTATGTAGACAGAGACCATTAGCAGGAGTACAAGCACTGTCCTGCAAAATGCAGACATGTAGCAGATTGCTAGCAACCGAAGACCAAGTTCTACCTCGACTGTCGTAGTAGAGGATGGCGGATGCTGATCTCCAAGTAATTTGGTTGGCGGAAGGCGTCGAGAAACAGAAGACAGCTCACCGCCGACAGCAAAGACTTGAGGCAGATAAGGTGAGGCTGCAACAGATGGCAAACATCGAGAACCCAGGGAATTCACTTTCTGCTCGGGGTGTTCGAGAGCCATAACGTGCACATTGCAGAGTGGCAGTCAATGGGAAATGCAAATTCCGCAGCACACAGTGCAAAACGCAGGAGCCACTATGTCTTGAAGGGCAATTGTGAGTGTACCGTGACATCTTCATGGTGGCGTGAGTAGAACTGCATTTTGCACAGTCAAAGCTGCAGTGCGAAGATTGCACCTGCAAAATGCAAAATCGTTCAAGTTATTTGCAGGCCTGGGAGACTTTTGGAGACGTTTCCTCCCAGCTCCAAGCTGCAGGTGCACAGCCAAAGATTTGCAGATTGCACAAGTGGATCGTTCGAAGGCGCAAACAGTGCAAAGACTGAGGTGGTTGATTGGAATACCCCTGGTCCTGTCCTGGGTCAGCCGCCTGCCTAGCTCAGCCCCCTCAACTCGAACTCGCCATTCGCTGGAAACAGGGCAAATACTTGGTTGCAGCGTTCAATCGGCGACTATAAGTACAGCAATGACTTGCCCGACCGAATTCCAGAATGAAACAGAATGCTCACAGCTTGACGACCGTTTAATGTACACAGCATGGCCAAAGATTGGGAGCCGTTGCATGATGAGATCCGTGAGCTCTACCATGTCAAGAACAAGCCCCTGGCTGAAGTGATGCGCTTGATGAAGGGCAAACACAGCTTCATTGCATCGTGAGGAATTATCGCCTCCCCTTTCTGTCCTCTGGCTGAGAGTACTGCTAGCGAACGATCTTACCGGACGCAACTTCAGAAATGGGGCTATTCGAAATACAGCACCCAGAAGTCTCCCAGGCCATTTGGCAAGAAGCCGGCCGCATCTGTCCGAGGAGTCCAGGTATTCCCTTCGAGCACGGCCAGCGCAAATATCTCATCGAGGTAAGGTGTTGCCGCCGCACCGCTGAAGAATTACGCTAAACAAGACTCACACAGTCTACCTAGCATTTCGACTGAGGCACCTGCCTTCGACCCCAATGGAGGACACTTGCTGCAGCACTTTGATATGCAGACCAACTCCATGATGCATCCGCCAGGTCCTCATTACTCGGACTTCAACCAGGATCTGCCGTTTGACTTGGTCCATCCGGCAAAGGATCATAGTGGGAAGACGTCTCTGCATCACGCTGTCATCGGTAAGAATACCCATCAGGTTCAGACCCTACTCTATGCTGGCGATGCGGTAAATATAAAAGACTATACGGCAAACGATCCACTTCACTACGCAGCCATGGCAGCTGAACCGGAAACTGTCCACCTACTCCTCCGCTTTGACGCTGACTTCAATGCTAAGGGCCAACTCGGCCGCTCTCCTTTGCATATGGCAGTCTCGGCCACAAGCGGTCCAATTGTCGATGCCCTTATCAATGCAGGGGCAGAAGTTTCCAGTCAAGATGATAAAGGCGACACACCTCTGCATCTCGCGGTTGCCCATCCATCGTGCACAGCCCAGGTGCAGGGGCTTATCAAGGCACTGCTACGGGCTGGTGCTGATGGGAACATTGCGAATGCCGCGGGACTTACGCCCTTTCACAAAGCTTTGAAACTTTACAGCCCGTCAAATAACTCTACGGAGGATTTCTCATTACAAAACGTCCTCAGCTTTCTCCAGCAGGGTAGCAGTGCCATCAAACCCTTCCCTGACGGAGTTCTACCCTTGACCATCTATCTAGCGAAATCACCCGACCGGTGGAGTTACAGATCGTCACGGAGCCACAGAGACATAATGACCCAATTTCTTGATGCAGGTGCTTCACCTACAACACCCATGGCGTCCGGAGAGCCTATGGCGCACTACTATTTCCGTAAATTGCACAAGGGATGGCAGACAGATAGGAAATGGGCTGAGAGGCTCTGCAGTCTTGCAAACCCAAGCCATGTAGCCAGCAACGGCAACACACTCCTGCATGAAGTACTGACGCATGTCGGCGCAAGTTCGAACAGGCTCATTGACCAGCTTCTGCGAAACGGAGTGGACCCAAATTGTCAGAATCATGCTGGTCAAACCCCCATGCATATCTTGTTCAAACGAACACGGTACTCACCAACGACACTGCTGCACATTGAAAATGCCATTACGAAGTTGCTGGCTTACGGGGCCGATCCCTGGATCCGAGACGCTACCGGTACGTGCGCACTATACGAGGTCATGAGGAAGGTGTCGAATCTCACCCCGACCCTACCACGGTTACTCCTGAAGTCAGATCTACGATGCAGGCAGCATCGCGAACCAAGCTCAGAAACAGGGGCGGCGAGAACTCGGTCCCAAGGCTGGCCAGAATGGGATCAGGCGACAAGGGTGGAGGAACTGGTCGAGGCAAGAGAACTCATCTTTCGTCAACCCAGTTCCATACCTGGAGATGTCGAAAAGGTCATGCAAATCAGTGCTTACACTGTACTGGCCGAGAAGTTTCTCGACGGTGCCGAGGCTAAATTCATCGGGATAGATGACGAAGCGCAGGAACGCCGCCGGTATATCGCGAATATTCTGCGGGATTGTCATGCGCACAGCATCTCGCTCGACATGCCGTATTACGACAAACTTCTACAACTCTGTTGATGCTCACAACAGTAAAGATGCCTAAACCTTCACCACAAGTAATTAAGTGAGAGAGCGCTCCTTAGGGTCCACGGACTGCCGCCAAAGCACTGGCGCCCCGATGGGTGCATGCTTCAAAGCTATCTTGTCCCTAAAGACATTCACAATACACTTTCAGCAACACCAGACTCTCCACATACAAACTCTGAACATGTTCGACAATGGCGTGGCTTATTTTAGTTGAAGTCACTGATATCGACCGCCCAAGCAACGCCATACGACAACATCGACTCACGACTTTTACCATCCTTTTGGCGGATTCGAAGTATACTTGAAGCCCATAGGCAATGAACCTCATACTCAATGCATCGACTCCGCCAACATAGGCATTTTGCGCCATCACATTTTTCCTGTCTACTGTACTCTTTACTTGACCAATACTCGAACGTCTGATCCTCCTTCTCCACGAGTGATCGCGATGCACCTTGCCATCGCGGTTATTCTTCATTTGAGTGCTGCGGGCCGGCATACTGACAATATTCTCAGAGACCGTGATTAAGGAGATGTCTAGTCGACGAATCAACACCGTTAGGACATCTTACCACCCCACGGATCCAGGGTCGGTGGGATGGGGGGGTTCGTGCTTTTTGAAAGTGCCATACTGAAAGAGATCTGGAACACAAAGTTCAGAGATGGGCGGGTCTTGCAAAAGGGAAGTCGCAATTGCAAACGACTATATAGGCAATGTTTCTGATCTGACAAAGATTGTCGATTTGCGGTTCTGGTGTACCTTGTCATAGGTTCCTCGTGGTCGGAAGTATCGGCGACCCCGTCCGGTAGACCTCGAGACCTAGACGATCATTGCAGAAAAGCAAAGCCCGCTTATTGAATGGTTTCTCCTGCTTTTCATATGATTTTGTCTTTCTCCCCTTGTTGGTGACTGTGAAAGCTTAGAGTCGTCGGTCAAATCCAGACCCGATGAGGCTCAATGTCCACCGGTCACCATTCGGCCGCCATCTTCGCTCGTCGCGACCAGATGACAGGGAACCATCACATTTGTAGAGGGGTGTGCGTGCGTCCACGCGGCAGCGGCACGGAATTGTGCCTCCGTCATCTCTTCCACACCTGGCAGACCTCTCTGCGTCGGGTAACCGGTCCATTCTTCCAGCTCAACATCGTGCTCGGTCCACCACCTTGAAGCAGCATTTCCCGTTGCGCCTCTAGAGCTTGAGGAAGTGCTCTTGGATGACGAACAGATGTGGAAACCTGTCTCGCATGAGCGATGAGAGCCAAGAGTGCACAGTCAGACACAAGAACGTAAGATCTACATCCCTGGTACATCTCAATCTTTTTCAACGCCGTCGATTCTGACGACAAGGGCTTTTCTTGTTAAGCATCAACGCTAGAAGAAGCAGTACAGTAAGAGAGAGAGGGAGAGAGAAGGGACAAGAGCGCGAAATCGAGCGAGTGCTTGAAGAAGTGACAGGCTAGTCTATCTTGACTAGTTATCATGAATTAAATTGACGGCGGTGTAGACTTAGTTGATAAGCAGATTAAAAGACATATGAATAGAGAAGCAGGAACGTGGGGGCGGCACCCATGAAGTTCAGCATTGGAGTTGGAAGATCTGAGCATCATGATGGGGAATGAAAGGGGCTTGGAAGTTGGGCTTGGGTATGATAGGAGCTTGGAGGGAGCTAATCGATGAGAAGAGCACCACGGGTGACATTCGAGTAGTGATGAATGGTGCGCTCAGAGATCAGTCCGCTTCCCAGACGTATTGGCTTCGTCACTCTACTACCCAGATGCCAGATACCAGATACCTAGCGGTACCTATCTTGTATGTACCTCTACACGTGAGTGGGTGGGTAATTAGGACCCTGGGGGCTGCGCAGGGGAGAGCGACTGATCTTCTTGACATGGAAGTAAAACTTTCCAACTCGAGGTCCTCATAGTGACTGACCACGGCTCATCTTAGGTGTAAGCGGCAAAATCATCCAAATTTCCCGGCTCACTATGTATCAATCACCCACTTTCCCAGCCGGTGGCTTGATGATTGTCAATTTACCCGACTCGTCCACCTCGACCACGTCGTTGAACAGGTCAATGACAGCCGCTCGAGCCTTGGGCAGCTTCGACAAAACCATGTTCAACATGTCACACTCCGTGACACCGCACTGCTTGCAGACGTCGATCAGCTGTGCTACAAAATATGAGTGTGACTTGCCTTGCTCGAATCGCCGTTGCAGGACTGCCTTTTTCTCGTCAGTGCGAATGCGCTCCTTCTCGTCTTCGGTCAACCTATCCCATATTGGCTGCCTATTGATCTTCTGCATCGCCTCGTACATGGCAGTATTGTCCGCCATCTCGCGACGGCGGAAAACCCTCTGTAAGCCGTCCAGGTTGTGCCATTTTTCAAGGCTCTGAATCGCCGACTTGCTCTTCGAGTAGTTGTCGCTTGATTTCCTCCGTGGACCAACATCTAGACCCCTCAACGGAGGATTCGCCATATGATCTGGTCCCTCCCAAGAGGTAACGATCCTTGTCTCTGAGTGGTGCAACGTTTGAATCAGCGCTTGTGTAAGAGATTCGGAAGAGGTCTCGTTATAGTCCTTAGTTTTGGGTTGCGAACGGGCGGGAGAATGGCCGTCTCCTGCTTCTTCTCCTTGTTTTTTCGCCCGCCGTTGGCTCTTCGATGTGGTACCACCAATGGCCTGGTCTGACAGGTCTGCTATGAATGCAATTGCGGATTTGATGATTCTTGTAGTTGGATTGCATCGGCCGTCAAGATCGGCGCCTTCGTCTAGATATCGTTGAGGAAGGAGGCCTCGTAGCTCCTTTGCGGCCTGCTTCTCATTGTCGCGGCGCCCTCGAGAATAGCTCGCCGTAATTGAGTCTGTATCTTGGCTAGACACGTGTGGTGGAAATGCAGACAAGCTCTCGATTCTGGCACGTTTTGCAGGTGGAACAGGCCGCTCCCCGCTGTGATCTGGGATATCAGAATGTCTCTTTTTACCGCTGTTCATCCTGTCCAGAAGCGCGGTCCGGGTATTGGGTAAATCCGACGTAACCATAGATCTCGTGGGACCAGGCCGGTTTGCAGTTGCCGGTAAATGCACGTCATCTTCGCTGTCGCTCGAGTTACTCCAGTCACCTCGAGTCGCGAGTCTACCGTGGCCCTGTGCGCTCCTGTCCGCGATGTTCTCAAGCTCGCCGTCCTCATATGGTGATGCCGAGCGTTGTGGCGATACAGAAACGGGATTTCCATTGGTAGGTGGTCTGACTGCTTCTCGAATGTCACCTGGACGTTCGATTGGGTCACTTGGGCTAATCTCCAACAAAGGTAGCGTGGCATCTTCTGTATCATACATGGTGGCTAAGTGGCGGGCCGTTGCCAGGGGCACCCAGGTGCTTTGATAGAACCAATGGCCGCCATTGGTAACTCTTTGCGGGCCGCCAGTCTGTACCAGGATCTTACGTCTCATCGTTCCATCTTTGACTCCTATAGCCCTGAGCATTGAACTCGCGTTGACCCAAGAGTCCATTTGATTGCGCATCACCGAAATTCCGTTGATCTTTATTTCAAATACAGGTACATTTGAGCGCGAAATTGCATAAACCTGGGGAGGTGTTTCGCCCGGTGTGGCGGCAGTTTTTGACGGAGGGTGATCCTTCTTCTCGCGATGCGGCCGTGCAGCAAGGGACGGGCTGGCGTTACCTCTCAGCTTTTGGGTGCTGGCACTTCGTGGTCTCGACTGCTGGGGCTCCGGCGAGTGTGGCGGTTTTTGACTGATGGAGATCGAAGGGGAACGCACAGCATTCTGCCATTGTGCGGCCAGACTGGGCGTTCCGTTTAGCAACTCGTCAGACTCTCCCAATAGCGTTCTCTCTTCATATGACACCTCAATTGTATCATTATCATATTTCTGTTGGTCTGTCTCTTCATCACCATCGCCACTTTCACTGAGTTCAAGCCATTCCTCTTTGTCGCCCTTGCCGAGAAACTCTTCTTGCCATTTCTCATCCTCCTCTTGCTCTGTCGTAGGAAACTCGGGAGTAGACCCTCGGCTCGAAACTTCGGGGATAGACTTATCCACAGGTACATAGCGTTCCCGTTGGACTCGGGCTCGAGGGGAGTGCAGAGATGTAGGTGGAGGGGTCCCTTTACTCGTCCTGGCATGGTCAACGAGCTCTACGTCCGTCGAGGCATCTCGCTCTCGTTGAGGTTTCTGTTTCTGTAATGGTGCTGTTTGCTCATATATTTCAAGATCCGACTCATCGTCGTCCGTCCAGCCGTCTCGGAACGCGTGGAATGGAGGCATTGTCGAGGTCTCCTGTCCGCGTGGGCTCAGCCATGAGTTGTAAGAAGACTGCGTCGACCGCAGAGAGGTTGGGGTCAAGGAGGTCTAATACGGCGGGATGTCATTTGAGTGCGGTACTTTGACAGAAGCCACTCAAGTATCATGGGTCATTGTCTCCTGTGTCTCGACACCGGCTGATTCGCCGTGAGTGAAGCAGTACAAATAACGGCAGAATCGTCACCGCCCAGAATTGTTGTCTCAGCCTTGCATGTTCAGCCTTGCGTGTTCAGCCTCGTCATCCCCCGTTCTACGAGCATGACCATTCGCAGGCGCATCCGAGCGACATAGAAGTATCTTGTTCGTACTTCGCCCGATAGAAACTCGATCGCTAAAAGGTTTGGGCTCCCAATAAGTTGACTATCTTTCACGTGAATAATTCCCACTACGAGCTCCAGGCAGACGGCCTATCTTGTCGCGTGTTGTTCTCATCATCCCCAAATGCCTTAGCTACGAATATAGCGGAGGAATAAATCAATAGTGAGTCTCCTTAGTAATCGCTCGAGTCTACTATGCCAGGTGTCAGTCCCACTCTGAAGCTCAGTTTATTGACCCTCGGGAGCACCGGATCCGGGGTAGAGCAATTGCAAAAGAACAGGTGGTCGCCGACCTACTGGTCCGTGGTGGTCGATGGTGGGTCTGGCTGGATGATTCGATCTCGCAAAGAATGATAAGGCCATTCTACATTTAGGCGGGGAGATTTGGTTGTAAAAACCTCCCACCTATCAGTACATGTAGCAGCTGTACACCACTGGGTAGTGGTCACTGTACTCCGTGCACCGGGCACCGTCCCTGATAGTCTGGGACACGGGGAGAGTGTCAAGGTCCCACAAACCCACAAGGCGTCCCGCCTACGCCCACACTTCACCCAAGCTAGACCCCAGAACCCCGCGAATCAATTACAGCCCATTGCAGCTTCGCACGGTGCGATCTTCCGAGCTTGCTGGGGCCCTCAATGATCTGCCCTCACAGACTAAACCCGGCCAGGAGCGCAGAGAGGGACTCCCCCGACTCTCTCCACAAGTCTATTACCAATTCTCCACGCCGCGGTAATGTCGGACGACGTTCGCGATTATCTATTTACCAAGGGCCAGCACATCTGCCACGCTGTATCACCTCTCGCCCTTTATCTTCATGGTTGGAGATTGTGGACAGTAGCAAAACTCACCGCCTTGGTCGAACAACTCTGGAATACGCCTGAATACACCTGAACACTCGCACACATTATCGCCATCATCCATCAGAATGACTACTGACACCACCACAACCACCACAGACAACGTGTTGTCGAGCTCGGCCCAGCAGCAGCAGCAGCAGCAGCAGCAGCAGCAAAAGGTGGCTTCGTTCGATGAAAAGACCGGTGGTCTCTCGGACGAGAAACACCTCGAAGACGTCGGAGAGAATGCAGATCAAGGCAATCTCACCTACGACGATGTCGACGAGGAACCCGAGTTGCACGCCCGCACATACATAGCTCTCCTGGCTATGTTCCTGCTCAATCTGGTTCAGGTCTTTGCTCTGCAGGGACCTCCGGCAGTGGTACGTAGGAGACATCGCCTGCTGCGACACCCTTTGCTTGCTTGCTTGACTTGGATCATTTCGATCATCGTCAGCTTGACTAACTTACTTGACACCCGCTAACCATGATTTACTTCTTTCTTCCTTACAGCTTTCCATCATCGGCAAGTCCCTGAACAACCCAGACGCCGAAACCTGGGTGCCCAATTCCCTGTCTCTGGTACAAGCGGTCCTCGGACCGGTCATCTCAGCCGCTTCGGATACGTTTCAAGCGAGAAAGTTCATCCTCGTCGGGTCCTCGATAATCTCGTTCGTCGGTGCCGCCATCGCCCCGGGATCGAACGACATCTACCGCCTGATTGCCGCGCAGACTCTAATCGGCGTCGGGTTCGCATCGGTTCCTCTTGCGTACGCCGTACCAAGCGAGATTTTGCCTAGGAAATGGAGACCAAGTGCGTAGCAACGTACCCAACACATCCATTGTTACTCTCCGCAATGTGAAACGAAGCAGACTGACTAACTTCCTGCATTAACTCGCCACAGTGGCTCAGGCGTGGATGAACATCGCAGCGGCCGTGGGTGCCATCTCTGGTCCGTTGATCATCGGCGCTTTCGCTAAAGGAAGCGAATTCGGCTGGCGCAAGTTCTACTGGATCCAGATGGGCCTCTGGGGTCTGACGGCGATCTGTATCTTTGTCGGCTACCGACCTCCTAAGCGACACACACGTCTCGACCATCTGTCGATCTGGAAGAAGCTAACGCACCTCGACCTCCCCGGCATTGCGTTGCTGACGATCGGGCTCTCTCTTTTCTTGACCGGCCTCAACCTGGGCGGCGGTCTCTATACATGGACGAATTCCCGCACCCTCGTCACTCTGGTCCTCGGCATCGTCATCTTGATCGCCTTCGGCCTGTACGAATGGAAAGGGACTCGGACCGGAGTCCTGCACCACGATCTTTTCAAAGGAGGCAAGAACAAGGGTCGCACCTTTGCCATCTGCGTTGGCCTCATCTTTGTCGAAGGAATTCTACTGTTTTCCTACATCGTCTTCTTCCCCGTCATGTAAGATACCCTTCTCACACCCGCTTCGGTTTTTCCTGTGGTCCCAAACCAGTGACGGCTGGGGGAACATTGATACCAATGCATGCCTGATTAGTTCTGTGGCTTACTCACTCTTGACAATAGGTCCTCGAGTCTCTTCGAGTCAGACCCTTTCCTGATAGTGGCGCGATCCCAGCCGTACTGGGTGGCTGGCCTCCTCTCTACCCTGGTCTGGGGGTACAGTTCGACCCGTTTCCGCACCATTCGCGAACCCTTATTCGTTGGCTTCCTCCTCTTCACCGGAGGTATCGTCGGCCTCTGCACCATCGAACCAGGCGACGACTTTAACCAACTTGCCTTTGCTGCCCTGGCCGGGTTCGGCTTTGGCGCGCCTCTCATTCTCGTCATCACGGGCGTCCAGCTTAGCACGCCTCATAGCCTCATCGCAACCGCCACTGCGGTCACCACGTCTTCCCGAGCCGTCGCCGCCACAGTATTTACCGCCATATACTCTGCGTCCCTGAACACCCGACTCGACACAAAGCTGCCAAACGATGTCGGTAAGGCTGCGCTCAAGGCAGGGCTACCTGCGACCAGTCTGGCGGCATTCATTGGTGCGCTCGCCGGCGGCGATAAAGCTGCACTAGCCAAGATCCCAGGAGTGAATCCTGCCATCATCGCAGCTGGTGTTGCGGGGTTGAAACAGGCGTTTGCCGACAGTCTCCGTGTCGTGTACATCATCGCCGCGCCGTTCGGTGCGCTGGCGTGTATTCTGTGCCTGTTCCTAGGAGACATGCGCAAGACCATGAACTATGCTGTCGATGCCCCCGTGGAGGATCTGCATGCAAAGCACCATCATCATCGCGATGATACTCAGGAGCAACAGAACGCCTAGGCGGCGTGAGTGTGTCAATTGCGGATCTGGTGATACTGGTAGGGATCATAGGGGAGACTTCCTTGCGCTTGCTTGAATGGCTTGTCTAAAGGTACACTGAGAAACCCAGCCCAATGCTGGACTGGGCTCTTCTCTTGCGACCAGATGCACGAAGAATTGTAACAACCATGTACCATTCAAGCGGACAATCTCGATATCGTAATGCGTAGCTTGTCCTTTGCTTCAATAGGACAGTCCTGTGATCCGCGAAAGGGCAACATTCTGCATCTTAAGCTGACCGACCAACAAAATATCCCTTACTAGAATGCCGACGATTGACCTTGGCGATTCGATACAAATAGTGGCAAAGGACACCCTATGCAAGGGGCATCGAGACCTTCCCTCTCTAACTAAATCTCGGCAGTTGTGGGATCCAGTGAAATGGTATCGGGGGACTGTTACTGCAATCTCGTGGGGACATGCCGACCAGAAACCTTGTCACCTGGTCATTTGTAGAGTTCATACTTGTAGCTTCTGGAAATGGCTAGCGAATATGATACAAAGGGTATTCTAGACCATAACTCACTCATGCCGAGGTTACCGCGCTGCCCGTGGGACGTGGGTAGTATACCTGACTCATCAACCTAGGTAGAGTGTCTAAAGACCGTAGGTCAGGTACCTAGGTCATAGGGTATGGGTGCAGCAAGTCCCCACAATCTGCGTTGCAACAGGTGCCGTGATGTCTTGTTGGCTTCGAAAAATACCTTGTTCGACCAACCGCTCACTTTTGACTGCTCAATCCACAACCCCTCCCCCCACAATCATTTAAGAGCAACATACTGTACCTCGGTCCTCGAATCCGTGAAGTCAAAGTTCAAGCGTGAGACGACCGTCTAGAGTTCCTTGTCGACGACCGGTGACCGGAACACGTGATGAAGTCCCGGCACTCAGTCCAGCTTGTCGTGGTGTAAATCACGAAATTGCCGAATCCGTGAAGCGGCATGCATAGTGCCGACGCAAAGTAGAGGCCGAAGATCTGATGGTCTGGGTTGATGAAGTTGTTGTATACTCTGTTAATGCTGATGGGGATCTATAAACCGGGATGGGGTGGTTAGTCTGTGACAATGTAGGCAAGGGCGAGGTAGTGATGCCGCTCTCTCTCTCTCTCTCTTTCCACACACACAAAGGGCAGAGAGTAGGAACTGAAGAAAACGCAGGTGACATACCCAGGTGATGAATAGAACTACCGTGCAAAGAAAGGCGAATTTGGCATATTTCCAGTGTATCTTGTCAAACCTTGATGCAGTCTTTGCTCGACTTCGGCCCTTTTCTGAGGATGATGGATCGAGGATTGGCAAAGTGGATGCCATTGTGGTCGTGGTCGTCGTCATTATCATGTTCGGCAAGACATCATTTGGATCCAGTTCCTCGCGTGAGTGAACGGGAACAACGCGCTCAATGGTCACATGCTCGACTTCGGGTTTGAAACTGTTGGTAGACAACGAGGGCGGGATTCGTGAGTCTGTGCTGAATGTTCGCGAAATGAAAGCGCGAGCGGAGATCGAAAATCGCCGTTCTCTGGCCTCGGGCGAACAGACTGCCTCTCTAGAGTCGAATTTGCAGCTGGCAATCTTGAGCTTCTTGCGGACTTGGAGGATTTGCTTGCCGCTCAAAGCAAAGAGACATATCGAAGTGAAGATCATAACCCTTGGTGAACGTCCGTCAACAAATCATGGCCTCGGCGACCGTCGAAAGGTAAAAGTTGAGTTGCAACGTACCATACGGGAATGTAAAATTCCACCAGACGAAGAATGTCCTTCTCCCGGGCAATCCAGCACCATAAAGTGGCATCCCCATACACAGTCTTGCCATCTGGTCTCCAGCACAGAAAGACAAATGCCGGTATAGCTGGTGCAACGAATGCAAAGCAAATGCCGTAGAAGTCGATGGTTTTTAGTCGGTTTGCATTTCGACTCGTGCGGACAGTTAGGAATACATTAAATGCAAGCACCATGACCTTTGAATTGGTTAGCTATCAAGATGTAATCGATTTCGAACAGTCGCAGAGACCGATGAGAGTTGCGTCGTACCAAGAGAGGATCAGTCATCACAAACCAAGTGATGAACAGTCCCTGGGTTTGGCACCATGCCGAATGCCTTCCTGCAGCAACAGGATGTCGCCCCCAGCTGTAAGCCAAACAGCCAAAGACGTTCGAAATGGCTATGGAAAAGGCGAGTCGATTGACAGGTTTACGAAGTGGTGCGTAGCTCAGGAAACTGATGATGGTGAAGGAGGATCCTGCGAGTGATAGACATGCAGTCACCCTCGCGACGATGTCGAGGGATTGCAACTCTGCCGCCGTGAAAGGTTTATGGTACTCGGTCATTGCACCTCTACCATCATTGACTTTCCGTGCCCGGCGTAGTCGACGGCACCTCCGAATTTGGCCAGCCGCGAGCACCCAGCAAGATGAACGACCCTTCTGTAGTAGAGACTGTTGAAATTAGGCTCGCCTCGACGAGCTCTAAGGTGCGGCGAAGCGTGCAGACCAAGCCATTGCATCTAGTCAGGTCAGTGGCATAGACATGGAAGCAAAAGGCAAATTGAGAGGACAAAAGACGAACTGCGGCACTTCAGCTGACAGGAAGAACGGTCCAGATGACCAGCCTCGAGGGGAGCAATCGATGCCGAGTCGACGATCTCAAGCATTGGCGCTCGGTGACGCTCGTTGACGGGCCTCATGCATTGCCCACGATTGGTTTCTGTTGCTCGGGCTGGAAACTCGTAATCGTGCAGAGCGGGCGCTGAGCTGCGGGATTGGATGCCTTTTCCGTGGCACCGACATCTTCTCATCATCCGAAAGCTCCATTCGAACTAGACGGCCTAGGCGAAGCTACCGCCATGCCGTCCGGGGTATGTATATAGCGCTGGCTGCCGAGAGGGTTCGAGATCCCAAGTCATGTACTACGGGCTCAATCTTCTCAACCTCCTCACAGATCACATCGAGTCGCAGTCTATCATTATCAGCCTGAAGTCGAGCAGCGAGGCGAAAGAGGTTCGATGTCTTCAGTAAAGAATCTCGTCGTGTCTGGAAATATAGTGTCCGTGATTCCCGCTTCTCGCAACAACACCGTAATTAAGTGCTACAGGCGAAATGTGCGTTGTCAGATTGGTGGATGCTGACTGAGATACTGTGACGGCTTATGGCCGAACACTGTGTGCCGGCAGATAGATACTTTCACCAGCTCGTACCGTTCCTTTGTCACCTTCTGACACGGATTGCTTCGGAGACTCTATAATCGGCCATCGGCTTCTGGACTTTGGCCAGATACAGCACCCTTGTCCTTGCACGAATAGCATGCTCCAGAAGGGTAGACGCGATCTGCGCGATCTGCCGGCCTGTGTCCAGGAGTACAGAGACCAGATTTTTCACTCCTGTTGAGTAAAGCCTCAAAGAGGTTCGAGAGCTTCCCTGGTGCCGACCAAACAGAGTCGATAAAACTACCTTGACACGGTCCAACGCTTGGTCGACGCAATCATGGAGCCGATCTCGTCTTTTCGAGGACACAGTCGATGATCAAACCCTCTTGGACATGAATTTCATGGCTCCCCCAAGTTTTGCGACCTTCGTAACGTCTCGAAATGTCAGGCTGATTCTTGTTCCTCTACCTGCTTTGCCAGATTGGTATGCACCCTTCTCTTCAACCAGATCCCAATTCACAATATGGTCAGAATTCAAGTTCTCATCGACCGTAATTTCAGAAATGCCATGTAGTGTCTGAGCGTACATGTGTCCTGTCGTGACCAGCAGACTGCACGGTTCCTGCAAGATGCGCCACGATGGTTGTGCCTCTCGCTCTCCCACATCATTCTTCTTGTAGATCTCAAGAACAGTGTGACTGCCCAAACTCACAGTGGCAGTGATGGGAGCATAAGCCGGTCCATCTTCGTGTGGCATAATCCCCTCTCCAGGTTTGTATTCATTGATAAGGACGTGATTAGGCTGTTGATGCGTAGAGTCTGTGAAATATCTACTCTCTTTCAGTCGAGCAACGACGGAGGCGAGGTAGGAGGGTAACGGCGCGTCAAGAAGAGTGTCACGGGCAGGGCCGGTGAGCGTCGAGGGAAGAGAGAGAAGTCTTCTATGGGTCAGAACGGTCCAGCGTGAATCAGGGACCTTTCGAATGTCTTTGATGATTCGGTCTTCCTCGGCGCGATTGATGAAACTAGGGATGTAGTAGCATGAAGGTAGAAGGTCACCTACCGGAGGCATAGTCACGTCCATACCGTTGGCGACTACTGAGGAGACTGAGCAGCATGAAATCGATGTGCGGGCTTTGGATACAGTGCGAGTGTCCCATTCGAGTTGCGTAGACACGCAGGAGGAAGAAGAGGGTTCGACACCCATGTTATGTGATCTCAAGTCTCGTGATTGGTTGCCCTGAGCGCTGACACAAACGAACCGCCCTTATATCTTGTACTCAAGGCATCATACAAGAGGAAATTACATTCGTTGAGGCGACTCTAATCACTGCGGTATGCTCCTTGTTCTCTCTCGCCGGTTTCAGTTCACGTCATGACTTGTGTTAAATCCTGCAGTCCTGTGTTTATCGTCCGTACTTGTTGTTCCTTTCCTCGCTTGATGCGTAACCCCAGCGATGATTTCTCAGGGCGTTTCTCTTTATCGTCAAACACTGGCAGAACGACAACGGCTATACGATGCAGCAATCGCTTCGAAAGAGTTCACACCGTTCCTCTATCCATTGGATGGCCTTCCGTCAGCATATCTTCTCCTTGCTCTGATGATAGCTCCCCGGCTCCCTCGCAAGCGAGCAGTATTCGTCAGGCTCCTAACGTTCATCCTGACCGTGGTACATAGCCTTTATCTCTATGCTCACCGTCGGACACTATCGATGGCCAGTGGGTATGGCATCGGTTTGGTCAACCAATGGGGGATTATCATGGCAGGAGTTTTACTCCTGTTCAATGATCCTGCACACAGCTTTCGACGGCTAGAGATTCGAACACCAAGAGTGGAACACAAACATTCCCAGCCCGACGCTACTACATCACCAGCTCGTGCGGACGCCCCAGCAAAGGTAGACGTGAGGAAACGCAAAGTGCCAGGTATCTATACTTCCACAGACGTGAAGCAGAGTCCGGTACCCGACTCTACGCGGCCCGCAACACAACCCTATGATTTGGTATGGCAAGGATTCCCTCACGGCAAAGGCCTCCTGCACGCTTTCGATTGGGTGATGGACCTCATGACCAGCTATCGGGGGCCAAATTGGGGACATCGTATCCCGACGCTGGGAGGTATCGATGGCCCTGTTCCTCCTGACCCTTCTGCTGGGCTCTGCAAAGGTGGTGGACGAAGCACGACCACAGCTGTGCCGAAGCAGACCCTGCAAACTCTCCGACGCCAGGCCGTTCAAGATTTTGTCGTTGGCTACCTATTGCTGGATTTTTTGAAAACAACAATGATCACCGACCCGTACTTCCTGGGAAAAGCACCGCTCGATTCGCCTACGCCGTGGCCATGGCTGGCGGCAGTCAATGATGCGCTGCCTATCGCTACACGCTTTGTGCGACTGCTCATGTCCATGTCTGGAGTGATCAGTGCACTTACTCTAATATTTAGCCTGAGTCCTCTGTTCTTTACATCCATCCTACCTACTTTGGTGGACATTTCACATTTCACGAAGGCTCCTCTGCTGGAACCTTGGATGTACGCTCCATTCTGGTATCCGCTTACAGCTTCAGTATTTCCTACAGGACTAGCAGGATTCTGGGGCAAGTTCTGGCATCAAATGTTTAGATTTGGCATCTCCGAACCAGCCCGCTTCATCATAGAAAGAACGGGGATTGACAAACGTGGCAACCTTGCGCGAGTGATCCAGCTCCTGGTGGCCTTTGGCTTGTCAGGATCGATCCATGCCGCCGGTAGCTATACAACGTTTTCAATTATCCCGACACGACCCTTCTCGGGGCCGCTACTTTTCTTCCTCAGTCAGGGATTTGGAGTATTGCTACAGTCACTGTTCGTCAATTCTGTCTTCAAGTATGTCCCTCATGCAAAATCACTGCCTCCGGCAATCAGACATACAGGAAACGTGCTATATGTTATGGCCTACCTCTTCTTCACCGGACCGCTCCTAGCCGATGACTTTGCGAGATGTGGTCTGTGGTTGTTCGAACCCGTCCCGATCAGTGTTCTTCGGGGACTCGGATTCGGGCCTGGAGGCAAGGACGAGGGGTGGTGGGCATGGTACCAAGAAGGCTCGAAGTCTCTCGGATGGCATAAGGGCGACAGGTGGTGGGATACTGGCATTGCGATATATTAAAGAAATAGTCGTCCTGGACTCGTCGCATCCACGGCCGATAGAATGACACGAGACGGATAGAATTGAGTAATGGATGTGAAGAGACCGAAAGAGGTGCGCATTGACTGGATACGAGGAGGAGGTAGTCCGTAGGCCGCAGTCTGTACAGAGTACCAGGTCGAAGTCGAAGCTGGAGGTGATAGAGGAGAGTTGCAAGATGCTCGCCACACTGTTTTTTGGCCTGCGTATTTGATGTCATCTGTGTCCTGCCTCAACGGTGACTTTCCATCTGCCTGCGCTACGTCGATTGTTCAATGCCTCGCGAACTCGTTCCTCATCATCAAGGCCTCATCGACAGCTTCACACGAAGAAGACACTATACTGGTGCAGGCGAACGTCTTCTCGCGCACGCGTCTGTTTCACCATCTCGTGGACGCCTACGGTACTCCGTCCGAGTGCTGGCACGGGGGCGTCACCCACGCTAAGCGCATCATCGATTCATCGTCTTCTGGCGTCCTGCGGCCCTGTGGGTTCAAACCCTGCTCCGAGCCCCGGCACCGGGCATTGGGCCTTCACGCTTCGTCTGGAGTCCACAAGCTCACGCCTTAGCCTGCTCATCCTTTCTGCTACCTTGTAGCCACACCAATCTAGTTATCATCCGTCTGTCACCATCCATCGCGACAACCTCGCACAGTCGCATCGCACGTCATCTCTCACGGTACCATTGAATTTGCTCGATCTGTTCTCCATTGCCGGATCCGGGCTGCGACCATACGACGACGACAATCATCGCGAACTGTGCGCCCGACCTTCGCCTCCCAAGATCCTTTCGTGCAAGACGCTTGTGCTTGCTTGATCCCGCCCCGCGTCGCACGTTCTGTACCACGAGAATCAACCTCACCTCGCGGTCGCGCCTTGACCACCTCTAAATCATAGTCAGCAAGCGATTTCAGAATCCTTCGCTTGCTGATGTCCATTCGCTATCTCCTCTGCCTCCGTCATGGCAATGCAAGCGCCGCTTGCCAACGACAAAAAGAGAGTAAAAGTCTATGAGTTGCGCGACAATGACTGGTTCGACCGAGGTACCGGGTTCTGCACCGGCCAGGTCGTCAATGTACGTCCAAAACCACCTTCATCGGCGTGCGCAATGCTGTGCGCCTCAACTTCTACAGACCTCTGCTAAGTTTTTGCCATCAGGATGAACCGCGTATCTACGTGGAGTCGGAAGACCAACCTGACCACATGTTGCTCGAAACGAAAATAGTGAAAGATGATGGATATCAGAAACAACAAGGTCGGATATTCTTATTCGCGCCTACTGCTTCTGTGAGCAAGTCGCTGACGCGTGTTAGACACTCTGATTGTATGGACGGAGACCAATGGCACTGATATGGCACTGAGTTTCCAGGAGGCGGAAGGTTGCGCCGTCATCTGGTAAGAACAGGACTACCCTACGCCGATACGCCGAGTAAGATGCTGACGAAGTCCAGGGAATTCGTACACCAAGTTCAGCAGCAGTTGATGTCGCTACCTGGTACGTTCTACAAGAGTCGGGCCATTTATGACGGCGTACTAATCGATACCATAGATGACGGCCTTTCGGACGATGCACTGGACAGTATTTCCACCTCCTTCACTCTGAATCCTCCCGAGCTTAACAACCTGGACGAGATCGAGCAGAACATTCGACAGGCAAGCATTACTCAAGGCGGCCGAGAAGCACTGGCAAAGTTTCTGATGAAGGAACACTATGTGGAAAAACTTATTCCTCTCGTGGAAATGGCAGAGGACCTGGAAAGCCTTCAGGATCTACATCGGCTGTGCAATATTATGAAGGCATTGATCCTCATGAACGACAATACAGTGATTGAACATCTAGTCACGGACGATATCATTATCGGTGTTGTTGGGGCACTCGAGTACGATCCCGACTTTCCTACTCACAAAGCAAACCATCGACAGTATTTATCGGACGAGTCAAGATACAAGGAGGTGGTGGAGATCAAAGATCCTAACATCAAGCGCAAGATAAGGCAAACATGGAGGCTACAATACTTGAAAGATGTTGTATTGGCTCGCATTCTCGACGATCCGACCTTTGGCGTACTGAACTCCCTGATATTCTTTAATCAGGTCGATATCGTCCAGCATCTGCAAAATAACACCTCTTTCTTGAAGGAGCTGTTCGCAATTTTCAGCCCCGAAAACGCCGATGTGAAGCGAAAGGAACAAGCCGTCCATTTCCTACAGCAATGCGCTGCTATCGCCAAAACATTGCAGATGCAGGCTCGGGCTAACTTGCTCAACAATTTCATCGCGCATGGCCTCTTTTCGGTCATCACGTTTGCGGTCAAGCATCCGGAAGCGTCGATGAGAACAACAGGCATCGACATTCTTGTCGCTCTGCTGGATCACGATCCCAATATGATGAGAGGTTACATGCTAAAAGCCGTTCACGAAAAGAAAACGCCGTTGACCGACACGCTCATCGACCTCCTTCACGCCGAGACTGACCTGGGCGTCAAAAATCAGCTTGCTGATGCTATCAAAATACTGCTAGACCCTCAACCGCCCTCCAATGACCCCATGGGTAACCGACAGAACTCCGAGTTCATGACAAAATTGTCGAGGCCGCCCCAAATGACGGACGCGCAGCAGAAACGTGAGGAGTTTGCGCAAGAGAATTTTGATCGCTCTTGCAGGAAACTTTTCAAGCCACTCAAAGACCTCGAGTTTCGAGAATCCCTGCAAAACTTCAGCTATCAAGAGGTGTCGTTGTTCTCATATCTGGTAGAGATTTTGACTTTTTTTGTCCGACAACACTCTATCAGAAGTCGGTCTTTCATCATCTCCGAAAATCCACCACCTCGAGTCGCCCAGTTGTTGCAGGTGCCTCAGAAACCTCTGAAGTTGACCGCCTTGAAATTCTTCCGGACGTGCGTATCACTGCAAGATCAGTTTTACGCCGCTCAAGTCATCAAAAGCGGAGCACTAGGTGCAATCTTGGGGATAGTGATCGACACCATGCCTAGAGACAACCTTCTAAATTCTGCCTGTCTGGAATTGTTCGAATTCATCAAAAGGGAGGCGATCAAACCCGTCATCCTTCACCTTGGCGAAAATTATCGGCAACAACTTCAAGACATAACTTATGTCGATACATTTGAACAGATTTCCATGAGATTCGAACAGCTGACTGTGGACCATCCTGAGCCTGATCACACACTCTTCAGCCAGGACGATGCCACCCCTCCAATGAACCGTAGCCATGTGAATGGAAGATGGCAAGGTCTCCAGGAGATGGACGCCAACGAAGAAGAGTATTTCAATACGTCTGATGACGAAGAGGACGAACACGAAGGTGATGCTGATCGTGAGAGTATGAAAGACGTCTCCGAACGGATGCAGTGGCACCGTAAGCGAATGAAGTCGGAAATGATGAATGGAGCTGCTTCTCCTATCAGTAAACCCCTGGTTGACTACCCCGACGACGAGGACGACGAGAATACGGACACCAAATCGGCCACACCCCAAACCCCCCCAACTCCAGAGAGCTCGAAAGACGTTTCATCGCCTGAGAACAGGGCAATATCTGACAAGAAGCTGCAGCCGTCACCTGAAATGAAAGAAACCGAATTACAACATCCGCCCGAACGCCTCATCGAGAAGCGACGGCGGCAAGAGGATGATGAAGAAGATGAATTGGGCAAGCTGACAGGAGGGCCGAAGAGGAGAAATTCTTCTTCGAGCGCGACTAGTCTCGGGTCTTCTGGTTCGTTAAAGCGCAAGAAGGGCTTTCTAAGGTCAAAGCAAGCCGCGGACCGATCTGTGCTATCGAGCAACGACGATTCTGAGAATCATGTAGAAGCACGAAAGACGCGGAAGATCGCGATCAGTCTGTCCAATGCGGCGAACAAATCGGATGACCCGTCTACGACGAACACGACGACCTCCTCTGAGCAAAATCAAGCGGCGAATACACAGGAATAGAGCCAGGCACGCAACGTTGTCGTTCGGTTTCTGGCGAAGGTGTTGATGGAGTTTGATGATTCTGTACCATATAAATCAGGGGAAAGGGAATTACACGGAGCGTATTTAAGGCATGATAATGTCTTGGGCTGATATGAACGAATGACGGGCAATGGATGGCGCTAGCTAGGGCTGCGCGATTGGACGATGGTGTTATGCTGAGCTGAGCTGAGGCTCGTGCCCTGCTGCTCGAATCGCCGGCAGCAATGCAGTTTTGGCAGGGGCATACGCATGGAGGAGTGAGGCGGCACCAGAAAACCTGGGTGTGGGTGTAGTAGTAGAAGGGACCAACAGTCTGAAGGTGCAGCCGGTCCGTATTAATGCGAAGCTGCACCGGGCAAGCACTTCTCTACCGTACCTATGAACCATTCTCTGCTTCAAAATTGGTAGTACTTCTCAATCTTTGATAGGAGGACTGACCTGAACAAGTGTCGTTTGAGTACGGAAGCCCAGCACGAGGGCTGTGGACTCCGTCAAAGCCGACAAATGTGCCAAGACAATTTGGTCAGTTTGCTATTGTGATCTGCTTTTGCGGGTGACTGGATGACTGGATGACTGTACTCAATGTTCCATATTCCTATTCGGTGATATCCGCCCGCCAGGAGACACTATTATATATGAGGACTGATCTGACTCACTCCTTGACTGATTCAGCATCGAGAAGTACAACATCGTCGCTAAATTTCCTGAACCGGACGAGTCTTCGATCTCTTTGACCTCGGTCGTCCTCCCACTGCGCCGTTATCTTCGCAGCCCAGCGGGCCATCTGTTGCTCAAAACAAGCTCACAATCACTGCAATGAGTAAAGCTATATCCGAGTACAGCCACGACCATGTTATCCTTCTGTTGAGCACACATGATTTTGAGAATCTTCCGCCGTGGCTGAGCGATAATTTCAACGTCATAGAAGGAGGAACTCACGCAGGTAAGTAATCCATGTCTGAGACTGTTCTTCTGGGCAGCTCCCCACGAATTCGCGCTCGTTTGAAATCGCATAGCTCTTGCGCACATACTTCTTCTTCGTATCTTTGCAAAATTTCCCTCAGCTCATGATATTCATATCCAGGGGGCTCTTCCCGAAATAAGCTGATCATCTTCGCCGATGGCACGTACATCGAACTGTTGAATTGGATAACGGAACCGAAAGAATTCTTCGATTGGGCGCCAAAGTCTCCAGGACTCATCGACTTTGCCCTCACTACCCCGCAAAGCGCACAGGAGACGCATGCCGCGGTCACAGAACGACTCGAGTCGGCGGGCGGAGATGGCGGCCTCGGTATACGCTTCAAGCAGCCACTCTCCGGCGGACGCAAAAGGAAAGATGGGAAACAGTGCGAATGGTTCGTCACGAAGCCGTTGGTTGATAATGAAGCACCAAAAGTTCCAAAGCCGATCGATCGATACTTTCCTGCCGGCCGGCTTGACACGCCTTTCTTCTGCCACGACGTCACGGATAGAAACCTCCGGGTCCCATACACCGATCCTTCGATCTCCACTCACCCTTGCGGCGCCAAGGGCATCATGTCTGTCGACGTCGTGGTACCCGAGTCTAGCATCGAGAATTATACGAAGTTGTACAGCTCCGTGAGTGGCGCCGAAGCGAAGGTCCACGGCGGGTTTCGGTACCTCCCCAACACCAATGTGAGTTTTCTCTTGAGTTCGCCAAATGCGGCAGCCATGGAAGGTGTCAAGGACAGGATCGGCATTGAGATCCACGCCCCGAGAGATAGCGAGGACGATGCATGGTTGAAGGAACGTGGTGTCGGGATAAGAGAGGTCAAGTTGTATGTACCGGCAGCAGGCCAGGATGAATTTGACGAGCGGCCTCTGGACAGTGAGGGTATTGGTGCGAGTCTCGTCCTCATCGTGCAGCCACGAGAGTCATGACACGACGGACGATTTGTCAGCGTTACATAACGTAGATATCAATGTCAGCTCACTTAGACTATTCAAGTGTTTAGGCCAGCTGCTCATCGTTCCGTTTGGATTAGTGTTTTATCCCGGTAACAAACCCTGCCTGGCTTTGAGAGGTACATATGTGAGTATATATTTGACCCACCGGAAGATTTCTCCAGTTTCATTATCTTTTCTGAGTTTTTTCTGACGTGCATCGCCCCGGAATGCTCCAATTCCACCCGCCACGAAATTGATGGGGCTGAACACGGCTGATACGATATACGGAGTTGTACGACAGCTGAAGCTCCGTTCAGCCTCGAGGGCCAGGCCGAACGTCTAATATAATGCACGCCGCGATACCGCATTTGGACTCAACCCTCCGGTGGGGCCTGAAAAGGGGTCTCCGAAGCCCACGGGAGTCTTCGTAAACCTCATTTCTGGCGGAATGATTGACCCGAGAAACACGACGTATAAAAACGCGATGGACGCCATCTCAACGGCGTTGTGCAGCAGGGGATCTACATTCACTTAACTACAGGCTTGATGCATGCTCCGTATGAACGAGTAATATAAACCCAGCCAACGCACGACCAAACCTTGCTCCGGACGTTGCTTCACTTCCGCCAGCATAAAACGCCAAACAGCCATATTGAAACTCACCTGAGACCAAAATGTGGTGGTCTCGCTCGTCCCCTGTGCACGAAGACAACTATCTCAGGTCAGCCAGTGAGTTTCTTGCCCCGTTACCGCGGACCGTGATGTGTCTCTACCATAGCTGACGTCCTGCACGAAGGCCCGAACGAATGCCGGTGCATTATTCGTGAAGAACTCGACTATTACCGAACACTTGTCGTCGGGGGCATCTACGAACTCTCCCAGCCGCAGGACACAGCCTCGATATTCACTTTCGCGCCGGCAATCAAGCAATGTATCGACGCCCATGCACACCTCAGTGCCGTCGCTTCCGCGACCGGGTCCAGTTCTCCTTACTTTGTGTACTGCCCACAGCTCGATCTCACGAAACATGTAGAAATCAGAAACCACCCTCTGGAAAACGACGAGAACGAGGTGATTAAACGACTATTGCCGGAGATACTCGAAACGAAGCTACCAGAAGGCATTCCTCGGTGGAAAGCAGTCGTCCTGCCGTTCTCCGAGCGGCGGTTCTTTCTTGCATTTGCATATTCTCATGGACTGTTGGATGGGATGTCTGGAATGGCGTTCCACAGAACATTTTTGGATGCTCTCCAGCAAGCGTCACGCGACAATGACCACCACGGTGGTTCTCCAGCTGATCTAGTACACTCGTCTCCTTTCCGACCGCTGCCGCCTCCGGTTGACACGAAAGAAAACTTGCCCATCTCGTGGTCTTTTCTCTTGTCGCCGCTACTCAGCTTGTATTTGCCTGCTTCGTTTGGCTTTCGAGCGAGTATTACCACGCCCACAACGTGGACAGGCGCGCCTAATCTCTACGAGGTCGATAACTTCAAGACTGGGTTGGAAATGTTCTCAGTCGACGCAGTCACGGTTGGCCACGTCCTAAAGGCCTGTCGAGCAAATGGCGCGAAGATGACTGGTCTTCTTCACGAGCTCATAGCGGAAGCAATGCTGGAACTATTGCCAGAAAAGTACGACACCCTTGTCGCTCAGACAGCCATCAATCTGCGCGGCGCTCTAGGCATAGCGGCTTATGAGATGGGCCTTTGCGTTGGCGGCGACACCGACATCATCGCGCGATCATCTGAATCTTGGATGACTGCGAGGTCCGTGACGACAAAGCTGGCGGCCAAGTCAAAGAACACAAAGGACCAGTCTGTTGGGTTGTTGAGGTATCTGAGCGATATTAGGTCGTGGACTCTTTCCAGAATTGGCAAGGGGCGAGGTTGTTCTTATGAACTTAGCAACCTGATGAGCTTTCAACCCGTTAATACTGCGTCGACTGCAGGAATGAAACACATGGTCTTTGCGCAGCCGGCGGCCGCCACGGGGCCCCCGTTGTCTTTCAACGTTGTCAGTGCCCCTGGGGGCCCGATGACGGTGACTGCCACATGGCAGCTGGGGGCGTTTGATCTGGAGTCTAGGGCCGATAGCGAGACCGAGTTCGTCGAAGCTGTGTGTCAGAGCGTGCAGGCGGCCCTTGGTCGGATTGCCAAAGATGTGTTGGACTAGATTATGGATACGGCGTCATCGCATCAACAAAGGCCGTGAGCGCAGAAACAGCAATCCAGGCATGCACGATGGATTATCATGTTTGGGGAAGACTTAGCCGAAGACCTCCTACCCAGCGCAGGTCAACAAGTGATGGAAGGATCCCTCCTGAGGCCACCCACTGTGTAAAGTAGTATCAAGCCGATTTCCATCTTTATACTACCCACGCTCTGGGATGTTTACTCTACCCTTATCCCAACCGTTACGGAATTCTGCCTGGACAAAAGTTGGTGTCCTGCCACAGTGGAACAGCCTCACACTGGCCGCGAACTGCGAGTCCTCTCCTATTGGCCTGAAGCAAAAGTGGTTGTGTAACATGGATGCCCAATCAGGACCTCATGTATAGGCGGCAAGCGACCCAATGAGCTCGAGCAATCATTGTAGCCTCGCTGCCACGCCCCCATTCATAACCACTTTTGCGTCGAGGCTGAATGTTAAAATTATAATAGGCCTCACTTCATCCTCCATCATCAAGCAGTCCCTCTCAGTTCGGTTCCATCTGACCCCAAGTGGACTCACTCGCATACTTCCCCCGTCATACCTTCATACCTTCATATCAAGCTAAACCTTGTACCCTGCCCGCTTCTTCCGACGGACAAGGCTGAATAGCTACTATCTGGACATATCTTGGGCTGAGTCAACATGCCGGCCACAAAAGCGACCCGGAAGCGAGCCCCCTCCGAAGAAGAATGGGAACGAATCAAACCAGAATTGAAGCGGTTGTTCATCGATGAGAACTTGCCACTGAAAGAAGCTGCGAGAATCATGGCCTCTCAGCACAGCTTTCATGCATCGTGAGTGCCAGTTATTTTGTCGGCATACTTATACTAAGGAATATATCCAGTATAGACATGTACAAGCTCAGACTGAAGAAATGGCGTCTGCAGAAGAATTTCAAGAAAATCGAACTTGCCGCAGCTGCCGATGCAGTGCGGCCGTTCTGCAGGTCTGGCATCGCCACCCCATGCCTCACAGTCGACCAACGATCAATCCCCATTGATCGAGTGAGACGTCATTTTGGCGAAGACCTCAGGTCGCCTCGCAAGCCGTACGCGTCAGGCAGCATCCAGCTTGGTAGCTCAACAAGTGCATACACTCGAACTTTGGGAAAGACATTGCAAGGACGCCGGATGACCATACCTCGAGTCCTTCTACAAGTTTCTCCTGTGATGTCCTTGTTTGAAAGAACGGCTTATCAAATTCACGCCTACTACAGCTGGAAACTGACTGAAGAGGACAACTGGTCTTCGGGGTCCGGGAGTATGACAACTTCAATCGAGTTGTACAACGTAGCACTTGACGTTACAAAAGCACTCGAGGTGGGAAATGTGCACCTCGTACAGGCAGCACTGAGGAATCTTACCATGTCAACCAAAGAGGTCGTTGTAGCACAACATCCTGATCTTCTACAAGTTCTTCTTAGGATGTGCTCGAGGACGGTCGAGGATCAGTTCTATGGCCCCTGTTGGAATGCCTGCCTGGCATACATCTACGCAACTGCAAAGAAATCACTGTCAAAGAAGAATCCTCTGCTGATGCTCTTGGAACTCAGGCTAAATCACTTTGAGATAAACATTCACTACACCCGGTTATTAAAATTGGCCAGAGAAGTTGAACTTCAAAAATATCGTCAAACTTCGAGGTTCGTTTTTCAGACCGACACTGCAATGATGCTGGGTATCAAGAGGGAACAGGGTCCTGAGGCAGCTTCCAGGTTCTGCAATGACAGGAGGAACAGTTTCAAAGAGATATTAGGAAGAGATCACTGGCTGTCCCGAAGCTGGTCGCGAATGATGGCGGAAATGTGTTTTTCTGCAGGCTTGCTGAAGGAAGCAAAAGAGATTTGTCTGCAGCTGGTGGACGGAGAAATCACACCAGGCACCGTGGGTGCATATGTGTGTTCGAGCGCCATGAGACTACTCGCCTATATATTCGAGTCTGAGCAAGACTATCGCGCCGGGGCAATCTGGTTTCGTCATGCATCCTCGGCCTTTGAGGACCTTTATGGTTTTGGTAATATTGACGCGCAGCTTTTGCTATATCATGCTAAGCGTATGGAGGCTAAACTTCAGTACTTCCCTGATTACCTTGAACAGCAAGATTTTGAGCTGGAGAGACGGCGCTCTGAACAAGTTTCTTCGGCGGTTGCGGAGCTAGGAAAGGAGATGTCACGAATTTGCCTGGAGACTTATTATGACGACGAAGACGACGATGACGGCGACGCAACCTCCGAAGGACAAACCTGGAATGAGAATGCTTCAGGTAATGGTGACGATTCCACCAACGGACCTGAAGGTCCGGTTGACTCGGCAAGTGATATGGGTGATATAGGTGACGCTGAAGTCGACGGAAGCATCAGTGCCAATAACAAGCAGCATGTGTTCCCAGATCATATGTCGTCACTGGAGACCCTCCAGATGCGTCTGGGACCTCATAATGATGTCCAAGGAGCAGCTGAGGCTGCTCGGCTACCCTTGTCACACTCAGCCATTGAATCGACGTGCTGTCCCGAAGATATCTGGATAGCGCCAGCTCCCGACATGACGGTTTCCCATCTTGGAGACACTTACTCAGGATTTTGCTTGAATACTCAGCCACATTTATCAGCTTTGGAGGAACAGCTCGTGGAAGGAGAACCAGGGTCAAGACCTGCGACGGATAGCCAGTACGCTCTGGACCCTATCGACTGCGAACTACCATTCGTTGGTGACTGTGCAGACTTCGATGACCTATGCAGCATGCCTTGCTTCGACAATCAGTTTGACTTCATGCCTTCATTCACAGATTTCTATAAAATTGATCTTCTTGACGGGAACCCAACAGAAGTAAATCAGATGGTTTCGACAATTGCGGCAGCGCAACACAATGTTGAGGGACTCCCGGGTTTAAGCCATGATGTTGATTGCGATCTTGGCTGGCCGAACAAAGATCTAGCTACCGATGGCCATGTCGATTCTGATCTGGCGATCCCCGTGTCATTCAAGGACACGACTGTGATGGAATTGGTTAATTGGGAATGAGAGGCTCAGGAGTCGGGCTGAGGGCACATTGACTACTTCCTTCAGAACAGAGGATATCTCTTCGTTACGATGAGAAGTTCCTGAGAGGCTCTGGGAGATTGAGATAGTGCTCTTATCAGACTCTTTTCATCCGCGGCGGTTTGACCTCTGCCTTTTGCGTTTAATGTCACCTGTAGCTTGAAGTACCTGTACACATGCTACGGTGACCTAAGTTAGAAGTCCTGCATTCCTCTTCGTTTCTGCAGCATCGTTGACGCCATCTACAACTACCCTTAGCTCACACCAAACCTTACTCATTTATCTGATGATGGTTCTTGCGATTCTTACGTATCCGTCATGCTCCTTGATCATCTAGAACTGTCTAGTGATGACGATCATCACGGTCTGAATCAAGCAATGCAGCCTCAGGGGCCTCCTAGGGACTCGGCGTCTTGTTCAGACGTGTGAGACAGCCGTCCCTCTCCGTAAGGTAGAAACCCTATATATCAACCTCCCTTGCCAGCTTTCAAGACGGGCGATGGGGATTAATGCTTGTCGAGAATGGCTACTGCAAGCCTTCCAAAGGAGTTCCCGATCGTGTTGTCTCAGAAATCCCTATGCGTGTCTGATCAAGGATAACCACATCGGAGGCATACCATGTCGATATCCGATTCTCCAAGTCACCTTCTCGCCTCAGACACAAACGCCTTCTACTCGGTGGCTTTCTTTCCCCACTTGCCGACCGTGGAGAAGATATATGATTTTGTTGTTCTGATACCAACAAAGGCAGCGTCACAGCAGATCCGACAGCGTTGCCGCCTTCTGCTTTGTCGGCTACTTTGCTTCTGCTTACTCTTCCATTCTGTAGCTTCGAGCGGAGATGAACAGAGTCGAACTCAACAACAGTGATCAAGCACCTGTCGACGATGAATGGCGCCGAATCAAGCCAGTTGCGGAGTTACTCTGCATGCAGGGCAACTTCCCCTCGAGCGGCAGCTGGCGTCTCCGCAGCGGAACATAATATTATGCTAAGAACGCACTCGATCTATGTTCATCGTCTCTACTCAAAATCTTGCAAGGCTCGATATATCCGAGATTCATCTGAAGATGTCGAATACGAAGGAAAAACACTCAAGTTTCAGGAAACAGAACAGTTTCTACCGATCACAACACACCGAAATCTTTCAAAAACCCAAAAAAAAGGTTGAAAGTGAAGTTGTTTGAAAACTTCTCTTTTTTTCCTTCGCTCACAGTCAGGACGCCTTCCAGACACGCCTGTCTGGTTTGATCTAACCCTGACTGCGGTTCGATAATTGTTGAAAGTTTATTCTCGATTATCGTGGTCGTCGTCGGGATTCGAACGCGGGCCCTTTTTTTCTGCTTCCCTCCTCGCCTGAGTGAATGGCCATCCACCACACCGCCCATGTGGTTTTAACTTGAGCCATCACTTTAGGGATCTTGGTGATTTGAGAGGAAAATTCACCTGTTTAATTGACATCGATTCAAAATCATATGTGGGTCCGCGCGTCTCTACGAGGCTGGTTCAGCCTCGCCGCGTGAGTGTTGGACGACTCTCGAACACGTTTGTCCTTTGTGTGCAGCCGAGAACAATGAAGCTCTCCGAAATGACACCAAATCAAGGTTCGATCGCGTACGACCAACCACACCAGAACGACACAGATGCTGCTGCCAATACCGTCCAGAGTCTGGTCGACCGGCTTGAAGCAGAGATGCTGCAATGGCCCTTGACGGACAGCATGAACTCTTCTCGGCGGCTTTATGCAGGCCCGTTGTCGGCGAACAACATGGACGTGATCTTCAACAGGCGGTGAAAGCTCCGGAGGCCCCTCGTCCGTTCGAGCTGATCGATTCCCATGCAGTCGAGTACGAGGATTGTGGAAAGGGAAGCTGAGTGTGGCCTTGACGTCGGACATCAATATCCTACAGCCTACCTACCAGTGCGGATTTTCAGGATCACCAAACACTCGGACTCTCTGTATCTGTCCCTGGCGGATCTCCCATGGTCTGGACCATGACCCTTGTCACAACTCATTTCGACTCCCGCTGAAGAGGCCTATGTGGGTGCTGCGTATTCGGAGCATTGGTTCAAGTGCCTACCAACCTTGCCAGATGATATTTGGGTTGATGGCAATAAAGATACGTCGAGCCGGATTGAGAAATAATATTCCTCCGCCCTTATTTCCAGCTATGAATGGTAACGGGACCCTATCACCGGAGACCTCTTTGTATGGGACAGCTTTACATGTTGGTCGACCTCGGAACAATAGGGCCACTGAGAGACTCCATGGGTTTGGATGGTAGGAAGTTGATGTTTCTTTGATTGAGTGTCTCCCGGGGCAGTTTTGGAAAGGGCAGGATTGCACAAAGCGATATGTTTGTAGCTTCAGTTTGCTTTGGTCTTAGATACATAAGTACCATCTGACAGTCAGCCCAGCCAGCAGATGATCGAGACACAGCGGATGTCAAACAGGTCAACATCACAGTCCAGTCCCAATACGACACGACTTATCATTCTCTATCGCGAACAGGTGCCGTTGCGATCTCTTGTCCTCTTCTAATAAGTGATCTTAGGGCTGGGGAATACGCCCTGAACATTCCATATTCACTGCTATCCTCACTTCTAGACTCGGTGAGTCCGCCGTCCACAATGACTCCGCGGATACATGCGTGTGCGCGATACTTTATCAACTCTGAATTCTCGTCTTTGTCGCTCCCTTCACCGTCACTGCATAGCTTGTCACTAAGACTCTCCCGCCTCGCTCAACGAGTCTGCGGAGATGGCAGTCTGCGATTGTTCATTGAGACCTTGCTGGCATCACTTTTCGCTTTGATCAGTCCGCCAGACACAATGGCCTTGCGAAGCCATCGGTTCGCAGTATTCCAACGACCCCGTTTGCTTGTTCCTTTTGGTTTCAAAGGGCACACTCTACACAATAGCCTTGCAGAGTCGTGTGTCTGCGCTACACCGACGACTCTCATGTTTATACTTTTTAGATTCCGCGGAGGACTCTATACGCAACGACTCTGCGACTCCTTCGGTCCGAAAGATCTATCGGCGACCCTGAACTCTTGATCCGAGGCGTGCTGCAAGTGTCAACCACCGTCGTCATTTGCATTGGTCTCAATGGCAAAGGAGAGGCCGCCAGTGACAATGATTGCGCGAGGAGGACAGGCCGCGATCGACAGTACCTTACTGCTTCTGCGTCTTGCGGCACACCATAATTGATTCGGTTCACGTAATAATAGAGTGGACAAGACATGTAGACATGTTTGAGGCGAGTGAGTGTCAATTCAAGCGCCGAAGCATTCCATCTCGTAGGCTTCAGCCCGCTCCAGACAAATAAACATGACTACGAGAAGGTATGAGTACGGGATACGATCGTTGGTATTGATGCTCATCGCGGGTTAGACACCCATCGTGGGTTACGGCACGCAAAGAGCAGGCGTCGTCCATTCTCATATTCGGTCGATAAAGAGTTCTAGGAAATATCACATTGTATGAGTAGACTTGGTAGACAGAGTATGTAACCGTACATTGGAAGGCGCTTTTCAACTGTGAGGAGAAGAACAGAAACTTAGTGACTCTGAGGAGCAGTAGTGACATTCTTGAACTTGATGTCTTTTGATATATTGTACAGAGTTGTCCGGACCAGGAGAGGACAACTGAGAAGTGTCCTCTACATAACACTGCACATCATGACTGACTGCCACATCGACTCTAGATTCGTGAGCTATCGCTTCTGCCCAGCATATAAAGATGCAAGCAACGGTAGGGCCGTCAGGATGTCGTGTGTTATTACCACGATCGATGCTGGACACGAGCTATGAGGCCTCGCTGGAGACCATCAAACAGCCCATCGGAGATTGCCATGATCCCATAGGTCAGAACCGGTTGAGGTGGTTGGCTGTACTTGGGAGGGACAGCAAAATGCTGAACAAGGCCACTGGGACAACGCAAATTGAAGACCGACTCACACACAGCCGTCTAACACTGAGTGGCCCTCCTTGTTCATACGCTGCGCGGAAACGGAGGTCTGTAGGTGCACCTCTAACCCCAAGCTGAGTTTCCGCCCAGGGTATGAACGTAAGTGAGTACCGCCCATTCGACCACGGAGTGTAACATCAATGTAACCTCGTTTCCCAGGGTCGTCTGTTCGTTGTATCGGCGCTGGCGAAGCAGCAGAGGTGTACTCGCTATCGCCTGCGTTTCCTTTTGATTGTAGTCCGAATGAGGAACAGGTCAAGTGGTTGCGGTGTGGTGGCGCCATGACTATATTCTGCGGTACCGGCACCCACTTCATTTCTTCCATTCAATCGGTAATTCCATTCCAACTCTTCTTGCTGTGAGTCTGACACGTTCTTCCTCGTCCATATTCATGCCAGGATTGTATCGCTGAAGAAGAACGGTATATGTGCGCTGGGCGCGGAGATAGGTGATGAACTGTTCGGCTTCTTGACAACGCGCCGTTACATATTCAGGAGAAGTATCAGCCAATGGTTGCGATAAATGTGAGCGAATTGAGGCGTGAATCGGCGTTCGCGGGTGCTTGTGTCGTGGTGTGGGAAGAGGCGGGAGCTCACGCAGAAGGCGACGGTAAAGTGATCGAGTCTGACTGGCGGCGGAAGTGGACATGATTGAGCGCCAGATACAACAGTAGGAGGAGTGAAGCAATGAGAAATAGTAGCAAAGAAAACAAAACGTCACGAAAGAAATTACAACAAGCAGACCAGAAGTTCAAAAAGTACGATGCAAAGAGATGGAGAAAGATTGATGTTGCCGCTTTTAGGACCAGATGCTCGCGACTCAAACGTCGTATCACTTTCTTCTCACCCACCGACTCACGTTCCCAAGCACGTCCATGGCGACTGTCTGATTTCTACTGCAGTCCGCCTGATAACTTCCCATAATTGGCGTTGGGTTCTACATCGCATTAGACCTTGCCTTGTCTTGGTGTCTTCCTCGGGTTTTACCCGCGGTAGAATGCAATGAACATACCACCCAGTCTAAGCAAATTCCGATTGGATGATGGCCGACATCAGGCCAGCCGCGACCGAGCTATTCATTATGAAGCCGAACACTCAGCTAAGTCGCTCTCATGTACGATTTTTTTATATTGAAAACTGTTTGCGGTGGTTTGGGAATATACGCATCAAGACATGGTCATATAAATATCGAAAGAAGGATGTCAATCTGATGTTAAGCTGCAGAAGGCATACCCACCCACATGTCGGTCAAGTTGGAGAAGTCTAGATTGAATACACCATCATCATCCGCCAAGTTAACTACGGATCCTACAATGGAGTCCTCATAGTTGGAGAGACCAACGCCCGACCCCGGATGTGTCCGTGTGTGCATTTCCAAAGGGTGGGTAGTGGTCCAGTCTTGTGTTACAGATTCGTGAGTGTCGGCTGCATTGGTGTTGATGCCTGCTAAGACAGCCGTGGCGGTATTTGGCTCATACTCGACATGGTCGTCGACAATCCACTCTCCGGCGGAAGGGCCTGCACCTGTCGTCTCTTGAACAGTCGACTAACGTGTGACGCCGCAAAGGTCAAAAATGCGATGGCCCACTCAGCCGCGACGTTGGTGTCCACGAGCTCTCGGAGAGCAAGTTTGCATTCTTCGAACCTCCGGACTTCTTCTCGACGACGTTCCTCACTCGGCGATTGCAGATCAAAGACATGGCTCCAGCTGACCGTCAGGATGCACGAAATGCTCATGCCCGGTAGGCGGCGCATTAGGTCGGCCCTGTACAAATCCATCACGATCTTGTTGAGGCCCTCCGCCGCGGCACGCATCGATCTTTGCGAAGAAGCCCGCATCCGATCATGGCCTGACCCTAAACCTATGCGATCGGCCAAGGCGCCAGGACGGTGCAAGCAGAACTGCGCAACGAGATACATCATCGTCAGCATCGCACTGTGTATGACCACGGCTTCCTCGGCGGACGAAGTGATGCTAGGAACGGGAGATTGGTGCAGTAGATCCTCCGACACATGGTCGCGCCACCTCTGCAGGTCTCGTTTGCACATCTCGAGCTCTTTGCCATCGTCTGAATTCGTCTGAGTACCGGGGCTCCGTGCGGTGGCTGTCGTCCCGTCCTGTTTCGGATAGAGGATACCGTTGTGACCGATTGGATTTTCCGCGTAGAATAGATCCACAATTGTGCTCAGGATCCTGCAGATCTTTGTTAACTCGATGCTGATTGAAGCAGTTTGACTTGATGCCGCTCAGTCGTATTCGCATCGACACCACTCTCGGAGCAGTACATATCTTCCAATTTGAGTGGAGCCACAGTGAAGTCGTCAGGTCGAACTCTCGGCGCTCGATTGGTGCCCAGGGAAGTGAAGGCGTCGCGAATTAGACAGCACCACCAGATACGTCGACGAAGTCTACGAACTGGCGCCGGCAGACCTTCGCTATGCGCGTCTCGATGGAGACCAATCGATGTGGCCACGGCCAGCGCCACGCTGCACCAGTAGTACCCATCCTTCTGTTCGGTGGGTGAAATCCACCAGGTGGTGAGCAGAAGGAGGGATTGTACGATAGCGATGAGATCTCGCTCGCAGCTAAAGTCATAGAGCAACTGTCCTCAATGAACAAGGTCAGCGGAGGTCGGTCAGGATGGCAAGGGATTCAAACCTTAGTCTTGAGGTAGTATGCCCTGCGCATCGCATCCCGGGTCAGGAAACCCGCTCGACGTACTAACTTTACGTCTGCCCAGGCTGTGGCAGAGTACATGATAGCTTGTACTAGAAGCAAACTGATCTGGCCATGGCGTGCTGGGTTTTCGATGCTGGCTTGAAACGCATCTAGGTCGATGAGGGGGAGGAAATGGTGGACGAGTTCAAAATAGTTCTTGAGCAAGTCGTCGCGTAACTCTGGATCGGGAAGTGTCAATGCACCCCTCTGGCGCAGATAGATCAAATCCTCGACAGCCAAGTCGGATGGCATTGGTTTTACAAATGGTGGATAGTCTTGTTCTTGGGATTCTAGCCGGGTTTTCGACCGCGCGCCCGTGTCGTCGGGATATATTGGGGATGTCAGACTCTGCGTCGCGGCTTGATACCAGTCGAAATTCCGGTCAGGTGCAATAGTCTCATCCATGTCCCACGATTTGTCGGCGTCCAACGCGCTCTGGGGATGATCATGTTGAATGGCACGGGGCGATCGTGATGTATCGGCTTCGGCATCGCCAGTGAGGTCGGGGGTTATCTCAGACCATGTAGCTGCAGGCCCATCAGGTGGCCTGGTTGCCGGTAGGTTGGGAGGAGGTGTGGCCAAGAGGAGCTGGGAGCTGGCCGACGGCTTTTGAGCCTTGGGTTTGTCTCATTGGCGGCGTTGTGGCAGGATACATTCGACCTGCTCCAAGATGCAGTTGTAACAAGAATGGCCGCTCACGACACTGCATCTCACTTTGCGAAAGCGACAGTGATTACAGGCGATGGTGGCTCGATGCCTTCTCATTGAAGATCGATTGGTAATCCTCGGATCTCCCAATCCCGTCGCCGGTACTGACGGGGCTTCAGGTATTGGAAACGAGCCTCTCGATAGGTCGTCGCCCATCGTATGATTATTTATGCCCTGATCGTGAAGGAGAAACTGTTATCCCCACACAGGCTGTCTTGTTGGCGAGCCCATTTGGGCGGGGAGGTTGAAGGGGGGACTTGGTTTGAGGAGACCCAACACCACTACGGAGTACCCACCCCACATTTTCATGGCCTGGTGAGGCCCCCTCTCTCCCCTGACTTCACTCGTACAGATACTTACCTTGTTACTTTTGGCTTGTGCCGGGCGCAGCGACATTTTGTATTAAGATATCCTTCCCCGCTCCGCCTCGACCTCATATTGGGCCGTCGGGAATGCTTTCGATGTATCGGGTGAGAGAACACTTTACTTCTGTCGTTCTGCCACATCATCCAAGGTCCACGCCGACATGCATTTCCAACTGGACATCTCTTTCTCCAATCGGATCAATTCTTGCTGGATAATGGAAGTTAAACGCTTCGATCCTCGGAATAAGGACGGGACAAGGATACAGTAGTGTGTACAGGGACGAGGGACTAGTCAGACTTCAACTGGAAATGATTAGCCATCTTACCACCTCGGCTACTGGCCCGTTATTTCGGCCTCCCACGGCGTAGCATATGCCTCACAACTAGTTGTACTTTTTCCAAGGCTGAATTTGCTTCATAGATGGATTGAAGACTTCGTCGAGGCTAAGAAAGTGTCTTGGCAACGTAGTAGGAAGGCATTGAAAAGTGTTCCCTTTGCTTCACATCTGTGCCTCCATAAGACGGTACAGCTTTCCAATCAAGTTTGATAGGCCACGGTTGCAAGATCGATACACCGCTTGCTGATTTTCCCGTGCTAATGAAAACCCTCCGCGAGCAAGCCACAATACATAACAAGTTATGTAGAGTCAGGAGCTTGCTGCGCATCAATCGCCGGCTTAAAGTCCCTAACAAAGTCCCATAGCATCTTGCTTTTCCAACCGTTCTTCTTCCACCCATTAGCCATGAGCGGGAAGAGATCTGCATAGCGTTCGACTGCTTTTGAATGGGCGTAGATGAACAGAACATTTTCTTCGGCGTCAGCTTCCTGCGCCTTGAGGATCGTTGTCAGCGTCTCCTCCGCATCGAAACAAAAACCTGGGTTGGGGATGAAGAAGGGCTCGTCCGCTGCGCGGGAGCGACTCTGGTTGAGTCGCTCGAGTGCCGACCCTGGGCAGACCCACGGCGCCATTTGATCCGGAAGCTCGATTTGGACCTCTTTGGGTAGACGGATGTGCTTGGATGGGCGGATCTCACCGCCGTGGTGACAAAGGTCGCCTCCACAGAAGATGAACGTATCTGGGTCTGAGGTCGTCCGTACTAACCCGGCAAGGTGCCCAACTGTGTGACCTGGAGCGTCGAGAAGATAGAATGATCCATCTCCAAAAAAGTCCAACGCCCTAAATTGCCCGATCTGAAGCCTAGGGTCGTTGTCGAAACGAACTTCCCTCGTTGCGCGGCCTCTGTTGTTGGAAGCTATTGTTAGTATGGTCAAGGGACTACCTCGTTAAGAAAGAAGCATACTAACGCAAAATCTGTTTCTCGCACAGGCGCATCTACGATAGTTGGGTACCCTGGATAGAAAGATTTCTTGAATCCAGGGCCGACAACAAGCTCAGTTGTTCCAGGGAAGGTCGAAGGATCTCCAATATGGTCGAAATGCCAGTGGCTAAGATGATGCAGTCAGTCCTACAGAACCTAGCAGAAACCACGACCACGAAGCCCGAAGGGTCTCGATTCTGACCTCCAAACAATGGAATTGACTGAAGCAGGGTCAATCCGACTCTCCCTAAGAATGTCCGCCACATGCTTCTCGGAGCGAATTTCCCAGGCAGGATTTCTCAGCTGCTCTTGATTGAAGGGCGAAAAGTCGAGAAAGTTTGGTGGCACCCCCAGGTCGAATAAGGCCTTCTTGCCCGTCGGACTCTCAATGAGGAACGCCCACGATGGGAGGTCGGGCAGGAGCTCCATACCGCTCAGAGGCGGCTCCATCAAGAAACTGGCCGGTAGCCTCTTGACCCTCGCGGTGCAGTCGATGATACGAACATCGGCCACTGCGCCAGGTGGTACGTTGAAGAGGCTTGGTGCGTTCAAGGACATTTTGTGATTCTGCTTGCGAGTCGTAGTCGTTTGACAAGGCTGCACTCAATCAAAGTTTCACATACGAGGTGATGCCCACATTTATTGACTTCATAGAAAATAGCGCCCCGCAAAACAGCGGCCTTATAAATTCATACAATATATCAGACAATCACGAACGATACAGATGATGATCCCGACGTTCCGGTTGCTTGGTCAGCATTTGATCAATGATCATTGTATTGACCATTGATCAATATAGTGATAGTGCCGGCCCGCGGGCCAAGTCAAACTGAATTTGGGCCGCAACTCGTCCGTGGCTAATGTGCTTAAAGCTCCACAGAACCTCGGGAAGTTGTTCAACGTCGTGAAAGTTGGCGTGGTGGAGACTATTGAACAGATCATCACGTCCTTGGTATATCATTCAATTCCTCGCTTCACTACCCCATGATAAGATACACAACGTCACGTTACAGACCCCCCTAAGGCGCGCACCTTTGTGACATCGTAAAAGGTTTGAAGTGACAACGAAGACGCAGTCCGTTTCATTGCCGGTCGGAACTTAGCCATGCTAGTCCCAAAGGCTTTTCCATTCACCACTGATGGTATTCTTCCCGCTTTCCAGTACGTTGCTTTGAGTCAAGCATATGGGAAAGGTATGCATCAGATTGGCAAGTTCCAAGCCTCTCAGTGGTCGCCCTAGATAGCCGTCTTCACCATGGATGATCATGCTGAGAAACAGAGTTTCATGCCATTCTCCCAACACAACTTGTTGTGCAACGCTGAACAATAGGAGTTAAATGGGATGTATTGATGAGTCTGACCTCGATGACTAGGAGGTTGAGGACTATGATATATATAGGCAAAAGGAGTGACTATTCTCTGCCCAATTGAGGCTTCTTTTGTTGCTGCATCACAGGCTACATGTTGGCCTTGCCTGACACATCTTGAGTAGTTGCAACAAGCGCTCTGATAATTGGCAATAGAACGGCCTATATATTGCTGTCAACATGATATAGTTCAATGAGTGAAGTGATAGTTGGCTTGATAGTTGTGAAATGAGTGAGTTGAGTGTTGTGAAGTGCGCAATAATGAGTGTTCTAGGCGGTGGGGTTCCTCTGGATGTGTTTGACATGAGTATAGAGGTTGTAATGTTGAACAAGGCTGAGTTGTGACGGGGTCATTACAACCTCCATACTTGCGCCGAACGCCTCCGCGGGACTTCGCCGCCTAGAACGCTCCTTTTGCAAACCTTGCAACACCATGAATTCACTCACTTTAGTCACATTTTCGCTATATCATAGTCCTCAGGATGGAGGAACAGGACCTCCCCGACGCAAGGACGCCGGCCCCCGACGAGGAACTCATCGGTCGCCGCCGATGCCCGGGAGAAAAACCTCTCCACCAGGACGAGAAAACTTCCACTCCTTTAACATACAAATAGATAGAACAGCGACCTCCTAGTCCTGGAGGTCGGACTCGTCAATACATCCCATTTAGCCCCCCGACATCGCCTAGAACTGAGCGTTGCATAACATGTAATGACACTGTCACAACTTGACCTTGTCCAACACAACTTGACCAAGTCAACTGCTACCTACACATCAGATCTTGTTAGACCACGAGTGAGTGAGCACCCTTGGGGACGCCATACCTGCTTCCACCTGTGAACATCTCTAAAGTAGCCACCGGATGGGCCAGGGACATATGGACTGAGGCGCTCAAGTGATGGCATGATTTCCTTCTGCAAGTCGATGTGTTAGTTATGGTGTGTCTGCCATTTTCTAGTCATCCAAAGGTGCCTCTCACATATAAATATTTCGCCATGAGCGAAGCCATGGAGCAGTGAAGTGCTCCTCTCCTGTTTGTACTGTTCCCGGATCGACATCAAACATTAGATGGTCTAAAGAGTAACATTACTTTCGCGCTCAAAGCATGGATCCTGAAGTGGATCTACTCACATATAACGTCGAAAGCGAACATGCGGGCCCAGAAGTGCACATTGAACGCGGTTCCCGTTGCAGCAAGTTTCGCCCATTGATCCAGAAGTGTTTGAATCTTGTCAGAAATTTGTGGCTCGAACTCCATTAAAGCACCTTGAGAGAATCCGGGAAAGCTGCGGAGGCTGTGAAAATGTGCGTACTATATGCATTGACCGATGAAGTGGAATATCGCGAGGCCAGCAGTCACTAGGATCAGCGGCACCAACTTGTCCATGTTCGATTGATTTTGGAAGTCATCGAGGGCGCTGGCAACAAAATCTCGTGAGATGAAACCCATATTTCGGAGTAAAAGCAGTTTGTTCAAGTCGGAAGTCCGAGTTTTCGAGAAGAGCATTGTTACGAATCGACGAACTGTTCGCTTTGAATGCATCTTGAATCGCCGTCGCCGTGCGAACAGGCTCCACTTGAACTTGTGGCGACATCATTGGAGGGCACCACACCGGCAAAGACATATTCTCATAGGGGCTGGGCTTCGGTGGCCTGCAACTACGGGGATCCACCTCCGCGGAGTGGAGAAGCCCCCGAACGTCGGTACGCCGCTGCTTTGAGTCCGGCACTCTCTTCTGCGAAAGCCTGGCATGCGACCTTGTACTATGTGGGCGTTCCAAACGTCGCCTCAGGTCATGAGGATAATAGAACGTTCCACGATCATTGGTTCTTTAGTACTTTCAACTCAAGCATTTGGTTGGTTCTTGGGGCTGACTAGCCTCTCGTCTCAAGACATTTTGGGAGTCATAAACTCTCAGAAAGTCGACTAGACGTGCTTTAAGCTCATCTTCCACGACTCGCTCTGCTCGACCGTGCTAATAAGGACAGATACAGTTCTTCCATACACTATGAATATCAGGGCGATTGCGCTGTCCCGACTATGCAATTGCTTTCCTGGTTCACCGACGAATGAGCACTCAGAAGAAAATGTTGTGAAGTTAATTCTAGATCGACGAACTAGTGCTCGACGAGGAAGACTGCCCTATTGTTGAAACGATACCTAATTCATAGACTCGACGTGGATTGAGACAATTAGAACCAAGGAACGCTCATCTATTCAAAGTCTAGCCATGACTTCGTATATCATCTCCCACGATTCATGCTGTATGTATTCAAACGCCATCGTTCATCCCAACCTGGTTCCGACACACCTTTAGATACATCGCTCTCTTTCTTGTCTATCTGACTTTCTCTTCGTTCGCCAAACAAACCCTGCTGCTTCCTCAGAAGGACTGGATCTGTGCTCTCGTAGCCTTCCCTGGGCCGCTCGTAGCAGGAGAAACTAAAAATGTCCTTTGACCGGTCATTTAATCCGAGCACAGGGTCTACCAGAGCTTCAATACCGCTTCTAATATCGTCTGTGGACACAAAATCGAGTTGAAGGACGTGATTCTCAATTCCAGCATACACGGTAGGTGAGCTCGGGGAGGGACTCGCAAGAGAATATACACATCCGCGGTACCGTTCAGTTCGACGAGCGCGACGACCAGATCGGAGCGGCTCCCACAGTCGTTCGTCGTATTTGACACTTGGTGTCAGGAATATATTAATGTCCCTTCGCGTCTTGTGCGAGCCAGAGAGTGAGAGCTCAGTATCCGCGTCTCCTGGTTTCGCTTGCGACGTAGAGAGCTGCGTCCTCCCTTCAAGATATGAATAGGGCCGCATACCAGGCATTCGCAAGTCATATGTTTTGAGGCAACCGTTCTGAGAACTTCCAGCAAGGAAGCGTTCGTGACCAATTGGTAGAATGGCAAGAATTTGCCCATCGTCGACCACGTCAACATATGTCGAAACTGGTCGAATCGGTGTACGGGCGTCATGAAGACTGACGATACCGTCAGACCAGCCGGACAAGAATAGCTGCCCGGGCAAGTTGGAGATACCAGCAGCGTCATCCAAAGGTACCACAGTATTCGCACTTTGGCGGAGGTTGGAGACGTTCTCAAGTGGGTCTGAAAAGAACTGTGTAAAAGGTTTCGATGTTATCCCTGCCGTATTGATATGATAAACATCAATCGGTGCGCGCTCTCTGCCTTCGAGGTACTGGAAACACATAGCAAATGCCGAGTCGGAGAGAAACTTCGCACACCTGATACGATTTCGGACATCTCTCGTCGTCTGCAGGGGGACAGTGTCAATCGGTTGCACAACAGATGTCGTACCATCCACGGGAAATAGCGAGATTCCATCGTTATTGCATGTGGCAAGGACAGGCTCTGGGCTTTTGCTGACATCCATACGATGAAATCCGTTAGGTTTGGTATTGTACACTGATTGCTGGACCAGCTTTCCTGAGTCGTTCGACACAACTCTGACAACGTCACCAGATATCCTTCCGAGGATGGCCGTTTCATGTTCTGAATACTTTTCGGTCTGATTTGGTCGCAACAAATTGACATCGACTATATCCATGGTCGGGACATGGTCATGAGGACATGTAAAAGACTTCCACGTCACTTTGCCGTTCTTGGTAACTCTCATTCGAAGTTTTCCAGCCGCTCCCCATGCCAGCACCTCTTTGCGTTCTGACCAAGTTGAGCCTGTCCAGGTCTCATAGCAGTCGATCACTGGCTGATAACCTACTGCAGTCCAGGATCTTGCTTCAGCCATGTCCTCAGGATCCACAGGCGGATAGCATTCTCTTGCAACAAATGCGCGACGATCCCAGGCTCGTGACCGCGAGGTCAAAACACGAGCAGCCTCCCGCCATAACGGTGGAGTTTCAATGGAGGGAAATGATCTCTTAACGAAATCGCGAAAGCACGCATAGTCGTCCCTAGCTATAACCTTTTGTAGTTTGCGACTAACCAGTGAGAGGTTAATGATGGATGAGGCGGTAGGCAGATGATGAACAATGTGCTGTATCACTTCCACAGGAAGGCCGTCAAGCATCTGAAAAATAGTGTAACTGGTGTTTTCCGAAGTGGTCTCGTATTCAGGATTTGTCGACGATGAAAGTTGGTAGATAATGACTGTGTAAGGACGTCAGGTTCGCCGTTGAATACTTTGTAGCCGCGGAGGCAAAAATGGTCACTTCTACACGCTGCTTTTGCGCGACGTCATCTTGGCCTCACAAGGCTGGAAAGGCGGCGAACGACCGGAGATCACGTGTCAGAATCTTTCTTACATAATCAGGCTTGAAATCCCCCCGGTGCGACAACCACGGATGAACCAGGCTGAATCATTCCAGCCGTCGTCCACCATCGACAACCATGGTCTGGTATGGCCACCATCAAAGCCATCGAGGCTAAGTCCATACATCAAATTCAGTCCGGCCAGGTCATCGTCGATTTGTGCTCAGTGGTCAAGGAACTGGTTGAGAACAGTCTGGACGCGAGCGCGACTTCCATCGAAGTACGATTCAAGAACCATGGCCTCGATTCAATTGAGGTGCAGGACAACGGGGCCGGAATATCTGCCGAAAACTATGAAAATGTCGCCTTGAAGCATTTTACCTCCAAACTTTCCAAGTATGATGATCTTTCCAGTTTGCAAACCTTTGGATTTCGCGGCGAGGCTCTTTCGTCCCTTTGCGCTTTATCCAAATTCTCCATCACAACTGCACAGGCACAGGAGGCACCAAAGGGAAGACGTCTCGACTTCGACGGTATGGGCAGACTTGCCGCGAGCACGCTCGTTGCCTGTCAGAAGGGCACGACTGCCACGGTTGAAGGGTTGTTCGAGAGCTTGCCTGTACGCCGCAAAGAGGTAATCAAGAATGTAAAACGTGAATATGGCAAGGTACTCGGCTTGCTGCAGGCATATGCTTGCATTTGTGTCAACGTGAAGTTGACGGTCAAAAATGCTATGCCAAAGGGCAAGAGCGTGACTGTTTTCTCAACCAAAGCCAATGCCAGCACTCGAGAGAACATTGCGAATGTCTATGGGGCGAAGACACTCTCAGCTCTGGTACCGTTAGACCTCATCCTGGAATTCGAATCGACCGTGGCACGCACGGCACATAAAGACACGTCCAGCGGCAAGATATTTGTCAAAGGCCATATCTCGAAGCCTGTTTTCGGAGAGGGGAGGCAAACTCCAGACCGTCAAATGTTCTTCGTGAATGGCCGACCATGTGGATTGCCACAGATTGCCAAAGCCATCAACGAAGTATACAAGTCATTCAACGTTTCCCAGTCACCTTTTATATTTGCTGATTTCCAGATGGACACCAACTCCTATGATGTCAATGTCTCGCCAGACAAGCGGACTATCCTGCTGCACGATGCTGCGACTCTAATTGAGAATTTGAAGGCTGCATTGAATGAAATGTTCGAACAACAAGATCAGACAGTTCCTCAGTCTCAGCTACAAGGCCCCAAGTTCCCCACGTTTCGAAAACTGGACTTTGAAAGACGCTCTTCCCCAAATTCATTGAGTCCCTCGATCCAAGGAGAATCTGTGCCGGCAAGATCGGTGCTCCAAGATGAGAAGAGTCTCACTGACGATCCTGAGGCCTCTGACGACGAAGGCTCGAATTGGCTGATGCGTGAGCATTTTCGAAACTTTACAAGCACCAGAGACGAGACTGGGGGAATCAGTCAGGTTCGAAAAACACCACAAACGGAAAAGGAGAGCCAAGCGAACGCCTTGGCTCAGAAGATAGCAGAAGAAAATGAGGAGAGATCCAACTTTGCTGATGACGGCGACACACAGGAGACAATTCACACACAGAGCACCGAGGGGTCGCAGAATGACCCTGTCAACCTTCACATACAAGACTTTAATGCACGGATGGCTGAGCAAAGCGTAGACTCAGTGCACATGGATCAACCGACTGCGTCCAAGGATGAGAGGGGATCCGAAATCCCATCGCTGAGCCAGCAGTCTCAGCAGGGAGATAAAGGTATTGTTCCGAACGCCTTCGAACGCATGCGACCTAGGAGACAACCAGCAGAGCTTGCCACAGTAACAATTGGAGAGGAGACAATTACAACCATTGTTGGTTCGCACTACCCGAGGTCTCCAGCTGGAAGAGGAATGATGGAGAAAATCAGGGCCCAAGCACCAAGACAGGAAAGGCCATCACCAGCTACAGTCAATTTCTCCCAAAAGCTACGACGTTTTGACGCAAGGGCTGGAGATGATGGGCAAGAATTGGATTCGACTGATGACTTAATGTCCCATGAGAGTGGCTCGGAGCATGGTACGGAAGCAGAAACACCAGAATCGGACGACGCAATCAATCTGCTTGTCGAATCTGATGATCTGAATGACGAAGGTGAATCCGCAATTCAAGATGGAGCTGTTGACGCAGATGACGATCCCGACTATGTGGACGAAGAAGAGAAGCAAAAAATCGAGGAGGCACGGGTGGTTGAGCTCATTCGAGCCGCAGAAGAAGTTTCGGCCATGGCCAGCAAGGAAAACACCAAACGGGCGGCAAACTCCCTTTCCGGCAGTCGAATTAAAGACTCAACGACAACTACGCTCGCGACAGTTGACTTCTCTCTAGAGAACGTAGCTAAAGGCCTGGAGCAGCTTGTAGCAATCGGTGCCAGAACGGAGGAGCTCAGACATCGCCAAGAACACGCGCACGTCGCGCAAGATCCCGAAGCACAGCTCACGCTTACCGTGTCCAAGGGCGACTTTGCGCAGATGGATATCGTTGGCCAGTTCAATCTTGGATTCATCCTTGCGACAAGGAGTGGTGATGATAAAATTGAGACCGGGGCAAGAGCAAGGCAAGACGAATTATTCATCATCGATCAACATGCGTCAGACGAAAAGTACAACTTCGAGAAGCTCCAAGCCGAGACAGTCGTGGGCAATCAGAGGCTCGTTCAACCCGCTATACTTGATCTGACAGCGGTAGAAGAGGAAATTGTGCTGGAAAACATGGACGCCCTCGAGAAGAATGGCTTCCTGGTTGACATCGACACGAGCGGCGAGAGTGTGGTAGGGCGCAGATGCAAACTTATTAGCCTCCCACTCAGCAAGGAAGTTGTCTTCAATACTCGTGATCTTGAAGAGCTCATCCAGCTGCTCGCGGAAGCTCCAGGCCCTGGTACGCAAAGCTGCCACGATGTCCCCCGGCCCAGCAAGGTTCGGAAAATGTTTGCAATGCGAGCGTGTAGGTCCAGCATCATGATCGGCAAGACGTTGTCCAAGAAGCAAATGGAGAAGGTCGTACGACACATGGGGACCATCGACAAGCCGTGGAATTGCCCTCACGGTCGACCAACGATGAGACATGTTTGCAGTTTGACCGCTCTCCAGCCTTGGGTGGAAGGTGATGCGAACACGGTGGAAGGCGGTAGAGCTGTGAGCCTTGGTGAGGCACTGCAGAGGTTTGTCTCGGGATAGAATGCGTCTTCGGCATCCGTATAGCACAAGACATGGAGGGGGTGGCGACAGGTGGTCACTCATCATCCCAGCCCAGTCCAGCCCAGCCCAGGGTCAGGCGGGATGTTATTGTGTATGTATACCTAGTCACTGGTTCGTAGGCAATAGCAGTACTCGGTGAACTCGTGCGTAAGCGATGGGCAGCCCCAGCGTCACCCGGAGTCCTCTGTGCCCGCCAGTTCACGTGTCCCTTGTGCTCCGGGATTTTCCATGCTGGGGCCGGAGCCACTAGTCCCGTTTCGGCCGCGGCGGTTGTGATTTGCCTCGGCTCACCGGAGTCTGGCAGTTGATGCGCTCTGATGCTGCGTTCGTCCAGACCGTCTGCCTCACGCCCATCGACGCCGCGGTTATTCCCCAGTCCTCGTGCGCTTTTCTACCCATTGCCGAAAACCATCCGATCCCAAAAAGTTCGGTACAAGTAGAGCCTTGCTGTTGCTGTCCTGTCCAGCTATAGACTTTCGATTCTTTTCCTCCCTCACCCCCTTGTCGTTGCTCTCCTCTCCCTCACCAAAGTTGATCTGGTAATGTTGTCCTCCATCGGCCGAGCGACTCCATCACTCTCTGCGATCTCACGTCCTCGTCACTCATCCCTCGCTGTCAAGGTGTGTATGGATACTGCTACAAGCATTGCTGTCCGTTGCTGATCATCCTCGACAGGCTTTCGCAATGGCGCCCGCAAACAAGAGAAGGTCTTCGACCACGAAGCAATTCTGGGTGACTGAGGGTATGGCCGCCCAATCACTCTAGATGGACGACTGCTAAAGCATCCCAGAATACCGAGAAGACAAGTCAAAAGGAGCCATGCTCCGATTCGAGGACTCCCTCCCCAGACTCCCGGTCCCCTCCCTCGAAGAGACGTCCGCCCGATACCTGAAAAGCCTGCATCCTCTTCTGTCCAAGGAGGAGTTCGCTGCTTCGCAAAAGGCCGTTGCAGCCTTTAACCAGCCCGGTAGCCTTGGCGAGAAGCTCCAAGAACGGTTAATAGCAAAGGCACGAGATCCCAAGGTCAAGAACTGGATCATCGACTGGTGGAATGAGGCAGCATACCTGGCATACAAGGATCCCGTGGTCCCTTATGTCTCGTACTTCTACTCGTTCCGAGACGACCGAAAGAGGAGAAATCCAGCCAAGCGTGCGGCAGCCATTACCACTGCTGCACTAGAATTCAAACGCCAGGTCGATGACGGGAGCCTGGAGCCAGAGTACATGCGAAAGAAGCCAATGGCCATGAGCAGTTATGAGTATATGTTCAACACATCCAGAGTCCCCGCAGAGCCTGCCGATTACCCCGTTCAGTACCCGGCCCAAGGCAATGAGTACATCATTGTTATCCGAAACAACCAGTTCTTCAAGGTCCCCACGCACATCAATGGAAAGCAGCTCAATACGTCCGAGTTTGAACAACAATTCAACAAGGTCTACAGAAGCGCACAAACGTCGGACCCAATTGGTGCCCTGACATCCCTACCACGAGACCAAGGTGCGAAGGCACGAGCGAACCTACTGGCTGCATCTCCGGTCAACGCGGGTGTTTTGAAGGAAATCGAGGCGGCCTCCTTCGTTGTCTGCCTTGACTCCGCAACTCCTGTCACCCTGGAAGAACGAGCACACGCCTACTGGCACGGTGATGGCTCCAACAGATGGTATGACAAGCCTGTTCAATTCATCATCAACGACAATGGCACAGCAGGCTTCATGGGTGAACACAGTATGATGGATGGCACGCCAACTCACCGACTCTGCGACACCGTCAATGCCTACATCGTCCACAACAAGCTCGACTTCGACAACCCGAGCATTCGTTCCGACCTGTCCGATCCCACTCCTCTCAGATTCGAGACCAACACCGCTGTTCTGGAAGATGTCGCCAGCGCACAAAACCAATTCCGGCAGACGATTGCCGCACACGACCTGCGCGTGCAAGCATACCAGGCCTACGGAAAGGGCTTGATCAAAAAGTTCAAGTGCTCTCCTGATGCCTATGTTCAGATGGTCATTCAACTCGCTTACCACAAGATGTACGGCAAGAACAGACCCACCTACGAGTCGGCAGCCACGAGAAAATACCAGCTCGGACGAACAGAAACCACGAGAACCGTGTCGGACGAATCCGTTGCCTTCTGCAACGCAATGGCAGACCCGTCTGTCTCCCGAGAAGAGACCGAGCGACTCTTCCGCGAGGCCGTCAAGGCCCATGTCCAGTACACCGCCGATGCAAGTGACGGATACGGAGTGGACCGACACCTGTTTGGCTTGAAGAAACTCATCCAGCCGGGCGAAGAGGTTCCCGAACTGTTCAAAGACCCCGCATACACGTACTCTTCGACATGGTACATCAGCTCGAGTCAACTGAGTTCAGAGTACTTTAACGGCTACGGATGGAGTCAGGTCGTCGACCAGGGCTGGGGTATCGCTTATATGATTAATGAGAACAGGTATGTCACGCTTCCCCATTGCCTGGGATTAAAAAAAAACTCGTGGGATATGTTACTGACACAGATTGACTTAGTCTTCAATTCAACGTCGTCTCCAAGAAGCTCGGCTGCGAACGAATGAGCTTCTACCTGAACGAAGCCGCCAACGACATCCGCGACATGCTCCTGCCGTCCTTGGAGCCTCCAAAGGCCAAACTGTAAAAACTTCTTCGCCGGTGGTCCGGAAGAAGTAGAGACAGGGAAGAGGGCTTCCCGCGTGCCCATGCTTATGAGTGTGGTGGCGTTGCCATATCGAAGTCGGGTTGCGTTGGCGTTTCGAAGAGGGGAGAGGAAGAGCGTGTCATCGATACCGTTTCCTTCTTTTTCCCCCGCCTTTGGACCAGGGTACAGCGAGGCCCGCATTCTACCGTCGGTGAGTCGGTTGGTCGGGTTCGCTTTCACTTTCCGAGCAAAGGAGTTTCTCGACGCGGCATACCCGGCTTGACCGTGTGTGACCTGTATCAATGATATGAGTGGTTATGGCTAGTCAGCTCCAAGAGCCCCCTATACGGGTGTATTATTGTACATAGCCTTGTTTAGATTTTCTTTTTCTGTTTTTCTCTTTTCTCCTGGATTTTTACGAGAAAGATAGAAGAAGCAAAGGGAAAAAAGAGATGATCCAAATTCCCTCTCATTTTCCCGCCTTTGATCTTCTATTAGAAGTGCGAACCCAACAATGCCTTTCCTGGCATGTGAACATGGCATCTCAGGTTCTGGATCTCAGGCCTACGTGACGGGGAGTACGTATATGAAGTGATATTACCGCTTACGGCATGGCGGCACAGAGCCACGGTATGACGACGACCCATCTTTCACACGAGACAGCACCTGTATGTATGTAGATAGGTAGGTGTGTAGTCATCTTCATTATGGTACGAGGCCGCCCCAGACTCGCCCCCCGCGCATGAGCACCACTTCTTCCCGCCCTGAAGAGTCGTAGCGAGGAACCACCGACACGTCCTCGAGACCCAGGTTGCGCGCCGCCTGGTTCCACAGAATCTGACGAATCCTGCCGCGGAGCTTGACGGGGTGCGCAAGGTCATTGCTGTCTTTTGTAGAGGTGCTCGTCTCCGCGGATATCATAGACGTCGAGTCCTCTCCGATCGCTTCGTTGGTACCGCTATCGCTATACCTATCGCCATCGGCATTTGTATCGGAGACCTTGGAGGGTTTGAATTGCGGATCTTCCGCGCCCTGCCACGACACCCCTCGCGCGCGGTTGAGGCTGTCGTTGAGTGATGTACTGTTTGGATCCGGGGTGTCTTCTGCAGCATCCACAACGGGCGATGAAGATGAGGACGGTAATGAATCAGCGAGATCGTCAACCGGCAGTGCTTGTGCTACATCTTCTCTCTCCTCCTCCATCATAATCCATCCCAACGCCCTATTCGACCGTCTCATGCTCTCTATCACGCCCTTTGTCGCTGCTCTCGTGCCGACCAAGATCCCAATGGCAGGCGTATTTGATGACACTTGAGCCGTCGCCGTAGCATCGTTGTCTCCTCCTCCTCCTCCTGCTGCTGCTGCAGCTGCCGGTTCCGCTCCACCATGCGGAAAGATACTTTCGAACAACGGGGCAAGTCTCGCTCCTCGCACTGCACCATCGAGTTCGCGGATGAGGTTTGGCCCGATCCTTGCGTGTTTCCCGACGAGTCGTTTACACTGTACCAACACACGAAACGTATCGGTGGCGGTGACCACGCTGCCGTCGGGAGTTGTGTGTTCTTTCCAGGTCCCTGTTGTCGGCGAGAGGAGGGGAACCTGCCAGTGTCCTATCAGGTCGACGCCGCGGTCGCCTCGACCCCCTACGCGGTGCAGATGGAACCCATAGCCTCGCAGTGTGCTGACGGCGAGGTACTCGTAGACTGTGCCTGTGTAGACGGTGGACGAGGGTGAGAGCCCCGTACGCGCGGCGTTTGCGAGGAAGGTCGATAGGGTAGAGTGAGGAGGAGTGAACGAGTTCGAAGAGGAGCGAGCGGCGCGGAGAGAGTTCGACGAGGACGACTCCGGAGGGAGTGAGGACTTTATCCCGGTATGCTGGGTACCAGTGGACGAGCCGTCGTCGTGATCAGCGCCCGAGTGTGCTTTGAGGTCTTGCTTTTCGTACCGGGCGGAAGGAGTAAGGAGCAAGCGACGGTGACTTGGGGTGTAGGGATAGAAACTGTAGCCCTTTCTGGTATGGCGCGTGCTCTTCAAAAGAGCGCAGGGCAGCGTTGAGTCATGACAAGTGTGGTGCTGTATCCATCGTCTGCTTGCTTCCTGAGCGCCGCAACAAAACACACCTGCGCGACGTCGAATCCATGGTTGACGAGTGAGGGTTGATACGATCACAAGCCGGCTGAAGACACTCTGCTCAGTGGCGGAGGCATGACGATGAAGCATCAGCGGCGGCGAGGCGATACTCGGGATACTCGGTCTGCTCAGACAGGAGCCTCATTGTTGGTATGACGGACGAGGCTGCGGTGGATTTCTGCCGATGCCCAGCGTTGATCGAACCGCTCGCGGCTCCTGCCCGATTAGGAAACTGGCTGATGCCGCCCTTGCTCACCCCCGACTCGCGCGATGGAACCTCGTCGTCCTCGTTCAGACCATGCCTGATGTTCTCGTTTGATCTATTGGGACATTGGGATGGGAGCATCCGAGCTGGAGATGGTGGAATGGTTGCCAGAGATTCCATCAGGGGCGACGAAGAATGGTGACTGCCTGGACGTCAATGACGATGGAAATGCATGACAAGAGTAGACAGGTCCAGAAACGGGAAATCATCTTCTACTGTATCATTCATTCCATGGAGGTGTCTACGATATTCGATGCTGCCTGTATAGGGTAGGTAACCTTGGACCAGTGCACCCGCCCTCTCTCTCTCTCTCTCTCTCTCTCTCTCTCTCTCTCTCTCTCTCTCTCTCTCTCTCTCTCTCTCTCTCTCTCTTTCTCTCTGTTCCTACATCCTCCTCGGCCATTTCTGCACAGTCACGTAACCCCGTCCATGAGAGAGTCAGTACAGTCCTTCCCTGATCTTGATACGTGACCCGGAATTGTACGAGTATCCTTATCTTCATTCGTACCATGAGTGAATGTTCCAGTTACCAAAAGGAGCACCTGGAACCATTTTTCCTTTTTTCCACTTTTCCCCGTGCGACGGCTGTCACTAGATCCAAGGAGAACAAAAACCACGTCAATATGCATTCGCTCCATACCTAATGGAGACGTGTGTGACTCAGGCAGACAAGATACTTGTATGATGAAAAAGACCCTTGTTATTTTAGCTCAAGGCTTCCCTCGTGGTCCGTCATTAGTCCCCCGGGTCGATTCCAACGCCATACTCCGCAACATGCGCTGCGACGACAATCATTGGTTACAGAGCACGGATCTTGGTAATCAAAATAAGCAAACCCCATTTTTTAAGCTTGAATGAGTCTTTAATTGTGAATACTCTTTATGACTCTGACACTTTGAACAAGTGTGCTCCGTACCTGTACCACGGTACTTCTGAAACCATGTCGCGTATCCGAGCTATGGACATGGAGTATTACGAAGACATACTGACTCGTACGTGTCACACTGTACAGAGTACTCTGTACCGGTATTGTAAATGCCTAGCAGGTTCACTTTTTCTCTTCGTCCACCAAGCGACTCCGACGAACCACTTTACCGAGCCTTGCAGGTGCTTACTGCCTCTCGCTCTCGTTCTCAGAAAGTAAGGGATGGATCGATCCCCTTTTTACGGATGACTGCCTCCAATAGGCAGTCAATACGAGTGAGGACAGGAGGAAAAGGCTATCCCGGAACCGTGTGCGACCTATGACGGTGTGTCACGGACCCGGTCAACCCCCCAATGCTCGCGCGTCCTGTCATTCCGTTTTCTTCGTTCGTATTCGGTTTTATGGTTTCTACTTCGAGTATGAGTACGAAACGAATACTCCCACGACCGGGAAAATTACGTCTCATGCACCTCCCGTACGTCCACAGGTTTCGATAACCTTGCAAGGGTTCTCGGGCCGGACGCGAAAAATTGATGGTCTGCGGTCTGCCTGAATACATTACATGTCGTGGTAAGATTTGTTTCAACAAAAAAGGCGAGAATTAAAACAGTAATGATGCTTGTTGCCTGGCTCAAGCATTCCGTGGGTATCCACCCAAACCCGGCATCTGGTCCTTGCCTTGTACTTGTACTATCCCTAGAGGTATAAAGGTGCTGGTGGATGCCTGAGAAAAGGAACTCACAAAGACTTTTCTCTTCATCTGATTTCAAACTTGATCCCGATCATACTACCTGACACAAACAAAAAATCATCCCACACACTCTTGGCATCATTGCACCCTTGAATCAATCATCAATCATCAATCATGAAGCTACACGGCGACCACTCCGAAGCTTACATCTCACAACACCGCGCCGCATTGACGGCGAGGTCGCCAACGAGCGACAAGTCCACACAGTCAACGCCAAAAACAACGTCTTCAACAAACGACAAGTCCCTCAAGGAGTCGGCCTCCTGGGACGCCGCCTCCATCTCCACATCATCCATTGCCAGCGAGAAAGAGAGGGCTCAAGCAGAAGCAAACAAGAAGCCGTCATTGCTCAAGAGGGCTGTCGCAGGCATGAAAGACACACTGTCAGTCTCCTCCCTTTGATGTCGACCACTATTTCCTGACTGTGTGATCCGTCACTTATAGCAATTAAGAATTTCAAGCCGCCTGATCCAGGTTCCCACCTGGAAGTCGACACGATCTACCTGCGTGGTCACGATTATAGTCCATACGATACTACTTGACATTACGAATCATAGCAAATTGTCAGACTTTGCAGAAACACTTAATAATGAAGCACCCTTATTGTCGCCAATTATGGAACTCATCTAGAGATGGGGCTTATCAGAGGGGATGTAGTAGAAATTAGACCGTCGCTTGAGGGTGAGTGGGAGAGTGAGAAGAAAGTGAGTGAGATGAGGGTGAGATGAGGGTGAGTGAGATGAGGGTGAGTGAGATGAGGGTGAGATGAGGGTGAGATGAGGGTGAGATGAGGGTGAGTCGTCAGCAACTGGTCTCAAAAGCGGCACCGTCTGCGTGAGCGCTTCGAGAGTTCCGGAGCAGTTCGACCGACCATTGCTTGTAGCGCCATGGTGTAAGAGATGGACGATTGTGAATAGATCTTCGTCCTCAACTGCAGCATCCATCTTTTTTCGCGTCGAGTTTGACAGTTTTTGAGGAGGGAGAGTTGAGAAATGGTTTCAACGTTCAATTTGGAGCTTGTGTCGAAGCCATGAGGCGCACAAGCAAAACGCTCTTCCATACTTGGTCTCAGTCACCAGGACGGTAAATGTCAAGGGAACTCGACCGGTCTCTCTCTCTCTCTGAGACATTCAGCTGAGCCATGTGCCTAGTCAGGGTGGTTGGATCTTGACCATCGACCTCAAAGGGAGACCAGACCCGTATTTTTCCACCGTGAATATCGCCGGCCAATTGCCCAAGTGTTCAGTTGCTAGAACCCAAGTGTGTTTTGGTGTTGCCTCGATCATGAAGGTCCTGGGAACTTCCGCTTCGATTCGGTGACGAATGATTAAGTAGACGCCAGTGGTTTCTTGATTGTTTTTACAGTTCAATATCGTCTCGACGCGCGTTAGTGTTACCATGGTTCACCCATCTCTCACATGGTTTCTACCCCGTCGGGTACCTTTTGTCTTCGGGAGCGTCGGTCATCATCAATTCGCTGTACTCAAGGTGTGTTTTCCCGCAGCGACTATTATGTCCCTTGCATCCACGTCTTGCCTAGTGATTCCCAACCGGAAAATCGAGGTCCTGCGACTCGAACCGCCTTCCATTACAGTGGTTAGGCATTTACGGCTGCCACTCATGGGAGCCATACGTGGTACGCTTTAATTCCTGCAGCACCATGAAGGGGTTTTGCGTCTGAGCATGAACAAGGTAGTTTAACGAATGGACGCGCACGAAGCGACAGCTAGTGAGGAAGATGTTCCTCGGATCCCTGCACGACTTAGGCTGAAGTCGATGCACGTTACGTGTTGTTCATCAATCAGTGGCTCACTCAATTGGGCGCTAGACGCAATTGTGTTGCCCGGGATCCTGGCACGATTGGCACCCAGGATGACTGCCTCTCATGATAGTCCTCGTGCCTCACTGCCCCTGGCTGTCACAAGCAGGATAGTGTTGATGCCTACCCTCCCTTATCGGCCCAATATGAGCCTCAGTCGCCCTCCACGATGTAAGCTGCTTTTGAAAGTATATATCAATGTCACACAATCCTCCTGGATCCGTGCCACATATGATGCAGTCTGAGAATCGAGCTCGACGCTGAACAACGCTTAGACTATGGCCGCAAAGATGCCTCGCCTATTTGAAGAAGGGGGAGAGGACAGTAGCTTGCGGAAAGGACAAAAGTGAGTGTTGCGTGCATCTGTTGGGCACTTTTCTCACCCTCCCTGATACTCTAGAAACATCAATGTCGTCAAACCTGTCACTGCTAAGCGACCCGTCCCCTACCGTGCAACGACTAACGCGTGGGACGGATTTCGAACGACCGGCCAAAGATTCCTCCTTACTTACTCGCAACTAAGGTTGGAGACCTTCAAAATATCAGAACTTGGCCAGCACCTAATGTCACTCTTCAACAACCCTGTTACGTGTGTCCTTGCAGCTAAAGAGAAACATAAAGATGGCGGGGACCACGTACACATTTATTTGGATGTCGGAATAGAAGTTCAGATCCAGGGTTCCCGCTTTTTCGACTATTGCCAACGTCACCCGCACATCAAGGCCATAACAAAGACGCCGCATCGAGCCGCTGCCTACGTCATGAAAGACGAAAAGGTCTTCTTCAGGCATGGAGAAGTTCCCGGAAAAAGAGTCGTCAGTTTATGTCAGCAGGGCACCACCAGCAAGCACAGTTTCGAGCGCAGACGACATGGGCTTGTTGCGTTGGGCGGAAGTTCCACCGTCTCTATGGAGATGCTGAACAAAGATATCGAACGTTTGACGCTCAACTGAGCTGTCTAGACGCCGCTTGAAGAATTTAGAAGTGGAGTTGCTCCAGTCCATTGACAACTCGCTTCCTGAGTTTTCAACTCAACTCCTACCGTAGTTGCCATTTCACTGACTATTCCTTCCTACGATCATGGTTCATATTCAGCCGAGTCTAATGACCCCAGAAGAACCATTCAGACACGGTCTCCCAGACTGCCAGGCGACTGGTCCTGAGTACCATCGCCCGTCGCGAAGGACAGGGGCCAAGGGAAGAGCACTTCTTGTGGGGCCGCATGACCGTAGAAGCACAACCCATTTATCCATCCCTTGATTCGTAACTGTGGGAGTCCCAGTCCGATAGGATCCTTCTCTGAGCTAACATCGAGTTGTACGTGCTTGTCCATCGGCTCCTGCATACCGTCTGAGGGCCTATCCGACGTGAAATGCCACGACGAGAAGACCTTCAGAGGCATGATCTTTGGCCTAGAAGGCACGAAAATCCCCCAACCGGAATCGTTTCCCACAAGCTTTGCTGAAATTAGCGGACGGTTGTCTCTCCAAGCCCGAGCGACTTCATGAGCCATCGCAGTCATGTATCGACTGCGTGCATGAAGTCTGTCGATGCCGTTCATCTTTGACACAAACTGGCAAAGAAGTTTTGCGACTGCTGGATGCGCAGGTTTTGATTCCGCTGCGAGTTCCTGGAGAAGTATCCAGACTTCGGGGTGCGGTCCGTCGGATGTCTCTGGATGCCTCGTGTGGTCTTTCAAGCGCACAGGCCTCCTGGGAAGATACTCCACACTTTCCCATAAGTATCCTTTTGTGACTACACCCTCACGACGAAGACGCGGATTCAGGAACCGACAATGTTTGACAAAAGTAAGATCCTTCATCATTGAGGGAGGCCGCGTCAGCCTAAACATTTGTTGCTGGAAGAACTGAGCAAAGCCTTTTGTGGGCGGCTTAGCGACCTTTAGGTTGTTGTGAAGTATCTCTCCGTTCATGAGTGCTTGAACGAACAAGGACAACGATAGACTGACATCTCGTTCTTGTGCTAACCTTCTCTGGTCCAACCGTCGACTGTAGGTACAACAGTTGGCTGAGATAGGAAGCAAATCCGCGGAATATTTTACGCGGCGTTCTTGTAGTTCGTTCATGATCTTGGATGACAGGAGGTATCCTGAACATCTGTCAAGTTGGTACGAAACCTGATATCGTTCAGCCTTGCCACGTAATTCCCGTGATATAAACCTCTTCTGCCTTTGACTCAATCTCGTCGCCCGCTTACAAGCCTCATGAAAACGTGTCAGCTGGGCACGGAGTTCTATTGCCTGGATCTCAATTTCATCCCTCATTGTTCCGAGAATCGTGCTTCGTCGTTTCAAGTTCTGGTTACACGGGATAAGGAGCCGCATGTTCTGTGCTGCGCAGTATTCTTCCTGGAAGATCCAGCACCGCGTCCACCACCGATCAGATAACAAACGGCGCAACAATCTGAGTGTTGGCCAGACTCTGTTCGAGCGCAGTCTTGGGGTTTCTGACTCAACGCTTGGACCTTTCGCCGGTTTGAACAGAGATCCATCCATCAGCGAATACAGTGCTTCTAGCTGCCATTGCTTATCCACAGACACTTCCAACATCCCTACCGAATAAGTACTTACGGCATAGAGCCGATCCATGGAGTGAATGGCCGACTGACGACTCTTTTGACCCACCGGATCTAGACACTCATCGTCAATCCAGAAACCCCGAAGTCTATGATGCTGCACATATCGAATTGCGCGCCATATGATCGTGTCTCGGACGACATTCGTTCTGGTGGAGCCATCGCGCATTTGGATCGAGAAGCTTCCGGGTCGTCCTGATTCACGTTGAGCCGGATGGGACGGGTAAGAGATGGCCGCATATTGAAAACGCCCCTTGTCAAACACGTTTGCATATTTTATGTGTAGGATGACCTTTGGGTCTTTATGGTGATCTAGAGATCTGTGCTCTGCTGTCGGCGACTGGTAAGGGGAGAGGCATCGAAGATTCTGCATCCACCGAAATGACTTTTGTCTGGGGTTCGTAAACTCAAATTCTTGTATCTTCAAGATCTGATCGATGAGCGGACTTTGCGCGCATTGCTTCGTGAGAGTAAAACTTCCTACATCATTCTCCATTTCACACGGGCTTGCCACATACGCTATGAGTTTCACTTTCTGTTTCTCAAACATCCGCAGCCGAATGCGCTTAATAGGGTTCCTCAAAAGTGGTTAAGACGTGTTGCTACTGCACGCTTACAAAATCTCAGTATATGACTCAGAGAACGAAGCGTTTCGAAAACCGGCCCGCGGGGCTGGGCTCTTCAGTCCATCCCACGGGTTTATGAAGCAGACCAATGGTTGTTTGCCACATACGTTTGAGAATCAAGGCTTGTCGCATATCTCCAGCCAGTACCTCCGATGGGTCATCTTACCAAGCTGGCAAGCGAGAGATCTCGTTCTTGTCATGGAGATCCCTCCTCTAAGTCTACGCGCATCGAGATCTCACACTGGCAAGGGACCAATTGCCTGCCATTGCAGGCCTCTCGTGGTGGTCCGCACAGGAATTCTAGCATTCCACTGATAGATTACATCACAGGGCTGTGGAGGCCTCATCTCCTCAGGCACTGTGATGATACCATGAACACATGACGGGAAATGATGCGTCTAAACCCGTAAGATCGGACAGAATCGTGGTCGTGTGCTACCTGGGACTCACAAACCTTCCATTCCAAAGAGCTCTTGGGAAAAGTCAAAGAGAGCACGTACCCTCGGCTTGCTCAAATTTGTGCCCAACAACCTCCTTCACCTCGACAGAAGAAGTTCAATCCGAAGAGTATGAAAACAAAACCGATCAAGCCGAATGGGGAGTTTTATCAGCCAGGAGAGCCACGTGGTAAACTAGTCAAATGTGCTGGGTGGACACTGGAATGGGCAATTCCGGCGCTCTATGCGGCCGGTATGTTCATATAGCAGAATATTGCCGAAGTTCTCCAACGAGGCTCTAGGCTGCAAAATCGTCTCTGGTTACAGAAAAATGCCGTGGTATATTGGTGATAGCATCGCTATCTGAAGGGGGAAAGCATCGAGACATATCTCAAGCAACTGGGGCCAGTCGTCATCCCAGAGAAAACTTGTGTAGCTGATGAAGTACTCGAAGTAGCTGGGATACCAACCTGCGTCTTCCCAATCGACTATTGTTAGGCTAAAGTCATCCTCGTTGCGAAAGTCGTCCTGCCCCTTCCCTATTTTGTCTACAAGTATGTTTTTCTTCTGTATGTCTCCGTGCGTGAATGTCGGTGGGTGCCCTTTGAGTGATACAGGAAGATGTTTTCGCAGCCATTCGACCCGAGACATATGTTGATTGTTGTCACTGTATATCTGACGGAGTTGCTCCACGAGGCCAAGGTACAGTTGCTCCTCGGTGTCGAATGGGCCGTTAATCATCTCCTGCGGTTTTGGCGTCCAGAACAGAAAGTACGGGAGTGGCCCACGATCAACACTTCCGTAGAAAAGAGGCGACGGTGGTGTGAGAGACCTCATGTCGTCTAGGACTGTTCTAAGCTTTCTTAGAATCAGCCTCCGCTCACGATCCTGAAGACCTGGCCAGAGCTGTTCGAGGGACTGGCCGGCGACGTATTGCATGACTAAATAAGCATTGCCCTTCTCTTCGTACAAAGCGTACACCAATGGACTCGGAGTTGTGAGATTTTGGTTGACAAAGATCGTATTTAGTCCTTCTTGGATGCGTCGTCTTATCTGTGGGCCATATTTGACGACGAAATGATCTCCGACTCGGAGGACTCTGGAAGATCCGTCCTTGAGTACGGAGGTCGCATTTTCTATGTCTGCAGTGCTGGGAAGAGAGGCCGGTACGAGGGAGGAGTCGCAAAAGTACGGGAGTGGCGGAGGGTTCCACATCGACCCTTGTATCCGGCAAGATATCTCGCGTGGGTCCTGCTATCAGTGGTGACTTGAGCTTGCAGCTACACAAGGCAAGTTATTAGGGAAATTGAATCGACGTCAAGGAAAGCAACCCACCGATAGACGTTGCTCCTGGGAATTGAGCTTGCGAAGAAGGCCAAGACCTTATTTAATGAGGAAGCTCTTTCGAGAATATTCACTGATGCAGTGTAAGGCCACTACAATAGTCACAACCTGGTCGAGCAAGGACTGTTGCCCAAACCCTCCAGTCCAGACTGCCTTAGGGGCAACTGATATACTGCGATTTAGAGCACACAACACTTCATTCCTTCCGGAATCCAACCCAGATTGCGGCCCTGTGGCACGTGAAGACTGCTGCGACGACAATAGAGCATGGTCGAGGCGGCAAGGACGGAGTTCCATTGGCGGGCAGCCTCATTCCGAAGTTATGCGCGTCCTGTCAGCTTGCGAGTCTTCGTAGGGGACGCACTGGCTTCTCTCATTCCCTGCAGCGATTGTCTGATGCACATCCACCTTCGTCGGCAACGCTTCATCGTGATGCGGGGGATCCCATCATCTCGTCACAGACTTGATTCGGCAAGGAGATTAAGTGCACACTCAGCTCTAGTTGTGCGTGTCTGGCCAGGTCTTCTTTCTTTGTAAAGTCAGGCGTGTGGACGGGAGTTGTGTACAGTTTGAGCTGTCGCTTCTCAGGCACTGCTTGCAGTGGATGGTATCGAGGAATAGGAAATCACGCCCCTCGGGTTTTTTCAGCGGCATGGAACATCTCCGGTAAATAGTGCAGGTGTAGCTTAAGATTGCCGCCGAACTGCTCGATACACTCATGTACGCCGGTCGATACATAACTTTGATACGTTGTTCAACGGCCTGCCCACGGCTCATCTGAAGTGGTGTCCCCTTGGAGGCGTAAACTTGATTCCTAGTGGGTGATGAGCATATACGTTTCCGTGTCGACAACAGTGCTGTCTTTGCGGTGTGGTCGCTGTTTCATTTGACGTCGCAAGGATTGTCGTGACGACCTTGAATATTTTCTCCTCTACCGGTCATAGAGCGTAGTCGGCAACAAATCAGACCGTGTCACAGCTTCAAACACTATCTCACTAACTCCAGTAGCCTGTGAATGATTCAGATGATACACCGGGGATCGTCTGGATTTCGAAGGTCCATTCTGCGCCAGTTGTGGAAATAAACGTTCGCAGATAGTAAGATCGTATTCGCGAGATTCGAATATGCCGTCCCCAGGGCCCTCAAGGATCGGTGAGAGTTGGATATTTCGACGTCACGAATGGCTTTCGTTGGACTTCACTGCGCGGGCCCAACTCATGTCCGACAATGCCGAAGCGAATCGCCGGGTAATCTTGTGCTGGATGACACCCATAACGAGTGTCAGCGCCCTCAATGCCACAAGAACATACGGCCGCCTTTTGTCGTTTTGAGTCCAGCTGATGTTGATCATGGTTCCTGACTCATTCGTTGATCCTCAGCTCACTGATCAATCCTTCTTTAAAGTCGAATCCAGTCTCTTTCGAAACACCTTCCTCTCCACCTCTCGGATCTTTTCCTTCTCTTCCATCTCCCTCGTGATCTCACGCAGCTTGGTCTCTCGTTCCTCCAGCTTCTGCCTCAACATGTTCGCCGTCTCCTCGCGCAGCCTTGCAACCTCCTCCTGTTTCGCCTTCACGCCTGCTTTGCCCTTCGCGTCCACCCCACGTGCAGAATTCACTTCGGCACGGACCTTTTCGTATCCGTACTTGGTCAGCTCCTCGTCCGTGAAAGGCTGAAGGGTGATGGGGTTCAAGTTCCAGGCTGCGTCTGCGGGGACCTTCACGGCCGGCACAGCAGGGTGAATGGGTGTCGTTCGTAAGGGTGAGTCGAGCGGAACGGGACCATGTTCAGCGCTGTTCGCGGGCACCGTCGCAGTGGTTGGCGAAGTAGACATCACGACATCATTGTCGCCATCGTGAACACTGCTCGCAGTCGGTGTGGGCGCAGTCGATGTCGCGGCGGTACTCAAATCCTTGTTCACGTTGACGTTCGAGGTCAAGGATTGTGCTTTTGGCGGCAACGCTGATGCCACCGGCTCTGCCATGTCGAGAGCAATGACATATGTGCAACACAACACTCCGAGCTTGGAACAGTTCTTCGCGGGTAAACTTCTAGTCCGCGATTCAGAAATTCGGAGTTGATACTGCCAAACTGGCCGCCTGATCCGCCGTACTTTATGTTCGTAGCGAAAACGTCTTTCTAGTCGGCGCAGCCTTTGAAGGGGCCACCATTCTATGATTTTATACGGCTTTCCATTTGTGTATCAGGTTTCTGTCTAATCAAGAACTTCCAGTGATGCCAATACCACCCAAAGAAGCTCGCCGATTATCCTGTGTCAGAGCTTGAACGTCACAAACTGACCTATTCCAGGTACACCATTCGCAACTATATAAACAACATAAGGTCCAGGCGCAATCTTGACTCCATCTGGCATATAAGCTTGTACTTTCGTGCGGCCGGCATTCGAGGTCTCCCAGCTGCTGTGCTCCAAATATACCATTACTTGACCCATGTGCAAAGAATGAGTCACAAAGCCTCCCGAGTACAAAACGATGTCCAAACTTTCGACGTCTTCCACGCTGCTGAACTCGATTTCGCAGCTAGAGTTGGCAGCGAACGTTCGATCTAGCAACTTGACATCGGTAGGTCTGCGTGATGCATTGTTACCTTTCAGGTACACCGGAGTATAGCTCTCGATCCTGAACTCGGTCGGAAATGCTTTTTGTTGGTCATTTCCATCGACCTGGTCTATCGTCACTGGCATTTCATTGGGGTTGCTGCTAGCAACGAGCACTGTGCCATCCAACATCAGCAACGCAACGGAATGATACAGTCTCGGTATCCTTGATTTCCCATGTACCGACCACTTGCTCGCTTCGGGGTCGTATATTAATGCTTCGAGAGCTGGCTCTGTGGCCAAACCAAAGCCCTGCGCTCCTTGCTGATAACCATTGAGCCAGAGGACAGTGCCGTCGAGAAGCAGTACAGCTTCAACCATTCCTCGAGGCTCGGGCATCGAAGTCATCTGCCACTTCGGCTTCGAGCTGAGCGGCCTCAGCCTCCCACAAGTGGCATCACACAAGCTATCAACTGCCTGTGCTTGTCCTCCGCCACAAATCATGATCTCCGGTTCATAATTGTTGCTCCGGTGTAGGGGAAGCATTACACTTCCGCCAGTGTTTGGATATGTTCTGTGCAATCCGGGTAACTCAGGCATGGTCTCAATAGTGCGGCTCGATGTGACGTCGAAGGTCTCAGACGATCGATCCGCGAAGATGAACAGCGAACCATCGGGCAGTAAGTGTAGGAACGGGTACATCTAGTACGGCTGGGTTTTGACCAGGATGTCCATTGGCATACTTTTCCCTTTACTGACGCTATTAGCTCCAAGTATCTCGTACGTGGGATTGTTGTTGCTATGATTTGCTGGGCTCAACCCATTGAGGCTCCCTGCTGCAACGAATATGTCCCCATTCGACATCGTTTGTGCGGAAGCATACCATCGTTTGGAAGCCAACTTGTTTCCAGGCTCTGTCCAATGATAAGCTGCGTTGCTTGAGCCGAGGAAGCGAATTGCGTCGAAACCATCACTAACAGTAGGGTCAAGCCAGAGCAGAGGTCCATTGCCTCCAAGAGTGACCAGCCTCCCATCGGGTAGAAATGTTCCTCCACAGCAGAACGGGTTCGTCGCAACAGATAACGGATACAGTTCGTGGCTTATTGGGTCATAAAGAGAAGAGTATGCGTAGCGGTTGTTCGGCAGCAGAAGTTCGGTGTAGTTTTCCACCTTATCGAGAAATACGACTTTTCCATGCGGTGGGAGAACTGCTGCGTGCATGGCCGGGACGCCAGAGGAACCCGCGAGCTTGAAGTAGTCATAGTCAAGGCTCACATCTTGATCGTATAATGGTGCACTTGCAATAGGTGCGAGGTAGAAGAAGAGGTACTGTATAGTTAGTAAGTTCATACTGATTTACATGTGTCGCTGGAAGCCCATGCGGCTAGAGGAGCGAAGTGGATGACATGAAGCTGAACATCACCCACCCAAAGACATAAGGGACGCGGTGTCCCCGGCAAGTAGGCACCACCTCTGACACCTGACTCTGTCCAGGAAGCTGCGTTCCAAAAGCAAGCAACTGCGTCGTCTGTACCAGTGAAAGAGGTCTTTACGTCTGCCCGTCGGTAGTCCAGGTAGCCCATAGTCCAGTCGATCCACCTAGTCTGTCTTTCACGGTCTCAATGACATAGTGAGTCTGCTTGGAATGCCCGCTTCGATTTCTTATCCTGCCCAAACCATCATGCACGATGACAGTGCAGTCGAAGCCGGAATCCATAGTCCTCGCCAGTGTCTCGTGACCGCACATTAAGCTTAGACTTTCTCCTCTTGGGCCGCAAAAGCCAGAGTCCAGCGGAATACCATGAAGAGACTTCCTTGTGGGATCCTGAATTGAGCCGACATCTACAATGCCCTCAATCTCAACGGGAAATTCAACCAAAACCAAGGCGTTTCCAGGCATTCTTGAGACTTGCACAATGCTCCGCATCAGCGATGCCAATAGCGCATTTGCATGGACAAGCCCACTTCGACGATATGTGGCCGTCACTGTCGGGCCTAGACCCTGAAGCAGGATGATGTCCTGATTCTGCGATGGGGTCATCATAGCATTTGGGTCCGGCTTTTCCGGTCTCTGTGGCCTTCTGTACAATGCTTCACTGATTTCGGCCACGGCCTCGACAAGTCCGGCGAAGTCAAAGTATTGTAACAGTTGGACACCCTTGAGCAGCTCAATCGCAGTCGCTGAGTCGGACAACGTCCGAGCGAGGTTAGCGTGAAGCAATGGAATAGTCTGCGCGGTATGCGGTGCAATGATGTAGATTGTTGGAGAAGCTAAGTCTCCCAGCAATTGTGAATCCGACGAGACGACCGCTCTGAGGACTTGCGACAGATCTGGTCTGCTCAAAAGTGCCGCGGAGATGAGGTTGAGCGACAACAAAGACTTTAAGACGCACCGATATTAGCTCCCAGGAAAGAATACATCACGGCTACTAAGACGCGATGTCTCTGTATGTGTCTGCAAGACCGAACATATGACAAACTCACCTGCTCCGAGTGTAGACTCGTCGGGTCGTCTACATCTGTTGAACCAATTCCCACAACCCTTCCACCAGGCCAAACAGACCGAAATCGGGTATCAAGACCTCTGATCCAGACACCCGTCCTCTTGTTGGTATCAGGGACCGTTGAGTTAAGTGTGTCTCGTAAATTGTCCCCCAGTTCTAGGTCAAGAAGGATCGAAGCTTTGATGGGTTCGTGAGCATATCCAGCGGCGTCTGTTGACTGCGCCATGGTTTGATGAGATGTCGTCCAGTCCAAGACATCTTCTTGCAGCCTGATGACAGTACTCTATTCGTGCTGGTCTTGGATCGAATTCTGTCGCGGCAGAACTGTAAGAGCGATGTAAACCGATGTGCTGACCCGTCACCGGAATGGAATATCTATTTTCCGCAACAACGAAGATGCAACTGAGCGTACAACAAGACACAATGAACAATAGTTGTATATTTCGTGTTCCTTTTCATCTACCAAAATTTCTATCCTGTCATCCATGAATAGATTGGCGACGTCTCCGACTCCTAGCCTCCAATCTCAACATCATCGCCCCAAAATATACACCTGGCTTAAATGAATCAGAAAAGGACAAACGATGTTCTAAACCCATGATGGTGTACAGTGCTCGCGTGATATGAACTAGAATTACATTGATGCTCAAATCTTTGGTATGTGAACCAAGCTATTAGTAGGGAGGTCTGATCAGGCGACTGTTTCGATTGTCTGCGCCTCCCGTACTTTCATCACTAGCAGAAGGGATTTCGGCCAACAGAGAGGTCAAGTCGAGTCTTCCATGTGCTGAACCGACGACCGGGCTGGCACCCTTCCGACTGGTTGGGCGTGAAGATTTCAAAGTGCTCTGTTTTCCAGGTGCAGATGTTATTGAATAAGCACCACTGATGACACGCTTTGATTGGGAACTTGTGTTGTGTTGTGGCAAAGATGGGCCTTTGTCGAGAGCAGGCTCATCGGTCCGGGCGGGAGAAATGTCGCGTGGCCAGGTCCCAGGCAAGTTCAATGACGAAGGAATCTTGGGCACAGGCGGGATGTCTGAGCTGTCGTGAGACCCGCCGTCTGTTGAAGGCAGCGTCACGGCGTTATATACGCTTCCAGCTCCGTCTCTCGGGGCTTGGGCCGATGGAGATGTTGCTGGTCGGAGCCCGTCGGAGATCTGATGGACGGAGTCACTGAGTCCACCTCCAGTACTTACGTCAAGAAACGACAGGTTTCTGTCATCCGCCTCATCCCAGCTGACCATGCTGCTGGTCAGACTACTCCGTGTACTACGTCGTGAAGATGTCAGCGGCTTTCTCAATGGGCTATGTCGTCTACCTCCGGTGGCGTAGGTAGAAAGGGCTCTCTTGAGATCCGACACTCTCATAGTCGAATCTCTGCTCGACGTCGTCGGAACCCGCGTGGGCGATCCGTTGGCACTGGGCCTCCGCACTCTGGTCAGAGATCCTAGCCCACTTGCCAGCCCATATGTGGGGGTCGTACTACCGTTGGCGTTTACTGGTGACTCCTGACCACTGACAGAGCCGTGATTGCGAGCTCCATTGACACCGAGATGATATCGGGGAAGCGAAGAGCCACCTGTCCTTGAACCAGTCATGGAAGTGGCGCTCTCTTTCTCAACTGCTGCAATACATGCTTCTCTACTCCAACCAGCCGTCATTTCTTCCTTGACTTTCTCAGGCAGCTGCTCCTCCTTTGAAGGTTTATGAACTGGGGCTGCGCCGAAGCCATAGCCAAACCCAAGAGTCGGAACAGAAAAGACACGGCTTGGAGATGAGGGTGCAGAGCTCGGCGGAGTCAGCAAAGACTTGTTGTAAGACGTTGCTATCTCGTTGACCAATTCGGTCACCGATAAGAACGGTTTTAGCGTGTTGACGCTTTCTTCGGAGTACTGAGGTTGCTTCTCAGACCCTGAGGAGGTGCCGCGTATTTCGTCAATACCGACAGCTGGAAATCTAACCTTGTCACACCAGATGCTTAGCCGTTTTCTGCGAGATATTTCGCTGTTGATTTCATGACCAACGGCGCTCATCTCAAAGTCAAACTTGTCCGCAAGAGTCCACAGATAGCTTTGAACAACGCTAGCAACATTGACCCGTCCGGCGGTCGGAACAACTTCTCCGTTCAAAGCCGTCTCCTGAAGCTTCAACATCATAGGCAGACCGCTCCGCACTGCATTCACCCCAAGCCGTTCAACCAATTTTGTCAGCAGGAGATGAGAGAGGAGAAGATTAGCTTCGTTTTCAGCATCGTCCAGAATGCTGTCATAGATAGCTAGATGCAGTAAGCTCACGAAGCTCGATCGAGTAGTTTTGGCCTCCTTTCGAGAGGCACCAGAAACAGCTCGCTTTGCCAAGTTCTCGCTCGAAGCTGGCTTCTTGCTCGAAGCATGCTTTCGTGTGCCGTTCTTTGGTAGCAACGTATCAGATTTGTTGGTCTCCAACCGAAGCCAAGTCAGCAGAGCCTCGACATATGCGAAGCGAACTTCCTTCTCCCCGTCCTTGAGAAGCCACTGCGTCCCCTCCCAGACCTGTACACCGACTCGTGCGCGTGCTTCTATCGGCCCACCGGTGCTGCTCCTCTTGCTATTTGCGCGGGTTAAGATGGCTTGGATTACTTGCAGTGCCGTCACCCTGGCTGTTCCGAAGGAGAAAAAGGACGATGTGTTTGGATCTTCTTGGATACTCGCTGATTCAGCTATCGCCTTCGTAGCTGCGGCAGGATCGTCGATTGCAGCTGCTGTTGATGGAACCTCTGATTGAGGAGAAGGCTTTAAGCGGGCCAGGATAGCAGTGATCATGTCACTTATCTGATCGGTATAGTAAATATGGTTAGAAAGAGAGGCGATGCATTTCTGCATCCTCACCAAAAGCTCCTTTCGGGTTGGGGAGGCAGCAAGCTCGATTTTAGAAGGTGTTGGGTTGAGCCCAGCACCTGCTAGGACCGTACTTGGGTCGAAGGCTTCTTTTGTTTCTCGAATCAGTCCCATGGGGTCATTCTGACGAGATGCTCCAATCCGTGGATTTGAACCTGCGAGCTGCAACAGGGACAACATGTGTTGAATAAATCCGAGCAAGACATCCATCACGCTGAGTCCGATCAGGTTAACGGACGAGCTCAAGAGCCAGTCGATCATTGTGGCCAACACCAATTGCTTGTCAAGTAAGTTTTCTGCAACAGGAGTTCGAACCAGGGTTTCCATGGCGGTGAGCAAGATGATGAATCTATCCTGCACAGGGGTCCAACGCGCGATGGCTTCAAAAAGCGAAGTCGCCCATGTACCCTCACTGACGTTGTCTGGATTGGGTCGAGGCGGGTTCTTGGACGCAATGAATTTCAGTGTCAAGGCCGTGGCCAACCTCGTCTGTCCTCTTGTGCTGCCAACGCCAATTGAAAAGATTTGCTTTAGACATCGCAGCGCCAATGCTCTAACTTCTTCTTCGGCCACTTTGTCTGCTCCAGCTGTGGTCTCAACAGCTGTAGCCGGATCCCCATCGGTTGTGTCCACCGTTGTGACAGTCGACAAACTGATTCTCCTTCTTCGTGCGATTTCGTCCTCGAACCTCTCCGATGTCTTTGCTCTCTCTTGCAAGTGTGACAAAACATCCTCGTCCTCTAGCGACATGTTCTCGAGAATCACAGGCATGACCAGATTCAACTGCTGGCTGGAATCGGTGGCCAGAGCATCAGAAGCAACCACAGCTCGTATCGCCCGTAGGCCAACTGTCCGCCATCTTAGTGACAACGGTATCGAATCGCCATTTCTCCGGCCAGCTGATTTCTGCTTCTCTGCGAAGCCGGCGTACAGCTGCACAATCAACAAGTACTGTTGTGCACGCTGCTGGTCTGCCGTCAGGGAGGCAGCATCTACATGTTTACAGTACGCTTCGAATGTCGGCACCGTCTCTTCCACCATATTGATGTCCTTTGAGCGCAGAACAGTGCCCAGGATGGTAAGGATAGATCCGGAGTAAAGGGAGAGGTCGCGAGGAGCTTTTTCAATGATCGCGGTTAGGATTTGGAGGGTAACTTGAACATTGCTACGCGTGGTTTAGCAGAAAGTCAGTCGAATGGCACTGACTGCTTACCCGAGTCTTCCTTTCCAGACATCGTGGGCGTTTTTCTTTTCCAGGAATGCGCCCACCTTTTGCAGCTTACTTCGCCGTGTACTGGCATAGTACAGAAGGTAGCTGAGCTCGGAAGAGTTCGGTTTGACTTCTTGCACGTTCTTTTGATATTGCGGATAGCATTTGAGCACAAGAACTTGGTGCTTGGGCCGGCACTTTTGGCTCGCGCTATGGAGAGGATGAAGTAGGGAACTCATGGTGAGTGATGGCTAGTAAGACGAGAAGAGGCGCCGTCATGTGCGGGCAGGAAGGTTATGGACGCTGTCGCAACATCGTCGTCGACTTCTTCTAAGTGACGCGTCCAGAAAGTACCAAAGGGCGCAGGATTCGAGAATCTGGTAGACTCGGAAAGGATGGACTTCCTGGAGGCTCCAGGACAGCGAGTCGATTCAATCGTACGCGATGCCGATCTTGGGGCAGCTGCAGGATGGCGAGGGAAATGCGGGATGTTGGGAACGTGGGAGGAATAGCTAGGGAATGCCGGACATCGACCAGGGATTTGATGCTGATCTGGAAGTATTTGGCGTGGAAGAGATCGAGCATGAGCCAGAAGCTGCGCTATCACTGGCCATGGGCCTGAACCGGAGCGGCCGGACACGAGGCTTTGTACGTAGGGCGAATACGAATACGAATGCGAGGATTCGGATCAAAATAGCTCCGGCTCGTGGGCGCATACATCGCTCTCCCTCGTGCTACTTAAGGTATGTATTTATGCCTTCGCACTAGTACCGTTCACAGTATGTTGACGTTTAGGTCTTTCACAACGCCTTTTCTCTTCGACTCACGGATAGGTACTGAAATAACAGTATGGCAAGGCAGCATCCTACACTCTGCCACCCTATGGAGTGATCTCGTTGCCCAACAATTTGCCAATCTCCTGCGCAATAGCAAGAGTTCGCTCTTCGCTGAGTCTTCTGCCCACAATCTGTACCGCAACAGGCGCCCCGTGATATGCTTCCGGGTCATCTACGATGCATCATCAGCATCTGATTAGCACACATTAACTGGGACTGACGACTTACACTCGGCTTGGACAATTCGATCGATGTCTGACAGCGGCTCAAAGTCCGTCAGCTTCTTATCTTTCTCCTTGTCCGCAAACGTGACCGGCACAACAACACTGGTCCAGTCGAGGAGATTTATGGCACTGGCATAGCCGTAATATTTGAACTGGTTGTGACGAATGGCTGCTGTAGGCGTGATTGGGGCGATGAAAGCATCAATCTCCCTTCCTAGTTCTACTTCGCGGAGGCGCCACTGTTCCAGATACTCGCTTTGATATGCCCATTTCTGACGTTGTACATCCCAGGCCTCATTCATATCGATCTTCGGCAGCGACGGATTGATGAGGTCTTGGAAATTAGGAATCGCTGGTTCTCCAGACTTCTTGAGATCCGAGAAGATATCCTACTTGCCAATTAGCCTTTATCACCTTTTATCATGACTCTTAACTGACGAAGCCTCCGTCTGAAGCATAGATCTTGTTGATCAAATCGACCCCAAAGTCGTGTTTGTACGGCTTCCACGGTACAACGGTGTGGCCTTTGTTCTTCAGAGCAGACACGACCATGTCTACGCCACGAAGTATGGGGGGATGCGGTAGCACCTGTCATTGGTCAAAATGCGTTTCTTCCAGATTACCCCAGATACTAACGTTTCCATCGCAGTTATAGAATCCCAGAGTCAACCCTCCACTCGAGATCTTGGTATGGATAATATCCTCCTCTGCCTGTCGCCATGGCATGGGAATCACCTTTGAATCATACTTCCAGGGCTCTTCTTGAAGGACGGAAGTTACGAAGAGTTTCAAGTCTAGAACAATCGTCAGTTTACCCTGTGACACCGCAGAGAAACCAATTACCATACCAGGTACTGAGTGAGCAAGTGGCCCAACAACGCTATGCACCGTCTCTTGACCTTCCATACTATTGGCCATCTTTGCATACGGCATGCGACCATGGCTAGGCCGAATACCATAAAGGAAGTTGAACGCAGATGGGACACGAATCGAGCCACCTATGACCTGATTAGCGACTCCGAGCTCTGGTGAGCCGAATTGTCGAACCCACCAATGTCTGTTCCGACTCCGATGATGCCTCCTCGAAATCCGATATTGGCACCTTCACCCCCAGAACTGCCACCGCACGACCAGTTCTTGTTACGCGGGTTGAGTGTCCTTCCGATGATATTGTTCACCGTCTCGCAGACCATCAGACTTTGAGGAACACTCGTCTTGATGTAGAAGACTGCTCCAGCTTTACGAAGCAAGGCCGTTAACACGGAATCCTCTTCGTCGAATTTCCCCAGCCAAGCAACGTAACCCATTGACGTCTCGAGCCCTTTAACTCTAAGCTGGTCTTTCAACGAAATCGGCAACCCATGCAAAGGACCCACTGGCTTTTTGTTCTCCTCATAATATTTGTCGAGTTCTTTAGCTTGGGCAAGGGCCATGTCGGGGAAGAACTCAAGCGCAAGGTTAAGCTGTTTAATGTTCGTCAGTGTTTGTGTCACAGCCTCAGACCACAATGAGTTCCGGCCTGATTTCTAGCTTACCGCTTGATGCGCCAGAGCGGCACGTTTGCAAAATGCCAGAGTGACATCGACCGACTTCAACTTTCCAGCGGCCAATTTCGACACGAGGTCGACTGCCGACGAATTGGTGATTTCAAGCTCGTCAGCCGTCAAGAGACCACTACTTGCAGGGAGGTCCATGAATGATCCATTTTGATCCTTGACTTCGACGCGCCATTCCTTGGGGATCGACTCGTCGATACGTTTTCTCTTATCTGCAGCGATCTCTTCCCAACCCATGACGACGAATTGAATGACTTGAAATCAACCGTCAGAGATGCTTGTAAAGAAGTAATACTCGGTGGTTCTCGACTGGTAAGGCACTTTCTCTCAAGAAACTTCATTAACTGCCCGCAATAGCCCAAATATCTAGGTACGTATCCTGATCAAACGCGCTACCCCGCCCGATGAAGTCCATCGCATGTCATGATAAGGACTTCTCCACCACGGAGCGAATATCCTTGTCAACATAGTCTCCTTTTGTCCACGAACACATTATTCCTTCTTTGGCAGGTCAGACCGATCAATAATGCCAACCCTCTGTTACGTATTGTTTCATTCACGAGTATGAGCACCGAATTTTTCCCGTCATAACACCACGCCGCCCAGACCTGATATCAGGGCCCACGTACAGTCAGTCTACTACGCGGGAGGTGCACCTGTCTAAAATTATTGCCTCTGTCTCCTCTGGGCAAGTGGAGGGCGCTCCGCTTCAAGTTCAAGAGTGTCACTTTCCTGTGGTGGTACAATGGAACGTGAACGTGGCGTCCAGATCATTATCTTGGTTTAAGTCAACACTGAGAAGTTCATCGGCCTCACCAGAAGTGGTGTACGTTGAGGAGGCGTTCGTATTCTCTTCCATGTTGCCCATTGGTCACCACTGGGTGCCATTCGACCCGATATGTCTCATCGTTGTTGAGCACCATACATTTCGTCTGTTTGTGTTTTGCATCCGTCTGTTGACATTAGCCCGCTTCCTTCTGCTGTTTTATTTTCTGGCCATAAAGCCAACAATGCCATTTGACAGAATTTGCTCCACTTTGTGTGGCCTTTCTGGGCGAAATTTCCGTTGGATTGCGCCTTGGTACCGCGGCCTTGCTGTCTATTCCATTTAGCTAGGCGAGATCCTGTTGGGTAATGAGGATCATATTGGCAGTGACACTGTGACCGCGATGTTGATCTCTCCAAAAGTCGTTATGACGTGTTGAATTGCCCGGACTACCTGTGATTCTTCGAGGACATCCACCCGATTAGTCAACACTTCACTTTCAGGGGTATATTGTACCAGCAAATCTTTGGTCTATTCATCGCCTCTGAGCCGATGTCGAGAAGTCCGATTCTTCCGATGCCATGTTGTGCAAATGCTACTGCAGTAGCATTAAAGATTTATACATGGAGATTCTACTTGTGACTCCCTTGGCGGTATGAGTGAAGTCTGGTTTATGATTTGCGGAAAATTGGTACGATACCAAACAAAATAGTGGACTGCGAAGGAACGCAAACGTTTCTTATTCTCTACACGTCTCGAGAAAGATCGCTGCTGATGGCACTGCACCGCAGTGCCCGTCGCCACAATAAGCGGCCCTCGTGGCAGTCAGTTCTTCCATACGCCTTCTAGTGCTTCATATTCTGGGTGTTTCCTTTCCGGCTCAGCAGTAAATAATTCCATTCAATCATCTCAATTCCATCTTCTGCTCGTCAATAGTGAGTCGGTTTCATTTCGCGTTCGTCCAGAGTCCTTGCTGCACAAAATGGCCGGAGACTCTCGCCCCTGAAAATGGCTCAGACAGCTTCGACTACGTCAGTATGAGCAGGTTCTGAGGTTTTCGTCTGGATTTTCTGGGGCTTTCGGTAGGTGTTGGTGATGAAAAAGCGTTCGGGCATCCCTGCGTACCTGCCATCGAATTCCCAGTCGATATCGTCAGAGGACTCGATTTCGACTATTCCAGGTCCATCCTCGCTGTCTGTGGCCATCCGTCTTGTGATATTCCAGGACTGCAGTGGACAGCTGTCACCAATGAGTCCCTCCTCAGCCCTCTTCCATCTAGGATCGATCAGGCACATCTGCCTCCACATCTCATCTGCATCCGCGTCGACAATTTCCTCCTCTGCCAGGCCGAGCAATTGTTCGAAAACGATCCAATGGAGTGTTCGGATCACCACCTCTTCCAAAGAATCAAGACTCTCAATGCGCTGGAGCAGTGTGCGGCGGAGATGCACCATGCCACTAGTACCACGAATGTTGCTCCCTCTGGCCTCATCAACATAGTACACCAGCTTGCGGATATTACGGAGTTTGTAATCAGGTAGGGAGGCTAGGAAGTGATTTGTGAAGTGCTGCACACTACCTCTTTCTCCCTTGTGAATGTGGAACTCCATCTCACGAAAGAATATGGGCGAACATTCCGTGGAAACTTGGACGGACACCATCATCAGCGATTCTCTGGTTGTACGCTCGTCTTTGCCCTGAGGTCTATCGAAGTAGCCATATATGCTTGAACGTATCTCTAGAGGCAGGTCGAGAAAGCGGAAGCTCGGATGGTTGGTATCTTGGTGTTCGCGTGCTTCAGCATTCTTCGCGCTTGCTGGAGGTGCGCAGTCGCTCGGCATCGCCATTTTGGTATTCTCAGGCAAGGGATTCATGTTGCCAACTTTGTAAACAAGAGCCGAGTCGACTCCGGGAGAAAGTGGAAAGACTTGTTGGAAAGACAAGGCAGAAAAACGGAAACATCCCAATCTTCCATAGTATTAAATAGTTCTTCTGACCCGACAGTGAAGCCGCAAGGCAGCGAAGTGAAGGCGGGATTCATGGTTTGCTCCAGAAGGGCGGAAAGACTGTTTCACTGACCAGGCGATAATAAAGACTTGAGGCACTGCTGGTGAATCATGCTGCAAGTTGTAAACTTTCCAACCAAACATCAAGACGAACAACTTGCGCTTTGTTGAAAACTGGGACGCATGGAGGCAACCCATTAAAACTTGATAGTCACCTCCTTTGTCCTCAGATCTTGATTTCCAGGCAAGGACAAAACAACCTTTTGATGATACATCAAACAGGGCTGAAGACTGTTACAAAGAAATTGCTTGCGACTCACCATCATGGACAAAAGATAGCTGGCCATAATACTCGTAGAGTTGACTACAATCGGTATTTTACGGAAGACAGATCTCAGAATTTCCCTGGCAGAGCGAGGGACGCTCGACATCTCTCACTCGCCATGGGCAGTAGTCTCGCCAACGGCTTCAACAAAACCATGAATACGTCTACAACATCAAATGGCTCTCTCGATGTTCACCATCTCTTGATGCTCTGACCGCGGAGCCAACTTGAAACCCTGAACTTCTTCGAGCTCACGGGCCATCGGTGCGTCGATTTCTGCTGTAAAATTGGATTTGTTGTTACGGAACAAGCACGAAGCTGTTGGGATGTGAATGTCAGCTGGTTTTCGTGGAAGGCTAGGAAAGGAATAAGATTACTTAACTTACCCAGAAAACCAGCAGCACAGAAACTGGTCGCGGCAATCCAAACATGGCGGAATGAGATCGCATAAGCCTTGAACAAAGCACCTTCGGCCGCCAAAGCAATCTCTTGATTGATTCCGGGCACTTTGGCCACCAGAGCAGGTTTGTTGCTCAACAAGGCGTGAATCAGTGCTGTCAGATTTTGCGCAGGGAACCCCAAAGGCAAAACAGCGCGGGTAATCTGTGACGGCACCGAGTGGTTTATGCTATTGCTGAAAATGGCATTGTTGACGGCAAGAGCAATGGTGCCTCCAACGCTACGGCAGGCAATGAGAAGACCCGTGGTCACGGAGATCATCTCTGGAGGAGCGCTCATTTGGGCGGCGATTGTGATGGTGGTAAGGATGAAGCCCAATCCAATGCTACCGAGCACGGCAAATGCCCAGAAAAAACCCTCTCCGGCGGTGGATTTGATGCTTATCATGCAGGCATTGTATGCTAGGAGTACGGCAAAGCCAAACACCAACGGCTCTCGGACCGACTTTGTGCGAGTGACCATCAATCCAGCTAAAGCAGAGCATATGATGCCTCCGAAGAAGAATATGGAGAAGTGTACCACTGCCTTGAAAAGACTGACGTGGGTCAGCACCGCCACCTCATACGCGAAGTAGCTGTTGCTGGTCAGGAAGGCCAACCCCTCTGTGAAGATGGCAAACAGCGCAATAGCGAAATTTCTGTCTTGGAAGAGGCCGTGATGGAGCAATCCATCGGAGCGCCCGAGCCATTCATACAGACAGAAGGTTATTAGGAGGCAAACGCCGACGATGAAGGGGCCCAAGACTGGACCGTCTCTCCAACTGTACGGGTTTCCTGAGAACTGAAGGCCGATAGCGAAGAGCGTAAGCCCAGCGGTGATGAGGAAAAAGCCTATCCAGTCCAGCTCCCGTAGCTTTTGACAAGCGGTGAGAGTCCTCTGCAGAGGTCTCGTCGGTGGGTCGTAGCCGATGAAGACTCCTACCGTAGCCACGGCGTACACGCCACAGGTGATGTACCAGTAGATGCGGAAGTGATATGCGTTGTGACGGACAAGCGCCCCGCCGACCAGGAGGGCAAAACTTCCGCCAGCAGCAGAGGAGATGTTGAGTGAGCCTTGTCCAATGCCTCTGTATCTTCGCGGAAGAACTTCTGAGACGACTGAGTACATCAGAGATTGCGATCCGAAGGAGACCCCCATGATGCAGAAGCCGACAATGCATGTTGCGATATTCTCTGATCTCGATATGACGATGCACCCAACCACGGCCAGAGCGTTCGTTACGACAAGGAACCACTTTCTTCCCCAGTAGTCAGCTGCTTGGCTGATGGGAGGATTCAATGTAATAGTAGCAATTGTGAGAGAAGTGCTGAACCACACAGCTTTGGATGTGTCCCCCAGTGCTGTTGCCATGGTCTGAGCCAGAAAACCCGAGCCGACCAGAGATACCAGCTGGCCGAACAGAGCAAAGTTGACAGCCTGGGAGCAGAATTAGCGGTGGATGGGCGAATGACTGAGATAGGCCGGCATGATCTTACGATAACAGCAACGACCGTCCCCATGTGGACGTGGACCTTTGGAGGAGCAGGCCCATCCCCTTGGGAGCCTTGGGTTGCTCCGAGAAGATCGATATTGGGAGAGCTCATGTTCGATTTTTGAATCAGTCGCGGGATGGGTACAGAGATGTAGGTTTGGTAGTTCAAGCACGGCTTCCAGGGGGAATCTGGATCCTACTTTATCAAGGCTCAAGGGATGGTGGGTGTCGAAAGAAGCTCCCTTGTGGGGATCGATGCTTGACTTCCAGGTAACACGCGGGGCCCCAGTCCAGCAGTTTCGATTCCCCCGGGGGCTCGGGTCTGTTCTTTTCGATCACTATCCGGGAAAAGACAGTTGGGAGTTCAGCACATCCCCAGAAAGAAGACGGTTGGTAAGCCATTTCAGACGAAAGTTACTGATTCCTGGTCGAAGCAGTGCTGTGAGTCTGTGCTGGCCGATATCAAGTCAGTATATTCAACCGGCAAGCTGGACCTGAGGTATTCCAAACACACATTTGCCGGTCTCATCAGGGCGCAACTGATATGTTCTACTGAAGCAGAGGACGTATTATCCTTTTCTTGGACACCAGTTGGGAGAACAATACGCTTTATGGTTATCGTTTAGTCCTCTTTCCATTTAATCTACAACTCACTCAAAGGCTGTGTCAGGCCAAAATGCACCAGTTCCTTAAACTCATGTTCATCCCAGAACGACTGTGGCTTCCACCCTGACAGTTTCCAAACACCGCCTATCTTGGAGTAGTGTTGGATCAGCAGGCCATGGCCATGGCCTCTGAGTCCCTCTTGCGTACGAGCCTCATCTTTCCAGCGTAAGTGGGCGGCGCGGACTTGGTAATGAGCCGTGATCTGGGTGTCTGACACTTTGATGAACTTCGGAGCCCCTATTAGATGCTGCGTCGTCATACGCTTGCCTCCCAGGAATCGAGGATTGGAACAGTACTTGATCCAATCATCCGGAGACGTGTCCGTGAAGACATCGCCCGTGACGATGGTGTAGTCAATCTTGTTTTATGCCCACGTCAGCGTCTTCTTCATCACGCCAACGTTTATTCTTCAACTCGAACTCACATTGAGTTTGGGTGCTAAAATGCTTCTCAGTCGATCCCAGTCCTTCAAAAAAAAAATCGGTGTCAGTAGAGCACCCAGCGCCCGCAGCGAATGCCTACCAACCTTGGTATCATAGCTCATAGCCCATTCATGAGCCAGTTCATAGACCTCGAAGGCATCTGTGAATACGTTAGTAGTATCAACAAACCGGGTACATGGAAATCATACCAGCGGGATCAACGCGTGCTGATTGAGGAGCCTCTCCCATGATTCGAGTCACGACTCTCTGCGCGTTGACTGGAGTAACCTCTGCTTTCGCTTCGCACTGGCTAGCCATTGGGGATAGGTAATTAATTCACTGGCAATCGAGGGAGATCCGTCGCGTTAAAACGATCAAGGACAAGAGACCCTTCATCTCTACCTTGTCCGTCCTCCAGGAGACGACTAATGCTTACGGTCGCCGCCCACATCGGGGGTGGTGGCTTGGAAGTTGGTAGCGAGGGGTCACTCTAATGGCCACAACTTCACAAGGGTTGTCCCCCGGACGTGTGGAGTTAGCCCTATGCACTCCACAAGCCCCGGCCCTCCAGCATCCAGCATGCGTGGGTCGCTAACTAACTAGTTAGTTAACTAGTTATTGAGACAGTCGAGACTCCTGCGAGGCTACTCGCGTGCGTGGGGCGCGGGGCGCGGGGCGCGGAGCCAGTCAGGGAGCGGTATTCAGTTTTCCCACCGCAGGTCTCCCATTCCTCTGAAAACACCCCCCTTCCCCGCCGCGGCTCCTCAAAATTGTGAACATCTTCGTCGTACTGAGTACTCATGCTCGTACAAACGTTGAGTCCTCTCGGCATGACCTCCTCGCGACGCATCACAAGGCATCTGGAGCTACTGCACGGTCATGAGTTATCAGCTTCAGCACTATTGGGTCTCGAGCGTTTGCCCTAGACATCGTAAGGGTCTACGGGAGTACTCGGTACAATCGTAGTATTTCCGAAAGTCTGAGGTTCTGGACCCCTCCCAAACTATGACTGCACGCCTCCCAGCCTCTGGACAGAATACTCGTATTTGGAAAAAGCATCCGTTGGTTTTGACGACTCTGATCTCATATTCTTTTGTATTGTATTTGCGGTCACGAGAGCAGGGGCGCTATCAACTGGCTAGGATACTTTCCACCCCCATGTATCTTGTGCCGACCCACATTTTGGTTTGTCATTTTCTTTTCCATGTCTGGCCGTTCAGGCAAGACTGGATCATGACCCTTGATCTCCAGTCTCATGCTCTCTCCGGCCTCAAAGACCATCCCTCCGGGCCAGATTGCAATCTCCAGCTCAACAATATTACCTTTGGGGACCTTGGCTGTCTTATAATAGGGGTACCAGACCTCGGTAGGGTCTCTGCTCTTCCTCATATCCGATGTCAAACCAGGTTCCTCGGCGATCTCCCGTTTCGAGGCTCGAAGACGCCCATTGGGGCCCACGTACTTGTACACATTGATATGGTCAATGTCTTCCGGTCGAGTGTGAGGCTTTTGGTTGATGAAGGGAATGTTGTAATGCAGCAGAGCCTGCCCATCGGCATCGAGTTTTCGAATAATAACATAGACGTCCATGTCGTCCAATTCGTCACAAGACATGTAAAGCTTTACTTTCGAAAACCCGCAGAGTTCTGTATGTTTGTCAAAGGTGTAGGTGAAGTGGCTGCCGTCGTCCTCCCAAGTATCGGATTGATAACTGGTCTCTGATTCGACCTTCGGTGGCGACTTTGTAAGTTTTCCAGCATCGCAGTCCAGGTAGAAGGTCTCGTACTTGGTTCTCGAGGGAGGGTAGTTGTCCTCTGCGCGATTGATGATGGGAGGTGCATTGTATCGCAGAAGAGAGATCCTAACCTTGGGCGTAAATTCCCATCCGTTGTCCTTTCCAAGAAGGTAGTGATCTAAGAATCTCTGGAGATCGTCAGTGGCTTCGGATGAGTAAATATCGAACCATTCCTGCGTCGGATGCACTCGTAACCTGAACATGAAACGTTAATAGTCAGCTTCTTTGACCATGAAGGACAGTACGTACCATTTCTCCGTGGAACTCGAATACTTCCAACCCCGGATGGATCCCTCCGTGTGCAAGCAGCTTGAATAGCTTGCCAGAGCATACATGGGGATTTTGATATTCTGGATCTGGGCCTTCTTGTCCTCCCAGTACGCATTCATATGGGGGTATTTCTCTAGCATACCAATGACATCCTCGCGCAAATGCTCACCTTCGAGACATTGACCCAGCAGATCCCAGAAGAGCGGGTTGGGAATTCCCCCACGACAAAGCGTTTCACGGTAAAAGTCTCCCAGTCCTTCCCAAGGTGCCATCGCCTTCAGATGCGGCGGTTTCTCCGCCGCAGTAAACCTAAGAAAACAATGAGCTGAGAAGCAGCGGTTGAGACGCTGACGGGTACAGGGCGTACCACTGTGAGATTCCAAGCCATGAATTTCCAACCGTAGCAACGGACCCGTTGCACCATTCTTGCTTCGCAATCCATTCTATCGTGTCGTACCCATCCTTGCCTTCCTGTTTGGAGAGGAATGCATGAGCAACCATATTTCGGCCCTGGTGGAGGATCTACTATACCTCAGTTCCAAACCAGAGTATGTCACCTTCGGATTTGAACGCTCCGCGAGAGTCGACATTGACTATGGAGTAGCCTCTGGCGCACCACTCGGCCGGGTCTGGGGCCTCGAACTTTTCTAGTCCGCTTAACGAGTTCTTGGGGATGCCCAGAAATTCGAAGTTGGTAGTCAAATAGGAGCCTGGTCGACATCAACCTCCCGGTCAGTGAAGTTCTTTTCTGAGCTTAGCAAAACGTTCCAAGCAATTACCTGTCCCAGTCTTGCCATATGGACTCCATGGCAGCAGCGCAGGAACTGGTTGGCCCTGTAATCTGGCAGGTCGGAACACATCCGCCCTCAGTCTGACCCCGTCACGGAGAGGAATCGCAACATCCTTCTCCCATATGATGGCCTCGGGCAGTGCTCGGCGATCTGGGTCTCTCTGCCATCCTTTCGGTAAAAGTTGCGTCGACGAACCGTATTCGCACCAGACGTTGCTGAAGTCTCGCTTCGAGGGAATGTATTGCACCTCGACTTCACCAATCTTTCGGGCCATGGTTGCGAGGCTTTTTAACGTCCAGCTTTGATCATCCAGGGAGCATAACTCAAACATCACAAGCCGAAGGAGGTTGCATGATATAGCGCCTGATGCCGATGTGGGGTCGATGGGACAAGTACAATTATGAACGCGGTGTCAAATTGTGCAAAAGAGCAACGTGCAGCGGTGGGACATCGGAATATCCCCATTGTCAGAGACATCTGGAACAGACCGATGCATATTCATTGACCGGCCAAAGGGCCCTGGCAATAAATACCAAGACTACCTTGACATCTGAAACCCTCGAGCCAGATCTGAGTAAAAGTTGGAGCCTAAACCAATATACTCTCATGGCGATTGAAGATCTTCTCCGCCAATGGCGAGAAACAGAAGGAGTAGCAGACCAAACCAAGGCTTGCTGGTATATTGTTGCAGTAGGTTTCTCCTGTCCACAGCTCTGATACATAGTGCTGAGCGTTTCTTTCTTCAAGGCGTCTGCTATGGCCGCGTCCAGCTGCGGTCCTGATTCAATCAAGCTGTACAAGACGGCTGTGGAGGGGTTGGATCTGAAGGACGAGTTAATTGTCCAGCGGCGCCTTAAAGAAGCAATCTTGAAGTCCAGCGCATTATTTGGAGTCCCAAGATGTCTGCAAGCTCTCCTACCTATCTTCCATAGCCTGGACGACGATCACATTGACACGTTCTCCCCACGGTAAGATGCCCAGAAACTTCGTCGCAGCTGTTCACATTCTGGTACTGATGTTTTCCTATAGCTACGACTCTCTGGGGGATCCCGAAGCACACAAGGCCCGCGTGGCCAACGCGCAGGCCTACTTCGACGTTATCTGGACGCCAGAGTTGGCCGAGAAGAACCGTCAGTTTAACTTGAAACATCAGAAGGATCTTTGTGAGTCCGGCGCTGTTGGTGATGAAAGTCAGCGACTAACCTGCTGATGCAATGAGCAGATGTCACTACGTTGTGCCTCGTCTACGAGTGGTACTTTGCCGAAACTGCCATTCTGCCAGCTGTAGAGACGCAGATGTCGAATGTAGGTGCGCTGATATGCTCAGCCTGCCCTGTCCAAGCCATGTGGCATACCCGAGGTATCATCCGGCACGGCGGCACTGTAGACGAAGCTTGGTTCGCGCAGCGAATGAGCCTAGACATTGCAAAGCATTACGGGGTGAAGACGGGCGAGATCACACCGGTCGACCAGATCCCCATGCAGGACAACGTGTCGCTCTGACTTGAGACTAGGAGATCCGGTAACATGGAACTGCAGCCCAAGCTCTACTTTTACCTTGGACCACATATGATCAATTAAATTGTTGATGACTGCTATGGCCCTCCGAGATGGTTCTCCTACTGATAGAAACAGCAAAGACCGTAAAGCCTGAGAGCTCCAAAATCCGCTCTCGCGGATAATTGCACGACAACAGTTAGAAGTAAAGACCGGAAGTCAGACCTCTCCATCTCGTAGTGTTTTGCTCCTTGAGACGCCAATACCGCAGAACAGGGAGAAGTTTACGTCGTCAAGTGACTCTTACTCTAGTCAAGCCCGACAGAGTGTATTGTTCCCCATCAGCACTGCATCCAGATGAAGCCACACCCCTCAACGGACTTCAATATTGCACACGGAATCCCCACGATCCGCGCGAGTGCATACGAGACGGCCATCATTCGGCAAGGCTCGCCCACCACGGGGGTCCACCACCGGGGACTTGTGGGGATATCCCTTCCTTTTCCCCACCTCCACAAGCTCGGGTATACATTATGTCCGAGCTATCTCGAAGCAACACTGGAGCAGTACTGACCAAGGGTCTAAGGTGGACAACATACATACTCGTACACGAAGCCAGGACGCGCAGGATCATCGTACAAAGCAGCGAAACAGTCGAGCTGCGCAAAGCATCTGTCCATCGCTCCGGACACATACGTAGCTGGTACACCCGTTCTCCTGCCTTGGTCTGCTCACACTATAAATCGGTGTAGTGAGGAACAATCAGCTCCCTCGGACGCAGGGAGTTAGTGAAGACAGACTTTCGCACAAACACACACTCCTCCCTTCATCATCACATGGTTTGATCAAAGCAAATGGCATCCTCACCAGCACAGCAGCAGCCTCTCCCGCCGGTGCGTCGGGTAGTCACGAGCCACAACGCAGAAGGCAAAGCAACGATCCTCTTCGACAGCGTCGTCAATGGGATCCAAGCACCACATGGCCCATGGCTGACACCGATCTGGAACAGCGACGATGTGCCACCAGACGTGAACGTGACGGTGGACAGAAGTCCCGTCAAGACAGGAATCGTCAACAGTGGTACTGTGCTGCGCTACGTCGACTTCCCTCCTCGCTCAAAGGGCTCCGTCCACCGAACCATCAGCTTGGACTACGTCCTGGTCCTCAACGGACAGTGCGTCCTCACGCTCGACGACGGCTCGCGGACGCCGATGAAACAAGGAGACATTTGCATCCAGCAGGCGACGATGCATAGCTGGGACAACGAGAGCGACGAGTGGTGCCGCCTCTTGTGCGTCCTCATTCACTCGAAGCCACCAGTCGTCAACGGCAAAGCTTTGGGGTCCAACACGCACATGTAAACCTGTACGAACAAGGGCGATGGTCGAGGACCAGAATCCAGGTACTTTCCCGTCAACTCCAAGGATGTCCGCAGACCGTCGTTGCTTGGGTAGAGCTAGAGCTACTGTGCAAGAGAGGTGTTGAGATGTCTTGTTCCCTGGGAGACTACCTATTTTGTTCGCAGACGACGTGGAGATTATCCTTGGATGATAGGTTGAGAGCACGACGCAAAGGATCCCGAGCGAGAATTGCAGCAATGGTAGTCCATGGACGGCAAAGAGTCCCAGCACGAGTGTGCAAGTCTTAGTTGAGGCGGTGGGCGAAGGCCCAAAGACTTGAGAGTTGACAAAAGAAGAAATAGAAATCACATTGAAGTGTCTCACTACGGCCAGCGTTTGTGGCCATTTTGCCATTTCCAATTTTCATCTCCCACAACCCCGAAAAATTTGCGCCCACTGTTCGATGACTTCCTGCGCCGCTCGTGTGATCCCCCAAGTGCCAGCCATTGCCTGGACTTGAGAGTGGAACATGTTCATCTCAGAAGACAGCTTCCGCAGTGTAGTTATGCCGCATGCTCGCGCAGATGTCCCTGCCAGGAAGTTGATAGTTTCAATGGACCGGATATCGAGCGTCGTCGAAGAGTGCACCGGTTTTGACAGATCCTCATAGAGAACAGCCCAATCGATCTGCACTGGCACGTGTAAGCTGCGTGATTCGGCGGCCAGAAAGGCGGCTACAACTGTGGCAGCGGAGAACATGGTGAACGGTGTGTGGATGGAATATGCTTCGCCAAAGGAGAGCCGTTGCGCGAGCTCCCTGATCTCCAAGGCGTGAAGGATGGCTCGTCGGGCGTCTGTGGCATGCACCCACGCCCTTAAATCAAACAGGTTCCGCCCCTTTTCGAGCTCTTTTGGTGGCAGATGGAACAGCTCTGCAATTAATTGAGATGGCCCGACTTCCTCGCACAGTCGTCGAACATCCGCCGACATGCTCAGGCACACAGAGTGCCACCGCAGTAGCAGCTCTACCCCCGAATCCGACCCGTCGAAATGGTGATATTTGAGGTTCAGTAAAGCAGCAAAGATTTCACTTTTGCTTATTGCGCCGATCGTGTCTTCTCCACCGTCAGCCTCGCGAAGTATGAGACTCTGGAGGCATTCAAGCACAACACGAATGCCGAGTTTGGATATTGGTCTCCTGATGGTATCAACATCACCGCGAAAGAGCGCTCGGACATATTCGCGGACTGTGAGCTGGCTATGACGGTTACAATCCGACATTTCCTTAATCCACGCATCTGGCGAAGCAGCGTTGAATGCAGCTGAGGAGGTCGGAAGCGATAGTGGGTTCGCCTCATGCCGGAGAAGAGTCGGATGGTGGTAGAATTGTGAGGATAGTCCGTCGATAACATACTGCCAAAGTAGTCCCCTCAATTGTGTCTCTCCTGCAGCCCACTTCTGCCATGCGGCAAGCTTCTCTGCGTTGGGAGCCGTCAGTGAAGGGACTACAATGCCACGATAAGAGTCGATGCTAAAGAGGCCACAATCGCGGGCCCAAACAGAGCCAAGTCCTCTGGCACTATGGCTCATTTTCCGAATGCGTGAGTTCCTACACACAAGTGCATACGTTGCACCTAACGAACAACTGAGTACGAGTTGCACCCCATCGTTCCCATCGTGAGGTCCCCGGCAGGTCAAAAGCTGCTCCCAAGCGTTGGCCATAACGGCATGAGAGATTAAGTAAAGTGAGTCAGCCTGCCATAATCCAGGTCAGTCCGGCATTTTTAAAGGAGAAATCTCGAGGAAGGGTTATGATGAGCACTGCGACAACTTACCTCGTAGGTTGGACCAGGAAGGAAACAAGACCCTAAAGAGAGGATATGAAGGAGAGAGGTCGTGTTGCATTCCCGCGGGTTAAACGTTGGCCTATGTATGATGGGCACCACGTCAAGGTGGTGACGAAAGAAGAGGTCCAGGCAATCCTCGAAGAATATTGAAGCCGCGTTCTCGCTTTCCAACACTACCAAAGACTCTGGTAGGCTTTGGATGACTCTATTCATGGCCTGCACTGCTTTACGTCCAGCTTCTGCGGAACCCTGAAGCCAGTCGCTATCCGGATTGGCTTGCGCAGAACCCTGTAAAACGCCGAGGGAACTTTGTGGTCTAGAGAAACCACTGGTAGATGCGGCTGTGGGAGTGGCAAGCAGTATTTTGAACAAATCATCGTCATTAAAGTTCCAGTCAAAGTCGTCGCGATAGTTCAAAGCATTTCTACCGGCATCATTGGATGCAGCAGTATCAGCAGCTGCTGTTGCATTCGAGGCTCTTGTAGAATTATGAACTCTATCAGGAGAGGAGATTGGGTGAGTCTGGCATAGTTGCATCGATTCCTGGGCGAGGCCAAAGCCTGTTGATGGGTCTGTCCCGGCTAAGGAGGAGGATAGCAATGACGTCGCAGTTCCGAATCTCTGGTCCTGCTCACCGAATCTGGCATTCTCGGTTGTTTGAGTGCGGTGTGTACGGATATGTCGCAGTAGTGAATCTTGTCTCCCAAACCGACGCGTGCATATGTCGCAAATGAATGGTTTGAGGCCGAGGTGTCCTCGTTCATGGCGCGCAAGGTGCTCGCCCTTGGTGAAGACGGCCGAACAGCCGTCTTGTTTGCAAAAGAATCTCCGTTCCGACATCCCTTTCTAAACGAAGACAGTAGAAGTGTATTACTGACCAGGTTGACAAGGAGAAAAAGCCAGTCGAGGCGCCCCCGGGCACAGAGTTCACCCTCCTCCCGAGCGGGGGTGACGCAGCCCCGGATCTTCCCCACAATCGGCTTCAGGTCCACCCATTTAAACCGCGAGGTTGCTCAAACGTATTGTACCCTTCAGGTCTGGTACTGCACGACTGCGCTTCGCGGTGGATGTGAAGACGAGCCAGAAGATATCGTTTGTAGAGAGGCGCAGAACGAGCGCGGAGAGAGAGGCTGAACCGATACGATTAACTGTAACGTAGCGGGGAGAGAATCTATTTGATAGAGATAACGGGGGGCTGTTCGTCCTTTATTCTTTCTTCTCCACGCAAAAGCAGAAAACTTCTACGACCTCGCTTCTGCTGGCTTCGTACTCTCCAACCTCGCAAGAAAGTCCTTCAGATACGCACTGTCGACCCATTCGACAATGTCATCGATCAAGTCGCCGGTCTCGTTCATCGTCAAGATCCAGTGGTAGTCGTTCTCATACGGTCCGGCGTCCGTTTCCGCGTGGCATTGCAAGTGTAAGAAGACCTTGCGTTTCTCGACATCAACCATCGTTTCATCATCGTCAGCAACGAACAGCTTGAAATTCCGAAAGATGCCGAGCATAGGGGCCATGAACTCCCTGAATTGGGCGTTGTTCAGGTTCATGTTGCCGTGGGATTTGGGACCGGTGCGGTGAATACATGTTGGGCTTCGCACCGAGAGGATGGCGTCGAGTGAGAAGGCTTTGTAAGCATCGAAGAACCTGTCGACGGTAGCCAGGAGATCGGCACGGGTGGGTGCCATGTGTTTCGACTCTTAAAGAGTTTGTAAATTGCTCTCTCTTCTTGCCCAACTGAACAAGGGATGGATCAATGCAATGCTGACAGGAAGAAAGTTCGTAACTTCTGCAAAGACAATCGACTGTATGAGGTCGACCTGGCTTACAGCTACTCTCCGCTACTCAGGATAAAAGTCAGCAGAGAGTGGACATATATGTGGTTGTGGATGTTGCCCCACGAGAAGGCCAATGTTGGCACCGGCACAGGCTTTTTCCAACGACGGCCCAGACAGACCGGAATTCGAGGATCCCCAAGGAAGTGTCTCCGTGGCAGCAATGAAGACTTCTCTATTACGCAGGACGGACCAGTGAGGGGTTGTTCGGCGACCCGAAAAGGGGCATTATGGGGGAAATGAGGAAAGGCGCAAGGCTGACCAATAGCATCGGTCCATCAAATCTGCGAGAGAGTCAGGCATCTAGTGAGCCATCCACCCTCCCGAGAACTCTTTCAAAATTACACGTAGCACCAGCGAGCAGCATTATTTTCTTGTACAATCGGTAAGGTGAAAGTGAAACCATCGCGCCGGGGACTTGTTGTCTCCCCTGCGCTCGTCTCAAACTGCGAGGACCAACTACTTAGAACCTCGAAACATCCCGGCCAAACACCTTGACCGCCAACCACTGGATAGGCACAAGAAACTTATTCCGCCAGCTCAGCGTCATGGTCAAATAGGCGCCTCTCCAGACAAGGAAAGCAATCCATCCCTTCAACCCCTTCGCCATACCCTCGCGACTTGTATGCGGTCCCTGCAAAACGGCCTTCGCACCACCCACATAGGTCAACACCCCGAGATTTCTGAACGTGAACCCGGGGGCCTTGTCAAACTCCTCTGCGGTCTCAAACTTGTTCAGCGTCTTCCCCAGCCACAGGGCCTCTTGGTTCGCGACCTGCGCCGTCGCCGGTAATGGACCCGAGATCAGTTTTGCAGTGTCTCCGAGCGCAAAGACGTCTTTCATATATGCTTTCGCGGTCGCCTTCACCTCAGCACTGCCCTTTTCACCATCCTCGGCATTCTGCGTATTCAGAGTCACGTGGAAGTGATCGTCGACCAACAGCACGCCGGTTTTGGGATCTCGTGTGATCATCCACTGCTGCTCTGTCGGATTCTCCATCTGTCCCTCGGTCATCACCGCGCTGCTGACAGGATATTTGCGAACGTTATGCAACGCCTTGGCCACCATAGGGTTATTCATGTTTCCCGTACTCCACACGCACATACCTATACCCACGTCCCCTTCCTCCTTTGTGCGAATGGTATACACTCTCCCCTTCGGCTGCTTGTCCTGGTTCTTCCTCGCCTCCTCGTCGTTCGGGAAACCCCTTCTTAGTTCTTCGACATGGTGACTCGTCTTGATCTCAATGTTCTGCCGCTGATACTGCTTCACAGCGTAGTCGGCCAGTGCAGCGTCAAACATGGGCAAGACCTTTGGTGCAACATCGTACAGGCTGATGCGAATGTACTTCATCAAGCCAGGATGTATCTTTGACAGATCCTGGCGAATGAGGTCAGACAGGCACGCGGCAAACTCCATACCGGTTGGACCTCCGCCGACGATGGCGAAATGCAACAGACAGCGCTTCGTCTCCTCGGGGATGTTCGGCAGGCGCGCGAGTTCGAAGAGCTCGAGGATCCGCTTTCGAATGGCCCTCGCGTCACCCACGTCCTTTTGGAAATACGCATTCTCGCGGACCCCCGGCGTGCCGAATGTCTGGCTGTACGCCCCGACGGCGATGACGAGCTTGTCATACGCGATGGGAAATGTAGGGACAGGGTGCTTGCCCGTACCGCCGAGACGGACCGCCTTGTCCGATTCCCGAAAGAAACCTACTTCGGTCTTTTGCTCGTTGGGCTCGCGGGGACCCGTGAGGGCGTGGCCGACATCTGGGTCCAGAACGGACGGTTCCACCGTTACCGTCTTGTTCGAAAAATCCAGGTCGTCTGCCCACGCCTGGACGTACTCGACGGAAGATCGTCTCCCGCGAACCGATTCAAGTACGTTGCGAGACTCGAGCGTACCGACTGCCGTGTCGTTCAATAGCGGAGTGAAGACAAAGTATGAACGTGGCGAAACCACCACCACGCGATATTTTCTTGGGTCGAGGCGTCGCGCCAGTACGAAGCCTGTGATGCATTGATGGATGAGCATGCGAGAGGAACCAAATGCGAGGAAAGGGAAAGGGAAAGGGAAAGGGAGGAGAGACACACCAGCCCAACCACTGCCCAAGATCACGACCTTTTCTCTCCTATCGTTCACGTCGGCTTCCTCCTGTCCATGCGTACGAGCATCCGGGGCTGCATCAGCGAAGTACTGTCTCACGCCCACGCCTTTCAATCGTCCAAGTTGATAGCCAGCACTGCCCCTTGCACTGCCGCCTGATACTCTCGTCTGGGAGTGCGAAGTAATCTTGACGGCCGGTGTAGCTGTAGCTGTAGCTGTTGTCCCATACCCTCGCTTGCTCCGGCAGTGGCCACAGCAATACTGATTCTGTTGTTCTTGTTGGCGTTGCAACCCACTACTCACTGCTCTCCATGCCACCCGTCCACTGTGAGTGGTCCTTGGAGATCGGTGACCTGCGACACCAACAAGGCGACCCCCGAGCTTCGGCAGGTCCATATGTATCATGGGCGTGCCGAATAGCAATGCAGTATCTCCAGTGTATCTATACAAAGTACCAGGAACAGGAGTAAAGAATACGCTAGTCTCCTATCGTCGCACAATCCGGTCTGTAGGTACAAGAAAGGATGGATCCCTGGGTGCATGATACAGAACGGCCACACCCTCCCATAGAAGTCCTTCATACAGAGGTCTCAGGTCGTCCATGCGTCATACTAATCATTTGAGAAAATTACCTGTGTGTCATAATGCGCCTTGGTGCCGTATTTCCTGCCCTCCTGGCCGCCGCCTCCTGGCGTCCCGCGTCCGTCCTCATGCGGCACCGTGTCAACATTCGGGTGCGCGGATATGACAAGCGGACGGTGACCACAACGCCTCGCGTCATTGCTCTCATACCTGCAGAGCCAGTCCTTTACCATTTTCCCTAGCGACGACGATCCACCCACCATCCGGCGGGCTGAGGGACGAAGGACGAGGGACGAGTGGAACAAGGATACGAGTCCGAGTGCGAGCACGTCCAACTCAGAGCGCTTTGCTATACATCCATATAAACAAGATTCCGTAATCTTCCGATGCCTAGATTTATTAGTCAACTATACAACCAGCTTCATCGCCACCCACTACTACGAGGTAAATACGATGATGAACCGTCGAGACGCCTAAGGAACAAGCGGGGGCACCAGGAAGCAAACCCTGAAGAAAGCTCAGAACGGATGTGTTTGCTCATATTGAATATTTCGTATATCTGCCCTTTGCTGATTGTCCCTACTGTCAGGCTTGTCGTGTGCCATGCTTCCAATCCAGATCAGATGTGCCGCTTTGTACTCGACTCTGAGCTGCAGCATCGAAGCCCATACATGAGACAACAGATCTCTGGAAGCATTACAAAAACACAAAGCCTTGTGCGCACCGATTGCGCCTTCAACTTTCATGACTTCGCCGCTCCGTACACTTGACGCAGCTCGATCTCCAAGCCATTTCAACGCTTAGTCCAACAACCAAAACTCTGAGCAAGCAATTTTCCTAGAATCGCCCCTGGTGCCACCCTAGGAAACCACTGTGACCGCCCAGACCATGAACGCCGTATTATCATGCCACGCTTGCAAATAACGAGTGACAAGCTAAATGCTGCATTGATGTCGTCACCAATCGTCCCAACCAAAAAGAAAACATAGAAAAGGTATTATGTGCAACGAAGGGAAACTGTCCTGGTCCCGTACTTGAGGCGTTATCTTTCCCCTTTCTGCCAGGAGTTCAGATATGCCATTAAACCAACCCCTATCAGAACAACCCCTAGCATGGACACGTACGGCGCCGACTGAGCAAGCGAGTCACCATTGCGATTCTTCTCTTCAAGAACTGTGACCACCGCACGTTCGAGATGCTCAGGCAGCCTTGGCCCTCGGACATGTCCATTAGCATACGGTTGCTTCTTAATGGGGGACCGAGTCCTGGATACGCTGTCTCCGTCTCGGGAACGGTCACTGCCATCGTCACCATCCCCTCTCGGTTGTCTGGTGGTCTTGCGAGGTGATTCATCGGCATCGGCGTTCTCTTGCCGCAGCTTTTCGATCATTTCAGCCAGGCTTTTTCTGGCACTGGCTGCATCGGCTTCAGCGGTCTCAGCACGCCTCTGGTACTGATCGACGTCTGATTTTAGCCTTTGCATGTCTCCAAGAACTTGATCAAGATGCTGCTGGAGCGCTTTCGCCTTCTCCTCGGCAGTTCCATCCGCATTGGTCGATATCGTCGTTTCAAAATCCTTGGTGTCCGGAGAAGTTGGATTTACTTCCGTCTCTACTTGTTCCTCCACTGCCGTTACAGGTCGAGCTGCGGCATGAAGTTCCAGTTGTCGTGCCCGGTCTTCAGCCTCTTCTCGTGCGATGCGTTCTTGTTTAAGCATATCTTCCAATTGTTTGACTTTGGCCCCCTGTGAGTCAAGCTCCTTTTTGGCAATTGATAATGCCTCGATCAAGGAGAGCATCTGGCTGTTTTGAGTATTTGTGGGAGAATGAGAGGTATTATTGGGTGGCTTCGCCGTATCGGCCCGTTTTAAGAGATTAGTAAAAGACGTGGTAACTGGACTTGCTTTGGCGGAGTCTGGTTTCTCTGGCAAGGGTTGCTGTGGTGGAGGAGCTGGGGGGTCGGCAAACCGGGCCAAATGATCTAACTTCGAAGTTTTCGACCTTCCATTGGAATGTCTTTGTGAGCCTGGTTCCTTTGTCGGCGGCTGAGTTTTCGGAGCAGCGTCATCTACGAGGGTGACTAATGAATGCAGGAATGTACTGGCTTGTTGTAGCTCTTCTGCTTGTTCTCGTGCCGCTCGCATTTCATGCTAATTTTGTTAGATATTTGTTGCACTTTGAGGAGATCTTCACTTACGGATAGAGACTTGACCAATTGTTCGACGTTTAGAGGTGCTCCCCAGAAGTTCATCTGACGTTGCTGGGCGGCGGAGCTCATCTGACTACCAGCAACACTCGGTGGTGCGGTTAGGCGTCCATTCGAAATCTGCGCACCAGGTCTGCCACGGCTCATTGGTGAGCTGACTGGCGATGGTAACAGTGGATGGGACGGGTCCAGGTCACCAAAACTTAGGTCCAGGACATTGCTGGTGGTCCCTGGCAGACCAACATATTCGACCTTGGCGGAGACCTTGTGATGTACAATGGTCTTTTGGTCCTCGCTCACGATATCAATGCCCAGTTCCAAGGTGTCATGTTGACGAAGCTCGTGCGGCTCGGATTCCCGGTTTTCTGGAGACAATCGTTGCCCGTTAACAAACGTGCCGTTAGAAGACTTAACATCCCTGATCCAGACTTTTCCATTCCGGTCGGCCCAGACCTCGGCATGTTGTCGGGATAACACTTTTGAATCAAAGTATCCATTGACGGGTGTAGGAACTGTTTTCGCATTTGTTTGCCGCCCAATTCGGAGCACCTCTGGGAAGAACGGGAGATTGATCTGTTTTCTTTCGAAAGTGCCATTCATCGGCAAGAGCGCGAGTATTGCCGCGGGCTCCGCAGCAGATTGCCCATTAACGACTCTCATTCCATTCGTTTGAGCGACAGAGTTTTGGCTCGGTAGAGCAGGCTGAATTGCATTTTTCCCGGTAAGAGATGTTCCTATAGCCGTTTGTAAAGATCCGTTGGCGCGCGCAGTGGAAATACTCGACGTTGGATCGGCTTTGCTGACAGGCCAAAAGCCTCCTCTTGCTTTCTTCTTCGCCCCATGTGCTTGCTCGCCACTGAGATCGTTTTGCGTAAGAGTTACAGTTGAGCCGGTCGAACTTGTGGACGAAAGAGATGAAGACGAACTACTTCGGTGGACAGTTTTGCGCTGGGGCATGAATATCCGTGATACTTCGTCCGTGCTCATGGCAGAAAACCCCCCTCCAGTGTTTCCTGCACCATTCCAGTTCAGCCTAGGTATGTTTTGGAAATTTGGTGGTGATGCCACCGCGGTCGTCATGAGGAGAGTGTGGGGGTGGAGGATGAGATAGCCCAAAGATTTATCGATCTGGCCCGCCTCTTCAACAAAATTGTCTGGACAGAGCAAGCAAACAATATAGGATCTGGTTGAGACGCAGCAAAGGACTTGTGTTGTTTGAAGTCGTCATGTGGTGGGCTCGGGACTCGAAAATCGTAGCAGGTCTGAGGGTATGATTGCGTCAATCGATTTCGTGCCTGTGCGGCAGGCTGAGCATGTAGTAGAGGAGGCAGACGGCGATGCTCAATTGATTAAAGATGTCCACAGATCGCTCTTGATAAGATTTTGAAGATATTCGACTTCTTCTGCGCAGTGAAAGAGGAGTCGGGGGTCTGACCGGAAGCAGTTACGGAGGAGCCAGTTGGGGTCCGGGGATCAAGAGACGGAGAGCATCAGGATAAATCGGTCATGCGAGGACAGAATGTGAGATCTGGTCACATTTGCTGGTTGTCTCGTGGTCGGGCAGGCTGTATTGTCCTTTTGAAATTGTCTGTGAGATGGGGCTCGTGTCTCCAGGACATGTTCAGATGGACACTTGAGAGATGCAACAGGCTTAGCGCCTCGGCCGTGAATAAAAAAGTCACTGTCTGACAGACGCCACTGCCCATTTCATGCATTTAATCTCAGAAATAAATTCTTGTCTGACGGCGATTCTTTACTGGCGCTAAGCACCACGAGGAGGTGGAATTCTAAGCGCGCATCGGCCATTCGGCGAGAGACTCTTCGGCTTGACTTGAGGCCCTCACATCGCATTGATTTCAACTGCTGTAACGCACGCAAGTGCATCTCTCACCAGGAAAATTGAGCCATAGCTTGAGAAGGCACTGACAAAATGCCTCCTATGCCACCTTCAGCTCAGAGGCATGGCCCAACTTGGTTCGATAAGCGTAGGCAACCCAGCACAGCCTTGTTGAGAATGTGGACTGACCATTTCCAGTGAAAATGGGAGCCCTAATGGGAGGAAGTAAGTCTACCACCATCGCCATTTCATGAACCGGAAATAAAGCAGACTAACATGATGTAGCTGTTGGTGGAATAATGGGGTTCATCTATGGTAAGTTGCCATGCGCCTCATGCGAGAGTTCAAAGACCTGGACTAACAGTCCAATTCAGGCACCGTCACAATCTTCCAATACGGCGCAGGTCATGCCGGCGTGATGAGAACATTGGGAAAATACATTGTAGGGTCAGGAGCTACATTCAGGTGTGCACTCACAAGTCATTTTATTATATTCCCAGCTAATCAGGTGGTAGTGTCTTCATGGGCATTGGCAGTCTCATCCGAACCGACTCTCCTCAAATGGCAGCTTCAGTATGGGCACGATCGAGACATCCTCCTCTGGTACACCCCCGGCGCGATCGACCCCATTTTCAGCGATGATGGCTTGCGACAAAGCCCTGAGCGCTGACTGCTCCACACGATGATGTACATAAATGACATTCGGATTTGGAAAAGTTGGGCATAGCTAAGCGATACCCATGAAATAATAATGTTGATTAGATGCCATGCTATCGAATAAAGCTTCAATGGATGGACTTTACGAAAGGGCGGAATGCCACACGCTCCCAGTAAATCTGGTAAAACTCCTTTGTCCGCTAGGGAAATACTAAGTAGATTCTCGTTACGCTTGAGAAATTGTTGCTAGAACTCCAACTCGTCCCAAGCCTTGCAATGTACAATCGCAACCTGCTGTTGGGCTGTGCTTGACAAAATTGTGCGCGTCAAACCTGGCGTCATGGTATGGCGGCATCCATATGTTGACAACAAGCCTCATAAGCGTTGGTACCGGGTTCATAGTCATTGGTATGGCGGTCGGGTTGCGCGGGACCCTGCATGGACACGGGACCCTGCATGGACATCGCGTGCTGTTATATAGAAAAAGAATACTAATCTTTTTTGCGTGATAGATCTCTTGGAAGGGTTATCTGAGGCGCAGATGTACATAGCTGTGCACACAGGACGAGCCACGCAGTTCCAACCGGTGAGGTTTTTGTGTTCCGTCAGCTTGCGGCGAGAGCTCAGCCAGATATTAAAACCCATAATAAGAAGAATATCTGACAGTGTTAGCACCATAACAGCTCACTGACAATATGTCCACTCACCATCAGCACACCAAACATTTTCGCTACAAGCCATCTGTTCCCCTGGACCCGGTTCCAATACTTCAAAAGTTCTCGTTGGGCACCCTGGACATTATCCACTACGTCCTCGGTGTTTGCATCTATTCGTTGAAGCATCTCACCCTGTTCCGAAACCATACTTGCAAGTTGCCCGAATATCCCTCCCAACTCGTTGATTGTGCGTTCGATGGCTTCGATGGCTTGGCCCCGTTCTTGAATGTACATGTTTGCCGGTTGTGCTTCTTCCATAAGTAAAAGCTGATGATCGGACTGGGGTCCGTTCCGCATCAGTGTCGATGTGTTGGAAGGCTCCAGACTCAAAAGATCCTGTGTCGAGGTTTGCGGCGTTCTCTGATGACTTCCATTCTGATATAACGGCGATTCTGACCGGGTTTCGTCCAAGTGTGATTGTGAACGCGCCGAGACTGACGAGACAAAATTCTCCGTCCTGGATCTTGACGCCTGGATATTCTTCGTGCGGACTTCCAACACATCCTTGAAATTCGCAGCAACGTCGGTCACTTTGTTCTGGAGCAGGAGTACAACGTTCTTGTTATGTTGCCCTTCTTGGTCTGCGGATCGTGGGAGTGAGGCGGTGGGGTGTTGTGACTGCGTCAGTTGCTGCAGCGCAGAAATTTGAGAGTTCAGGTTGGCAAGGTCTTGCTTGATAACGTATGTCAACTCGGAAATTTCCACAGGCCGATCATCGAAAATTGCCTTTCTCTTCGCAAGCTGGGCGAGTCTTTCTAGCTTTCCCATAGTGGCTGTAATGCCACGACCAATTTGGGCGGCGTTGCGAGCGAACTCGGACCGAGTGCTCCTTGGAGGACCATTGGGTGTCCCGTTTGCTTCTCTTTTCTGGCCTTCGCTCAGTAGCGACTGTCTTTGAGGCCCCCCCTTCGTGGCGGACTGTCGCTTCTGCGCTTGGGCTAGGATAGTGCGGAACTCATTGGTTCGGTCTTGTATCGAGGTGGACACCATTGTGATGCAGATAAATGTCTCTGCGCCTGCGCAGGGAGGCGGAATACGGAACGATGTCGGGACTTCTGGAACTAGTCGAAGAGCGAGGGCATATCACGAAAGGTGATGTTGGAACTCCGTAGCGGCTGGGATCGAGATTGTTTGGTCTATGAAGTTGATAGTATTACACGGCCGGTCGCTAATCAAAGCCGGCAGAGAAACAGGGAAGGATATGTACAGAATCGCGAAGAGTGTAGTGCAGTGACGGAGGAAACCCTGGTGCGGTGGTGGCTGCGGCCGGAAAGTTTTAATAAAGTACGGATACAAATTAATTGTACAGGGTGTTTCAAGCAGCCGAAAGCGTCGAGTGACAAGCGCCAGGGCGGAAACGAGAACGTGGAGATTTGAGAGGTGGCCGATTGCGCCGCCACACTGCGCTGCACCAGCCACACGGACCAACCTCACTAACCCACTCACCCACTAGCACCAGTCCCGGGGAGCCCTAGTGGCCTAGTGAGCCCTAAATCCACTAGTTGCTTTAGGCCTTGTTCCCGCCTAAAGCGCCCAATGGCTCGGGGCTCCTAGGCTGACCTTGTGGTTATGGGCCACTTTCCGGCACCTCATACAGACCCGGGGCCTCGCAAGGCTGGCGAGGTCTGGGTGTTGCCATTGAAGCAGATGCGCGATGGTGTCCTGGAAGACCTGGGTAGGATGTGCTAGTATGGATATATCCTAAGACGTTTCCTCAGGTGGCATCCCCCTCAGCAGTATTCTTACATCCCTACCTGAATCATCAGCGAGCTATCCAACTTTGCAATGCCCTTTGTGCTCTGCAGATGTGGCGCAGCAAATGACGCGCATCGATCTGCAATGCGTCGTCAGGCAGGAATCTTGAATAGTGGTGGCTAGTTCGAACTCATCCTCCTCGTCTGAGTGCACAGCACCAGCTTCTTTGCTAGCTTCATTCTCTCATTCTTCAAATCCTACTTTTTTAACGTGTTATTGCTATCATAACGATCCACGGTTGGGGCCTCTTTCCTTGCAGTTGGCTCCCATTCCATTGCGCGACGCATATCACTCCGAAACCACCCCTGCGCAGACCACGCTGTCCGCTGTCTGCTTATTCCCGCTTGCGCGTCCGTCGCGGTCCCAGGTCATAAATCCTAGCTGCATTGTCTCACTGGCCAATTGGCTCAAGAGGGCGACTCTGTGAATCTTCAGTCACTAAGCGCATGGTCCTACGAGATGCGCCAAATCATGCGCTGAGTCCAGATTGCCTCCTTCAAATTGACTCTCCGGCAATTTCACCATGGCCGCTCCAGGCCAGTACTCCTCGATCAAAACCAACGTTGGTAGAACAGTAACAAAGAAGTGGAAGAATGCAAATAAAATAAGCTATGATGGCGACGATTGGGGGGACGAAGATGAATATGAGGAACCTGTCCCCGTTTCTGCAGGCAATCCAAGGCATCCTGCCTGGGGACAACAGCCAAACATACACCCTTCAAATCGAAGCGTGACCAATCCCTCTCCTTCGCGCGGCGGTGGACGACTGTCATTTGATCGCGACGACGAGAGACGGACGTTCTCCTCGGGTGCGTTTGAGTCAGCATACCCTACCACGCAAAGGTCGCCTTTTCCTGAGCCCCAGCATGATTATGAGGATACTCCATTCCCAAACTATAATGGACCTCCGCCTCTGCGAGTTGATACACATGGACAAGGTCCGATGCCCCCGGGGTTTCGACCAGGCTCAAGAGGGCGTAACTTTCAGCCGTATGAAGAGGCTCCCTTTTCTGCGCCGGGCACTTATCCACCTTCACAAAGGTCTGGTTCGAGCAATCGACCTCCGCCTATCGACCCATATCAAAGACACGACAGTCCCATGAGACCAGGCAGTCGAGGGTCAACGACATCAAGTAGACAATTTCCACCTCGGAAGCAGAGCTTAACACAGCAAGCTCCTCCTTCGCTTGATCACTTGCGGCCCAATCAACCAGTCAATGCCCCGACTTCAGATGCGGTAGAGCCTGATGACAGTAGACCTATACCAGTCTTTGTTCGACCCTCAGACATTTACAAGCGCATGGAAGAAGAGAAGGAGAAAGCACGCAAATCGCAGGACTCTTCCCACCGTCCGAGTATTGATGCCACTACCGGCCCAGTAAGAGGCGAGTTTGTTGATGCGCCACCTCCACGTCTCGACTTTCAAGCCCGCACGACCGGCGCTGCCCAGACACCAGTCGAGGAAATAGACAATAAGCGTCGCCTGAAACCGAACACTCTTGACACAGTCCCGGAAAGGAAGAGTGAGTACGGCTTCGACAATCTGATGAGTCAAGCCGACAAACCTCAATCTCCTGCGACTGATTCACCGATTACTTCCGCACAGCCTAAAGAGACTCCAGCTGTCGGTGTTACGAGACGACCAACTGACGCCTCATCGGTCTCAAACTACACGGACCGACCAGACCCGATTTCGGCGTCAACAATCTCGCGCAACGTCTCCGTAGGCGAGCGCGCATTCGAGCACATACCTCAAGACCATTCTCGCCCAACTTTCGATCTTCCTCCCATAAATCGAATTTCTGATTTTGGCATAGACCTTAGTCCACAGAGTGCCGATAGCCATGGAGTTGCTTCTGGTAGAACTGAGCCTACGACAGGCCTGCAGTCACCGAACTCAAATGCTTCGCAGACCGTTGAGCCGCATTCTTTGCAGCATCAACCCTCACTTGGCTACAGATCCATGGTCCAACAAGCATTCGAACAGAGTGAGAGTCAACCCGAACTTTCCCCAACGTCGGCTTCGGACACTATCGACCGGTCAAACAGCGATGCAACTACGGATATTAGTCCGATCATTACACGTCAGAACTTACCCATTGCCAACCCTCACGTAGTTCCTCCATTAGTCGGTGGAGGGGCACATGGCCATTCACGACAGACATCGGATGTAACTGTCAAAGCATATGAACCTGGCTCACCTGATATCGATCTAGCTTCTCCTGGGCCTGTGCGTACAGGTTATCGCAGGGATATTACTCCCCCGAGCCGAGACAACAGCCCGGCGAGAAGACCGTTGAGTATCGAGCGCTCTACCCCCATTCAGCCACAGCAAGGGTTCGTCGAAAGTGTACGCGAAAAAGACGTTGTTCCAGACGATGCGAAACGGGCGAGTTCGCCACCCGAGAAACCCCTCCCACAACCGCCTGCGACTCAAGAAGCTATCAGGGACACTGATTCTCCGATCCCTGAGCGCACAACGTCAGATGAATGGCAGGAATGGCAGGCTCATAAGAAACAGTTCAACCAGCAAGCTGGCTTTCCTGACAGCGGGCCGGCCACTCCGTACGCACCTTCGCCGCTGCAACGCTCAGAAACACCTGCCAAGGGTACTGTGAGAGATTTGGCCGAGAGACTAGAAACTCAGTCAGGAAGATCGACCCCAAGCAATACTGGCTCTCAGGTAACATCACCTGTGACTGAACAGACACGACCCTCCGTTCAATCTCGAAACGAGAGCTTCCGACCTCCGATTCCTGGAGGCTGGCAGTCGTTTACCTCAACCGCTGGAGCTGATCAGTCGGCCCCCCGCATAGATGGGCCCTCGTCTGGAGATGCTCCCTCTCATACCGATCCACCGTTCGTACCATCACGAATGGACAGCACTGATAGCATACCTACCGCTAAAGCTCCCGCTAATCGTTCTGACGAAGACGGTGGAATCAAGGGCAAAGCATTCGCTGCAGCCGCTTCTGCTGGCACTGCTTTAGCTCATTCTCTTGCTGGTCGTAGGCTCAGTGAACGCACAGAAGACTCGAAAGCTCCTTCAGAAGAGTCGAGCGAGAATGAATGGGACGCCTCAAGCACCGATAGCAAAGCTGAATCGAAGATCGTTGATGGCTCTTTGGAACCAGCTATTGACCAATCTCCAGAGCATGAGACCCCCAAAGCTCCTAGAATATCTCCAGATAAGCCTTCATCTTCCCCTGAGCCTTCGAAAGAGGAGAACTCCAGCGATGCTGAAGTCGTGGAGCCCGAAGACAGCTACGTGCCAGCACCTCTGCGTACGAGTCGGAACCTTTCTGACTCCTCAAACCCTAGACCAAGAGTGCCTGGTCTGGTGTTGCATCAAGAATCGCCCACAACAGCTGACAACGAACGGTTGGAAGAGGAAATCGCAAAGAGCTTGACCCCTAAGAGTTCAGCATATTATGGAGAAGTGACAGCTCAAGACAACGGTGCCAGTGCCATGAGATCGACAAGTTCAGACTCAACGCCGTTGAAATCAGCCGCAGATCCATCCACAAGCGCAGCTTATGGTTCTCAAAACCTGTCTACTCTAGCGAATATTGGATCATCATTGGCAGGTGCAATTGCGCCTGCGCCAATCGGAGAGCCCTCCTCAGGCAGACCATCACCTTTACTGTCGCCGGTCTCAACCCAAGCTATGAAACGCCATTCTCCCAGTCCGGAACTCCCATCAGAACCGGGGCTGGATCAACGTTTCCAGCAAGACTCGAGAATGCCTTCGGAAGAAACGCCAGAGCAATTGCACGTGTCAAAATCGGCACAACTAGATCGAACCAGACCCTCAGGCTTTGATGCATCGCAATCACTTTGGAGTGGCTCACCTTCACAGCAAGCAGATCCTATTGCCACATCGGTGTCAGTGCCCCACGCAGAGCCCGAAAGCCAGCCTAGGCCAGACTCCCAAGCAATTCCTCATTCGCAATCTGCACCTCCACAACAGCCAAACGAGGTCGGGCATAGCATGCAGAAAGATACCATCGGCGAAGCGGGCTCCCAGGCTTTGCAGCCTGATATGTTGGACCGGACTCTACCTCAGCATGCAGTCCAAGAAGCCTCTTCTGAGCCTAGACCTTTTCTCAAGCAGCGGTTTTCGTGGGAGACAGGTAGCGAAGAAACTCCTACAGCGGTAACCCCCAAGCAATCGGCTGCGACGCTTTCGACCACTTCACCAGCTACTATCAAAACCGAATTACCACCGCCCTCTGGTGCCGCAGAAGCTTCTCGGCGCGGATCAACCGAGGAGGCTGGTCCTGGTTCCCACACTGTTACTCTGCAAGACTCAGACAGCAAAGTACAATCTCCTCTGCCAATGGAGCCAAGCACGCTTCAGGCCACGATGCACTCACCACCCATCGGCTCTCGTCCTAGCGAGACGTTCAACACTCGACCATCTCAGACCCAACTCTCAGCTAAAGCACCGGGGTCAACAACAGTGTCCCTCCGTGATATCATGAGCCTTGAGTCCCCTCAAGCACGCATCAAGGCCTACGGTGAAACCAGGACCGCGTATGCTACTTCTGATGGTCAACTAGAGAACTGGCTGCTATCAATGCAAAATCCGGAGCATGCAGAAATTTTCGCGATGAGTGGGCGGGAATTCCAGGACGCTAGTGAAGCGATGTCCTACAAACCATTCCCCAGAAGAATCTTGACAGACTCTGCTGGAGCCAGACACATGCAAGAGGACGGCAAGAGGTTGATGATAAAAGCGGGAAAGTTTGGTGGGAAAGCAGGAATTGCCGCCAAGGGCTTGTTTGCAAAAGGGAAAGAGAAGATGCGCCATGTCAGCCATGGAGAAAAGGTACCTTAGTCGATCTATTTCTTTCCGTTCTATTCTCGTTTTTTCCTCTTCTATCACTTGATAGTTTCTGCTTCATTCACGGTGGAAATGCAAGGAATTTTACGAAGAGGGACCCAGAAGCCGGCTCCATTCAGCAATGCTGCTCGCATTTTCGATTCCATATAGTAATGACAAAGAGACTTCTTTCGGCTCTTCTTTTTGAACTGTCTGTTGACGCCTTTCTCTTCTAGGGTCCTACACCTTCGTCAGAACGGCAAAAACCCGCGGGTCCCGTTTCGTCGCTTTCCCTAGACGAGCCCAAACCGACCGAAGAGAGCCGTATCCCCGTGCAGAGGAATTCAACAATGCTCGATGATCCGCCGCAACTACCACTAACCATTTCTTCGCCAGCGTCCCCGTCGGATTGGTTCTCAGGCCCGATACTGGCGAATGCTTCGATTGATCAAGCAGTTCCGGCAACTCCATCGAGTCCCGCGATTTCTGCCATGGACAGTGATCAGGGAGAGAACGGGCATCAGAACGGGAGTGGCCCAAGCCGTTCAATCAGCCAGGTGACGCGACCAACGGCTGAACATTCTCCTGTGGAAGCTCCTCACCTTCATCGAAGCATCGCAGATCAGCTCGTTGACCAAAGTCGTTCTTCCTCTGTAGAAGATGAGTCAACCGTCGCTAGGCTTGCGCCGCCACGCCCAATTAGTGATCAAGCAAATAGTTCTCAACAGTCTGGAGATGGAGGTCTACTTGTTCCACAAGACAGACGGAGATCCGTCGTTTCTGCAATTTCTAGTGCAAGTCGGGGTTCGGGATCAGTTGTGTCCCAAGCTCATTCACGACCGAGCATTTCCCCTGCCGATGCAGAAGAGGTCTTCGATGTCGAACCAATGAAAGGACAGCCTGGATCTCAATTGCAACCATCAGCACTCAATGACTTTGACGATGTACAGTGGAGATCTTCTCCGGCAGGTGAGGCCGAGTCACCTCGAAACGACACGCCTCCGCCAGGAATCGACGAGCCTTACGTACCTTTGGATATAGATGTTGATTCTGAAGCCATCCGACGTGCACAGGCAGGAGAAGAGAAGCCGGAAATGACGGGAGAACAGGGGAGTGAAGGAGAACGCAATATTGCATCTAATTTACCCGGGCATCATCGTCCATTCTCGTTCTCAGGCATCGAAGACATCGATGGTCACCACTCGCCGCCATGGCATTCTTCACTACCCATGAGCCCAGTCAGCCAAACATTCAGCAACTCGTCTCTCAACAAAGAGATGTCCCAAGTCAGTGTTGACGAGGTTGTTAATCAAGCGGATGCCGTTTCGGGACAGAGACAGTCAAGATCCTATTCACGACCGTTCGGAGTCGATCCTAACGTGCGGAACCATCCTGCACTTAGGGTTCAAGAGGTTCAACCCGAGCAACCGATGAATAGAGTACATATGTACTCCTCTGAAAGCCCCCTGCCAAGCGCAAGACGACCCCAGGAGGAAATGGAAAGGTTGCGGCAACAGAGGGAGATGTACCAGCATGGACATGGACGACCAGTCAGCACCGAGGTCGAGCAAGGTGGCAATGGAGAGTTCCGTATTGCAGGACCATACATCCAGGAATACAGATCCCCAAAGCCTGTAACGGCACCAAGAATTGGACGAAGTCCAGTACAAGTGGAAGCCAGCGGCCAACCCATGCCCGGTGCGAGGGTTTCTTCTTATCCCGGACAAAATTCATTAGGGGCTGAACAAGGACAGCAGCAGTTGCAGCCGAGCAGATTGTCTGTTGTTGGAGGCACTGACGATCCTCGCCGTTTGCCCGATCAATACGCACCACACCAGCACCAACGTAGCTATGGATACGAATCAGCTCCTATGCGCGAGCAGTCGTATGATATGGAACCCGAGTCCGAGCACGGACATCAACCGCAATACCATCCAGCACCGCAACCTCCATCTCAGCTGCCTATTCAAGAAAGCACGTATGCGCAAAATCAGCGCCAGTCCATGCCGCCACCCTCGGTACCTGCTCCGAAAGAGGATCTTCCTCCTCAACCGTCGAGCGGCAAGACAGGCATGTTTGGGAGCATCTTCGGAGTCAAGGGGCGAAACAAGCTTCAGAAAATAAGCCGCTCTGAGTCGCGTACCGACGAGAGAGATGCCTACGGCCAGAAAAAGGAGAAACGAGCTAGTCTCTTCCGGCGCAATAGTCGTCACGACAGTATCTCGTCCAAGCGGAGCAGTCAATACGGTGAACATGACCAATCCAGTCACCTCACGCAAGTTCCATCGCACCCTACCGCCGGCAGGAGACTTTCGCGAGACGCATTGACGACGCCCGAGCCCAAAGAACTGAACCCAGTATCCGAAACTGGAAAGAAGAAACGCTTTTCGGGGTTAGGTGGACGAATCTTCAAGACCGGCGGGGCCAAAGATTCCACAAGAGCAAACTCTGCACCTATCGATTCAACTTCAGCGAAACGAACGTCGACACAAAACCTTGAGCAGCAGATTCGTGCTCAGACATTCATGTCGCCGCAATCCTATTCACAATATTCGAGTGCGGGTATGCAAGGATACTCCTATGCTGAGGACGCTGCTGGGCAACTTCAATACCCTTCGGCATCAGCATCGAACATGGGCATGACAACAACTTATCCGGGACCAGGAGCATATCAGCATCAGCAGCAACCATTTCCCGGTATGTATGAGAGGAATATGGTCTCGCTACCACCGCAGTCACAGCAACAGTTTACGGGTTATGACTTTGGTTTACCTGGTACATCAGCACATCAAGGCCTCCACGAGCGTGAACGTGAACGACCTTCGCCCTTGCGGATCGATACGAGCGGTACTCCAAACCAAAGTGGTTTTCGCTATGGTGGTAGTGGTAACCCCGTCACGACGGCACCCATTCAGACATTTCCTCAGCGAGATCCAAATTTCTCGCGGGGGGTAAGACCAGAATACGCGGCAGGTCCCACGAGTGAGGGTGCGGGTGCTAGTGTCATGAGTAGAGGTGGTGCAATAAGCCCACCAGCTGCCGGAGTAGCCAGGACAGTCAGTCCAGCCTTCGGTGGTGTTTCTGCTTCTATTTCTCCGTCTGCCTCCCAGCCTCGAGAAGACAGCAGAGCACATGCTATGAATCTCCATAAACGATCACGATCACCGAGATTGGGCCGACGGCCGTCCAGCGAGGATCTGGATGCAGAGAGGCGTGCGCAAAATGGAGGAGTTAGTGTCGACCACAGGGGCAGTGCTGGCCGGGGGCTGGTGGACAAGTTGGGTACGTTTAGTAGTAAACGCATCAGTCCTGTCGGTGGTGTTCCCAGAGATGAAAGTGAGCAGGAGAGGCCTTTCAATATTACGGTACCTGGGTTGGATGAAGGTGAGGATAGTTCGGGACAACAACGAAGCAGCAAACCCGGTGTTTCTTCAACTATGAGAGAGCGAGTGGAAGGTGGTGCTGCGAGAAGCGACACACCAATCAGTGTCGAGTCCGGGTCGAATGTCAGGTTATCCTCAGCTGCGTCTCCGCCGGCAAAGGGAGACGGGCTTGAGCGAGGAGTTAGTTTGATGGAGAGTGACAAGGACAGGGACAAGAACAAGAACAAGACTGCGAAAGACCGATCTGGTGGAGTCATTGCAGAGTTACCTGGAAGTCACGCTGAAGGGTACGAAAGTGACGAAGAGGTCCTTATGAGTGCAACTGCGTATCCAGGACAGGAATGGGTCCCTGTTGTTGTTGGAGATGGTAGATGGGATGATTGAGGTGATGTGGGATGGTGATGGGTTGTAAGATTCTACGTCGCCATATCATACGACGCCTTTCCTTTGGGTCCAGTTGTCCCCGACACCATGCTACATCACGGTGAATGGAGGCGCACCACAACAATACATACGTCCCGCCAGCTTGTATTTATCTCAGGGCTTTTTGCGGCCGGGTTGGGAGTTGTTGTTATACTTTGGGCGTTCGAGCAAGCGTTTTGCCTGTTCTGTCTACAGTTATTGGTTCTCATGACATGACTCTCTTTACCAAAACTATCCAGACTGTTCACGTGGCGCTACACAGTAAATCCCACGATGGATTATGGAGAACCAATGTTATATGTCTATGCCGGAAGGAAATCTTTCGCGGACGAACAAGGACGACGATATCATGTGAGGCAGAATGCAGTCCCACGCTTGATCCGCAGCGTCTCCTACAATACGTTTGGAAATGCTAGCCTTTAGCTACCTGGTTAACTCCATGTTCAATGCATACATACAGGTACCCGCCATTTCATGTTTTGGCTCATCTCGAGCAGACGAAGCCGCCCAACCCGTTGAATGGCTAGTCACGTCCGGATCCATTCTTGTGGCCACTTCTGCGCCGGGGCTGTACCCCCTGTCGCAGCGAAGTTGAGTTGGTTGGAGACGGCGATGTCGCGGTCCTTTCACGGTCCAAGCTATCCATGACTTGTACCAGGTTGTCGATCATTGACCCTATCCGGGCTCGAATCTCCCCAACAGCCTCGCGCTCGGCGAGGAGCTCGCGGACTTGATTTTTCAGCGACGCTAGCTCCTGGTCCTTTCGCTGTCTGAAGGCGGCCTGTGAAACTCGATTCTGGCGCCGGCGTCTTTCTTTCTTTGAAAAGTGAGTCAGCCGCGCCACTTGAACGACCACTGTCTCTACACGCCGATCCATACGCACCTTTGCGCTCACGGAATGGTCAAGATTTGATGATGGGTTGGAGCTGATCCAGCTGAGATGGCTCTCTGGCCCAGAGTCAGGAGGCGAATAGCTCGATACTGAGTTGCTGCTATTCGACTCGTCTACGCTGGGAACTTGGTTGAGAAGATCGAGGAAGCCGTCCCCAACCTCGATTTAACGTTAGCTTTCAGCTTTGGACCGCCGTACGGCAAGATCAAAAGACATACGATTGATTGATATGGGTCATATAACTGGTCCAAGCATGGCATGTCAAATCCGGTATCGTCAATGACCTGTTGGCCCACTTGCTGAGTGTACAGATCGAGATCAGCGGCGATGATGGCCATGACGGATTTGTATTCGAGTCTCAGAGGAGGAAAGGCTTTTGGTGAGTTCGTGTTGGTGGATGGAGCGGAGACCTGGCCGACAGACCTGCTAGACCCTGGATCGAGATCGCACGACTTTATACCCTCGTCCCTCCTACCCCAAAGAGCTTCCAAGAGGGTTCCAGTGCCATTTCCGTCCCACAGGGAACCAATTTCTGGATTCAGGCAGTGTCCTTGGCTTTCGACTAAGAGCGACGAAGGACAGCTTGTTGATTAACTCGATCGAGCCATTACTACACCCGAGCTGACCACAAGCCTATCGACCGATGGTACTGACCGATTCAGGCCTAGTATCAGCTGCGCAACGATCAACGCAAGAAGAGTACTGCCCCTGTTCGGACTAGTCAGATGGGTCTGGTGGATCTTGATGTCTAGAAGGGGGACTTATTTTCTTTGATCCTTTACAGCACAGAGTCACGAACGTTGCTATAATGTATCCAAATTGCTCGGTGACCACCACCTCGATCACGCTCCCTCGAGAATCTGCCTCAACCCATGCTGTTACATGCTCCTTTCTGCGGCAGCTGCTTTTCGTTTTCTACGACGGTGCCAATCCTCAGTCTTGGTCTCGGATTTTCTCACACTCCTTCCACAGCTCCAACCCAGCATCATCACAAGCTTCGTCCAGCCACAGAATGCGCACCAGTTGTTCTTTCACCTCTGCCCATGTTGATAGACCCTTGCGAGCAGCGACTCGTCCCAATCCCGCGACAAACCAAGCTCTCAATTCCAGATGAGCCGAGGCAATTCCGCCCACGGTCAGAATCCATAACAGAAGCCAGTTGCACGATGTCCAGTTGGTGGCCCCGAGTCCGACCACGATCAACGATGAACGTAGGTCTTGCGCCAACCTCTCAAATGGTGCCATCCCGGGTGCCAGGGGGTAAATCACACCCAGACTATACACCAACATCGCAACCCGGCAAGGCTCATAGTTTGGGTGATTCTTTCGAAAGACACTGGCCATTTTCTCAGCTGGGGGCAATGAAAGGAGTCTATATTGCACCAGATTCCGCTTGTCCGCTACGGCCTCTGCAGAATACCCATCCGGAACCTTCGTCATGAAGCCCCTGGCCATACTTTCGTAATCATGCATTTCATGAAAAACCTCCATGATCTCAGAGTTCAGTCGAGCGGCACAAAATACGCCGAAGAACGGCGATGATTCGGTGGCTGCGTCGCAAACAACCGGTCGCCAGACCGGGGACAGATCTCCCCCCAGAATCGAGACGAATGGGAACACGGGAGCTGACAGCTTCCGACTTGCGACGAGGACATCAATTCTGTTTTCACAATGACAGGTCAACTATACGCCAAGTCGAGTCCTGCATATTCAACTCACAGGGAAACCATTTCTCGCAGTCCTGGCACGGCAATCTGACCGATGCCACCCCTCAATTTGACGAGTTCAACGACACCCTGCATATGGACATCTCTGCAGCTGGACGACCCGAGCGTATTGAGATATTGGAGGTCCCTCAGAGGAGGTTTGAAAGGTGGGGTTCTGGTCAGAGGTGATGCTTCCGTGCCCGAGAATGCAATGCAGATGATGGACAACAAGGTTGTATCGTTGAAGGCCTTGGCTGTATCTACCATTGTCTGCCTGAGCCATGCAAGCGCTTCTGCTTCGTGATACCAAAGAGCCTCTAGATATCTCCTTGCGGCTCCAACGTCCGTCTGACGGAGGCGACGATAGTTAGCCAATGAGGAAGAGTACATCATGGAGTTGAAAAGAAGCGGATCACTCATAGCTGCTTGCGTCCACTGCTGGGTGAAGGTGGCCTGATGACCGTGGAGCCCGGGCGACAGAGCCACGGGAAGGACTTGAGAGATTTCTACTGTCATATCAGTGGATGCTGGTGCAACTTTCATCCGGGGGGTTTTACGGAAGTTGCGAATGTCGCCCGGAGGCGACATGGACCTCACAGCCGAAAAGGCCTGTGACTGACGTGAGCTTGAAGCAGACGTCAGCGTCCGATGCTCATATTGGCCTTGTGATAGAGTCTCTTCCTGTCTTTGTTCATGAAATTGCGTCTCTCGGGCGGTCATGAGACGTGGCTCACTCGCCTCACCTTGGTACACCTGTATGGCACACGCACCAGATGCCTGAGGACCGAAGGAATGAGACCGGTCATACTCCTCGTGAGGGAGGACAAGATCATTCTCAAATTGTTGCCAATCATTCTCCCACAGGTCTATCTGTCCTCCCGTCTCGTTCTGATTGATGGCGAGCCTCCAGCTTTTGGCGTCTTCATGGGGAGCCTCGTTGGGAGGGGTCGATTCTGTTGTGGTTGAAGGACTGGTATCGGATCGGGCGTCCAGGCTGGTGTCAGAAGTGCTGGAAGCTGATCGTTCAGACCCCTGACGAGTTCGGACTGATAATGCAGGACGGTTTGAACTTTTGTCACTGCGCTGTCGCCGGTTGTTCCATATGTGCTTCCCAGCATACTTCCGAATCGTGGATCGGGCTTGGGCGAGGTCTTGGGTCGATGTCGATTGAGTGTTGATGAAGACGAGCGGGAGTGGATCCGAAGAATTCGACATTGTCGAAGATACCAATCTGTTCCGTGTTCGAAAAGGTGGACAGCCTCATCCTACGGCCAGGGTCAAAAGACATACGAAGAAAAAAGGGGGATTATCACAAAGCAGATCCCGTTCAAGAACAAGTCGTCAAAGAGTATCCTAAGACGAAAAGCCGCATCGATCCGACAGGAGCAGGCTTAGATGACCGTGGGTAGTCCGGCACCTGGCCAATATCTATGCGCCCTCAACCGCCCTCAACCGCCCTCTTGCAGCTTTGACACTTAGTCATGCCCCCGAGCGTAAGACGACGACGCAGTTAGTCGGTCTCTTGGCGGGTTCCTCTTGCTATGCGGTTGCGAGCTTCGCACGCATTTTCCCTGCGCTAACATTCGGCTCACGCAATAACTGGGCTCCATGGAGCCCCGTCGAGGAGGTTGCCTAACTTCTGCCTAGCCCATGCACGTTGGATGGACTCTTAGGGATCTAAACAGAAGATATGGGGTTATGAGACGAGGGCCTCGGCACCCCATTACTCCCAAAGGAAAATCTGGAAAATCTGGAGGGATTGAAAACAGACCATGAACAGACACACACCGGCATGCATTGATTGGCGCAAGAATTGAAGGAGATGTATGTAGAACTATCACCTACGTGACTTCAGACTCGTGAGATTGTGGACGCGCAACACATGGCAATGTCGTGATTGTTGTCTGCGCGGCAGGCTTTTTCAGATCTACCATAAACTTAGCGACGCATCTCAAGATTTGTCAAGGCTCGTGCAAGTGTCGAGGAACTAGTCCTAGCCTAGGAGATTACATTTCGAGCGCACTTTAGTTGCCTCGTCAAGTACATATTGTATATCGCGGCTGATAAGTCAAAACAAACTTTGGCGTGCCCCTCCCACAGCGTGCATGGCGGATTTCTATTCGCCAGAAACGATTTCCATTTCAGGCAAAGCGACAAGCCCCCCGCCAGAGCTCCTGGAATGTCAAAGTCACTGGCGCTTCGGCATGAGACGATCCGGCGATCACCAAATAAGAGTCGCGATGAGCTGCAAGGCCTACATCTCGAGAATACTAGTAGAGCACCACGGACCACAAGTCGGAGCATGGGTGGAACCTATGCTTGCGCCGTGGAATTTGTACCGCCGCCTACAGGGCTGACGTTCGTTTAAATACGTCCCAGTTCGGTATGTGACCTGCTGCCAGATGCGGTAATGGGGTCAAAGTCAAGGTCCTTTTACCCAGTATGGAGTCCGTCACCCTTGTAGTTGACTGGGAGAGAAGACTGGTACTCCCCTGTAAATCATCTACCTCACAACTGATCCCTCATCTTATTCTATCCCGCACAATTGACCACTAGGTAGCATTGAGGAAAATTGAGAGTCGGGAATAGCCATGGATGGCTATCGAGGGCTCATCGGTACCATGGCGTAATAGAAGTAGCTGTCTACTATACTACAGTGATAGAATTTTAGTGCTGGACTGATCAGCCTCGGCCCCGGTCGACAAGCAAGGGTTCAATATTAATAAGCCCTAGCGAATTTTGGGAAGACCCTTGGGAAACCGTTAGGATTCGATGCATGGCGATGTTCAATCCAATCCGGGCACATGTTCAGGCACAGGCCAATAGAGGCGAGCTGGTCAGATGCAGCAGCACTTTCTACGTATCAAGGCCAACAACGCACCGTCTCCCGCCCGTGGCCCGCCGCAAGCCTGACCGTTACCTCGAAACGCAATAAGCTATCGACGTGGGACCCCTCTTGTCACGAAGGCTAGCGGGTTCTCTTGCGACTTGGAACTTTCTCGCTTAGTAAAGTTCGCCATGGGTCAGTAGTAATCAGCTGTGGACTTTTGTTGGCGAATTTCAGGGGTGTGAGACATCGGCCATCTCTAAATGGACAGCACTACATTGTCGATACGAAATTGAAGATCTCGTCATGCAACGGTAGAAAAACTTTGTGACTATGCGGGCAAGAGTTTGACTAGTTGTCAAGTTCGCGAGGATGTGGCGTTGTTTTCCCCACTCTAATAGCGCAGGCTTGTTCCTAGAGGATGCCAGAGATAATTTGTCATCCCCATGAGATGGGCCGCGTTGTTCAAGCCAGATGACACCTTGTTCGAGACCGCCCATGTTCAACCCATGATACCTGCAACCATTTCTTCAATTTCCGACTGGGTCATGACAGGAATGCCCAAGATATCGTTGTTCAGCTTCGGCGTGAAATTCCCACCGTATCCGGATCCCCAGCATGCGCGAGCAATGAACCCCAGGGACGCACTCAGCAGGTCCGATGGCGTACCCTTCTCCAAGGACTTGTACGCGTTCTGCTCCACGTCGGCAGTCGAGACCGTCGTCGTCGTCCAATCCCTGCCATCTCGCTTTCGCGCGATCTCGATGAGTTTGTTTTGTGTGATCGCGGTGTCGTGTACATAGATGTCGCGGTTTTTCGTCGCCTCGAGGTTATTGATCACCCCAATGACGGCTTTGCCGATGGTGGCAAGTCGTGTCGCCGAGAAGGTCACGTCGCCCCCATCGTACAGAGTCGCCGTGTGTTCCTTGAGGTTGACCATGAAGCCAATCTGGAGCTGCCAGTCGAAGAAGCTGTTGGTATAGAGAAATGAATAGCTGAAGTCGGGATATTGAGCCGCCTTTTCGACCAGATACTCTTGAGTCTTGACCTTGTCTGCAAAGACGGGGAGTTTCCTAACCCCAGGGTTCGCCGTATCATTTCCAAACTCAGAAGGAATGAATCGCGTCACTCCGGCGCGGATAGACGCGTCAATGAGCTTTTTCTGATTTTCGAACAGGTTTTGAAAACCGAGGTTTGAGACGACGACGTCCACACCCTGAAGCGCCGCCCCGAGACTCTCTGGGTCGTCGTAGTTGACTTCCTTGATCGTGGCGTTCGAACTCGACGGCAATGCGACCTTTGAGCGACTGCCCAACCGGGCAAGGACCGTCAGCGAGAAAGGTGTCTGAAGTAGCTGGGATAGGACCGCCGGGCCCAGATTTCCCGTAGCACCAGCGAGAACGACGTGAACCATGACTAGATTGATTTCTTGGTTTTCTCAATAAGGGAGTTGAAGTCCAGGCGGAATGTACTGCCGACTTCACGAAGACGTATAGACTGTAGACTCCAACAGCGACAATAGTAGGCTCCATATATCTCCCCAAGACGACTCGACATGTTGTTCTAGGCTGTGAAGGTTCATAAGCATTCGAGATTTCGTCCGTGTGAATGACAAAGCCCTCTCTGTCTTAGGCCCGGATCTTTCATATTTGGCGGAAAGTAATGGTCCTAGAGGGAAAAGCGTATTCTTCCGTAACCCCTATATTTGTCATAGCTCCAGGGACATAGGGTGGGCTGGCATCGACGAGTGATCCTGGCTTAGTCAGTGCATGACTCCCCGGAAAAGGCTCTTCGTCTGGGATCGCCAATATTCACCTACAACGGCCTGTACCGGGTTTCATTCAGTGACCTAGCCGGAATGGTACATTACTAGCGACCAACCGTTCTGTGCGAGCTCCATTAGGAACTCGGTCGCTTTTGGTGTTTGTGGATTTCCTAATCCAACTTGCACAGAAGAATGGTGTGCTTTATGGTGTTCGAAATGCCTTCCACAGGTATATATCCTGGTGAGAAGATATCTGGAAAATTACTTGCGTATAGTCACTAGAGTCCTAACGTACATCCTGCCCTTAATTCAAGATGTCTCGACGCGTTGCTTCTGAGACATCAGACCCTTCACTTCTAGCTCAACCTCTACATTTTGAGTTCAGTGGAAAAGTGGCGCCGAACCGTTTCATGAAAGCTTCGATGACCGAACGGCTCAGCTCTTGGGATCCTGAGAACTTTGAGGCGCGAGGAATCCCGGGGGCAGAGATTCATCGAGTCTATGAACGCTGGGGCGCCGGTGGTTTGGGCCACATCCTCACGGGCAACATCATGCTTGAATATGACCAGCTCGAGGCCGCAGGGAACCTGATCATCCCGCCTGGTGCTCCCTTCGAGGGCGATAGATTCGACGGATTCCGAAAACTTGCGACCCTGGCCAAGAAACACGGAAGCCTTATTACCGGGCAGGTGTGCCATCCCGGTCGAGAAGTAGACGAGCGTATTCAAAAACACCCGGTCTCTGCGAGTGACATACAGCTCGAGGGAAAGGTTCTTGGGATGCAATTCGCAAAGCCACACTCAGCGTCCCCTCAGGAGATCAAAACCATCGTGGAAGAGTTTACACATTCGGCCATCTACCTGGCCAAAGCTGGCTTCGATGGCATCGAACTGCACGCGGCACATGGATACCTCTTGGGCCAGTTCCTGTCCCTGACCACGAATCGCCGGACGGATGAATACGGTGGCTCCTTGCGCAACCGGGCACGAATAATCCTGGAGATTGCCGCCGCAATTCGCTCCCGTTTAGGTTCTGGCTCCGGGTTCATTCTAGGGATCAAGGTCAACAGTGTCGAGTTCCAATCCGGTGGTTTCACCGTCGAGGAAGCTCGCGAGCTCTGTGCCATGCTCGAAAATGCCGAGTTTGACTTTGTCGAGTTGAGCGGGGGGACGTACCAATCAATGGCGTTCCATCACCAGCGAGAGTCTACCAAAAAGCGAGAAGCTTTCTTCATGGAATTTGCAGACATGATCGTTCCAACCCTGACCAAGACCAAGACCTACATCACAGGCGGTTTCAAAACTGTCGGTGGCATGACGAAGGCCCTGGAAACCGTTGACGGGGTCGGTTTGGCGCGAGCCTTGTGTCAGGAATTCGACCTCGCCAGAAACATACTCGAAGGCCGTGTCACCGGAGTGATCCAGCCTCTTGTGGACCAAGACGATTTCTTCCTGACGAACGTGATCGCCGGTAGCCAAATGCGCCAGGTCGCCAAAGGACAAGAGCCCATGGACATGAGCAAGCCAGAAAACGTACCGACGTTCATGCAAGCACTGGCGGAATGGAGTCGGAAGAATGAAGAGGATAAGCTCACCATGTCGCTGTACGGGTACGTGGATCTAGACGTCTGAGCTGTTGTACGCTGACAGCGCATATCATTCCTGTACACACCTAAGCACGCTCGTTTTCGTAGCTTTTACGACGTCGTCAACTTCGTCGACGGTCATACTCTGTCGTATTGGCTGTGATGATCTTCGTCCATAGTACAATAGGATTTCATTAGTGGGAAAGTATCGGGAACAGTCCTAGAAGGGGTACAGTATTGAACAGGAAGTGCTGGTACACCAAGGCTCCACCAAAAGTGGCGATTTGATAAGCCGCGTTGTGGATCTCATAGGGACGGCCTTAGCGACGTTGCTTTTCGCCTCTTGGCCATGGGCATCCGTCGCCTGAAGCCGCTATCGATGGGTGGAGCTCCGCGCCCTCAGCTGGTCTGCTGGATATTCCTACCCTGGACTGCCCTGTGGCTCAAAGCATTATCATCATTCACACCTCCCGCAGACCATCGTGTACTGTAAAGCCCTCAATACAGAAGCACTCACAACATGCTGCGGGAATAGGCCTGCCAGGGGTCAAGATAATTACTGCTGCAACAATAATGCCCGCAGACGTTGTCTTTGTCCTCCACGATCCGAGGTCGGCCTCCAAATCACGGGAGAATCGTCATCTGGTCGCCAGCCACATTGGCCGACACCATCGTAATCGATCCAAACCCACTCGTAGCAACCTACATGCGCGTTCCACACGCGGTCGTGCACTGGCACCCAGCACTTTTGGACGCTTCGATTCGGGATACTTTCTGTCACCGGCAAAGAACGCCGCAACCGGCAACGGGTCCAACGACTCTGGACGTCCCAGCCCAGAGAAGCAAGAGGAAAATGCTTCTGCTTGCCGACACGAAGGTGGAGGCAAACCGATGACTCGACCTTCGTTGATACATGATGATGCTGCAAAGTCCAGCCACAATCGTCTGGTCAAGTGTCATCCGGCTCAAGGACAGCCGGCCACACCTGGGCTTCCGAGAGCATTGTTGAACTACGTTCAATTTGACTGTCCCCAACGCCTCGAGTCATCGGCACGGTTTGGATTTGATTTCCGTGAGCGCTGTCAGCTGCTAGACGTTGGCCTCAGACTGACGAGATTCAGAGATTAATTATGTCTTTCCATTGCACTCCACATGGGGTGTTCAGATAAAGAAGCACGTCGGCTTCATAGTTCAGATGATATGCAGGGATGATGGTCTCTTCAATGCCATTTCCGCTTCTGCGCACGGCATCTATGACGCTTTGACGCGGCCTGGTGCCCGGCCTTCTGCGGCCACGTTATGGCATCGCTCCAGAGCCTTGTCGAAGCTGCAAGACAAGCTCCTCGATCCTGTCAGCGCCACCAGAAATGAAACCTTACTGGGGGTATTCTATCTCCTTGAGAGTGCAGCTCGGTTTGGCCATCAAGATGACTTTCTCACCCACTACATCGGCCTACATCGATTGATACAAATCAGAGGATCCATCGTCCCCACGTCCCTCGAAGACGTCTACATTGACCAGTCGATTGTGATTCTGGAGGCGTCTGAAATGGCCTGGACTACGAAAATGACGCTGGAAGACCCTGACCCGGTGGACTTGACCTACCCGGTGCCGGGTATACCGCTTGATGCATCGACTGCCAACCTACCGGTGGGCTTTTGGGAGTTGGCCTCTGAGGGCTCCATTAGCAGGGAGGTCCTTGGACTCTTGGCCGACATTCCCCCCGCCGAGTACCTGGAGCATGAAATGGCCGCCTCTCAGCGACATCTCAAGGTCATTCAGCGAGCATGGCTTTTGTATCGGTCGTCCAAGCGGTCAGTCGAGCGCCTGGCGTGCCTCGGGGCACTGTCGTTCTCGCTTAGAACGGTCCTCGCCACGAATCTATTCCCAGGGACACCTTTCCTGCAGAGACTGGCCACCATCGGAACAAAAATCTCGCGAACCAAGGCGCTCTACCGGGAACTCATGGTTTGGGCAATGGTGGTTGCAGGGGCCCAGACCTTTCCGGTGGAGAAAGAGGAGGCGCGTCGCATACTGCTCCAGATAAAGCAAGACGAAAAATGGATACAGTCGTGGGAAGACGTTGAGTCTGCTATGAAGAAATTCTTCTGGTGGGAGAGCTTTGCCCCATTTTGGCGAGCTTGCTGGGAACAAGCGACAACGTAGCTTTTGTTGCTGCGACACAAAAATGCTTACGACAAGGCACCTTGCCAGCCGTTCGGTGAATGATGGTCATTGACCCAGTCGCCTGACTCAACGAAAGAATGGATTGACCTGATCCCCTATTTTTCTTGGTGCTGTCAATACCCCTGGTGAAGAGGTTGACTGCAAGACTGGGTTTGGGTTTAGCTTCGTCAGTTGCCGACCATTCATTCGAACCAACTTGAGCAATTTCAACGCTGTTTTCCAAGGCAGTTTTCTTTGACAGAAAACAGAAAAGAGCTCTTTCAGCAGCATCGGTGACCTTGGCGGGTACACGCGGCGTAGCTGTGAGGCAGTAGGTCGCTTGCAAGGGTATCATTCCTGATAGCTTTTAAGGCATGGCTCCTTCCAACAACCAACGGAGGGGCTCCTTCGGGAATCCGGAGTGATACAATTGTGACTTCAGCAAACGACCGTCATGTCTATCACCTTGGTTGAAGAGCCTGGCGGAAAGGGGACTCACACGGCACTCGCCACGTCTGAACACCATAAACACCGCCATATTGACAATACCGGCCAGCAGTCTGGTTCCAATGAGACTGAGAAGATTAGCACACACGACGACGGCTTTCCGTCCAACTCCATTTGCAAGCAGCCGCTGCCCATTGCGCCAGAGATCTTCCCAACGTGGAGAAGGACATCCATGGCTAAAGGGACGACGGGAGAGGCAAATCAGCGCGGCAGAGGTACACGGATCCTTCTTGTGTCGCACAATTCAAAGTTCTGAGTTATTTATTGACGGATGAGATAACTGTACCTTGCTGCTGCAGGACTCAAATGGGCAAAACGGACTCATGGAGACATCCGTCCAGCAAACATGCTACTGGATTCCAACCGAAATTTGAAGTTAGAGCGATTTGGTCCAGGCCAGAGAAGTTGAGAAAGAAATAGACGTACTCTTTGAGCAACCTGGACGGCTACTCACTAAGAACGATGACGGCCCCTTGGCGAGACGTTTGCGACCGGCTCTGCTTACTACAATCCCTTCGCGGCTATGGACCATATGCTACCGAGTCCTGGGGCGAGCAACACTTTGTCATTCCCCCAGGAAACACTCCAACTAAGAGAATTTCCACCCTTGACCAGTACCGTCAGCTACGCCGTCCTAGGAGACTACTGGAACGGAGAATATCACTCGGGAATTACGCTTTTGGCAAAGTTTGCAGACGTTGGTGGTGAGACGAACGAAAGTCACGAATGGTTGGAACTACGACAATCGGAATCCAAGACATCCATCGACAATGGCTTCGTGGATAGACTTCGGTACTCATCAGTCACGAATGTAGATTCCATCCTATCTCTACTCATATGCATGTTGGCGTGTGACCGGGTTTGGATTTAGTGTAACGAAGTAGGCCTCATCATGCCCGGGGTTCTATATAGCTTTTCTGAGCCAGGAGTCAATAGCCCCATTTCTGCCGTTTGTGATCCTATGGACTTGATACTGCAAATAGCGGCCACCGGCGCTCGTCATTGTCACGAGTGAATGTATTGTACGAAGATGTGATATGCGTGCTCGGTCCATTCTGAGCGATGATGGTCGCGTCGACCTCTGGCGCGTCCAACGATTGGTGGAGAAAGAGTCTGCCGTGGTCTGGGATGAACGCTTGCAGAGACGGCGACTTGGCCAAGATTCCATTGACCATGTCACCGCTGTCCGTAACTGGAGCATCGATCCAAGCACGCTGGGCGCATATCCAGAAATCGGAAGTCTCATTTCAGGACCCAGAAAGCATCGCTGGACCCAAGCAGAATGACAGAGGTTTAGAGAGGGGAGGATCTACTGCGACGACGACGACGACGACGACGACGACACCACAACGATAACAACAGATAGGTCATAATCCCAAGTAGAAGGGAGGTAGACCCGGGATGAGGTTTCTTTTTTTCTTTCTGGAAGGCCATCGGGTTAAGCTGTAGGCTGTACGTAGCTGAGCATCATGACCATGTGTTACGTTTCGCTCCACCAGAGGTGTCACTGCACGTATGGTTTCTTAATGGGTGGGAAGTAGAGGAGACGAGGTCACTGAGAATGGAGTACTTGAGCGAGTACTAGAGCGAAGTGATCACAGTTCAAAATGTATGGGTATAATCGTGAACGAAGTTGACTACGTAGTAAAGCTATAAAATGACCGTGTATATATAGACCATAGAATTAGTGGCTCTTCTGGGCTCTGTGGGCTCTGCACACAGAGCCCACAGAGCCATAAGAGTCATCAGGCTCTATCTTCTCTGTGTTCTCCTGACAGAGTCTACAGCCTTAGCTTAGTCATGTGATCTCGTTCTCTTGACTCATATATACCGGAGGTAATAACGCTAAATGGCTATTATCACAGCTTGATTTACAGCCTCATAAAAGGCTTAGTTTATAACACTTTCTTCCTCCTAGATTTATTTATTGTTCTCAATATATATAAGGTGAGTCTCTCTCTATATATTTATCGCTTTTTTCTTTAATCATAACTCATCATACCATAGTAATATTCTCGTAAACGCCTTGATTTCTTCATCTCTTGTCGACTAAATACTGCTAAACAAATCCGTTTCGTTAGGGTCAAACAAATAGAAATGAGTCGATATTTCTGTTATTAAGAGTAGAACCTGATCTGCTATATAATTAAGGGATACGCGAAATACAATAACTATACTATATCGAACATGCGGTATTATGATGGTTGTTTTTTAGATACCAAGTTTGACGGCCTGAAGCGTCAGAAGAAGGCGCTTAAGAAATCCATTAAAGATTAGCGTGCTGAAGTAGTCCGCCTAACTGCCGCAGCTATATTCGCTTTTGCCGCGCTAGCCGCGGCGCAAGAGAAGGAAATGAAATTAGATAAGCGATTAGATAAACTAACTACCTGTCAGTTCGAGATATTGGTTTAGAAAGCTAAGGCCCTAGATATATTGAGTGATCTAGAGGACACTAATAGTTAAGAGCCATAGATAGTCTTCTCGCTATTTAAGCTCTTCGCTTGAAGTGACTTAATAATAGATTTCGATTTTACTGGTTTTAATGATACTGCTAAATTATCTTATATATCTAGATAAGATATTCTTCTAGTTTCTATATACTTTCTAAGTTATTATATTCTAATCACTTTATTAGATAGAGTCATTATTCCTTCTCGACTTTAATGTTCAGGATAGCTTTTATATTATATATTAATTATTAGATTTCCTTATATATCAGCATTAATCCTGATTTAGCGTTTAGTGGTGCTTTTTTAAGAAGCGATTTATGGAAAACTGGGTAGATATTCATTCCTTTAAGTAGTTCCAACTTAAAGTTCACTAGTTTAAGTTTCTTCTTAATTCTGTAAGATCTAATCTTAGTGTGATTCAGTTTATTAGATGGTTATTATGTTTTAATGTTTTTTCTAAGAAGGTATACTGTCTTCTCTTCTTTAAAGTTTGGTCCCTTAGATCTTCATCTGTTTGAGTTCTTAACTGTTTTTTGTGATATTTTCTTAAGTTCTTTCTTCAAAAGTTTGTGTAGTGATCGTAATTTCTTAACTGAGATTACTGTCTTTTCTATAATTAGTTTAATGCCTTTAATATTCTTATTCATTCTTAGGTGAAACTCATAGTTTATATAGAATAATGATATTCTTATTACTACTACTTTATTATTAAATATAAACTACGCTATAGATAATAATTATACCTAATTATTCTACTGAAAATTAACATAACACTGTAAATACTGTTCTAGCGTTTAATTTATTCTTTTTATTTACTTATCGCTTTATGGATGGAAAGCTATTAACAGCTTTTAGTGGACTTTTATAAGATTCATTAGCGATTACTAAAACTGTGATATGAATAGCTTGTCTTGATTCGAGTGTATTTCTTTCGATATTCTATGTTGGCTAAAGATATTCTTATATAATATATACACTAAATCTTTCACTGTTAATGATTCCTTATATAGAATAAATTCTGTATATTTAATTAGGATATTATTTATTATAAATATACTATTAAATTCCACACTTATAAGGGGTTCTTTAGACTTTAATAGCTTTATGATGAAATCTAATGCGATGATATACTATGCTTCTCTTGATATTATTGGTGTTTAGAGTAATCTATAAGGTTTATATCTCGTATACTTTGCTTTATAATATATATCGTAGTTTTTAATATACTTTATTATGTCTCTCTTAATCTCTTTCTAGGTAAAGTCTCTTATAACTAATTTGAGTGTCTTCTTAATATCTAGGTGTCTCGCTAACTTATCATTATATCGTTTTTTAATGATTTCTTTCTTCTAATTTATTGTTAGCTCGATATTAATAAGAGTTAGTATCTCTACTTTAGATATTATGTAAATTAAGGCGTTATCCTTTTTCTTGAGTATCGTTATGAGCTCTGGTTTAATATTTTTTATATAGTTTAGCTGTTTACTAAGCGCGTTTATCACAGTATTCTCTTTTTCTTGAATATAATATATCTTGAAGTTATATAGTGTTAGTGTTTCTATTTATCGAATTTATCTATGGTTAAGTTCTTTTATAGTTATTTAGTATAGTAAATTTTTATGGTTAGTGTAGATTTAAACTTGATACTTAATATCTTTAAGATATACTCTTCATTTTTTAAGATATATCACTATAGTAAGTAGCTCCTTATTATAAATATTATAGTTTAATTCCAGCCTTATCATTCTTTTTAAGAAGTATATAATTATTTAGGTCTTACTATCTAGTTCTTTTTATATAAGGCGAGCTTCGATCGCTTTATTCAATATATCTATCTCTACTTAGTATTTTAGTTTAGGGTTAAATATTATAAGTACTAGCGTCATTATGATAGCTTCTTTAAGGCGTTCGAATATCTCTCTATATTCTGGTTCAAACTTAAATAAGATATCCTTCTTAGTAAGGTTTATTAAAGGCGCTATGATCTTCGAAAATCCCTTAATGAATCTTCAGTAATAGTTAAGTAGTTCAATAAAAGACTATACTTCCATGATATTCTTGGGTTCTGGCTAGTCCTTGATTGACGCTATTTTATTAGGATCCACTTCGATACCCTTATTAGATATAATATAGCCTAGAAATTAGATCCGTTTTTTATGAAATTTATACTTACTAAGTTTTAATGATAAATCCTTTTTCTGAAGTTTCTTTAGAATCTTTTGAATATATTATATATACTCTTTATATATCTTTAAGAATATAAGTATATTATCTAAGTAGACAACTATAAAGTTATTAAGATATTTTCATAATATATTGTTGATTAGTTTCTAGAAAGATATCGAGACATTAGTTAATCTAAATAGTATAATATAATACTTATATAACTTAAAGCTAGTTTTAAAAGTCGTTATCTATTTATGGCTTTTCTTTATTTATACTCGATAGTAGATATTCTATATATTAAGCGCGATAAAGTATTTTGCGCTAAGAAGTTTGTTTTATAGCTTCTTAATTAAGAGTAATGAGTATTGATTCTTTTTGATGATTATATTAAGTGGTCGAAAATCAATATATAATTAAAGAGATCTATCCTTCTTTAGGGCGAAAAGCACACTATATACTATAGATAACTTAAATGATTAAATAAAGTCTTTCTTTAAGTGAGTCTTTATATACTTCTTAAGGAAGCTTTCTTCTTTTAGAGATAAGGGTTAAAGCTAATCATTATGCTTCGACACTTTCTTTTCTTTAAGTATTATTTTATGGTCTTATGGCTTATGCTTTAATAGCGCGACTATTTCTTCTCTTTCTTTGAAGATATTTATAAAGTCTTTATATTCCTTAGATAGGCTTTTCTCTTGTATTTTATTTAAGGCTCTTCTTTTAGGTTATACTTATATTATTCTTTATAGAGATACAATAAAAGTTAATTATTTCTTTCTCTTTATCTTCTTATAACTATAATTTGAAAAGAATAAGGTTTCTTCTTTTTAGTCTATCACTAGTGAGTGTTTTTTTAGTCACTTTATCTCTAGAATAATATTATACTTAATTAGTATTATATTAAGCTCGATTTACTCTCTATACTCTTCAATCTCTAGATAGATATCGCGAATTTTCTATTATATTTATTCGCTATTATACTTATTTAGTGTCTTGTTTATCATAAAGACTAAATATAAATTCTTCTTTCTTTACTTATTTAGTTTTGCTGCTATTTTTAGTGATATATAGTCTTGACTTACTTCACTATTAATTATCACTTGAATAGACTCATTAGCTAGTCTAGCGCTAAAGACTAATGGCGTTAAACGCTAAGTTTATACTATATTGATATAGCGTTTTTAAGGCTTTTTTCTGTTGCGCGAGACCTTTCGCCTCATAATAGGTTCTTCGCTTAGTTTTTTGGTATATCGCT